TTTTTTTTTTTTTTTTTTTTTTTTTTTTTTTTTTTTTTTTTTTTTTTTTTTCTTTTTTTTTTGAGAAAGACAGTCTAGGTAGGCCCGCGGCGGTTTAGGAACCGCCCTCTCCTTTCCGCCCTCAAGAAACACAAACACAAACATACGTACCATATAATAAACCCCGGCTCCATGTCCCCCATCCCCATCACTCCCCACCCAAAACGTCAAATACTCCCTCCCCTTATACCGTTGTACATTCACATTGTACGTCTGCCCGTACGCCTTCGTCCACACCATATGTCCCTGGGAGTCTAGAATCATCGGCCCGGGCTTGTGCACGCTGGTTCCGCGCGGCGCGAGTAGGTAGTAGTACTCCTCCCCTTCGCCATCACCCATGCCATTGTGAGCTAGTTTGGGCCTGCAGCGCGGATCCTCCTGCATCCAATTCACAGCCAGTCCGACCGTCGTAGTGGATTGGAAGAGCTCCGTAGGCCAGGAGCCCATGCGGCCTTGGGCGTAGAGGAGAGAGTGGTTGTAGGGGCCTTTATCTGCTGAGACCGGGGGTGTTAGGAGGAGGAGGAGGGTGATGAGGATGAGATATAGGGGGACAGGGCGAGAGGGCATGGTGGTGGTGGTGATAGTGGTGTTGGGACTGGGGTTGCTGGACATGTGTAGGTAGTGCTAATAGTATAATACTCCGTATAAGGAGCTGTGTGGTTGGATTCTACAATAGTGAGAAGAAGTGAAGAGTGCATGTCAAGAAACTAAATTACAGAGCGGATCTGATCTTCATATGATGGCGGAGGATCCACATCCACATCCCACATCCACATCCACCTGAGAGGGGCCCACTCTTAATGGGTTTGCTATACGGAGCACGGAGGGAGGATTTTTCAACCGACAGTGACTGCACGGTATGGTGCAATACAAACAATTAGTGGTGAGTGGTCGATGGGAGCAATGGCTCCCCACTACGGAGTACTGGTCTGGTCGTTGGACAGGCGATGACGAATCCCGCATAAAAATAACTAATCCATCCTCACGTGAAGATACAATTAGGTACATTTGACCCGGAGGACTGGGTTGACAGGTCAGATCCGTTTGGTTTTAGGGGCGGACTGCAGTGACTGCTGGTATAGCTCATCTAGTCAACGTATCGTCAATCTAGCAATTTATTTGTATTCATCTTAGTTCAGCTAATCTATCTCAGGGGTATGTATGCACGAATTATTAGATAGATGGAAATGTCGCCATGAAACTCTCCTCTGCTCGCCTCTCCCCGCTTACTTGCTACGCTTGTAGATCTTGGACAGGAAAGCCTCGAAGACCTCCTTCTTCAACCCCTCGGCCTCGTTGATGCTGTTGATCTTGCCGCGGAGCTCGCCAACCACCTTCTCCTCGTACTCCTGGTACACCTTCTCCAAGTCAAGCTCCTTGTACAAGGCCTTGACCTTGGCCTCCTGCTCGCTATCCTTGCGACCGTACGCAACATCCAGGAGCTGGCGCTGCTCCTTGGTGCACCGCTGGATGGCCTGGTTCACCAACCAGGAGCACTTGTTGTCCTGGATGTCCGTGCCGATCTTGCCGATCACGGCGGGGTCACCGTAGGCGTCCAGGTAGTCGTCCTGGACCTGGAAGTACTGACCCAGCGGGATCAGGATCTCGTGGGCCTGGCGGAGGTTCTCGGGGGTCGCGAGCTGGAGGTAGTGCAGAGCCAGCGCCACAGGGAGGTAGAAGCTGTAGTACGCCGTCTTGTAGGTGACGATGAACATGTACTTCTCCATGGAGAAGTTGTCGAGGTTGACGTTGTCCTCCGGGGCGGTGATCAGATCGCACAGCTGGCCCAGCTCGGTCTGGTAGGTGGTCTCGTGGAACAGCTCGACGAGGTCGATGTAGGCGGGGTGCGAGCGGAAGTGCTTCTTCAGGATGGTGTAGATGCCGGACTCGAGCAGGAAGGCATCGTTGATGGCGATCAGGCCGACTCCCTCATGGCGGTACCAGCAGGGCTGCCCACGGCGGGTGATGGAGCCGTCCATGATATCGTCGCTGACCAGGAAGAACGCCTGCAGCAGCTCCGTGAGCCAGCCGAGCATGCTAAGGTGCTTGAACTGCTCCTCGCTCAGGGGCTCCTTCAAGAGAGCGAGAGCGGTATCGGGGACGGACAGGCCGCGGTTGAGCTTCCCACCGGGAACGTTGGCATTGAGGACCTATAGCGTCGGAGTAGCGAGAGGAGGTCAGTGAATCCTGTACCAGCGCTTTGGGTCAAGGCCTGCGTATGTACCTTCTCGAACCATTCGAGCCCATTCTGGGGGAGATTGTACTGCTTGGCAGAGGCCAGGAGATCCTCACGAATGAGGGGGAAGATAGCCTCGAAAGAGGCACGGCTGGTGGTAGAAGCCATTTTGGTGATGAAAACTCAATGCGCAGGGAGAGAGAAGAGGGGGAGTTCAAGAATTTAAGCAGGAGGGCGAGAAGAAGTCAACAATGGTTGAGCAGTGGGGGAGGGACAATACCCCCATAATTACTCTTCTTGGCTAGTCCTCCAAGGGATAGAATCATTGCTTTCACCGCGACATAAAACCCCGCTGTTTGTTTTGTTTGCCGCGGCTTGCCCAAAAGGGCAATTCGAATACTATGATCCGCCGTCGCCTGCTGCATCCATCGCAAGCATTGCGTGTCTGTCGTTGGTTGTAATCCTGTCAGTTGCAGACTCCTTGCCTCTGGTCAGCTCGTGCGGCTCTGTGTTTTCAAGTATTCGTGTGTTGATCACTTCCATATCCTCCTCCGCCGTTTGGATCAAGCAGTCGACAGCTCAATCCGATCCCCTCGCGTGCAAATGGCCCTTGCGCATTGTTAGATCCAGAGACCTCTTCAAGCTTCATAACAAATCGCGCAAAACTATTGCCACTGCGCTGTCGCTGTAATTGCACGCGGCGTCTATCTGCCCGATGGCTGCTCAGTTCACCGACGAGAACATCAAGGAGCTGAAGTTCCGCCTCGAAGATGCGGCAATCAAGTGCTCCGAACGATGTCTCTACCAATCAGCCAAATGGTACCGCGCATACTGACAACCCATCAACCTACAGTAGCTAACAGAAGCTGGCAGGGCTGCGGAGATGCTCGACTCCCTCGTCCCGATCGATCAGTATGACACGGATCCCGACTCGCCAATGGGTCACCTGGATGCTCCTCCGACTCCGCCGAATCCCTACCTGCGAACCCAAGATGCCCTAGAAGCGACGCTCGAGGCGCAAGAGTCTTACAAGTACCTTCTGGCGAAATCCTACTTTGACACCCGCGAATACGACCGCTGTGCGGCCGTCTTCCTCCCTCCGACCATCTCCCCCATCCCGCTCGCGACTGCGTCGCCGAACCCCAAACACCGACAATCGTTGACCCCGCAAAAGGGCAAATCCAAGGCGTCGCCCTTCGCAGGGACGAAAGAACATGGTGCGACAAAGAGCTCCTACCCTAGACTCAGTCAGAAGTCTCTGTTTCTGGCCTTGTATGCAAAGTACCTGGCAGGTGAGAAGCGCAAGGATGAGGAGACAGAGATGGTGCTGGGTCCGGCGGATGGAGGCTCAACGGCCAATCGGGAACTGCCAGATTTGGCTCGAGGGCTCGAGGGCTGGTTGAACGAGCGAAGGGAGAAGGGACTGGAAAGTCGAAACCAGGGCTGGTTGGAATATCTTTACGGAATCATACTCCTCAAGGGGCGGAATGAGGATGAGGCGAAAAAGTGGCTTATCCGGAGCGTGCACCTGAACCCGTTTCACTGGGGCTCGTGGCAGGAACTGAATGATTTACTGGCCAGCACGGAAGACGTACGTATAGGCCCGCGGGGTCAGTTCTGGGCGGATGCTAACGATCGTGTGCAGCTGAAACAAGTCGTCGACCTTCTCCCGCAGAACATCATGACACTCATATTCCACGTATACTGCAGTCAGGAGCTTTACCAAGCAACCGATGATACATACCAGGCTCTATCCGAGCTGGAGACAATCTTCCCGACAAGCGCGTTCCTCAAGACGCAAAGAGCGCTTCTCTACTACCACTCGAAAGGTGAATTTACACCCTGAAAGGTATCTACTTTACGACCGAAACTCACACACACCACAGATTTCGAAGCCGCATCCCATATCTTCACAGACATACTCATCACCTCACCGCACCGCCTCGACAGCCTCGACCACTACTCAAACATTCTGTACGTCATGGGAGAGCGCCCGCAGCTCGCCTTTGTCGCGCAAGTTGCAACCGCGACCGACAAGTTCCGCCCGGAAACCTGCTGCGTCGTAGGGAACTACTACTCCCTGAAATCCGAGCACGAAAAAGCCGTGATGTACTTCCGTCGAGCCCTGACCCTCGACCGCAATTTCCTCTCCGCCTGGACCCTCATGGGCCACGAATACATCGAGATGAAGAACACCCACGCCGCGATCGAATCGTACCGTCGCGCTGTGGACGTGAACCGCAAAGACTACCGGGCGTGGTACGGTCTCGGCCAGGCTTACGAAGTCCTCGACATGTCCTTCTACGCCCTATTCTACTACCAGCGCGCCGCCGCTCTGCGGCCGTACGACCCGAAGATGTGGCAGGCGGTGGGATCCTGCTATGCCAAGATGGGCCGCATTGAACAGAGCATCAAAGCGCTTAAACGTGCCCTCGTGGCCGGCTCCTACTACGCCGAGGATACCTCCCAGGTCGGCGGCGGCCCTGCGCGCAAGATCCTCGATCCCGAGACTCTGTATCAGATCGCCACGCTCTACGAACGCCTGGGCGACGAGGAGGAAGCCGCCGCGTACATGGAGCTCACTCTGCAGCAAGAGTCCGGACAGGTGATCCAGGAGGAGGAGGATACTTCGTCCGACAACGAGAACGACGACGATCAATCCGGGACGGATGTCCCGTCGAGCTCGCGCCGCGCGCGCAAGTCGTCCAGGGAAGAGGAGGACGAGGAGGAGGATGCGTGGCACGGCACCGGTGTGACGGCGACGACCTCGAAGGCGCGGCTGTGGCTCGCTCGGTGGTCGCTTCGCGGCGGGGATCTGGGTCGTGCGGATCAGCTGGCGGGCGAGCTGTGTCAGGATGGAGTGGAGGTTGAGGAGGCGAAGGCGTTGATGAGAGATGTGCGCGCCAGGAGGGAGGGTGGTTGATATTGATTGGTGCATAGAGGGGGTTAGGTGGTGCCTCTTGTTGTTCGAATTAGCCTGGCGTTCCTGTGGACCTATAGAATGTAATTCTGATTCGACTATGCTTGTATAACTATATTGAGAGCTGGTAGTGACTAGATCACTGGGTCAACCACCTCGGTCACCAGTAGGTGTCTGGATACTCAGACAAAAGTAAGCAGGAGCCTTGGTGCCTTGCACACCTTGCAATTAATCATTATAGCTATAAGTACATCCAAATATTGACAACAAGCTCACTCTAACCGGATGCGCCGCATAGTCCGAGCAATCGAAAGCCATCAACCTGCATGAACAGACCGCTCCCCCGCAAAAATCCCACTGAGCACAAGCAGCTCCCGCCTGTTAAAACTAATCGTAGCCTTCGGACCGGTCGTCCTGCGTGCCACTCCTCGCCCACGTTCCTCCGTGCATCCCTGCCAAACACTCCCAGAGCTGTTCAAATATGCACCAACACCATCATCATCACCATCATCCCCTGACGCCGAATCCAACCCAGCAGAAGCAGACTCACCGAAATCCCACTTCACGCACGCGCAAAAGTAGCGTCTCCCGATCGCCTCCCATGTCTGACGGAGGCCGAGCCTCGTATCTTGCGGGTTGAGGTTGAGGTCCAGAAAGTCTCGGTCAAGGACAAGGATCTTGCCGGCTGGAGAAGGGTGCGTTGTGGTCCTGGGTTGCCGAAGGAAGTGGGTGATGCGTTTGCTGAGGTCGAAGAGGAGTTGTCCGAGGGTGGAGTTGCTGCTGTTGAGGATTACTAGTCCGAGGGTTTGGGGTTGGGTTGTGCGTTTGTTGGGATTGGATGTTGTCAAAGTGGTTAGGAAGTTGGTTAGTGGTTCCTGAGTTTGTCCGGTGGGGTTGGACATTGGAGTTATATATGTTGGCAGGTTCATCAAGTGACATGTGATGGAATGGGCTAATTTGTGAGGAGGTCTGGAGTCTGGTAGGGCGCACGCGGGTATATGCTTCCATTGGGAGGGAGTGTGCTGAGGTTCTGCGAAGGTATTGATGCAGGCTTCCGTGGCTGTACTAGGCTGCTGAGGCTGTTGGCTCGGCTTGGGCCTGTCAGCAAATGCAGCGTTGCGGTTTGTATATATGCGCTGACGAGAGGTGTGAGCGGAAAGGTTTTCGTTGTCAACAAGGGCATTGTGTCGAGCAGGACTCTCTGCAGCTGAGGGCGCACGATCTGCAGCAACATCTGTATATATAGGGATGGTAAGGGTCGTTGAAGGATCTAAGCGGTCTTGGGGCTCTGGTGGTGTTGTTGGTTTTTTCATGATGTCAGGAGCTGCCGATGGTATGCTCGTAGTGTCACTCAAAGGCATGGCAGCGGCGGTGTCGGTTCCAAACCTTGCTGGAGAGCTCTGAGTTGAGGAAACACTTCTGGATCGCCTTGACGCATATTGAGCTGATCCAGGACCAAGCTTCACACGCTTGGACCACTCGGACCTCTCCTCGTCCATGTCATCCGTGGGCACAGCTCGAGCGTCATCGGCGAGTTTCTGCAGCTCAGTATATGATACTGCATCTGTAAGGGTCCTGTCCCAGTGAATTTTCGTAATCCTCGGAAATCGAAGTGCGAAATACCCGGCATTGGAGGGCTTCTCGAATCCACTCCCCAGAATTTCGACGATGAAAGGCGTCTTGAAAACTACATCCATCCCAGTCGTGACATTGCTCCCATAGTGAAGTGAGAATCCGTGGCCGGACTCGGCATTACAGGCATGAAACTCGCCGACGTGATTGAGAATTTGCATGCTCTTCAGACTCATGCTGTTACGATTGAGCACATCCACAACCTTGAATTTTGGAGCAACATCGAATTGCGCAACGGCATCCTTATTTGTGAGACAACCAATGTAGAAATCTGTCCAAAGCAATTTCTTGACCTGATGGAGGGCCGTGGCATCTTGTGCATTGTATCTCGCACCAATAATGGCGAGATCAACGGTATCACCTAGTCCCGGTATGTAATCCTTCTTAAGCTTGATCCAGCGACCCGGCATATTGTTCCCCTGACCTGTGAAGATGGTGAAGTAGGGATCTTCACACCCTTTGAGTACAAATCCCTCCCATCGTTGTGCAATCCCGTTGGAGAAGATGCTCTCCAGTCGAGTTTGACCGTCGTGTCGCGAGAAATCCACGATGTATTGCTCTGCAATAGCTGCACGACCGGGAATGGTTCGTATAACTTCTTTGAGAAGTAGGCGTCGTTCCCGATGCGGCCGCTTAAGACATATGTTGTCATCAAGAAGCAGAATGTCGAAGAAGACTATCATTAAATGCTCGTGGGGCTGCGGTCTAGCTGCGGTTAGCAACGGACCCGTGAGTGATGGCACCCTCTTCCTACACTCACGGAGAATCACTTTCAGTACCAATAAAGGTGCCAGATCGAGAGATAAATTTACGTAGCTTATGAAAATCCATAATCTTGCCGTGCTTACCACTCCAGACGAGTAGTTCGCCTTCTAAAATGCATCTCTGGGAGATCCTGCACCCATGCGCGCCTATTCCCAAGGAGTCTTTGATGACCTGGTGGATACCTACCCTGTCCACTGTAGAGTCTTTGCCACTCTTCGAGAAGATCTGGATTGAATTGGGATGAAACAGGTCAATATGTACTTGACAGTATTCGCCATCATACTTCCTTTCAACACTCATCCGACGGTGATTGACCATGCGACAGCAGTGCTTGATACTCCGAGCCTTGTAGTACTCCGGCCGACCGATCTTGACCCCTATCCTAGGATTGAGATGTTGCAAGGCTATATAAGCCAGGTCTTTGGCTAAGCCGGGATCCGGATGCGGCGGGAAATGGCTTATTGGATCGGAGCGGAGCATCTTGATAGCACCTTCGAATGTGTCTTGGAAGAGAAGGAGAGGCGGAAGTAGGAAGTGAAAGCTCCGCAGAGTCAATGGTTGAGGGAAGACGACGGGAAAGTAGCTTTTGAGTATCATCCGCGTCAACCATTTTGCATCTCTGCTCCTGAGGCGCTTGAACAATGAGCCCAAAGCATGCTCGACATCAATTGCAATGCGCTGCTTCCGCACTCGAGGACCCGAAAACCTGCAACGAGCGGCGATACTGTTCAAAGCGGAGTCAATCTCCTCCACAGTTACCTCTCGACCGGGGATAATGTCGTTCTCAGCTTGCCGCATCACATTTTCAACGCATAGACCGAGGTCGACTCCCCCATAGACGCGCCACCGATCGAGCTCTTCCCGTCGGGAGAACCCAAGCAGTAAGCATCGCGCTATAATCCTCGCCAGCGAGGATTCTTGCAGCGAGTAGACCCTATCTGGCCTTCTCTCGGGAAACATGCAGGACAGCAGAGCCAGCAGGTCAGTGCCATGGCCACGAATTTGCTTCCCATGTTGAGCAAACCATCGCGTCACGGTCCGCACATCGGGATCGGATGCTCTCGCCTCATGTGTAGCTTTCAGAAACTTGTTGTCTTCCAAGGAGGAGAGTAGATCGCACAAATACGTGAATTTGAACCCCATCAATCGAACCAGACAGCGGGCGCGTCGTCAGATAGTCAGACGCGTCCACTGCCGTCAACATCAAGAACAGCTTACTGAAGGTGCTGAATATGATGGCCGAGATAAGATCACATCGAAACAAGGGATATTTGAGGAGTCAAATCTATCCTTGCCGGAAGAATGGACATCTATGCAAGGCAGGGGTTGCAAAAAGATTCGAAATGAGTCCAGGGAGACGCGTCCATGGATCGCGAAACCACGTGATCGGAACCAGTTTGGGATCAATTATGGGATCATGCATGTTTTTCATCGACTTTTCAAAGGAACATTGCCAGATAGCACAAGAATGCAATCTGTGCTCGAAGATTTCTTGGGAAAGATACAGATTGTGCCGAGCTTTGGAAGCCTGTGCACCTATTCATTCAATTCTAACCAACGATAAATTCCGGTAGTTTAGGTAACCATAAGCAATGAGAAAATAAACACCGCTGAACTCCAGGCTTTTCGAACCAAAGCAACCAGATGAAGAAATAGACGACACCGTTCTTGATGGGCAGACTGAAGATCTGTAGATTACAGAATGCCTTGTTTCTGAAGGTCAAGATAGATCCTCTCAGGCATCACATTTCCTTCCGCATCCTCCATCTGCACAACATTGTCACGGTTGTCTCTGTCCTTCTTGCGGTCCTTCTCAAGCTTTTCCCATAGTCGCAAAGCCTCGTCAATCCGGGTGATCTCGCGGAAAAGATTCGTGTTGGACGTGATACCCAGGCACTTCAGGCCGAAAATATGCAGAGCCTCAGAGAAGTGCTTGTCAAAGGCGCGACGACCCATGTAGACGAAATTTCCGCAAATCTCGCACGGGTATTCCACACCCAGACCGTGCAACTTGTAGAGCCAGTAAGGGATCGGTTTCCCATCCCAGGCAAGTGGCAGTTTGAGAGGGTTGTAGATGCGCTCATCGCCTTCGTCGTCAGATTGGTCGTTTCCACGATCTCCACCCAGGTATTCGGATTCGTTCTGTAGCGCCTCGATTTCCATCTTCCGTTCCCGGTCCGTCATGCCCTGCTTGCGCTCCACGTTGATCTTGGTCGCCTCGCGCTCTGCGCTTAGGACTTGTGTGAGAGACCGGACGCGATGTTCTCTCTCTGCTACCGCACGTTCCTTCAATCGGTGGGCACCTGTGAACCCACTGCCTGCAGATGGCGCGGGTCTATCGCCGGAGTCACCCGAGGCCTTACGAGCCTCAGCTGCACGAATGTGTTTCTTGCCCGTCAAATGATTTTTGTAAACGTTCTCATTCTTGAATTCCCGCTCGCAATCAGCACACCAAATGCCTTCCCCAGATCCTTCGGTCTTCGGGCCCTGAGTCCCATTCTCGGCCTTCTCCTCCGTCCATCCCGGTACTTCGTTGGCCGACCATTGTTTCTCGAATTCGTCATCGAAGCTGGCAAAGAGCTTGCCCAGATCTTGTAGCGGTCTGATTTTCTTGATGAAGCCTTCCAAGTAGCTTGCGAGCTCGCCGACATACTTGAAGTATCTGTCTGAAATCTTGTTGCTGCGTTTGATTGGGAGCTGCGGGGGTGTGAAAGCATCGAAGATATCGAGATACTGAATATAGGACAGTCTTTTGACTCCAGGAAGGTTGAGGTATTCCTCGTGGTGGGTCGTCAAGTCCAAAAACTGTCCGTAACTCTCCTCACCAGTAAACAGGTTGTCAACCTCCATGCCAGTTGTTTCCCCCTCCCCGAGCTGACGGCGCTTATAGGCGCGCTCGAGGTTTTCGACCGGTTCGTTGGGGTAGCGCTTGTGAAAGTCCTTGATTTCATCCAGCTGTCGGTAAAACTCCTCGAATTGATCGCCAGTTGAAATAGCTTGGATCTCCTTGTTGCGCGCGCCATCGGAATCCTTGTAAATGTCCAGCAGTCGTTTTGACTGCTCGTCTATGCGGTTCAGGAAGTAAGCAATCTCATGATCGCGGTTTAGGCGGTCACGTAGCTATATCAGAAAGCAATAGTTAGCATCTGCGGTGATTGCAATAACCGGGGGTACCACGAACGTTACGGGGCTCTTCAGCCACACGGTCGGCAATGGCCTGCTCCAACCGCTCCAGATCTTCATGGATAAATCTTTGTTCTTCGAGGATCATCTTGGCAGCGCAAAAAGATTGTCTGTTTGTATATGCGATTACACCAACCGCAGATTGGAGGAAGTTACGCCGCTCTATCGGCGCCACCCATGGAGAGCTTTGCGGGCGAAATACAGTCACGTGACGCTGGCGGTGAGGCCTCGATCGCCGCGAAAAGTCGCGAGCTCCGGCCACTCCACCAGACCAGCACCTTTGGTTCCAGACTCGGTCTTTTGTCGTTGAAACCAAATCTTTAACATAAAATATCAGTGGAATCACAATGGCGGACGGTATTGACAGACGCGCCGATGGTATGGCTCGAGAATGACTCCAAAACTGAATATTCGTTGACTGACCGCGCAAAAATAGACCGGATGGAGTTCAACACCTCGAAAGAGGTCACTGTTGCTCCTACCTTCGAGGACATGCACCTGAAGGAAAGCTTGCTTCGTGGTATCTACGCTTATGGCTATGAGTCTCCCTCGGCTGTTCAGTCTCGCGCGATTGTTCAGATCTGCAAAGGTCGCGATACCATTGCCCAGGCGCAATCTGGTACTGGTAAGACAGCTACGTTCTCGATCAGTATCCTTCAGGTTATCGATACCGTTGTCCGCGAAACTCAGGGTATGTGGCACAACCCACCACCACGATTGCATGCGAAAAGAGTCAAGCTTACATGGATGTAGCTCTCGTTCTGTCCCCCACCCGCGAACTTGCCACCCAGATTCAGTCCGTGATCATGGCTCTCGGAGACTACATGAATGTTCAATGTCACGCTTGTATCGGAGGTACAAACATCGGAGAGGATATTCGAAAGCTCGACTACGGCCAGCACGTTGTCTCAGGAACGCCGGGTCGAGTCGCCGACATGATCCGCAGACGCCACCTGCGCACCCGGCACATCAAGATGCTGGTGCTCGATGAAGCCGACGAACTTTTGAACCGCGGTTTCCGCGAGCAGATCTACGACGTCTACCGTTACCTTCCCCCGGCCACCCAGGTCGTTGTCGTCTCTGCCACCCTCCCCTACGATGTGCTCGATATGACCACCAAGTTCATGACCGACCCGGTGCGCGTCTTGGTCAAGCGTGACGAGTTGACGCTCGAAGGAATCAAGCAGTACTTCATCGCCGTCGAGAAGGAAGAGTGGAAGTTCGATACGTTGTGTGACCTCTACGATACCCTGACCATCACGCAAGCCGTTATCTTCTGCAACACCCGCCGCAAGGTCGACTGGCTTACCGACAAGATGCGCGAGGCCAACTTCACCGTTTCCAGCATGCACGGAGAGATGCCGCAGAAGGAACGTGACAGCATCATGCAAGATTTCCGCCAGGGTAATTCGCGGGTGCTGATTTCCACCGATGTGTGGGCTCGTGGTATCGATGTGCAGCAAGTCTCCCTGGTCATCAACTACGACCTCCCCACCAACCGTGAGAACTACATCCACCGTATCGGTCGTAGCGGTCGTTTCGGCAGAAAGGGTGTCGCCATCAACTTCGTCACCAGCGACGATGTGCGCATTCTCCGCGACATTGAATTGTACTATTCCACTCAAATTGACGAGATGCCTATGAACGGTAAGCAATCCCTGTTTATCCGCCCAAGTCAGCAAACACATTTGATACTAACCCCAATCCCTATCAGTTGCCGACCTCCTTTCCTAATCTCACGAATCTTCACTCTCCAATTGTTCGCAAGTCTCAAGTTGCGCTCAAGCGATGGGCATGGCCTGCCTTCCAATCGCTCGCTTGCTGGGATCCTCCGTCAACACTTTCCACCATGACCAAAAGCCATCATGTAGATCATGCGCAGTCCTTCCAGGCAAGACGGGAAGTAAACATTAGTGTGGAGGAAATGGGTAAAACCTCAGTCTGGTCAGTGGTGAATTCGACCCCCCCTCCTCCGCCCTCTTCGCCGGGCCAGCACAACGAATGTTAACACCGAATCCAGTCAAGTCACCTATCAATGACCTTTACACGCGGGTCTCCTTCTTTCCATTTCAAGGTCCATCAACGCCTCAAATAGCGTTTTATCGTATATCTGTGTCTATTCCTGTGGCGTTCGCGATCTCTGTCTCTTCTTCTGGAGTCATTTCATGCGTCTTTTTCTTGGGGGTTTCACTTTTCACTCTTCCAGAGTCAGGATACAACTGTTTCCTTTTTCTTCTATTTGTTCCAAAAACGATTTAAAAAGCGTTCAACGGCTACTTGCCCAACTCGGCCCTTCTTCATTTCCCTCGTACTTCCTCCCTCAGTACATTGTGGTTTGTGCCCGTGCGTAAAACAATCTCAATTGGCAAGATCCTCTAACAAAGACCCCGATTGCTCCCAAAGCCCACACCCACATACTACGCCAATTGCGCCGGCACCCACCAGCTGCTCACAAAAATCAAATTGGTACCATCGGAACTTTCCTCCATCCCAACGCATGCTCACAGCAAGCCACTGTAGAACCGAGACCGGAATGAAGCGGCATAGACGGAAAAAGACGTTCACGGTAAAGAATGGCGCTGCCTGGTACCTATAGTAGAGTAAATCCTAACTTGATAAAAGGAAATGAAAACGAGACAGACCCAAATTTTCACCCCGCCCCCTTGAAACCAGATCCTCAATTTGTCCCAAAGCTTCCCGACCACCCAAACTGCGATTAGATCACAAAAAGAAAAAAAAAAAAAAAAAAAAAAAAAAAAAAAAAAAAAAAAAAAAAAAAAAAAAAAAAAAGAAGAAAGAAGGCGGGAGAGAAGAAAACAGCTCCGCAGGGAGGAGGGGTGAAGAGGGAACTAGCAGGTGAAGTCGTTGTATGTAGATGAGCGCATGGCGAATGCGGCTGCAATGTGTGATAGGGTATGACAGGGCAATGCTGAGATAATTGAGCGGAGAAAGGTAGTTGGAGGAATCGATGCACAACATATACGAGTGTGTACCAAAACAGTGGCGCCTGCACACCTTTATTATGTAGAATCACTGGAAAGACCAGAAAATGCTTATATGCAGGGATCAAGGGGTGAGTGATAGTGAAGAGCCTGGCAGCGATAACCTGGATATAGATGGGAAACTCTCATCAGCTGATTGAAGGTCCCCTTCAGTGACGAAGGGGAACAACAATCGGAAATGCAACACGAGGCATTGCTGCAGCCCGGAGAGAGTGACCTTCTAAAACCGTGATGTCGAACGCAGAGAACTGGTGCGGGCAAATCCGTTTCCTGACACGGCCCTGCGCTTACCCGCTGCAGCACTCGATCGCGTATCGCGTTCTCTGGTCCATCTGAAACACAGTCAGCCTAGATGATACGTGGTGTGGATAGAGCATGTCTCACATTCTGACCATGCAGTCATCGCCTGCAGAGGCGAACATTCCCGGATTAGATGGGTTCCATGATAACGAATTCACACATCCTCGTGTATGTGCCTCCAGGACTTCGACGAGAGTTCCATTCTCCTTGTGCCAGATATAAATACGAGAATCTGTGACAATATTAGCCCAAAGTCCAACATAGGCGAAAGTTCACGGTCTACCTTCGCTCCCGCTAACGATAAAGTTGTCAGCAGCGCCTCCGAAGACGCTGCGGATAACGAAATTGCCCTGTTTTTGCCCCTGGAAGCGCCGTACGACATCTGTCGTATTAAGGTCGATGAGCTGCAATTGATTGTCGGCCAAGTTTACGAGCAAATATCGCGAGTCTTTGCTAACAGCCACTGATGTCGGCCTGCTCTTTGTTGTAAGGCAATATTCTTCATCACGCGTGGCGAAGTTGTAGACATGCAGCTTCCCCTCCAAATCTGCCGCAACCAGTCTCCGACCGTCGGGGGTCATGGTACAGTCTTGTACACGAAACCCTCCATGCCAAGTGTGCAGGACCTGCCCGCCGCGCATGCTCCAATGGCACAACTGCGAGCTAAGATCGAGAGAAGCTGTGACAAATGTCTCCCCGTCTGGAGCCCATGCTGCAGATGTCACTGGTTGCCGATGATGATTTATGGTCAAAAGACAGCGGCCAGTCTGTGTTTGCGTTAGCATTGCGAAAAGTCTTGGGGAACATGTAAAGCGGATACTGACCTCGACATTCCATACGCGGGCTGTCTTGTCCTGAGAGCAGGTAATGAGCTTGGAATCGTCGGGGCTGAATTCGCAGTGCACAACGCCATCCGTATGCTCCCTGAGTGTGTGAAGCACAGTGAAAGTATTCGTGTCGTAAATAATCACTGTGGAATCTTTGCAAGCTGTGACCAGCCTAGTCCCATCATGTGAGAATGAACACCACCACACTTCATCTCGATGCTCATTAAGTTGGATCTCTGTTCTTAGGGGGAAATCTTTTCGATCGCACATGTGATCCGAATATAGCGAAGGCGGATTTGCAGTATTGTGATACAGACATTGATTGATCTGATTCTGCTTGACGTGGTCTAGGAGGATAGCAAGGCGATTGTCGGGGATCATAACAGAAGGTGAGATAGACTCTGGACGAATGTCAATTGTAAACCCACCACATGCCTGCAACATGAAACATACTTGATAATTCCGATAACAAACGTTCTCGAGAAGAGCTTATGGGTCCGTCCCATCCTGCCTGATCATGAAGATGTTCTGGCGGGCACATAAGGAGGCTATTTATGAGTCAGTTAGGGAAAGAGGCTCCTGATTAAAGTATTTCGTGATGGATGTCCCACCTTGAAAGAGCATGTAGACGGCCAATGTCATAATTGAGGGGCGTGAGCTCCTGGCGGAGAACCATTAATGCCGCGCCCAAATCCCGAGCCTCCAGCAGCTCTAGAAATTTCTGTTGTCGGAGATGGAAGAGCATTTCGTTCTTTTCAGCATGTTTCACTAAGACTAGTCTCTCCTTGTTGGCAAGCTGCTCGCCGTGACCCCCTCCCCTGCCTTCATCCCGGTCATAATTAAATGACTGAACCAGGATATGTTCCGCCTCAGCCCATCGACCTTCAAGAACCGCGTTTCTGAACGTTGCAACCGCTGGGCTTTCCAGCTGATAACCACTCTCCTTACTCAACAATGATGCCGCACCGTCATACCCGAGCTCGTACAGACTTTGTATCAAGATTCTCGTAACCTCTTCACGATCGTGGCCGAAGTAGGTTGAAGAGTTTAGTTTTGACTTTTGTGATCCATTCGTGTGCAAGTCTCCGTTCGATGTTGTATGCGAAGCTTGACCGTTGAGTGCTAACGGGAACGCCGCCTTCTGCGACGGGGATGCCGGCGAGCCATTAAGGGTGTGGGAAGAGCCATTTGTACTAGATATCCCATCGGGACGCATATTTGCCAGGCGCCTGCGCTTGGGGGATGGTGTGTAGCCCACCGATGAAGTGTGATGCTCGGTTTCTTGATGGCCGGTATCGCTTGCCGTACCTCCCGCAAGACCTCCCGTCCCCTCGCTTGTCAGACCTCGAGAAGTAGGTGTGATACTACGGCGACGTCGGCGAGATAGTCTGGACGATATTCCACCAGTACCTCTTGTGCCTGACTGATCACCGATTGCGGAGTTATGGGGGGACGCTGCGGGAAAACCGCCCGAGGCGGAAATGGTGCGAGGTGGCGGCGGGGGTGCAAGAGATAGAGGGGAATCAGGATGGTCGGGAGCGGCGGAGGAGGGTATATATGGCGGGGGATTGTCTGCCAGTTCGACTGTCGCTGGATCTGCCCTTTCACCTGGCTCTATTGGAGAACCAGGGGAGCAGACCTCTATCAGTGGCGGTTCACTGATGTTCGCCGACGGTCAGTGTACGTCTTCGACCTTGTCACGAGCCTCAACAGTCCACCAATGTGCTACTCAAAGGCTGTATGTTAGCATAATATGTATCACATGAGGTTCAGATGAGCTTGACCATGCGTGCTGATGGGGGTAGGCTGCTTCTTACTTTAGACAAGCGGAGAAGTCTTATCGGGCTTAGATGGGGTTTAACGAGCACGAAAGGTCACCGGATATCGAGGATGAGAGAGCTGAAAAGGTGAAAGAGGGCGCCAAAAAGAGGTTTAGAAATGACTGAAGTTGGCGGGCCAGAATTGCTTGCGAGCCTAATCAGGGGGAAAATATTATGGACGAGGTATAGGCGAAAGAATTCGAAGTGGCTGATTGATGAACAACAGGAGGAGCGGAGGTTGAGGTCGAGCACATCGGCGGCTTGGGTCTCACTGACGGAGGGGAGGGACTGACTGACTGACTGACTTCCCGTGGGGCTAAGCAGCCCCCGACAATCAATGCTTATTGAATGCCTGTCAATCCCTCATCCCCCCCTCCCTCCCACACATCCCTTGCGCGCTTACCCCCCCGTGTGCTCTTTCTTAAGATTTACCCACACCTGCCCAATCCTCCAAACAAATATTCCTACATAACCATTCGTTCGTCCACCCCGATTTCGTACCTGACTCCCAGGTTACGTTGCAAGCTCAAAGTTCTGAATCCCTGATCAGCCGGAGACTCGAAACAAAGAGCCCCATGGAACAGAAGCTGCTGCTTGCTGCCGAATCTGGCATACCCACGGAGTATGAATGACGATATCCATGATACCGGGTATGACGATACATAAACGAGAGCAGCATTATTTCCCGTAGTCTAACTCGACAATTCATCATGATGGACGATCAACAACGCTTCCCTATTGCTGCGATCTACCTATATTTTCAATCCTTGAGTACTCTCCTTATCTCCTTAAATACGCATATAGTATGTAGGTCATCAATGCGTTTCAGAACCTGCGCTGTCCGAGAGCCCGCATCACCTGAACTGAGAGGCCCCTCGATAAAAGAAGCAGCTGACACGCAGCAAATGTGGTCTCGAAAATACTCGCAAATGACACCATCCCATACTTATCTATCCTTAGGAAACACGAATTGGAGGGGCACGAACACAGAACCGCACGCCATGTTGGCCATATACAGTACATCAACCACGCTAGACACATCACCTGCACACTTGTCTGGGCACATGGAATGACTTGTTCCTATGTCCGTTGCCTCAGGGGCACGGTATTCTCATGATCAATCGATGACCAGAGGTCTTATCTGCCTTTTGTGCGGGATAGATATTCATCTATTGAGCAAGTTATAGTCCATGTAAAGTAGGCGGGCCATGCAGAAGTCCAAAGCCGCCACTACGATTCATTGGGCCTAGTCCAACGCCGTAGATGTACCCAACCGCCCATCATCGGGGCGCGCAAGAGACTCAAATTGGCCATCTGGTACCACAGGGGCACAGGCTCCAGCCCACTCCATGTTGGTCATTCTGGATCCATCAGTTTCTCCTAACAGGTATCCTTGCTTGCGAGAAGTACGGAGTATCCAGGAGCACTACAGAGTACACGATCGTGCTTACTGGGGTATTCGAATTCGTTTTGCCAAAAACTTTACAGTAGAACTTCTCGAAGAACCAGATGTAGACAAAGGGCCCACTGCACAGGGAAAGTGAAAGCGAATCTAGTCCATAGGCACTCGGTAGCCATAAGGTACAAGCAACGAGTCAAAGGAGGGAATCCTTGGGGCCGGCTTTCAAGGTCATGTTTGAGACCTCTGGCTTTTAAAGACTCCTCAAGAGGTCAAAGATCAAATGTTTGTTTGTTGAACGTGTAATTATTCTAAACGCCTAGCACATCTCACCGCTGGTTCTGATGCATGGTCCCGTCGGAAGCTTTTGACTTCTTGACTAACTCCGCACACGGCCATGGAAAGTCAATCTATTAGTTCTTGTGCTGGAAGCAATATTTGCCTGGGAAATCCATGACCAGTGACTTGCCAGTGAACTCGTACTATTATACGGAGTATGAAAATGTACTGTCTAGTATGCTAAAGATGGTGCTTCCTATAGCACCTATCGGTAGAGAATGCAGATATTATGCCGGGAAAAGCAGCTAGTATTGCTATATTTTCCTGGATTCTGGTCAAATTTTCAAACACATTATCCTAAGTTGGGCTGTCGAGTGCTCTAACCTGAACTTACTATAGGGGTACGCGCTGAGCATCTTGTGTCTAGCGAATGCAGCATTGCCATGAAGCTTCATGTATACAAATCTACTCAAACTGCATAGCTCAATACCGAATCTTATTTACTAATCCGCAAGGTCCAGAGGATACTGTAGTCAACTGGTTTCTTCTTCCTTAATCTCAATCCTAAGCTGGGTTATACTACAGAGGCGAGATTGTCATAGCTATTTTCATTGAATAACTATCCACGACGTTAAACGGTGTTGACTTACGGCTTATAATATTACCTGAAATTATCACAAGATTCTCCATCACAGTCTTACTACGGAACAGTCCGTACAGAGAACAGCTGGACTGAGCCTAATCTATGATTGAATGCTGCAATCCTGCACAAGCCGATGATGCTATGTGAGACTCCAGGCCGCCGCCACTGCATGTTTGAACCCCGGGCTTGGGCTCGTGAGAACCAGGTAACCCCAGTAGAAGTTTATAGCAAGCCAGGTACTTTGCCCCGATTCAACCGCCACCAATCGGACATTATAGCCGAATCTGTGTCCCAACTACACATGCGATTCATGATCCGTGCGGGTTGACTCGGGTCTTTGTCTTAAGTCAGTTTCCTTCCATCCATGACATAAGCCGTCAACTGACCTGACCTCATCATGATTCAAGCCACGGCACCAACCAATACATATTGAGATGGTTTCCTGGCCTCCAAGGTTCTCATTCCATCACAAACGCTGAAGTCAAACCCGCCGATCATTCATTCAGATCGACCTTTATACCATTATATACTCTGAGCATCCACCAATCGAGCAAAATGGGTTGTGATTGCGGTTCCGGAAACACCTGCGGATGCAGTGGACCGAGCAGCTGCACTTGCGGCAACTCGTGCACTTGCAAGCAGTGCGGCGTATGTTGACTTCTCTATTTATGATTGTGATAAGACCTAACCTATGCCTACAGAAGTAAAACTTCGTTTCTTTTCAAGCCCAGAGTATCTGGCCTCATGAATGATGAATCATGACAATTCAGACATTTGATGGGAGGATTTGATCTGCCTATCGAGGAAATGGTCTTCCATTCATGTATCTCAAAACCAAATGATTATTATTTTCAATATGTTTCTTAACCTGTACCTTTTGTAGTGGTAATGAGAATTCTCTCTCGCGAGAAGTTTAGATTGGACTCTAAACGGGCAAGAATAGTAGATCAATCTACATTCAAATCGCTTGAAGAGGGGTCAGACATTTCGGCAGGATAGACGCATATGGCAAACCACAAACTAGATAACTTTCTTCCTGTACCCTGTCTGTTGTTACCATTATCTATCTCAGGTTAAACTGTAAGGATCGATGATTGTTGACGAAGCACGAGCGTGGGCTGGGATGCCCATCACCATAAAGTTGACTGGTGGGTAAACTAGTTTAGCCCGTGCTCTCTCCAAAAGCGGCTGAGTAAACACGCAACACCGCCTCAGATCGCCTTAGGCGAGCTTGGAGTTAAGAATTGTCATAAAGCCCGTTCAAATAAGACTATGGTAGCGATAAAAATCATAAGAATCGAATGCTAGGCTTAGGAGTGCCTCGTCTTCGCACACGACCCTCGTTGCTGGACTTGATTGCCAACCAGAAAGCAGAGCCGTTGGGCGTTGTTGGTTCGAGGTCGTCATCACCGCCTGAGCTAGAAGGCCACCAGCAGCAGCTTGAACTGCCACCGCTCCCCGTGTCGCCCACTTCATCATCCTGCAGTGACAACGGCTCCTCATCTCCCCTCCCTCCCATCCACCGTTCCCCCTCTTCTTCCACCATCTCCATCCCCGATCCGCCCTCTCACAAGATGGCTCCCTCCGCTTCTGATGGAGAGAACCAACAAGGTTCCGTCTTCTCCGTATCCGGACCCGTTGTCGTGGCCGAGCATATGATCGGTTGTGCTATGTACGAGTTGGTAAGTTCTCCCCGCAGCTCCTCGTACCCCATACCAGTGCACGGTGGATTCGACAATCATCTATACACCCCGCCCTATCGCTTTCAAATCTGACAAGCTCTTAGTGTCGAGTCGGCCATGACATGCTTGTCGGAGAAGTCATTCGTATCGATGGAGATAAGGCCACCATTCAGGTCTACGAAGAAACCGGTACAGCACCACCCATATCCCGCTTCCCACCGCCCCCGATTTCTAACAATTCCTGCCTTCAGCTGGTTTGACGGTTGGCGATCCTGTCCTGCGCACTGGCAAGCCTCTATCGGTCGAGCTTGGCCCTGGTCTGATGGAAACAATCTACGACGGTATCCAGCGCCCCCTGAAAGATATCTCTGAGCAATCCGAGGGCATCTACATTCCCCGTGGTATCGCGGTCAACGCCCTGGACCGTAAGAAGAAATGGGACTTCAAGCCTGGAAAATACAAGGTCGGCGATCACATCACTGGCGGTGATATCTGGGGTACCGTTTTCGAGAACAGCTTGGTGAACGACCACAAAATCATTCTTCCTCCCCGCGCGAGGGGTACAATTACCCGGATCGCGGAGGCCGGCAGCTACACGGTTGATGAGAAACTGCTGGAAATCGAGTTCAATGGCGTGAAGACCGAGCACAGCATGATGCACACCTGGCCCGTCCGTGTGCCAAGACCAGTGAACGAGAAGCTGGCTTCTGACTCTCCGTTCATCGTTGGCCAGAGAGTCTTGGACTCTCTTTTCCCCAGTGTCCAGGGTGGTACCGTCTGCATTCCTGGTGCTTTCGGATGCGGAAAGACTGTCATCTCGCAGAGTGTGTCCAAATTCTCTAACAGTGATATCATCGTCTACGTGGGTTGTGGTGAGCGTGGTAACGAGATGGCTGAAGTCCTGATGGATTTCCCCGAGGTTTGTCATTCTGCCGCCCGCAAGGCCTCTTCGCTTGTTACTAACTTATGTTTTATCGTAGCTATCCATCGACATCGACGGCCGCAAAGAGCCCATCATGAAGCGTACTTGTCTGATCGCTAACACCTCTAACATGCCCGTCGCCGCCCGTGAAGCTTCTATCTACACCGGTATCACGATCGCTGAATACTTCCGTGACCAGGGAAAAAACGTAGCTATGATGGCAGATTCCAGTTCTCGTTGGGCTGAGGCTCTGCGTGAAATCTCCGGTCGTTTGGGAGAAATGCCTGCTGACCAGGGTTTCCCTGCTTATCTTGGTGCTAAGCTTGCCTCCTTCTATGAGCGTGCCGGACGGAGTATCGCTCTCGGAAGCCCCGAGAGAACCGGCAGTGTCAGTATTGTTGGTGCCGTCAGCCCTCCGGGTGGTGATTTCTCCGACCCTGTTACTAGCAGCACTCTTGGTATCGTCCAGGTCTTCTGGGGTCTGGACAAGAAGCTGGCTCAACGCAAGCACTTCCCTTCGATCAACACGTCGATCTCTTATAGCAAGTATACGACGGTTCTGGACCGGTATTATGAGAAGCACCACCCTGAGTTCCCTCGTCTGCGTGACCAGATTCGGGAGCTCCTGACCAAGTCGGAAGACTTGGACCAGGTGGTGCAGTTGGTCGGTAAGGCGGCTTTGGGTGACTCGGATAAGATCACCCTGGATGTGGCAGCCATGGTCAAGGATGATTTCCTGCAGCAGAACGGTTACAGTGACTACGATCAGTTCTGCCCACTCTGGAAGACTGAGTACATGATGAAGGCTTTCATGGGCTACCATGATGAGGCGCAGAAAGCTGTCGCCCAGGGTCAGAACTGGGCCAAGGTGCGCGACGCCACGAGTGATATTCAAACCTCACTGCGGAACATGAAGTTCGAAGTGCCAGACAATGAGGCGGAAGTGTCTGACAAGGTGAGTTTGATCCATCCACTTGAACATGAGTGCCTCTCTAATCCTCTCCTAGTATGAGAGAATTCTCCAAAGCATGTCGGAGCGCTTCGCTTCGGTGTCGGACGAGTAAAGCTATTAGCATGCCCGGCAGTGATCCGAGTTTCGTGTCGTCGTTTCTTTCCATTGAATTTCGAGAGCTTTGTAGCATAGCAAATTCCCATTATCTGTAGTTATTGACACTGGTTTTCTTCTGAAAGTTCTAGAATATGCTTGTTGCCCAACAGAGATAGATTTGAGCTCTTCAGTGTCAGTGGTCAGGCAGCATCATTGTTTAGCCCGTTTGGGTGGCTAGAAGCACATGACGCGGCCTGTTGTTGAATTCGTGGCTTTGCATTGTGACACTTTGGTAGAGTATACTGGATATGTACTGTGACAGTCAAGACCAATAATTGATCGTCAAGAGTCTGCAATTCATCGTCATCGAGAGCATCGTTCTTTATGCTCCTGGGGCTTTGTAGTTTGTTGTATGGATCTTTATCTCACTCATCGGGGGCTGAAGCGAAAGGCTACACTTGGCACTTCCCGCCGCCGCCGCCGCCGCCTTCGATCACTCCGACACTCTTCCCCTTCGACTTACCCCCCCAAACCCACCACCCCCCACAGCTGCTACGCCTCACAGGCATTCTTTGATAAATATCTTTCACACCCTTAGCTGCTACATACTAATAACATCGAGCTTCTATTCTCTTTTGGAGCGATTCTCTAATTACCATCGCCAGCCATGGCAAGCCCAACTGGCTACTCGTGCGCAACTCCCCCTCCCCTTTAGGCCCTCGTGCTCTCATATGATGATTTGAATGATTGACCCCGCTGGTCGCACAGGATAAATGTCAACGATCCCAGCTTGATCTCCCTGGTCAACAAGCTGCAGGATGTCTTCGCTACCGTCGGAGTAAGTGATTCCTGTTGCGTGGAGCTCTTCTGCGGCCCCTCCGCAAACTGACACCGCTTGTTCTCTTTAGGTTCACAATCCCATCGACCTGCCTCAAATCGCTGTCGTCGGGTCGCAGTCTAGCGGAAAGAGTTCAGTCTTGGAGAATATTGTTGGTCGCGATTTGTGAGTAACCCTTGCTGTCGCCCATCTCAACCCCTGTCGCATTAGCTGATTGTCCACGCTGCTTCCCCCTAGCCTCCCCCGTGGATCCGGAATTGTCACTCGCAGGCCCCTTATCTTGCAACTGATCAACAAGCCCGCTACCAATACACAAACCAATGGCGTAAAGGAAGAAGCGTTGGAAGGAACGGACAAGGAGGCGAACCTGGATGAATATGGCGAGTTCTTGCACATTCCCGGCCAAAAGTTCTACGACTTCAACAAGATCCGCGATGAGATCGTGCGCGAGACCGAACAGAAAGTTGGTCGCAACGCCGGTATCTCGCCCGCCCCGATCAACCTCCGCATCTACTCGCCGAATGTCCTAACCCTGACGCTGGTCGACTTGCCCGGTCTGACCAAGGTGCCCGTGGGTGACCAGCCTAAGGACATTGAGAAACAGATTCGGGACATGGTCATGAAGTATATCAGCAAGCCCAACGCTATCATTCTCGCTGTCACTTCCGCCAACCAGGATCTCGCCAACTCGGATGGTTTGAAATTGGCACGTGAGGTGGATCCTGAGGGTCAGCGTACTATCGGTGTTCTGACCAAGGTGGACCTGATGGACGAGGGTACCGATGTCGTGGATATTCTTGCGGGCAGGATTATTCCCTTGCGCTTGGGTTATGTGCCGGTGGTCAACCGTGGCCAGCGTGACATTGAGAACAAACGACCTATCGCTTATGCCCTGGAGAACGAGAAGAACTTCTTCGAGAATCACAAGGCCTATCGCAACAAGTCATCATACTGTGGAACGCCGTACCTCGCTAGGAAGTTGAATCTGGTGTGCATAGGTCCCCTAGGATAAACTGTGCGTGCGCTAATTATGTTACAGATCCTCATGATGCACATCAAGCAAACGCTTCCCGACATCAAGGCTCGCATTTCGTCCTCCCTCCAGAAATACTCCTCCGAACTTTCTCAGCTGGGTGACTCGATGCTCGGTAACAGCGCCAATATCGTGCTGAACATTATCACTGAATTCAGTAATGAGTACCGTACTGTGCTGGAGGGTAACAACACCGAGTTGTCTAGCATTGAATTGTCCGGCGGTGCCCGTATCAGCTTTGTGTTCCACGAGCTCTACTCCAACGGAGTGAAGGCAGTCGATCCCTTTGATCAGGTGAAAGACATTGACATCCGGACCATCCTTTACAACTCTTCTGGATCTTCACCGGCCCTCTTCGTTGGTACAACTGCTTTCGAACTGATCGTGAAACAGCAGATCAAGCGTCTGGAGGATCCTAGCTTGAAGTGTATCTCTCTGGTCTATGACGAACTCGTCCGTATTCTGGGTCAGCTTCTGAACAAGCAGCTCTTCCGGAGATATCCCATGCTCAAGGAGAAGTTCCATGCCGTGGTCATCGGATTCTTCAAGAAGTGTATGGAACCCACTAACAAGCTCGTCCGCGATCTCATCGCCATGGAGACGGTTTACATCAACACTGGGCATCCTGATTTCTTGAATGGACACCGCGTAAGTTGTGCACAAATTCCCATAACTTGAGCGTTGCTGACCAAACAGGCCATGGCCATCGTCAACGAACGTCAACTCGCAAGCAAGCCCACGCAAGTGGACCCCAAGACGGGCAAGCCTCTTCCTCCGCGGGCTAACAGCCCCTCTGTCGAGACTCCTACCGATACTGGTAGCTCCGGATTCTTTGGCAGCTTTTGGGCCTCGAAAAACAAGAAGAAGATGGCAGCTATGGAGCCGCCGCCGCCTACCTTGAAGGCCTCCGCAGCCCTGTCCGAGCGGGAGAGCAGCGAGGTTGAAGTTATCAGTAAGTGCTTGCTTATTGTCTCACACAGAACAGTTACTCACATCCAACAGAGCTGCTCATCACATCATACTTCAACATTGTTAAGCGCACTATGATTGACATGGTTCCCAAGGCGATTATGTACACCCTTGTTCAGTAAGTCTGAGTCCCAGCACGGCATGAAAGCTTTGCTAACACCGAATTAGATTCACCAAGGACGAGATGCAGCGCGAGCTTCTGGAGATGATGTACCGCAATAACGAGCTGGACGAGCTTCTGAAGGAGAGTGATTACACCATCCGTCGGCGCAAGGAGTGCCAGCAAATGGTGGAGAGCCTTTCTCGGGCCAGCGAGATCGTCAGCCAGGTGCAGTGATTTTCCAGAGTTGGATGATGGATTTTAGAATCTATACGCCCGGTTGCTTTCTGTTGTTCTGGTAGCCAGTCTCTCTTGGGGGGGCTTCAGTCCACGGAGTTGATCACGCCTTATGTTTATATTTTTTTCTGATGCGAGGGTTCCCGGCCATGGCATGGAGGAATGGTTGCCAAGATTTGACGAACTTGTATCGCCTAATGACTGCGGATGATTGCGGCTTGCTTAGAATTGAGATTTTTTGCAGATTAGCCGTTGCAATGTACAGTAACTCGGGGCATGTTTCCGTGATGTAGCTGGGCTTAGACTAAGCACGCTCGTCCTGTATGGGTAGCAGTTGTTGTGGCTGAGTGCAGCTGATAGCGGAAGGAAAAGTGTTCATTGAGTAATAAACAGCAGATAGTGAACTGACTTACAATGCTTTCCACTGCTTTCCTCTATAATGGAGTATCTGCAAGTTCAATACATCACAGCACACATTATCTCAGCAGGCTAAGACCCTTTCCGTGCACACGTGATGTGCCCGAAAGAAGGGGGGGAGAGAACAAAAGGGCCCGGCCAGCTCAAATGGATGTTGAAAGAGGATTAGCGTGATGCTAAGCGGAAACATGGCTGAATTCTTCCCCACCTCCCGGCATGTCTAGTGCAGCTCGCGTGGCCAATAGCCGCTCTGCCCGGGAATCTAAAATATATTAAGTGGTAGTACTCCGTACCTATGGTTATCACCACCACACCACCACAGAACTGTATGATTATATAGACCTGATGTAAGAATCACATCCATCAAAGATAGCAATAATCAAGTAATTATTATTTAGCCTACAGCCTGAAAGTGAATTCTTATCAGGTGGTGTGATAATGTGAAGTGAAATAAAACACGTGGGCAGAGATCGCAAGCCTGTCTCTGGCCTCTCTTATGCTTCCCTAGTTTCTCTCTCTCTCTATTCCTCTCTCTCCTCTCTATTCTTTTCCAACCCACCCTCTTTTCTCGAGTCTTTCTAGTCCTCGTCTCACCGCCCTCTCTCATTGAGTATCTCTTACTCCCTCTTCCTCTGGCATCTCCCACGAACTATCCGTCTTACATCATTCCAATCCTTTTCACCTCTCACTCGCTTCAACCTTCACCTCATATAGAATTCCACCTCACCTTACTTTGTCTCACCTCCTGCCGACTCTCCATCTTACACCTTCCAAAACTGTACCTCTCAATTGCTTCAACCTTCGCCTTATCTAAACTTCCACCTCACCACACCTCACTTTCACACTCGATCCTCGAGCCAAGTAAGCCAGTTCCTTTTATGACTTCACAACAGAATCTGACGTTCTCCAGAATGGGTCTTCCCTTCGATCCTGTTCGTGATTGCTTGCGCACCAATGATGTGGCGCACGGGGAGGACACGAATAAGCCTCAGATGTCCATTTCCGAGGACGCTGAGCGAGCTGCACAGCAGCCGGAGCAGGACGACTCCATGCGTCCCGAAGACCTGGCCCCTGTTGAAACAGCGACAAATCTCCCTGTTGAGCCACCGTTCTTGATCGCCTCCTCTGCCCACTCTGAGTACGAGCAGTATGAGGTGGGGACCGACACTGACAGCGACTCTTACTTCGACGCTGAGACTGGTCTCGAAGTTGACACTGATGTCAGCAATGACGCTGAAGTGGAAGTCAGTGAACTGGACATCACTGAAATGGTGACCGACACGGACAGTGAAGGTGAATCTGATGTCGAAGCCTTGGTCACTGATGATATCGAAGACAGTTTTGTTCTCGTTGAATGGCCTGAGGATGCTGTTTTTGAGGTGCTCGAGATATCTGTGCTGTCCACCGCAGACGTGCCGGCCTGTCTTTGTGGTTATCACGTCTGTGATCTATGCCGTCAAGGAAACCACTGAGCTACTCAGTTCTGTCAAGTCCACTATCAACTGGACCTGACTTTTATGTGCTTTATTGCATGGCATGATGGCATTTGCTCAGGAGTTCTCGGCGTTGGGCGAGGAGGTGGACGGCTGTTGGACCATGGCTCCTATCCTGTCATACGGAATGCATAGTCGTACAGTTGTTGGAGTGTTAGTCGGACTGGATGATTCTTTTGGTTCTCCGATTTCTGGTTTTGGTGTTTTCAGGTGGAACTTAAGTTGTATTTGTCGAATACCGTTGCTATGGATGGTTATGGCTCCTGCCATGTCGCGGGGTACGCATAGCCATTCATGCTTCTGAGCAGATTCGAGCATCTACTTGTTTTCCTTTTGCAGTCCTTCTGCTTTGATAACAATACAAAAACTTTTGACACTCATGAAAACTGTTACTTATTGGTGGGATCCAACTTGAGGCATTGGACGATATCTCTATTTTATTTGTTTCTTGATATTTACTAAGTTCTAGGAGCTACATACATAGGAAGTCAAATCCAACAAACTATACAAGTCAAAACTCCTGTCTAGGAGTAACCACCCCAACCAGCCCGAAACAAGAACAATCACTGCTTTCCCCCTGCCGAATGCCGATACGTATAATGCCACCCCTCGCGCTCCATATCCTCGCGGACCTTATAATTCTCCTCGGCGATGCGCACCAGCCCCAGATCCATATCCACCACCAACACCCCTTCCTCATCGCCCATCTGCCCCACCGGCCCCACGACCGGCAGCACCACCCGCGACAGCCCCATGAACTTATCGTCGGGGTCCTGACCGCGCGCCACATTGGTGAAGATGATCCCGCAGGTATTCTCGAAGCAGCGGGCCGTGAGCGTCGTCTCGAGGAACAGTTTCTCCGAGGCGGGGTTGTGTTTGAGCATGGCGGGCGAGGCGTCGTAGCGGCTCCCTATCTCAGAATATTAGCCAAGTCGGTCGAGATCATATCCCCTGCTGCAAGTACAGTGGAGTGCACAACGCAACAACCTTTCCCCCACTCCCTATTCAAAAAGAAGCATAAAGGGCGTACTCACAAAAAGTCGGCACAATCACCACCTCCACCCCCTGAGCAATCAACTCCCTGAACGCCTCCGGAAACGCCAGATCCCAACAAATGAGTAACCCCACCTTGCCCAGCGGGGTGTCGAAGGCCTCGTGCGGCTCCTCCCCGGATGACGTCAGATACTCGCGCTCGGGATGCCAGATGTTCTTCTTGCGATAGTGGCCGAGGATGCGCCCATCATGGGAGATAAAGTAGGCGGTGTTGTACAGCAGATAATCCTTCGTGTCTGCCGCGGCTTCTTCGGCTTTCGCTGCCCGCGGGGTGGATGTGGTAGCGGGCGCCAAATCGTGGCGCTCGACGATCGTGCCGGGGACGATGCAGATGTGGAGGGTCCGGGCGAGGGATTGGTATGCTTGCAGGTATTTGTGGGTGGAGGCGGCGTGGGTGAGCCAGAGGGGATCGGACGGGGCCCAGCCATTCAAGTGGTATCTATTGTCATGGTTAGTTGGTCTTGAGTTGGGCTTCAGTTCGGGGGGTGGGGGAAGTCCCGTACTCTGGGAGAACGGCGAGCTCGGCACCCTGTGCTGCGGCTTCGCGAATATAATCACATGCTTTGCGGTGGTTCTCCTCGATGGCCAGGTCCTGGTTGTTTGGTTAGTGGCTTGCGGTGTGATGCTTATTCTCTGCGGCCTCTTGGATCGATTCACGTGACCGATATACGGAGGTAAGAGGATGACGTACTTGGATGTTCCATTGGATGACGGCTACGCGGTGGATGGGTGCCATTGTAGACTGATGAGGGTGTGTGCTTGGGAGTACGGCGAGGATTGCAGAAACTTGTACGGAGGCAAATGCGACAGAAAGGAGACCATCTAACAGTGGTTATGAGGTGCCGTGTGGACACTGAACAGTGGAGTCGTCGAGTTCCCCGCGTTGGAGTCACTCCGATAAGAGCGGGGTGCGTTTATGTAACTCTTTCTTTGCTCAACAACGCTCTTTACACAACATGATAAGACGTGAATTCACCATGTTGTTACCCGAATTGTGCAATGATATGACTACCATGCTCTTGTATGCTTCTCATGTGGCTAGGAACATTGAGACAAGGAAGAAATACCCGCCCGCCAGGTCATAAACTAATCCATTCAGCAGGAGAATCTCGTGAACTCCGTCTATACGGACGCGCAACCACCCCCAGCATCCAACCGCCCCCCTGTTGAGATTATAGATCTTCTTACCGTCAGCTCTCCAAAAATCGAGACCTTTGAAGCTGCCATTAGCCAAGTGACATGAGCCCACAAGAGGACTGAGTTGCACCTCCCCGCGATGATCAAGCAGCTCAAGCAATGGCTGGTCGATCAGCGGCTGAATGTTATACACGGTTCGACCTGGTGCAAGCGCAGGGTCGCGAAGGTCAAGCAAGAGATTTTCCCACTCAGACACGGACAGCTCCCTGCCAAGGAGAATGCCGTCTCCTCGACCGCTCCGGACCGGCTTGATGATATACTTGTCCTCGTTTATCAGAGCCCGACTTTGCTTATCGATTAAGTCGCTCAGCTGCGGAAACCCCGAATTGATAGTAGGCACAACGCCATGCCGAAGGACTGCTGCTTGCTCCACAGTAAGGACGTGCTTGCTGACAAGCTTGTCTAGCTCCTGGCGGAGCACCCCCAAAATCCGCTTGCCGTGGACGAGAAGAAAACTTCTCAAACCATAGACACAGTGCAATGCGAGGTGTCGCAGAATGTCCGTCGAGACACTGCGCAGCTCATGCTGGAACAGATGCAGTCCGATTTGAGATACACGGTCCAGGCGCTCACCTTCTGTGCTGACCATGTCGGGACAGTCCCGGTCGGAAAGACAGTAAAGGCCATACCCAGTTTTCGAGTCGTTGTTCTTGGCCAGCCGAAGGTGATGGCTTGCTTAGCATCGCCCTGACTCGTCCGCTTGTTCGGCAAAAGAGACAAACATTTCAATGTATGGTGTTGAATAATGGTCGCGCACGATGTATATTGGATACTTAGAATTGGAAAGATCGAGCTGACCCTTGAGGAACTGGCCATAGTCGGATACGCAAAATTGGCGACAAGACACAGGATCTGCCGGGCTTCTTGTTGAAGGCAAACAGAGCTGATGAATGCCGTGTTGAGTGATCATCCTTACTCAGTTGCTGAGAGGTGCTATCATGGGAGAATTCACGAGCATCCAACCTGACATCTGGCCCATTCATGTAGCGCGGAAAAATCTCTTTCTTGCAGCATCGTCCCGAGTCGAGCAGTGCCTGGACTGCCATTGCTCCTCCCCCTCTCAAGCAGCTCACATGTTGGTCGCGCCGCGCACTCTCCCGAACGCCAGCGACTGAACCGCCAGCATTCGAATCCTCGGCGGAAGAGTTACAAAAGTATTGATTTGTTGTAGCAGCAATTGGTTTGAATGATGTGCAGTTTTGCCTCATCGTCTCATCTGGCTTTCCTTCGTTGCTTGAATCGGCGCAGAGGGCTCGATAACGTGCTGGCAACATCCATTCCGTCGAAGTCCAGTCTCACAAAGTCACAGACTGATTGAAACTGATCAAAGTACTTTCGATTGCGAATCGGCGCTCTGATTCCAAGAACAGTCGTCAGCTTTGTGAGAGATGTATATTTCCATCTACTCCGAGTCTGCTGAAGAATGTAACCTGGGTTGAGCGACCGGTCGCAACGAAGTTGTAGTACACGGAGAGTCTCACAAGACCTAACCGTGTGTGATTATCACGAGACCGAGTCAAAGAGTCGGACTGAAGAATCTCGAGGTAACCAAGACATGAAGAAACTACAGTAGAAACTAATAGAGCAGTGGTTATCGCGATAACGAAAAAGAAGCAGTCGGACATCATTGATACTTGATAGGATGGATGCTTTTGATTCTCAGGAACTGGCACCGGTGGATCCACCCAGCAAAGGAAAAAACAAGGCCTCGACCAATGCCAAGCAATGAGGCCATGTGCGCACTTGCCGGAATCTGTCTACATGATTTCCACCCGCACGTCATTCTTTCTCCCCTATAATTCACCGTATTTTGTCTCCCTGGCAGTTTTAGACACCACGAGACTCAACCTTACCAACATACCAGATCATTTTGTAGTTATGGCATATCTTACAGCAGAGGAGCTTGTGAAGCATCCAGCATATCCCACAACTGAGTGGGAGCTTACCCCCACAAAATCAGGGACACAGGCAGTGGCCCAGACCCGCCGCGGAGGGCCGATCAATCTGCACTATGAAATTCACGGCACTGGCCCCGTGAAGCTCGTCGTAAGTCTCGAGTGTGTGACTTCTGATCTACCTGGGGCAATGGTGGCACTGACACAGACCATATAGTGGATTATGGGCCTCAACGGGACATTGAAGGACTGGCGACGCCAGACCAGATACTTTGGGCACACGCATGGGTCGCGATACACCTGTCTGGTGTTTGACAATCGCGGCGTCGGTCGCTCAGACAAGCCGGTCTGCTTCTACTCGACCTCGGAGATGGCCCAGGACGTGGTCGACCTGGTCCACGCCTTGAAATGGATCGACCTGTCCAGCCCGGCCGAGCGATCCATCCATGTTATTGGCGCCAGCATGGGCGGCATGATTGCCCAGGAGGTTGCGATGCTCATTCCCGACCGTCTAGCGAGTCTGACACTCAGCTGTACGGCGCCACGGCTGGTGCGGACAGGCCCGTTCGTGGAGAACCTGCGGCAGCGGGCGAACATGTTCATCCCTTGCCACATCGATGTGGAGCTGGAGCGGCTGGCAAAGAGCATTTTTGCCGACGAGTTTCTTGCGGAGCCCGACACTGAATACGAGGACCCGGCGAAGAACTTCCCAACCAAGCGCGATCGCTTCGCCGCGGGAGTCCTCCACAAGCGAGCCAACACGGACGAGTACACCAAGAAGGGGTTCATGCTGCAGATTGTCGCTTGCTATTTCCATCACAAGTCGGCGGCACAGCTGAAGACGCTGGGCGACCGCGTGGGCAGAGACCGCATCGCCGTGACGCATGGCACCAAGGACATGATGTTGACGTTTCGGCACGGGGAGATCTTGCGCCAGGAGATCGGCGACGGGATCACCTGGAAGGTGTTTGAGGGGAGTGGCCACATGCTGGGGTGGGAGCGAGAGAATGAGCTACACGCGTTGATCGAGGAGTTGGTGAACCGGTGCAATTAGAAGATCATGATGAGCATTTGAAGCGATACACGAGATGGCAATTTATTTTCTGCATGACTGACAACACGACCGTACTACCGTACATTTAACGATGACCGCCAAATGCTGCCAAGGTAGCGGACGCAGTAGACAGGTCGCAGTGACGGATGGCGACTTTTCTCGTAACTATGCTGGAGACTTAAGTTAGCTGAAACCCTCGTGACCAGCCACAATCAGTCAGCTGCTGCTCATCGAGGTCACTGCATCTCATCTCATGCCTGTCCGTCCAAACAAACCGACTACATTACAAAACAATCTCCCTCTCATCCATCACTCCTCCGTCACTTTACACTTCCAGACCCTCAAAGAAAACCCGCACATCCTATATACTATACAAACACCGCAACCATGTCCCAACATCCCAAAGACGACAGCTACCAGCCAGCCACGCCCAGCGACGCGCGCTCCCCATGCCCCGTCCTCAACAGCCTGGCCAACCACGGCCGCCTTCCGCACGATGGCCGCAACATCACCGCCCCGCAACTCCGCTCCGCCCTAGGCTCGATCGGCCTGGGCGCCGACGTCTCCGCCCTCCTTGTCTGGCGTGCCTTCACCATCCACAGCGACGACTCGGAATTCGGGCCCCACGGCTCGATCGGTGGCCTCCGCGACGCTTCCGACGTCAACGCCGCGGGTGAACCCGTCCTCCACCTCGACAAAGTCGGCCGCCCACACGCCATCGAGCACGACGTCTCGGTCACACGGCAGGACCGAGCTCTCGGCAACCCCATCGCCCTTGACACCGCCCTCTACGAGCAGTTCATCGGGTTTGCGCGGCAGTTTGGCGTGAAGGAGCTCGGCAGCTACCGGAAGGTGCGCTACGCCGAGTCGCAGAAGGCGAATCCCGTCTTGAAGTTCGGACGGCGCGAGCATTACATTGCGTGTGGGGAGCTGGCGGTGCTGTGGTCGCTGTTTAGCGAGGGAAAGGGGAAAGGGATCCCGAAGAAGTATCTGGAGGCATTGTTTGGCGAGGAGAGGTTGCCGTTGGAGGAAGGATGGAGGCCGAGGAAATGGGTGAAGGCGTATTTGCCAGAGGCCGGGGCGTTGATCCTGGCGATTTCAAGGTACGCTTGGCCTTTTTAGGGATGTGTATCTGGTGGGTGTGATGGGTGGGGGATGAGGTGAGACCTAGTGGCGAGGGCGATGTGTTTTGATCTCATTCGTAAAGATGCGTGGATTACTGATTGCTGGATGTGTACGGAGTATGCTGCATACTTATCTTCGGTCTGGTCCAGGGTCCAGCTCGTGGCAAGTCCAGCCGACCCGTGCGGGTTTGGACTGAGGGCTCTTATCTGCTGGCTGTATGTGGTCAGCTTGTTCAATGCAGGATACGATGATTCGGCCCGAGTGGTGGAGAAGTTCGTGTTGCTGGTTCAGAGGAGTTGGGTCTGCGGCGTTCTCGATCAGCTTGGCAAACGCTTGTCTTGTTTTCTGTGTGGTCTAAGCTTTGATTCTGATTTGATAGCGATGTATATGTCTGTTTCTGCATCAGAAGCTGGTGCTTCTGGTCAATTGAAGCATCTTAGCGTTTCACTGAATTCCTGGGCAGATTCTACTGATCGGATGACTTGTTCGTACTGTATTCGAAGGCTGGAAATATTCAGCGATGAATGATTGTAGATATGCTACCAAACCCAGTATTATCTTCTACCAGAACGCTGGGACTAGCTCGTGTCATGCCTGAGAATTCAGGTTAGATAGCTCAAGTCTATTCCTGGAGATGACAATGCGAAACGATGCTTGGCCTCATGCAACCACAGCTCATGGGCTGAGAACAGCAGCCCGCATCCACCCGAACGATATATAGATCACATCGATACTGCATGAGAGACCCTCCGACTTCTCTGACCCCATAGGCTGACCCTGCCACAGAGCTGTTCTATAAAAAGCATCTCACTCTGCTTTCACTCCTAGTCCACTACAAGTGAGACAGCACTTGACCGGTAAAGTGTCGAATAACCGACCTAACACAAACCTCGACTCCGACCACCAAAACATCGACACTGGACAGCAGCAGCCATCGCCATCCAGAAATACCACCGTTCCAGTTCAATCAAAACTGAAAAGGGTATATATGACCTATTTCCTTCCCCCTCCCCACCCCCCGGGGGAAATTGCGCTGGATACAACCACCTCGTATCCAAGCCCTTCCCAGCTCGTCTGTACGCTCATTCACGCTACACCTTCCTCTCACATACACACAGCACAACACAGCTACTATAAATACCACCCCCACAAACGGTAGGTACCCTACCAATAGGTACATTACATGCATCATCTCTGACAATGGCCACAAAAGCCCCCATCCACCTATCCTGACCTCTCTCCACTCCCATCCATACCAAGTTACCAACAGAATATCTCCGACAATACGGACTAACGCAGGAACGCCCGTCAAGCTCGAGATGATCATCAGGGGCATCTTTGCGGGTTGTCCAGTTGCCTGTTGCCACCGCATGGGAGTACGCGCGTCGAGTTGCGATCACTGCCGAGTAGAACTCTGGGAGTGGAATTACCCCTGCAGGATGCATGAGATAGGTCCTTATATTTGTACTTTGTATGGTGTAGGGTAGGTTCGGTGGGAGAAGCTTGTTAAAACTTAATTGCGTTGGTTCTGAGAATTGGGTTGATGGCTTGATGATGGTTATGTGGATAGGATGTGTATAGTAGGTACCTATGTTACGAAAGAAGCTGTGTGATGGATGTGGTAAGCAGGTGGTTGACTACAGATGCAGTGCGTTAACAGTAGATGCAGGGGTAGTGGTTGGGTATCTGGCCATAGTCACTACAGCTAGACAGATACAGTTTGAAATTGTGCTGCTCAGGTAACTATGGTATAGGACTCCATAATACCTAAACATCTATAGTTAGAATCAACCTACCTACCGCTTAACTGTCCTCAAAACAGCTTATTACGGGTTACACCGTATAACTAGTTAAGTTAACAAAGGAGTACACTTTATGACTAAGTCTCTGTTCCTTGAGTCAAATGCAGTTCATTTACCCAGTCTCCAGTCCAGCTCTAGTAAGTCATTCCGTCATCGCACCGAATAAACATCAATAAAATCCGCCGATCGATCCCACCAGACACCAACTACACTCCCTCCTTGCTCCTAAGCGGAGAAGCATCGCATCCAGAGCGTTCGGAAAATAATGCTCTTGCCAACGCAGTTCCCCACCCCACGCTGACAAGTCAGAGCAAGGACTCCGTACTAAGCGAGCGAGGCTCCCCTCGCAGACGTCATTTACATGTGGATGGGCAAACTTGTCAGTGCTCACGAAGTTACGCCATACGATGCTCACCGCATCACGATCAGGCTGACAGCACCTCACAGCAACTACCTAAGGTACGGAGTAGTGTATGATCACAAGGTCCGGTCCACTGCTCTCGGAGATCCTGAGTCTGTGCCCTAAGCATCGCGAATACTCCCCGCATCAGGAGTTGGACTACGGTTAGTCACGACATCCTTAGCGCAGGTCGCACCATCACCTGGTCGACTCCAGCAGACAAGAAATTCTCGGTGCTGCCTCGTGAGATGATCATGGTATCACTACCTAGTTGCAATCCCGCCTCTCTGGGCAGGTCCTCAGCGACGGCTTGAAACCGAGAGTTTATTTGTTTGTCTGTTCTGGAATGAGGGGGAAAAGGGATGGATCCACGCTTACATAAGAGGGGATGTGAGCAGGCTGTGCAACAACACCCAATAACCCCTTGATCGCTCTTAACTTCCAACAGAAGAAATGCAGAAGTACCCAAGAGGTCATGACCTGGATGCAAGGGTTTGTCAATGATTGCTGATGGCCGTTTTGTTCGAACTCGCAAGGCTATCCGATGTCAGGAACAGGGCTGTGAATATGAGGGCTTCGGAGAATCCCCCCCCCTACAGTACGAAGTACATCCTGTATTTACAGTACAGTCAATCACAAAGCTCCCATCATACTCCGTGGGTATCCCGCAATCAGCAGATCTGGAGATCAATTTCATTTCCCAATCACGACATCCCGAAGCCGATGGTAACAAGGACAAGACCTCCAACCGCGACGGCTCGACTCCATTTGGGCGGGTCTGCCCCGATATTAATGATCGACCGATGGCTTCCCCAAAGCCCGTAGCAAAAGGCGCGTACTACTGTGGAAGGCTCTGGGGGGGTGGGAGTGGGGGGGGGGGAACCAGAAAAGACACTAAATTCGACCACAGTGCACTAAACAGCCCGTCATCGGTATCTATGCATCCAATCATCCTCGACATCAACTGTCGCGCGCGCATGGCTTGACACGTATCTACGGCACTGCCGGGGTGTCAACACGTCAAGGCAGACCAGCCAAAGTGGGGAGAGAAAGGGGAAGAAAGGAAGAAAGGGAAATAAGTTACCAGGGGACGAGGAAGAAGTAACTAATGTAACTAATGCAATAAGAACAAACACAACAGGTACCTGGTGAGCAGTATCCGACCGGGATTCCTCCAAATTGTCTTCTATACTTTCGTTTTCCACAACTCCCTTCTCTCAGGGGAAAAAAAGCATCATGCGAGCCCGCAAAGAACTCTGCGAAAGGGTAAAGGAGGGCCACCCGATCAATCAGCTGCCTAACTCTATTAACCTAATTCTTGTGTAGCTTTCCTTTCGCTTAACCTTTTTCCTGTGCTATTTCTTATTTCAATAGTTTATGCAGAGTCAAAATTCCCGGAGACTTTCTTCCAATTCTAGGGGGGAACAGGAGTATGAGCCTTGCCAGCAGCCACTGTTGTTATCTCCGACAACCCTGATTATCATCCTGATGTGAGATTCAAGTCCAAGTCCAAGCCAAGTCCAAGCCAAGTCAAGTTCTGACCAGCCAGCCTACTATGACCCGCTTTACAGCATGTAATCCGCTCCATAATCCGAGTGATCCACCAGACTACGGTAGCTAACGCTAGTCCATAGGCCCTTGGGGGCTTTGCTAAAGTTAACACTATTCGGACCAGGTATGATTGGTCTCGGCCTGTGCAGCAAGGGAGTCGACTGTGAATCATTTTGCCCTGGACGGAGGAGCTTAGGGCGAGAATGACGGAGAGGTCAATGCATGCGTAAGCTCAGCTGCCATGCCAATTTCTGCAGGAAACAAGATGACCAGAAATGGGTCTTCGGATCAAGAAAAATGAAATCCAAATAATAAAATCAACACAAAAGTAAAATGGTCGGAAGGGTGACATCGCCAAAGGCATGCATGCATGCATGCTGAGCCGAGTCTCCCAATAGTACTTAAAGAGGGCTATCTGCTCGACCTGATGATAAGAAATCTTGAACGGTAGGATTGAGCAGGCCTGTACCTTGTTTCTTTTGTCGTCTTTCTCGTGATTGATTCCCTCCTGGCCGCATCATGCTTCCCTACGTTGTCCTTCTGCTGTTCGCAGCCCTGGTGAACGCCTATTCCGACCCAGGGGCCTGCTCCGGGTCTTGCTGGGCTCACGATCCCAACGTCATCCGCCGCAAGACCGATGGCAAGTTCTTTCGCTTTTCCACCGGTCTGGGGATCTTGATCTCGTCCGCCAGCGCCATCACAGGTCCGTGGACGGATCTGGGGTACGTGCTGCCCAATGGCTCGTCGGTGACGGTGGGGAATGCATCCAATCTCTGGGTAAGACATTCAACATACCTCCACACCTTTTTTGTTCCTCCCGCGCAGCCCTAAGTTCCAACAACATTCCTGACCAAGGCAACCAGGCCCCGGACGTACACTACGATAGTGGCACCTACTATCTGTACTATGCCAGTTCGACCCTGGGCAGCCAGAGCTCGACGATCGGAGTTGCAACCTCGACGACGCTGGAGGCCGGCTCGTGGACGGACCACGGCACCATTGGGCTGACCTCCTCGTCGGCCGACCCGTACAACGCGATCGATGCCAACTGGATCTCCATCGGCGGCGTGGGCTACCTGCAATGGGGCTCGTACTGGCATGGCCTGTACCAGGCGCCCATGACCAGCTCGCTGCAGATCAGCTCCTCCACCCCGACCAACCTGGCGTACAATGCCTCGGGGAACCATGCCATTGAGGCGAGCTACCTGTTCGAGTACGGCGGGTACTACTACCTGACCTTCTCGTCGGGACAGGCGCAGGGCTACACCAGTGGGCTACCCGCGCAGGGGATGGAGTACCGGGTGGTCGTGTGCCGTTCGAAGACCGGGACTGGCAGTTTTGTATGTTCCAAGTTGCCTTGCCTCGAGATCTTGCCCTCGTGGCTGCTGCATGAATCAAGTGCTAACATACCCACCCTCAATAGGTCGACAAGAACGGTGTCGCATGCACCAACAGCGGTGGTACCACCGTTCTAGCAAGTCATGACTACGTTTATGGCCCCGGCGGACAGTAAGTTTTCCCCCCTAAGCTCCGATCCAAAGCCTATTATTCCCCACAAGAACCCCACATCCACCCATCCATCCATGACTTCAAGGTTACATACTACATCCTCTACTAAATGCTGAGTACTGACTTACCCTCTAAGGGGCATCATCAACACCACCAACCACGGCATCGTCCTCTACTACCACTACGCCAACCCCAACATCGGCCTCGACACCTCGCAATACCAGTTCGGATGGAACACCCTGACCTGGGTGAACGGGTGGCCGACGGTTGCCTAGTATGACTTTGACTACTTCAGTATTCTACTCAGTTTATCTTACGGAGTCGAGCTATGCCCCTTACCCAATCTTTCTTTTTATTTGTTTCCAATGTCATTAATGCAATCCCCAAGAATTGCGCAAAAGATTGGGTGGATCTGCGATGTGGCAAACCAATGCGATCGGATCAACAAACAAACCACCAACCTGGAACCTTAGCTAGGCTGAGTCAGGTAACGCCTGCCTGATCGGGTAATTCATCGTCATGACTCGGGACCTCGTTTGGTTGTCTTGGAGATCCGGTGAATTGAATCGCAGGCGTGATACCTTGGGAACGCCCTTGTCAGGGGGGGGAGTGAATTGGGTTGCTATTTTCACATTTGCATATATTTCTCGCGTGAATTACATACTAGTCGTGGGTAGCGTTGGGCGGGATACGATTTTTGCATATACTACTACATATTAAATACTTGCCTGACTTCTACCTTGATCAATAAGTTACTACTATATATAAGTTAATGAATTGGTTCTGAGAAATTGCATTGATTCACTATCGAAAACTCCTAATGGTGAAAAGTAAGTCAAGTATTCATGTTCCTGGTATTCGACTCTCCCTGGAATAATACTAGTGTGTAAAACCGAATTGAAATTGCAACGAACAGACAAAAACAATCCTTTCCCTCTATCCTTCATCCTACAGGTGTACTACTGTACATACAACGTCATTGCAACAAAAACCCAATGCTACTAATTTCCGGGAAATTCCAACTGACGTACTGTATGTACCTTTCCGTCCCTAGCCGCTCCGTACCTGGCTGAGCCTGCTCCTGAAAATCCGAAATGTTGGTATGTATGCCGCGGCCCGCGTCGCGGTATGCAGCAAACACAAATAACAGAAATACTCACTCACCGTCAGCATAGTTGTCCTGGTCTCTCCTTTTGGCAAGCGCAATCCCCTGTCATGGGTTTGTTGCAGATAGCAATGCAATTGTGTCTAGACCACTCTGGACAGGACACCTCTGGGGTGATTCGGTCCTGGCTCTGGAGGCGTAGTGCCATTTTTCATAGAATGGGATGAGGCAGGTCTCATTGGGGAAAGGCAGTAGATAGAGTCTGGTCTGGATTATAGGATTCGGGCTTTATTCGAGCAATCGTAAAGGATGGGGCTAGATAGAGCACTCGAATACTCGATCATAGTACTCCGTAGGTAATCAGTACCTCGCTCTATAAGTATCGAGGGGACTTAGTATGATTCATGACTTGGCATATACCACAGTAGATGACTGTTCTATTGGCGAACGGGCGGTACGGGTGTGGTCCGCCCTTTTCATCCTACGGAGATAGTCGAGCTAGCAGTTCAACTTAATGTGAAGTTCAGTCTGGTACCTTCCCCTGTCTTTTTGGTGCGACGAGCGGTCAAAACGGAGGGGTAGCTGCAAGGGCCAGAGTAGGGGGTTGAGCGTTGAGAGGTCAGATTTGGGTAGCGGCTACAGAAGCCCTGAGGGAATGTACTGTACATGGACAGCAACGGCCTACCGATAGTGCTATTTATCTGTTATTGAACAGGGTTCCTGCAGAAATCGAACAGCTTTCCCTTGGCGCTTCAAGCTGAACAATCTCAATAGGTAGGTATAATCTAGGAGAATGGGAGTGAGGTATTAGGTAAGGTACTCGTGGCCGTTTTGATAGAACAGGTGATTAGGATACAGTCTCCGGAGTTTGGCCGCATGGTGAGGTGAGCAGGCAAAGGTTTGCTTGGAGGCTTCGTTTAAACCTTAGAGACGACTGCATGGCATCTCACACACGAATGAACTCGACGCAAGTCCGTCGGTGCTTGTAGCTGTAACCCTACGAAATGCTGATATCACTTTCACTGTCAACTAGGGTCTACTCTACAAGTGCTACAACAAGGTGCGGAGACTCCAGGGCTGGCGCTGCGGACACGAACCACAATCAGCAATTGCATGACCGTGTGATGCCCTCATGCTGAACCCGACATACAGACATTATGAGACTCCGCTCTGCTGAGGTCTTTCGTTTCTGTGCCGTAAGCGTGACGGCGGACTGAGACTTGCATACCGTAGACTCGACAGGTAATAATCATGAGCAAACCCTCAGAAACAGACTCCGTCTTACCCCGAGGGCACGTCAGAGATCCTTTCCTGACTAGATTGATAGTTATAAGGTTGAGTACAAGTCTACTTTGATGACTTCTCAAAATCACAGTCGGAAGTTTTAGTCTGCCCGTTGATGCTAGCTAGCGAGACATGTGATTTTCAACACTCAACGCGGAACGTCAGATGGAACGGAGTGTCCGTTAGTCCTGGTGTTGCCGTACTTCTGCAGGTGATTGAAGCTATATTCCTATTAGTCAAAGCAGGTGTCATCCCGGTCATACTAAAGCCAATCGAGTCAAGTTGATCGGCTCTACCCGGCCCCAGCTCTAGTATAGGCTAACACACAACATCTCTCTCGCACCGACTTGATACTTCTGTCTAGTTCGGTATCTGTAAAATAGAGCAATCAGAGCTTCTCATATATACGAAGAGATCAATTTTGGGTTCCTCTGTAGAAGTACTATAAGTAGATGAAAAGTGCTAGGCCTGACAACAGTTCGATCACACTGCGCCTTGTTCGAGTACAGATTCCGATACTAGATGACACTCTAATTTCTCTGGAACTGCAATAAACTTGGACATGAATCCTACTCCATTGCTTCTAATCCCATTCCCAGCTACTCTCGCCCACCGTCGATCTCACTCCCCCTCCTCCCCCTTCACCAACCCAGCCACGACCTCCTCCAACTCCACCCTCCCCCTCATCAGCCGCACCTCTTCCTTCTTCCCCAAATCATTATGCATCACACCCCCTGGCAGGAAACTCAGCGTCATCTCCACAAACGGCCCCACCGCTGCCTCCGGCAAGAACCCCGCAAAGTACTCCGTCAGATTCTCCTTCTCCACAGGCCTCAACTCCACCGCACGACCCAGTACCTTCTCGAACGCCCGCCGCACATCCACCGACGCATACTCCCGGGGACCGTGCAGCTCAATCACATACGGCTTAGACTCTTTCCTCTCGGTTGACAGAATACACTCTGCGCTCTTGACTCCGATATCCTCAACTGCAACCTGTCGGGCAAATTTAGCGATTGCCTATTACCCCCTCCGCCCAGGACCCCAAGCATCTTAAGCACAGCAACTCAAAGAAAGGGAGGTAACACACCATCGGCACCGCGAAATCCACCGGCGTGATCACCGTCTCCAGATACGGCGTCTCCTTTTGCCGGACAGTTGGCAGACTGGTCGCCCAATTCTCCATGAAATACGCACAGCGTATGATGACAACCTCGCATGCTGCGTCGCGGAGGATTTCTTCGGAGATGTGGTTTGTCATGATCTCGCCCTGCCGGCTCGTAGGCTCATCAGTCATTTGGGCTGTCGGTCAAAAATATCTGAAAGCATTCTCCGCTTGAACCCAGGTAGAGGGGATGTTCCATTGAAGCAGAAACCACCCCCCACCCCCCACCCCCCGGGCTCCAACCTAGACTGATGCAATCAATTCCAAACAAAAAAAGCATGAACATACCGTTCCCCCTTCCAACTCCGCCCCCATACTCGACAACAACACCAACCGCTTTACGGTCCCCGAGCGCTGGATTGCAAGCCGGATATTCGTGGACGCGGTCGTCGCCCACTCAGTCAATTGACCCCCATCGAAGCAGGGCGGGAGAACAAAAAAAACGGTGTCGAAGCCATGGAAGTTCAGAGTGGCGGGAACGGTGAGGTCGCCGCGGTAGGGCTCGAAGATGGAATCATCCTTATCCTGGAACTCCGCCGGGATGCGGTCGAGATTGCGGTAGAGGCCACGGATCTGGATTGGTGTGTTTGGGTTGTTGGGGCTGCGCAGGAGGGCTTGGATAGTGGCGCGGGAGGTTTTGGGGGAGGCGGGGACGATTAGGATGCGCATTTTGTCACTGGTAGATAATTGATTTGGGTGGGTTGGAGAGGGAATTGGGAGGTGAGTCCTTGGAGGTAAGGGCTATTCCATTATATAATAATTTTGTAACTGGACTCCGTACGTGGAGGTGAATGATGACGCTGATGCATGGAGTTCATTGTTCCGGGGTTGGACACGAGTTGCGGGGATATTTTGGTGTTATTGGGTACCATGCAATGGAGTGAATGTGAAATTTGATTGAGTTCCGTGCCCGGCCCGGCAGCAACTTTATCGAGATCTCGACTTGAAGCATCTATACAAACCCCTAGGAGTGTGCGTGGTTCTATAGATTCAGACGTGTGCTCGTTTTAGCCGAAGAAAAGGATGTTCCGCCAGTACACCAACCTTTTTCCTACAACCCTGATGCCGAACAAGCATCACCCAAACCAGATCCAAGAACGCCTCCCTCTCTTCCCCCATTAGAAAGGGGGCCGTATCGTCAAATTTATGGCTGTGAATCAAATCCTCGTAGAGAAAGCGACCTTAGCATATTACGTCAGTTGTAGGTCATTTTATTATCATAGAGATACGGCAACTCAGTGAATACCATTATCATCGAAAAAAAAGCCCACAGAAATACCCCTCCATCGTCCCCCAGACTTTGTCGTCTTCTCGGGTGACAGGTACTTGCCACGATTCACTCTCGCGTGAATTGATACCTTTGTATGGTCCCTGGCGGCGGCGGACCGAATAAGGCAATCATCTCGGCGAGATCTCGTTTCGCATCGTAGCCACCTCATTCATCGTGGATATTCTAGAATAAGAATAACTCTTTACCGTCGATCATGTCCCACAATCATCCAGACGTTGGCAGAGAGGAGATGTGCTCTTCAATTGTGCGCTCATGGCCAGCGGACTTCGCTTGCTTGCCGGTGCTTTTCAGTGCTACGACGCTCTCTGGCGCTTCGATATGCCGGCATAGGTATTAGAGGGACAGAATGCTTTGGCTCGGCTTCTAGGTACGCGCAACCCACACTGTTGAGGAGACGCCTCATGCAGCCTTGACTAGCGCTTGATAGCAATCGGCAAGGACCCCTCCAGGCTTCGCTGGATAGAACGCCTGATAATTGTATACCAGTACTGGCGAGATCTCTTCGTCAACGAGGATGCCGACCGGTAGATGGCATGGGGAAGGGTTTCTTGCAAAGCAAGGCTGACAGATGGCCTAATAACCATGGCAAGATTCACTACAGGAACTGTGATACTCATAGTTGAAGATGACTACTACGGGCTTGAGCATGGAACTGAGATGGATCACGTGGTCGATACTCGGCACTGCCTAGTACCTACTCTAAAGAGACCGACATCATCCAGTAGCTCAATGGCACCAACCATGTACTTCTCTACTCAGTTCCATACATGACACTGGATGATTCTGTTCACAGAGAAGGAGCTACTATACTTCCAACCCGAGTCCGACTACATATTATCCAACTCTCCATGTATACACAATACTCCACCTACCCCAACACTAACCCAACCCAGCCTAGTCCCACCCGCAATCACGCCATCGCCCACGTGACTGACTCGTATGCTGACTAACCGCCGTCATCGGCCCTCGGGGCAGCCCTCACTCCAGCTCCTTCTGTTCTTGTGTATCCATCAAACCAACAATACAATCGCTCACATCCCCAGGGAATAAACGCAATGTTCCGCCAGAGCATCCGCCGTTTCGGCACGACTGCCCTGCGCGCCGCAGAGGCGTCGGGCGCCGGAGCCTACAACGTCCGCGTCTCGCAAGCCCAGGGTTCCGTCAATGGATTAACGGAGGGTAAGCCATATACATACACACACCTATATACCCAAGACCCGACCTCCCCATCCAGCCCACACTAACCCTTTTTATTTTGCCTCGAACGCCACAGCGATCGGCAACACGCCCCTCATCCGGCTCAAACGCCTTTCCGAGCAAACCGGCTGCAACATCCTCGGCAAAGCGGAATTCCAGAACCCGGGGGGCAGCGTGAAGGACCGGGCGGCGCTCTTCGTGGTGGAAGACGCGGAGCGGCGGGGGCTGCTCCGCCCGGGCGGAACCGTCGTGGAAGGCACGGCGGGCAACACGGGGATCGGACTCGCGCACGTATGCCGGTCGAAGGGGTACAAGCTGGTGATTTACATGCCCAACACGCAGTCGCAGGGGAAGATCGATCTGCTGCGGTTGCTGGGGGCGGAGGTGTATCCGGTGCCGGCGGTGGCGTTCGACAACCCGGACAACTACAACCACCAGGCGCGGCGACACGCCGAGTCGCTCGACAATGCGGTGTGGACGAACCAGTTCGATAACACCGCCAACCGGCAGGCGCATATCGAGACGACGGGGCCGGAGATCTGGGCGCAGACGGCGGGGACGGTGGATGCGTTTACGTGCGCGACGGGGACCGGGGGCACGTTGGCGGGGATCACGCGGTACTTGAAGGAGGTGAGTGAGGGCCGCGTCAAGTGTTTCCTGGCGGATCCGCCGGGGAGTGTCCTGCATAGTTATATTCAGAGCGGGGGCACGTTGGTGGAGCGGTCGGGAAGTAGTATCACGGAGGGAATTGGACAGGGAAGAGTGACGGAGAACCTGAAGCCGGATATCGGGCTGCTGGATGGCTCGTTGAATGTGCCGGATGAGAAGTCGATTGAGATGGTGTATCGGTGTTTGGATGAGGAGGGGCTGTATCTCGGCGCCAGCTCGGCGCTGAATGTCGCGGCGGCGCATGAGGTGGCCGTGAAGCTGGGGAAGGGCAGCACAGTCGTCACGATTCTCTGCGACGGTGCCTACCGTTACGCCGACCGTCTGTTCTCCAACTCCTGGTTGCAGGGCAAGGGGCTGCGCACCGCGATTCCCAAGCATCTGGAGAAGTATATTGTGCTTCCCTAGTGTTGTCGGGGGAGGTTTGTAAAATACCTACGTACTGCCTGAATGTCAATAGATCAACGAATCATGTTTTGTTTTGTCTTGTCTGGTTCCACTTGGTATGAGTTGGAATCCTATGTAAAAAATACTATACAGGAGTAGTGAGTCCATAGACAGCCACCGAAGAACAAACCGAAAGTAAAACAACGCCATAATGCACCCATTTCTATCCCGACAGGAGGAAAAGAAGAAAACGCCGACAACCCATGTATACAACACAACATATACAGCCACACCATCTCTAACTCTAGACCAGGGGGCCAGGGCCAGTCAACACAACTCAATCATCATCCCCCGGCATCCGCATATACGCATCAATCGCCGCACTGAACGCCGCAAAGCCCGCACACCCCGCCGCCGCCGCCTGAGGCCCGGCCTTAGCCCCCAGTATGCCCCCCGTAATGCACCCCGCCGCGACGCTGTTGGTGAGGTCGTTCTTAGCCCGCAGGCCCTCAATGCAGCACTCGGTGCCCGAGTACAGCGCGCCGACGATGCCGAAGTTCTTGGCCGACGACCACGAGCGCGAGCCCATGTCCTTGAAGCCGCGGCGGACTTGTTCGCGCCAGGGGAGGTCCATGATGGCTTTGCCTTGCGGGGTGAAGGTGGAATCGTAGGACATCTGGGGGATTACTTGTTAGTGGTTTGGGGAACAGCTTAGGGGGTCAACATGGGCACGAGGCACGAGGAAAGGATATGCGGTTCAAGCGCCCCCATCCCCTTATGCATCCTCATCCCAGGAATCAAAAGTAGTTGGGGGAACATACACTGGCCATGAACAACCCAAACACACCACCCAGACCGAAACCCATGGTTCCTGCAATGACCGTCTTCACAGGACAGGACTCCATCGCGGAGTACATCTTCCCACAGGTGAACAGTCAGCTCCGTTCCATTCTCGTTCATATGGATCATCCAAACATACCAGCTTGACCATCGCTTGCTCCTGCTCGCTCATGCCCTGCATGTTCGGGGCGCCGCCGCCCAGGCCACCCAAGGGTGGTGTTACGCTGGGAAAACTCATGCTGTGCGGATCTAACAACCGAAAAGAAAAGTGACGGGGGAAGGAGTTGACGGGAAACACTGCTGGTGACCCAGCCGACGTTGAGGAAATGGATTGTTGGTGGAACTGGATGCGAACAACAGCTCAGGCAGACCCTCCCCGGACTTTTTGCGGAGACGGAGGGTGGCGTTCGGCGCAAATTTATTTACGGCAGTCCGTATGAGCCAAGTGCGCAAATGCACGTGATATCTCCCTAGTATACTCAACACCATCAAACTACCACTGTGCAGAATACTTACTAGTAAGTATCTCGTAAAGTACATTGTCAAGGATCAGTATAGCGGCTCTATGTAACAGTTCCATTTCCATCGCCACACAGCAAAATACCCAAACGAGTCAAAGAAGTAACAACGCTCATCGTAACTTAAGGGTATTGTGATCAACAATCATAACCCTGCGTAAATCCGTACTGGCTCATGCGCAATTCATTCAACAGATTGAATGCGCTAGTCTCATGTGCTGTATTTACAAATCCCTCCGAAACCCCAAACTCTGAGCTAGATCAATCCCGCTTGTCGTCTTTGCCGAAAAATTCCTTCTGCTCTGGCGAAGGACTCAGACTGCGCTCCCACTCCGCCATCAGGTTCGACGCCGTGCGGGTTAGCCTCGACGGCGCCAGCTTGGTCATTGCCGGCCAGGGAATGCCATCGGAAACACTGGGGTCCGGGATGCTGGTGTCATGCAGCGGGCGCCAGTCGCCGAAACTAGACGGATTCCATCAGAGACATCTCATCACAAAGAAAGACACAACTTACCTGGCGCTGGTGCGAGGACTGCTGTTCTGCGTCATCGGCGACTGATCATGCTTCGTCTCCAAAGTGCTGCGGCTGGACGACGGCGTGTGCGTCTTCTTCGGCTTCGGAGATTCCCACTCCCAGTTGTCCTCAACATCGGGGGGGTTGCTGTGGTCGCCCCATCTGGGTTCGTTCGGCCGGCTTGGGGTAGTGGCGGGTCCGTGAGCGCGAGGCGACTTCTGCCCAGGTGGATCAATGCCGAATTCACTCCAGAACGACGAGTCTATATCCGTCGATTTGGAGTCTTTACCAGAATTTTTGCCTCCAGAGCCCTTGCTCCCCGAGGACGACCGCGACAGACTAGTTCCCCCATAGACCGACAACCGGTCCCGACTGCGCGATGTCGAGCTGGATGAGACCCGCTGACGCACCGGGGGCACGCCCCTCGCCTCGGTCGCACTGATTCCCTCTTCTCCCACCGTGGCTTGACGGATGTCTTCCAAGAACGTCCAGAGTCCTTCTCTCAGATCCGAGGCCATCTGCTTGCCTGTCCGCACGATGGCATCTCGCGACGGCGGTGGCATGGTGTTCCGCCACTGTGAGATCATGTCGTCAGCAGGCTTCGAGCTCCCACCACCCGTGATGGCATTGCGTTCGACGGAGGAGGGCAAGGTCGCCGACCGCGGAGACCGACCGATGCGGTGGCTGCCAGTCTCCGACTCGAACGCGGTCTTGCTGTCCCCAGATCCCGTCGTCGGGGAAAGCAATGACAAGGCTCGAGTGTGCGAGCCCCGGAAGACCCGTCGGCCATTTGCGGAAACGTTGGTGCCCTTGGTCGCGGCCGCGCGGAGGCTCTGCCGCCGCTCCAGCTCCCGGCTGAGTCGGACCTGCGCCGACGAGCTGCCCGCACTGCTCACGCTATGATCCCTGCGGTGCGGAAACGCAGGCTCGTCGGGGGATCGGAGGGAGACCAACGGTTCGGCGCGGTGGCTGATTTCCGTGCGTTTCTTTGTCTTCTCGGTCGAAGCCCATTGCTTTTTCAAAGAGTCCAGCTCCGTCTCGGCCCGATGCAGTTCTTCCCGAAGCTCCAGCACCTTTCTCTCCTGCGAGGCGATCGCAGTGAGCAGACCCGAGCCGTCATCCTTCTCCTCAAAGGCCAGCGGGGTACCGAGATGGGGGATCGGCGAGGGGTGAGCGGAGGTCCGAGTCACGGGCGTCATGGATCCAGGAGAAGCAAGATTTGGGTCGTAAGCGTCAAGTCCGGAAGGAATATTGATCGGAAAGTTGAGAGTGAGTCGCTTGGCGTGTCTGGCAGCACCATGAGGACGAGGGGGAAGAGAAGATCGCTTGAGTTGAGTGGGGGTTCGGCGGTCGGTCGGGGATGCGGCATGGTTGAGGCGGTGGTCAGGCGACGATGACAGCTGGTGCTGCTGCTGCTGCTGCTGCGCTGTTGTTTGGGACGCTTCCGGCGCAGAATCCGGCTCGCCCGTTCCCGGAAAATCCCCCATGACGGGCCAGCGTGCGGGAGATGGGATCAGGGATGATAAGATTTGTCGGACTTTATTGACGGGTCAGGAACAGCACCATGACATTCATTCCTCAGACTCAGGAAAGAACTGAAATAGAGGGGCAGACGAGGAACAGGAGGCCCACCGCCACGATTGAGAGGGGTGAAATTGTTGACTGATAAGAAAAAGAATGTATGTACGGAGTGAGTGAGTGAGTGTGTGTGTGTGTGTATGTATGTATGGGACCGTCAACAGTGATAAACAGTCTTCAATTGTACTGTACACTGAAAACAATAATAACAACAAAAAGAACAGTGGCAGCAACCAGACTGGACACGTGCAGACAGACAATGGACAGGTCCAAAGAAAAAAAGGGAGAAGAAGGAGAAAGGAGAAAAGGAAATGGAAGCGAGGGAAGATTTAGTTTCAACGAAGGGGAGTAAGGGAAAAGAAAGGACTAGACCCATTGGAGTGAAGTTCATCAAAAAGACGGTGATTTGAGAGCGGGTCGCAACGCGCATCCTTTCCGCCTCCGCCTCGTCCAGCTGCCGTCTCAGGAGAGACATTTGGACGGAGAAGTTATGTATTGCCACTCGGTAGTTCGTAGCTCCAACCTGACATCATCATTAGCATGTTCATAATTGGCACAACGTGCCGACTTCAAGACAATTCATTGATGAGTTGGTACGTATAAACCACCCGTACAGAAAGCGCTGGCCCTGATAAGGACCATCATGTGGTTGACAGCAGCCCCCAAGCTGAAACAATTTAATTCACTGCTGCCCAGCACGAGTTGCTCCACGACGGGTCAGCGGTTTGATTACGCTGCGTCTATCTTACCTGCTTCTGGCCTTCCCCCTGTCTGGATTCCCATGGCAATGAAGGATCAATGCTCAACTTGTTCAATTGCATTACTATGTCCACAATACCCTCTACACGCCTGCAAGATTCACTTCGCCTTACTTCCAGGACCACCTTGCCAGAAACTGTCCAAAAAATTCACAAATGCAGATACACAAGGAAAAACTTATGACAAGAAAGGAATGGAAAGTAAATCACAAGCTTGCCAGAAAAATAATCTTCTCAGAATTAAACCCATCGGACGATGGGAACGGCAGAACCTGGCCCTGTCTGACAGTCAATGGGGTACATAAGAAATTAGAGTCGATGGTAGACCAAATGTCACACACACAAAGAGATCAGCTAGCAAAGAAAGGCCGCGGTGCTCTCGTGCTCAGTCCCCCGTCTGATGCGTCCCGCGCGGAATCCGTCGTTGTGCGGTCTTGCTCCTTGGGGCGTCAGTGACCAGCAATTGACCCCGAAGTGGAAGAGAGACGACCATGAGAGCACAAACAAAACCAAGTGAGGGGGAATAATGCAAGAATAAATAGAACAAAACAACGAATATGTGAGAAAGACCGAGAGCGGCTAAGTGAACAAAGATATCAACGCCTCATGCGAGCCCAATTTTGTGTACAATGATGAATATGTTGTGGTGTTGCCGCTGAGATTGGCGAGATCCAAGATCTTCAGAAAGTTGCAGTACTATGCAAGGGAAAAGAAACAAGAAAGCAAGGTAGGGAATCGCGATCCTAGATTCCAGGCCAGCGGTTGCGAAGGCCTTCAGACCAACGCTGGTAGAGCACATCGGACAGCTGCTTGGTGTGTTCCATGCCCGGCACCTGTTGGCCGGGGAGGTTGGCAAGCTGCGCGGGCTGTAGGCTGGGCTCGGCCACGGCGGCGCTCTGGCGGCGCCGGTGGGACTTGAGGTGTGGGTTGCTCTGTGCCAACACCAGTCGCTGCCTCTGTGGGGAATCGCCCGGTGGAGCTGCGGGTGGGACGAGACTGGCCAGCTTCGGGTCACTAAAACCAATCCACCAACACGAGCGTTGTTAGCAATCCAGAAACCTTAATCAGGTGGTCACTACTGCAGGGGATCAAGCTTACCTCTGCAATTTCTCCGTCGTCGCCTTGAGGATATGATACAACCCCTCCGGATCAATCATCTCCAAGTCACTCCAGGCTTCAGCGAGTCGGGAGATTGCCTCCCGTTTCTCTTGATCGCCTGTGGTTCCCAACACTTCCTGGCAGGCGAGGCCAACCGCCTTGCTGTACGCCCGACGCCCGAGCTGTGCTTCCTTGCTGTTCGGCTCGGAGAATAACGTCTTTGGACTGGCATTCTCGTCCCCGCCAAACAAGTACTGCGGCGGGTACGATGCGTCGCTGGGGCTCTTGTTATCCGACACCCGACGGAATTGCCGCACCGTCGATGGGCTGTTGCCGAAACTCATATCCACACCCAGAGGCTGCTTCACCCCACTCGACCGTCGCTTGTTCCGTCTAATTGACGGGCTGTGGTCGGGGGCTGGAGCTCGACGCACCGCGGTGCCATTTTCTTGTTTCGAGGCGGGACTGGACACACATAGATCCTCCATCATGTCGGCAGTCTCATCGAAAACCCAGTCCTCCTGCGGCTCGTGCTCATTGTCGTCCTCAACCTCTATCTCGCGGATAGCCATTGTAGATGCTTTCACGGTGTCGAAAATCCAACCGTCGTCGTCCTTCAGGTTTCGAATCGTGTTTCTGTGTCACGCGAACAGTCAGTGCGGGGATCGTAGGGCAATAGGACTGAATGTGCATACAGTGATTCCGCATAGTACTTTATCTTGTGGGCCACTCCTCTCCCAGCATCAAAATCTTGCTTGCGGTGAATCAACTCCTGCAACGCCTCGGTCTTCCCAGCATTGCGAATAAACTTGTGTCGCAGAAGCTCCTTGGCGCTCGGCCTCCGATCGGGGTCTTTCGTCAAGCATTGTGCGACAAAATCTTTAAACGTGTTGCTGTAATGATCGCCCTGCAGGCGCGGAGCAGGCTCCTTGGGAATCAAAAAAAGTACCTTCATGGGGTGTGTGCTCGCATGAGGTGGCTCGCCGTTGATCATTTCGATGGCCGTGATACCGAGCGACCAGATATCCGCCTTGTAATCGTACCCTGACTGCTGAATGACCTCGGGGGCCATCCAAAATGGGGTTCCAACAAATGTGTTGCGTTGCGATTTGATGTTGATTAGTTGCGCCGCGACTCCGAAATCCGCCAGCTTCACTTTGCCCGTATGCGACAACAGTACATTTGCCGCTTTGATGTCGCGATGGATCTTGCCTTCGCTGTGCAGGTAGTCGAGTCCAAGGAGTAGTTGTTGGCAGATAATGGCGACATGTGCTTCATTGAACACCCCGGGTTTGAGCTAGGCAGGGTTAGCGGAGGGGAGAGGGCGGAATTCTCAGCCGCGGAGGTGCTGGGTGGTTACCAGGTCCAGACATGATCCACCACCTAGAAATTCCATGACAATCCATAACTTATGTCCTCGCAGAAAGCTGGCCTTGTATTGCGTGACGAAAGGACTGGCGCAGGTCGCGAGCACGGAGATCTCTTGCTGGATCTCTTGGATGTCATCTTCGCTGGACTCGAGATCGATCTAAAAAATGCCGAAAATGATCAATGGGAGATGATCGGACAAACAGAGAGACGAGTCACACGCACATGCTTGATCGCTACGATCTCGCCCGTCGCCTTGTCGATGGCTTTGTATACTGTCCCAAAACTCCCACCTGTACGACCGCAGTCAATTCTCGGTGCAATTGACTCAATTGATCAGCCAGAACTTACTGCCCAGCTCCTCCATCATCTGGTAGTGACTCGCCATGTCGTCCGCCATTTCGTCGCCGGTTAGCCGTCGCTTGGGGGGGAGGTGACGACACAGTTGAGAACTTGGGAGAGATAGCTCAGAGAAACAAACAGAAAAGAGGAAGGGGAAAGAAGCAAAAAAAAGAAGAAAAAGAAAAGAGAGGAGAACTAAAACAGGGCACACAAGGGGGGGGGCACCCGCACAGTCAGCTATTTATTCCTGTCCGGAAAACGGACGGAGATTTAGCTGGAGCTGGAGTTGGAGCTGGAGCAAGGACGAGTGGAACCTGACTGGCTTTGTAGTTGATAAGTCGTAGATAGAGGGAGAGATGAGGGGGAGATGATCGATAGGATAGATACTCCGCTCGTAGGGAATACTAGGTAACTACTTCAAACTACTACTACGTACTTCAGACCCATTCTTTCCAACTGGCAGCCGCTTTTCTTTCCATGGTTCACGGGAGAGACAACAGGCGGTAGTGCATGGCAACCATGGATCGGCTGCCGAGTCACCGCCTCGGGCACCGCAACTGCAGGGCAGGTATTTTCCGGCCTTGATTGGGTGGAAATGAAGCCCAAAGTAAACTAACTTCAAGGCTGGTAAATCAAGTCTTCAGAAAATTCTCCGCCACGGCTGTCGCCTGAGGCACCCGCTGTACCCCGGCCCTGCATGGTGCAGGTAATGCAGATGGGGCATGCAAGCCGCCAGGTACGGATCAGAAACTGGGAAGCATCACGAGGTCCGAGTCAGCAGGACTGATTGGTATGGAGAAATATGATCCAGCAATTTTGGTTATCCACATTAATGCATTTTAGATTTCGTCTGAGACGATAGACTTGGTCCTACTCTGCCTCCTCCCTCCGCAAATATATTTACATTCACAGCGTGGGTGCCAGGGCACGCTAAATTTAAATATACTTGTACGGGTTCATAATACCATGCTGTGTCAGAAGTCAGTACAAAAATTCCTAGTGAATGCATCGCAGAAGGGTGAATAGTCCTTACCGGGTCATAGAGGTTCTTCAACTGCTTCATCAACTTCACCATCGTCTCGTTCTGGCTGTATCCAATGAACTCCTTCTTCGCCAGACCCAAACCGTGTTCCGCGCTGATGCTACCCTTGCGCTTCTGGATCCATTCATACACCCAAGGCTCAATAGCCTTCTCGACTTCCTTGTTGTACTGGCGAACGGAAATATTCAAGTGCAAGTTGGAGTCACCCATGTGACCATAACCGACAACAGCCCGAACAGGGAAAGAATCGTCATCTCCCACGAAGCCCAGTTTTGTCAACCGCTCCTTACAATCTTCCACCAGCTGGTACAGCTCGGGAAGTGGAATGGAGACGTCATACTTGTATGTGCCACCCAAATGGCTCAGAGCCTCTGTAATGCCTTCTCTCCAACGCCAGATCGAATGAAACTGGGTCTCATCCTGCGCCAAGACTCCATCAGCAACAATACCCTCGCCCATGACATGTTCCAAGAAGGTCTCCAGCTTGGCCATGTCGTGTTCAGCATTGGAACCACTGGTCTCCACCAAACAGTAGAAAGGATATTCAGTCTCCAGAGGGTAGTTGCTGCCAGTCGACTCGTGGACCAGCTTCTGGGTGCGCCCATCCATTAGCTCGAAAGCGGAGAGGATCTCGGACAGATGTCCCTTGGCCTCTTGGTAAGCCTTGCGAACCTGCTCATAGCTCTCTAGGCCGAAATAGGCAACATTAACGGCCTTGGGCCGAGAAGGACATTGAATGGAGACCTTCGTAATGATGCCAATAGTACCTTCAGCGCCGATGAACAATTGCTTCAGGTCGTAACCGGTGTTGTTCTTGCGCAGGGTCGACATAGCATCCACGACCGTTCCATCCGCCAGCACTGCCTCGAGGCCAAGCACAGTACCGTGAAGACTGCCGTAGCGGAGCAGACGCAGACCACCAGCGTTGGTGGCAACGTTGCCGCCAACATGGCATGAGCCCTTGGCACCCAGGTCCAGCGGGAACAGGTGGTTCCGTTCAGCCAAGTACTGATCAGCCACCTCAAGAATAACACCAGCGTCAACCACCAAGACTCCAGAGGCTTGATCGAACGAGTGAATCTGGTTCATGCGGGAGAGGTTGATGACAATCTCGTCGAAAACCGGCACGGAGCCTCCAACCAAACCCGTATTGCCTCCCTGAGGTACAACCGCCAATTTCTTCTCATTACAGTACTTCAGCACCTGGCTAACCTCCTCGGTAGTCTGAGGCTTCAGGACCAACTTTGTTTGCCCGCGGTACTTGCGCATCCAGTCGCTGTTGAAGGGTTCGATATCGTCGGCGTTATCGGCGGAGACTCCATCGATCACAGCAGATTGCGCTCCCAGCAACTCCTTAAAGAATTTCACATCCTCGGCGGAAATTTCGGCAAAGTTGGGGTCGCGCTTAAGGTTGGGATAGGCGTTGCTGGTGTACTGAATCTCTTTGATCGCACTGGCGCGGGCGGTAACAGTAAAGGTGCGAGTGGCGGCCAGGGAGGGCGTCTGGACCGCAGCGACCGGGCGGAACAAGCAACGAGGCTTGGGCACACGAGCCCGTCGAAGAGCGACGGAGAGATTCCTGGCACCGGACATGATGTGGTGTTGCGTGGGAGGGGTGGAGGGGAGGAGGAATTGCAGGAAAGAGTCAGCAAAGCGGCGAGCGGCGAGCGGCCATCTAAAAAACTACCCCCGATGGCGGAGTTGGAGTCCTGAATGGCCGTCCGGCTTTGGAGTCAACGGCGCCGATCTTGTCTTTCCGTCCCGACGGAATCCGTGGCCTCAGGCAGCACGGCAGCACACGAGTTGGAACAGCGGGAATTACCTCAAGTTCAGTGGGGACTACGAAACCTTTTTACCAAAGCATACAAATCTATAACTTAGCCGTTAGATGTCAGCTATCGACAGAAAGACATGTTATCGGTATATCTCACCCCCAGTGTAGGCAAAATCTATACCTACCTGGGTTTCGTGGCCGCATCCCGCCCTCAAACAACGTACTCCGTAGCTTCTCTTCTATCTCAACTTCGCCGATGGAATCACCCATGCCATAACCGGAACTGCATCACACCTATCGAGAGGCAAGAGCTAGCAACAAACATCATAGCCGAAAGCCGAACAGTGCGCCCATCATTCTGCAACGATGCCAATTCAAGGAATTGAGCGACAAGCGTCGCCAAGCCTGTCTGTCACTGGACGTTTTGTCGTGTCCCTCGTCATCCTAGAGCAATAAGTGATATTGCCCGTAATAACTAATAATAACTAGTACAGTACCTGATCACCTACCGACGGAGGAGAGCTCTCCAGCTGGAATCCACTGTTCATCGACCTTCCTCGACCTTCATCGAACCATCGAACCAGCGATCCTTTGATCCAGACCCGCCATTACTCTGGCTTCGGTGTGTCTTTTGGAGTGAACCCAGCAAACGGTTCTCGTTACGTCATTACAGTGCCCCGCAGTCGACCAGATTCTCCTCTTCAGCGTCCCAGCTTCAAAGCTCGATTCCTTCGCATTATGTCCTCGTCTGCAAATCCTCTGGCAAACATGTCTACCTGTGTTCTTGTCACCGGCGCCACTGGCCTTTTGGGCCGCCAGGTCTTTAATACTTTCAAGCATTCCGGCTGTCTTGTCGTCGGTCAGGGCTACTCACGAGCTATCCCACCCACAATACAGAAGGCCGACTTGGAGAAACCCGGGGCAGTTAAAGCTCTCTTAGATGAAGCAAAGTGAGTTCTTAGGTCTAGTTGGGGCTCGGACATCGTGCGCTGCATGTCGCTAGTAGATTCAATGCTAATACCAGTCGCTACAGGCCCCAGATCGTCGTCCACTGTAAGTGATGTTTGTGCTTGCACAAGCAACCACCACGTAGCTTGGACCTCCTTTGATTCTGACCGCTGTAGGTGCCGCAAACCGTTCTCCCGACTTGTGCGACAAGAATCCCGAGCAAGCGCGCCGAGTCAACGTCGACGCCACCCGCATCCTCGCCGAGGAAACGTCGCGCCGTAGCATCCTGCTCATCTACATCTCGACCGACTACGTTTTCCCCGGAATCGAGGGGCAGGCCCCGTATGAGGCTGACGCGGAGACCAATCCGCCCAATTTTTATGGCCAATCGAAGCGCGATGGTGAGCTTGCCGTCCTAGAGGCTACGAAAGAGACTGGTCTTGGATTGATTCTCCGCGTGCCCGTGCTCTACGGAGTAGCCAAGGACAACTCGGAGAGCGCCGTCAACTGTTTGGTGGATGCGATATACAAGGCACAAGATGAGAATGCGGGAGTCAAGATGGACGACTGGGCACAGCGGTATCCGACTAACACGGAGGACGTTGCACGGGTTTGCCGCGACATTGTGATCAAATACATCAAGGAGCGGCGTCGCATCCAGGAGCTGCCCAAGGTCCTGCAGTTTTCGTCGGAGGATCGGATGACAAAGTACGAAATCTGTGAGAAGCTGGCCGACGTGCTCGGACTCTCCCTTGTAGGGATGATCAGGAACAAGGAAGGAAATGACCCCAATTCGTCCGTGCAACGACCTTACGATACACATCTGTCCACGAAGGTGTTGAAGGATCTGGGGATTGATGTTCGGACTGTGGACTTCGTAGCATGGTGGTAAGTGGGCGCCTGGCATGTTGGTACGTGTGTGTGATGGAGAAGACTAACGCTATTGCAGGCGCAAGTACTTGGGAGCTTACAGAAAATAAGTTGTGAGTCGAGGACCAGCGAGCAAGAAGGAATTTAAAAAAAAAAAAATTGAGGGATGCTGGTGCTTGCAGAAATCCTTAGGATCGCATTCCGAACGATCATGATACTGTAACTACAGATTATTGGGTAAAGTAAATCACAGACTTACGATGATAGCTATGTAATAGCATGCATTAATTATCATGACCATGTATTACTTATATACCGAGTACTCCGTACATTTAGCTGTTTTTGTGTATTGTGTGCGCAACTCGCTTCATGTGTTGTCACTTGTCTCACAATCAGGAGGAGCAAGAGGGGCTGGGTGGAATTGAGTTGGAATTGACACTTTGGGGGTGGCTCATAAATAGCGCATTTACCCGGGGGGAAGAGCCGTGCCGGGAAGTAGTCACTACTAGTCAGTGGTGGTGGCTGTGGCCATGGCATGGCGAGTGATCCACTTGGATCTACTAGCCATCGCTGGGATCGTTGGATGATAGACAAACAATCCAGAACTATGGAGTAGATCTCAGCATTGACACAAAGCATAGTTAACCGTCCTGATATTTTTAGTGGACGAAGATCTCATGCCCACAGTAGATCCCCCGACATTCGAGAATGATTCTGAAAAGATACAATTTTGTTTCTTCCCGATTGACTCAGTTGCAACTCATAGTCTGGGGCAATTGCGGGCAATGCTGGGGCCAAGCCCAGCCTGACCGAAAACGGCCGCTGTGTGGGCATCTCAGTCTAGACTCTGTCTTTAGATTGTCAGGGTTTTTTTTTACCCTGTGATTTTCTGGTTTCTGTTTGACTGTTTAACTGTGGTGACTGTCTTTTCCCGGCCGTGCTGGTGGAAGGCTCTTGCTTTTAATTTAAATTAAGATCTCGAGTTCAGGATCAGCTGCCAGTCCAATGGGATCATGATCCTGGTCTATAATAAATTCCTGTTCATCGAAAATTCCAATCCCTTCCCGTCGCTTTGGAGACTTCTTCCCTTCCTTTCTTATTTTTTTTTTTGTTTTTCTCCTTCTTCTCAGTTCTCCCCCTTGCGTCGAGCAGGTGGTGGTAAAGAAAAGAAAAGAGAAGGAAAAAAAAAAGAAAGCGAACCAATAACCCGACTCCCCAATAAGCAAAAAATAGAACCCAAAAAATAGGGCAATAGAGAGAGGAGAAGAGAAGAGCAACATAGGCTTTGCCTGCATGCGGCCAGTTCCTTTCTGCTTAACCCGTTCCCTTAACTTTCCCTCTCCACTATCTTTGACCCCGTCCCGCGGTGGAAATTAGACTCTTTCGTTGCTCGCTTTGCTCTCCACAAAAGGCGCCTGGACAATGCTTCCTTGACGGAATCTGGCATTGTGGTTCCTCAACTGCACACACTCTGGTACCAGCAGCCTTTTCTTCCTGCCCGCCTACATTCATCAATGTTTTCTTGAAACCCACACACCCCCCCCCGGCCTCTTTCTCCTGCCCCCCTTTTGTCCTCGGTTTTCTCAATTCTGATCTCCAAAATTCTCCTTTGCGTTCCCTTGCCCCTCTCTTACCCCCCATTGTACGGGGAAGTTCTCAGGTGAAGCCGTGACTGTATCCTTGTGAAACATGTCTGCAACGTTTAGGGGGTGGAGACACGCGAACACTCATTATTTGACCCAAATCTTTCTCCCTTGTGTCGACTGGATCGACCAGTAGACCTTCCTGCCTTTCTTCGAAATCCCGCTCCTCTCCCAGTGACTGCTGCCAACACGTTGTTGCATCTTGATCCCCTCCGGAACCTTAGCGACTGCCCAGCTGCTGCCACCAACGAAGACCACAGGCTGCCTGATATCGTCGTCATCGCGTCCGTTGGACCTAAATCCGCTAGGTGACTCTTTCTTCGGCCCTACAGGGAAAAAAACAAGAGAGCTAAAGCTCCATCGCAACTAAAAAACCTGTTTCCAAGCGCGCGCCATCGGCTACTTGACGCAATTGACACTTGTATCCTCTGGGGCTTTTCTGGTACTGTGTGACGACAAGGAACATGTGCCTGGGCAGCAACTGAGATACTACCGGTATATCTGCGCTTCATAGATCAGCTGTTGCACATAACTACAACAAGTCCTCCTCCTTGTATCCCACACTACTCCTGCTGCCTTTTTTTGCTGGCTCTTCCTCTCTCTTCCTCTCTCTTATCTACAGCCACAGTGGGACATTTTTCCCAGCCATGGCTATGGAGACTCCCGACATGGTGGCTGCTAGCCAGCATGCAGCACCTATGAAATTTTCCCGATACCGAAGTGTTCGCAAGGCTGCGTCCAAACAGCCACCGTCAGCAGCAGCGGCAATACCGTCCAATTTCAACCCCCCGCCACCTCCACTTGCCCACCCACCAATCGCTGCACTTCCGGCCGCGGTGTCGCATGACCATGCCGCCAACACCGATGCCGCCGCCAACAATAGTGGTAATACTGCTATTCAGAGAAGCATGTCGCGCTATCGTCGCAGAATTCCCCCGACTGCGCAGCAGCCCTCGGAGGCCGTGCCTACTTCCGCGCCGGCCTATAAAGCGCAAGTAGCAATCAATGGCACTTCAGTTCCACCACCACCACCATACCCACAGGAACGATCTGAGGATTCAGACATGGCTCGTATACGGCAAAAATTGGCTCTCCGACTTGCGACCCGAGAAAAACAGGTCCCCGATGATAGCGAAGATGAAGATTCCGAACGCGACAGGCATCGACGGAACGCAATGGACAGGTTAACCGGAGGCGAGGATGTATCGCCCTCCAATCCCTTTGAGACGACTGTTCGCGAAAAGCCGGCCAAAGACGTGCAGGAAAAGCGCGCAAATGACGGAACGGTTGCAAGTCGCCGTACAAGCCGCGAGCCCAGGCGACGGTCGCTCAAGGTCGCCACAGCGAAACCTACTCAAGTCAAAGGTTCGAAAGATGATTCCTCGGCGAGTAGTCCAGCCGAGACAAGCCCTGTCGCTCAGTTTCCCGATGCTCCTGTGTCTGCCGTGAACGCTCGCGAGCGTCGCGTGCTGGTCCAGTATAGGAAAACCTCCATGAAAATCTGTGTCAACCCTTCGACATCCGCGCAAGACATTCTTACCACGGGCATGAATTACATGGCCAAGGGCGAAGATCCTGGGAAGTTTATTTTGATGGAGTCTTTCGCCGACTTGGGTTTGGAGCGGCCATTGCGCCGATACGAATGTGTGCGCGACGTGATGAACTCTTGGGCTCACGATGAGCAGAACTCGTTGATCATCGTTCCTGCTGCCAGTCTCGACGCCCTCGCTCTGCTCGACGCTCAGAACGTTTCACAAAGCCAACCTACGGATGCCACGTTCTATTTGTACTACTCACAACGACCTCGCAAGTGGGACAAGCGATACGTTACCCTCCGTTCAGATGGACAAGTCACCATATCTAAGAAAGAAACCGGTCAGGATCACACGAATGTCTGTCACTTGTCCGACTTCGATATCTACTCGCCGACTGCAAGCTCTTTAGCAAACAACGTCAAACCACCGAAGAAGTTCTGTCAAGCCATTAAGAGTCAGCAAAAGTCGACCATGTTTTTGACCACCGAGAATTTTGTTCATTACTTCTCCTCAAACGACCGAGACATGGCCGATAATTGGCACAAAGCTGTTCAGACCTGGCGCAGTTGGTACCTGGTAAACATGCGCGGGGTGGGCAAGTCATCGGAGACAGACAACACCACATCTTCTGACGAATCATACAGAGCGGGAAAGCGCTCACAGAAGCCCCTGCTGAATCCATTCGAAGAGACCAGCAACGAGGTGAAAGCACCTGCGATGTTTGCTGTAGAGCGCACCCAATCCAAAAAGGTCAAGGAGTTGTTTTCTCACAAGAAAAGCACACGGGAGCGTGGGCCTCCTCCGACATCTTTCCCCAAAATCTTGACTGGGGAAGCTGACCTTACCGCAGAGTCTTCTGATGAAGCTACTTTCTCTGCCAGCGGTCTTCTAGGAAGGACTTACACCATGCGCCAACGGGCTATGAAAGAGCGTGAAGAGCAAGAAAAGCGCGATAATGAGGAGCGACTGCGCCAGGGTCTCGTGGGTACTATGGGCGCCCGTCGCGTCCATGCCGGGCCTAGCAGCCGATCCAACACCATGACATCGACCCACGCCCCGGATTTCAGTGCTGTGAAGCGGTCTCAGTCCGTCAAGGCAAAGCCTTTAGTCGATTTAACCCCAGTATACGGTGAACCTCCACAGCACATTCGCAAAGGAAGAGGTGTGACCGTTGATCCGGGCGTCCCGTTGATAGATGCAGCCACGGGCCCTGAAGCCCCGGGAGGCATCCAGATACCGTCGGCTACCACCTGGCGCCGGCCTCCTATGCCCGCCGAACCAATGTCCGCAATCGAGCCAAGAACTCGTAAGCGATCCAACACTGCGCGCAGTATCAACGGTCAACAACGTTACCATCATACCGCGCCCAACACTCCTATCTCACCCGTCGAACTCCCTTCCGTCCGTGACGGTCCCTTCTTACCCCATGGCCTGTTGGCTCGCGCTCAACCGGCCCCCGCGCCCGGTCCTCCCGTCGGTCACGGTGTGGCGACTGGAGATCGAAATGCCACCAAGCCAATGTTGGATATGTCCCCCGAGAATCCTTTCGCCGAAGGAAGCTTGCTTAGGGGTTTGTAGTAGCAGCTTTTCTTGGTCATCTCACTACAACACTATATACGATTACTACGGCACTTGAGATTTACTTAGCAGTGGCGTTATGCTTCTTTGGCTGGAAATCTGGTTTACCACGGTGATTTAGACTGGCATGGCTTGGTTATCTTGTCTTTTTCATTGCCTCATTGCAATATACCTCCTAGTCCATGATCTCGATTTGGGACACTATTTGTACTTGTTGATATACCCATTTCATGATGGACACTCTTTGGATTGATGCCCATACAATTCTCCATTACTTCTTCAGGTGATGTGCTGGATTTGAAAGTTACACGTGTACTCCGTACTTAGCTTAACATTCTTCTACTTTATTTCTTTTCCTATGAATCGAGTCCATTTTCCAGCATGCATTTTTTTGCCTGATCCGCAAGCCCGTCAAACTCTGTTAGATGGGCTATCGTTATTCTAAACGTTCTGAGATGTATATTTCCATGGTATGCACATGGCGATGACGCTAGTCCATCTCTCTGGCACTATCTATTTGTAGTACCGGTGTTCTGACATATAGATTCTCGCATTCAAGCAGGATGGGAGGTAATTCAACTGTAGGTGAGTTGCGCGAGTCAAGAATATTCTGTGAGTCAGAAGAGGAGCAATGACATCCATTCAAGTAGGCATTTGAGTCTCATAGTACGTAGATAGATTGGATGTACTCCGTACTCCGTACTCGTAAGATATTGGTACAGCAGCACGTGAAGCCCTAGCCCTTATCGTAGAATACCCGTTTGGGCTGTTTGTTTATCCAACGCCGGCGGCCCCGTGACTGAACCTCCGCAACAACAACCGCTGGCACCAAAGGAATATCAAGTTTGGTTCCTTAGACACGCCAAAACACGCCGACACGACACTGCACTAATCACACCCTGCTCGATCCGTCTTCATGCTGCCTTACTAGAATGAAGTTGTGACATTTGACGACCTCCCAAAATCACCGACCGAGAAATCCGACCAAGGTCTCGCCAGCCTTACCCTTCCCCTTCCCCCACCCTGAGCCACCATGCCTAGCAGAGTTCCCGCCCGTTCAACTTCTGCCTCGACGCGCAAAAACTCCGCGCAACCCTCTGCTTCGGGGCGCGCAGCGTCGGTGACGCCTGCATTCGTCATTCCTGATGAACCCGCCTTGCCGGAGGCGGTCCCAACCCTGCGACGAGATATCTGTGCCATCTTCGCCGACGCTCAACGCTCGACCACCGGACACCGCAAACTCGTCGTGCGTCTTCGCAAACTTCAGGAGGCCTGCTGTGGAATCTCGCAGAAGAGCTCGAAGAAGGATGGAAAGAGGCAACAGAGCCGTGCGGAGATAGTATTGCCGTCCGAGGAAACGATTCCGGAGAAGGAGTTCAACACGGAAGTCGGCCGCTGCGTGCTTCGCATCTTACCGATCAAGAAATCCGAGCCGGTGGGCGATCGGATTCTTCGTTTCCTCGGCACGTTTTTGCACCAAGCCTCCGAGAAAGACGCAGAACTGTTCGCCTCGAATGAAGAGGAGGACGACGACCTCGACAACGTCACAGAAACCCCGACGGCCCGCCTGACCACGACCTTGGTCAATCTTATCATACCTCTGTTGGTTGCAAAGGACAAGACCGTTCGGTTCCGTGCGACGCAGATTGTGGCGCATATCGTCAACTCGCTCGAGACGATAGATGATGATCAATATCACCTCATTCGTCATGGCCTCCTCAAGCGCATTCGCGACAAGGAACCGGCCGTTAGAGTGCAGGCGGTGATGGGTCTGGGCCGACTTGCCGGCAATGATGATGACGATGACGACCACGATGAGAGCTCCAGAGCCATACTGGAGAAACTGGTCGACATCATGCAAAATGATACAAGTGCCGATGTGCGGAAGACGCTGCTCATTAATTTACCTCTGGTTCCGGCCACCCTCAAGTATCTGCTCGAAAGAGCCCGCGACCTCGACGCACCGACCAGGCGAGCGGTGTATGCGCGGCTGCTTCCTAGCCTTGGCGACTTCCGCCACCTGTCGCTGTCGATGCGAGAGAAGCTGCTGCGTTGGGGACTTCGCGATCGTGACGAAAGCGTCAGGAAAGCCACGGGCAAGTTGTTTTACGACCGATGGATCGAGGACTGCGCAGGTACTAACAAGGACCCCGAAGCTGGACCCGTTGGCCAGCGTTCTCCGCCCGATATCTCAGCCCTCCTGGAGCTCTTGGAGAGAATTGATGTGGTCAACTCTGGAGTGGAGTCTGGAATTGCTCATGAGGCGATGCGTAGCTTCTGGGAAAGCCGTCCCGATTACCGAGAAGCCGTGATCTTTGACGAACCCTTCTGGGAATCGCTCACAGCGGAATCGGCATTTCTCATCCGCTCTTTCAACGACTTCTGCCGTGTTGAGAACGAGGACAAGTATGACAAACTCGCCGATGAGAAGATACCGGAAGTCACGGCGCTGGCCTTTTATCTACACAAGTACATGACCAGCCTACTGCAGAGGAAAAAATCCGTCAAAGAAGCCGGCGACGCCAACGAGGACGACGCGGTCGAGAATGAGTTCATCGTCGAGCAGTTGCTGCACATAGCCATGACTCTCGATTACAGTGACGAAGTCGGTCGTCGCAAGATGTACTCTTTGCTGCGTGAATCTCTCGCCGTTCCCGACTTGCCCGAGGAGTGCACAAAGCTTACGGTCGAAACACTACGATACGTTTGTGGACCCAACGCCGCCGCTGAGAACGAGTTCTGCAGCGTTGTTCTTGAAGCTATTGCCGAAGTGCACGACACAATCACCACAGAAGATAGCTTTGTATCTGCCAAATCGGAAATCAGCGACGCCAGTTCGTCTCGCGCTCGATCCGAGACACCTCAAACAGAAGATGAAAAACCCTTCAATAGAGAGGAGGCCAAGGCCAAAGTTCTTCGGGAAATCGTGGTCAACATGAAATGTCTTCACATTGCCCTCTGCATGTTGCAAAATGTTCAAGGTAATCTTCAGGCCAATATGAATCTGGTGACCATGTTGAACAACCTGGTCGTCCCCGCTGTGCGCAGTCATGAGGCACCAATCCGTGAGAGAGGTCTAGAGTGCTTGGGTCTCTGTTGCTTGCTGGACAAGGTAAGTTTATTCCCCAAATAGCTGCGATAGCATTCTAACAAGTGCATATAGACACTGGCGGAAGAGAACATGACTCTGTTCATTCATTGTTTCAGTAAAGGGCACGAACTTTTGCAAGTTACCGCTATCCATATTCTTTGCGATATGCTGGCTACGCATCCTACTTTACTCACGCCAGTGACCCAGTCCGATGGCGAGACCGTCACACCTCCGGTCTTCCAGAAGCCATTGCTGAAGGTCTTTGCCAGGGCGTTGAAGTCTATCTCCCCAAATAGCGTGCAAACGGCCGCCGCCACTGCGCTCTCTAAACTACTGCTCACAGGTGCCTTCAACCCGGGTGGAGCTAATGTGCCCGCAGCCATCCAGGAGTACAATCAGGCCGCTATTGAGACGCTTCTGCAGTCCCTCGTTGTTTCATTTTTCCACCCTCGCACGCGTGAAAACCCTGCTCTTCGCCAGGCCCTGGCCTACTTCTTCCCTGTTTACTGTCATTCGCGGCTGGAGAACACGCAGGCCATGCGTAGAGTGGCTGTGCCGGTTGTTCGGGCGACATTGAACGCTGCCGAAGAGTACTATTCGCTCGAAGCGGAGGAGGATAGTGACGGTGACATCGACGAGACCGTCGGGCAGAGGGAGCTGAAGGCGCTGATGAGTGGTGTCCTGGGTATGTTGGCGGAATGGACCGATGAGCGGCGAGTCGTGGGTTTGGGTGGAGAAAAGGTCCTCGCCGGTCAGCCAGCCAGCTCAACGGCATGTGGCTTCGTCCATTTGGAGCTGGTGAAGGATATTCTCGAGCGGGTGCTGGGGATCAGCACTGGCACAAATCGTTGCTCCAAGGACGAGAAGAAGCTCTTATTCTCTCTTCTCAGCAAGCTCTACATTACCGCACCGGTCGTTCCCTCACGCTCAGGCTCGCGTGCCCCCGAAGGCGAGGACCCAGTTCGATCCAGCGTACAGGGAGAGATCAGTGCCGAGAACGCCGCTCTCGCTCAGGATGTGAAAGAGCTTTTGGACGAGACGATCGAGGAAGGACTGGCTGCCGAAGCCGCCGGCCGGAACGCCCTTGTCAAGGTGAAAAACTCGGTGCTCAAGCTATTGGCGGCCGCCAACGGTCGACCTGCTAGTGTTCGGGTGCGGGAAGGCGACGAGGGCGACAGCGATGTAATGAGCGTGCGATCGATGAGTGTGCGCTCCGGCAGCGTACGGCCTTCGATCGAAACCGGTATGATGCGGCGAGGATTCTCAGTTGAGCCGAGCATCATTGAGGAGGAGGACGAGAACGAAGACAGTCACACAACGGTGATCAAGGCGGAAGAAGCCCGCGAAGAGTAATTGTTGGTTCTTGGTCTGGTTGGTTTGGCGTTCGGATTATGCGTCGGCCGGGCATGGGGTTCTCTTGGCTGGTGGGTATCAGCATGCGCTGATTTGGGATTTATTCGCTGTAGTTATACTTGAGTCGTTGTTTATGCCCGGCATGATGAGTGTAAATGATGTAATGTTTGATCCGTTGGAAACATTTGAGATGCTCCTCTTTTCTTATGTGTGCATGTTTTTCCCACCAATATCATTCTTTGATGTTGTGCCGGAGATCCTGGGGAGAGGCGATTGACTGGGTGGGACAATGTGTGTGGCCTTCCCCGCTAGTGGCAGTTCAAACCGGCATTATTGAATCGATGGCGCAACGGCGAGGAGACAATGAAAAGAGATTCGCGTACTTGCTGGTATGTATTGATGCGGCAGCTTCTGGGTAGGTGCATCGATCAATACACCTTCAAAATGAAGCATCAAGGAATACGCATGCGATGACTGCAATGGCCGATGAATCTCTCACTGGAGATTCGGAAGCGAGACCAGCGGGGCGGTGGATGTCACTCTTCCTCAAGCAGAGCTGGCTTTCTTGAAAAGGGTTAAGTCGACCAAATGAATAGCATTAACTTACCTTGACTGCAATTTGAGCACAGCCACAGGAACTTTCCGAACCTCTTCTGGGGCAAATGGAATCCCCGATTCGGAGAAGCAGGCCAGCCGTAAGGCGGCAGGCAGTCAATCACATCCCACCCGTCTCCGTCGGAAGTCCCGTGGGACAGAAGTACGATGGCTTCCGTAACTTAATCTCTGGCATTTTTCTTTCTTTTCCCTTAAATTCATATGTTCGAATATCTGGCAACTGATTTGCATTCAAAAATAATGCCAATAGGTCTGGTTTGGTGTTTATACTCGGTAGTAACATTTCAAGTAGTGCACCTCGGAGATTGAGAAAAGTCCTGCTTCAGGTGTTCCTTAGGGAGGGGGGAGGAGTAACTAAGTTACCGAAACCTGGATTGGTCATACAATCAATGAGAACTAGGGTGATTTTTAGGCAGAACCAAGACAATTCCTTCCCCCTCTCTCTTCCCATCATGTATCAAATAGGATACCAAGTCAACTAAAGGGGGTAAGAGGGGGAGGAAGTCTTTCCGGAGACTCCATCGTGTGTGTTTGTAGTCTGTATTGTACACACTGCGCAGGGGGTAGCTCCGGAGTACGGAGTACTAAGTAGTTTTACTCTGTACTGTAGTAGTGTAAATCAAATCAGCAACAACAACAACATCAGGGTCAGATCGGAATGCATTACCAGCATCAATTCTTCGTCAATCTACCTATCAAACATTGTCGCACTGTTGCAATTGGAGTTTGACAGTCGTTGTGGTGGGAACTAATGTCAGAAACTGGAGCACCAGCAGGCCGAGAATAGGTTTTCTTTTAATCTCGACGCTCCACCAAAAACGACATCCGGGCTCTGGGGACTTTCTTTTTCCTTCTCTCTCTCCTCCTCCTCCTCCTCCTCCTCACTCGCTCGCTCGCTCTCTCTCGCTCTCTATTCTCTCATCTTACTCTTACTCTTCTTCTTCTTCTTCTCTCTCTCCCTCTCTTCTCTCCCCTTCTCCCTCCTCTTTTCCCTTCCTCCTCTTCTCTCCCCGCCCGTGTGTCTTTTTTTTTCCCCCTTCTCTCCACGACGGTCATTTCCCCAAAGTCGTGAAAATCGTGTCGCTTGCCGGTCCTTGCAGAGACACGTTTTTTTTCCTCCTAACTTACCCTTTTCCTCCTCTCCCTCTCTCCCCTTTCTCCGACCCGTCCGTGGTTCTTCCCACCCCCTCCCCCCTCCTTTTCCACTCCCCCCTGCTGCTGCCCGCTCCGTTGGCGTGAAAAGACGCAGTGACCGATCCCCCCCCAACAATACTCTGAGCGATGGCCGCCGTATCAGCTCCCACTCCCAAGCTGGATCGCTACATCGTTATCCATGTTGCAACCACCTGCGATGAACATGGCGTTTACGTCACAAAGGATTCCGCCGAGGTGATTGAGTTGGGCTGGATTTTGTTGGATACTCAAACCTGCGAGGAGGTAGGTGAATCTGGTTCCTCTTTTTTATCCGATGCACCACTCGTCTTGACTCGTCAATTCTACCATGCCTGCTGTTGCGCTGCTCTTGCTCTCGCTTCCTCTGCCTACTATCCTTGCTCGATTGCTGCGTTGCTGCATGTTATTTCAACCAATATTCCCTTCTACTATGCCCGACCTGCGCCCGTTACCCACCTTACATTTCACCATTTGGTATATGCTGACTCGGCGTCTCCTTAGCTGCACCATGAGAGCGTGCTTGTCAAGCCCGTCAACACCCCCATCACGCCGCTCTGTAGTAAGTCTTCCCTCTCAACCTCAGCCCCGCCGCCAATTCCTCTACCCCGTCAGCCTCGGTTCTCCCCTCCTCACCCACACCTCCTCTCGGATACATCGGTTCGTTGGTTCAATGGCTGACGTTTCTCGACAGCGAGCCTGACAACTTTAACATGGGAGCATGTTCGCTCCGCAGGTACCTTCCGCGATGCTATCAGCCGCTTCGACACCTTCGCCAAGGAGCACCTTCTCAGCAAGAAACTCGAATTCGCTTTCGTGACATTGGACTCGTGGGACCTCCGTGTTCAGCTGCCTCGCGAGGCCCGTGACAAGGCCGTCGTGCTCCCCGCATACCTCCAGCACTCGCGGACGTTCGACCTTCGGACCGAGTATCAGCGATGGCAGACTCACCACCCGGAGTCTCTGCCCTTCGGACCCAGCTCGCTCTCCAACATCTGCGCCGCTCTCGAAGTCGAACCCGTGCAGTCCTCCGCTCCCATCAAGCACAACCTTCCGTTCCACTTGCAAGCGCTGGCCCCCGCGTCGCCGCGGCGAGCCATGGAAGAAGCCATCACCCTGGCTCGGGTGCTTCGCGGCCTCATCCGAAAGTCTCAGCCCCCTCATGAACACCCGGAGATTCTGACTCGTCCCATGGATGCCAGAGCCGATGTGCGTGCGTTCTTGACTGAGCGCAGCAAGGTGCTGCATCTGAGCGGCCTGCCCCACGATACCACCCAATCGGAGCTCGAGAGTTGGTTCACCCAGTTCGGTGGACGTCCTATCGCGTTTTGGACCCTCCGCACTCCGGACCAGCACAAGCCCACCGGCACTGGATTTGCAGTTTTCTCGTCCCACGAAGAGGTATGGATTGAAACCACGTCTTTGATACGCCGCTGTTCTGACCTATATATTCCCAAAGGCTGCTGAAAGTCTGTGCATGAACGGTCGTGCTCTGAACGAAAAGGCCATTGAGGTCTCTCCTTCCTCCAGCCGTGTCCTCGACCGTGCTGCTGAGATCCTGACGCCCTTCCCTCCCTCGAAGAATCGTCCCCGTCCTGGCGACTGGACCTGCCCGTCATGCGGTTTCTCCAACTTCCAGCGCCGCACCGCCTGCTTCCGCTGCTCTTTCCCCGCTATGGCGGCTGCTCCTGATCCGATGGGCTACGGTTATGGATACGCTCCTCCTTCCATGATGCCTCCCCACATGAGCCACGGTGGTCATGGCATGGGTCACTCCCGCGGCATGGGCGGCAACGGTGGAGTGGTGCCCTTCCGTGCTGGTGACTGGAAGTGTGGCTCCGAGGGCTGTGGTTACCACAACTTCGCCAAGAACATCAACTGCCTGCGCTGTGGTGCCCCTAGGTCTGGCGCCGCAGTTGTGGCCGACTCAGCTTTCCCGTCCCCCATGGACCCTCCTACAGGCTTTGGCATGGGTCCTAACTCCATGACGAGCACGCCGGCTCCCGGAGGTTTCACTGGGTCGACTGGTGGGTTTGGTGGATTCAGCCAGCAATTCGGAGCTCCTCCCAACAACTATGCCCTGCCATCGGGCTTAGGCAGCACCCCCAGTGGCTACGGCCCTATGGGTCAAATGAACGCTGGCTACGGATCCTCGAACACCTCGCACTCCGCGGCTTCCTTCTCTAACCCCGCCGCTCAGGCCGCTTTCACCGGCGCCGATCACGCCACCTCCACTAGCGCCTCGAACGGTGCATTCTACGGCAACGACGCTGGCAGTGACCCCTTTGCTTTCCTCTCCACCGGCCTTGGTGGACTGACTGTGGGCGAGGATGGCCACTCTCGCCGCAACGGTGCTGGTGCCAACAAGTCCCCGGCCTAAACGGCTGTCGGGCTTACTCTTTCTCTCTTGTTTACGGTTGTTCCTCTCTCGTTTTTTGTCCATATGGAGGTCTGGAATGTGTTGGTATATGTGATGGTTGATATTCGTTGATGCGCATTTGTATAAGGAATTCTGCAGTTCTGGTGCATTTGGTTGGGAGGAGCAGGCCGGTAGCGTGTCGTCGTTTCAACGGGTTTGATCCTTTTTGTTTCGCCTGGTCTCGTTGCAGACCTTACCACAGACCTTTTTTCGGTATGTCTTACTATTTGCGCCATTGGAAGCGATGTTTGAGGGCATAGACGATCGTCCTAGGAAGGAGGACGCTCCTAACCCGCGCAGGTTTGAGAGCACCATACTACGCTGCGGACTCTCTGGCACTTGTGAATTCACATGTGCCTCTGCATGCACTTCGCGTGATTGTTTATCTCTCTGGGGAATTTTGTTTTGAAGGAAGGCTTTGCCGGATGATGTGGCTGGACCGGACGGGGATTCTGCTCGAGCATGGCATTGCATTCTAGATTTTGTCTTTCTTATTGGTTTCCGAATTCATCTGCGCTCTTCGACAAGCGGGTTCATTGGAGAAACACAGGTATTGAATCACGGGTTGGGATACACTGGATTGGACTCTGTTGGGGGTGTTGGGGTATTCCTTTTGAGCCAGCAAAATCTTTCATTCAACCAGCGAAGGTCGATTGGGAGTCGTGACGTGCGACCAGAATGTTCTGAATGTCCATAATTGTGATTATTTACTGTTATCTACATATTCATGGTTAAAAGTGCGACTTCTTCATTTATCTCGTTAATCATTCTTGTCTGTGATCCACTATATCCCAACGAATGTTGAGCTGTGAAACACACACTGAAAACGGGTGGTAATGATGCCTGGCGTCCGGCCAGGCAACCGAGGTGTAGCGTCATGGGTCTGGTCCGGCTAGCCGCGCGCCTAGCGCTTGGGAGCTCTGAAGGCAGCGGCGGGCTTCGCGTCCACCTCCATCTGTCATCGCTCAGGCCGGAGACCTCCAGCCAGCACTCTACGACCCCAGACCACGAATTGCATCTTTTAACGATCTGTTTCTTGCTTTCCCCCGCATTTATCTCAATAATTTTGCACCCCGTGCTTCTCGCCCATCATGTCCGGCTACGATCGAGCTCTCTCAGGTAAGCCAGAACCAGACCTACCTAGCTTAGCGAAGCTCCTACATCATCGGCGAGGAGCTCAGGAGGAAGTGATAATGGATTGCTGACCGATTACAGTCTTCAGGTACGATGAGTTCGATGAAAAGTTGGAGAAGTCATACTGATGAGTGTTACCAGCCCTGACGGGCACGTCTTCCAGGTGGAATATGCCATGGAAGCTGTCAAGAGAGGTAATACCTAGCCACTTTGCTCCAACGGAACACCTCTTCTCATTTTTTCCATCCACCGCCACTCCTCAGCTCTTTAGAGCTCATACTGACGCTTAAAACGAAACCCATAGGTACCTGCGCCGTCGGCGTAAAAGGCAAGGACGTGGTCGTCCTCGGCTGCGAGAAGCGCTCGGCCCTCAAGCTGCAAGACACGCGGATCACTCCCTCGAAGATCGCCATGGTGGACAATCACGCGGTGCTGGCGTTTGCCGGCCTCAACGCCGATGCCCGCATCCTGATCGACAAGGCTCGCCTCGAGGCGCAGTCGCACCGCCTGACGGTCGAGGACCCCGTCACCATCGAATATATCACCAAGTACATTGCCGGCGTGCAGCAGCGGTACACACAGAGCGGAGGTGTGCGGCCATTCGGCATCAGTACGTTGGTGGTGGGGTTCGACCCGAATGATAAGACGCCGCGACTGTATCAGACGGAGCCGTCAGGGATTTATTCTGCTTGGTACGTTCCCCCTTCCTTATTCTATTAGGGAAGCGAAGATTTTGTCTTATGATGATGTCAGAGGGGGCTAGATGGTCTGGGGTCTAGATGGTTTGGCTAATCACTGGGCGAAACAGGAAAGCAAACGCCATCGGCCGCTCCAGCAAAACCGTCCGCGAGTTTCTCGAACGCAACCATCAGGACGACATGGACCGGGAACAGACCATTCAGCTCACCATCAAGTCCCTGTTGGAGGTGGTGCAGACGGGCGCCAAGAACATCGAGGTCGCCATCATGGCGCCCGGCAAGGCGATCGAGATGCTGCCGGATGACCAGATCGAGGCGTACGTTAAGAGCATAGAGACGGAGAAGCAGGAGGAGGCGGCCAAGAAGAAGACGGCGCGCGGCGGGACCACGACGGCGGCGATCCTCACTCGCCCTGGCGGTGGTGAGGCGGGCGAGTCGTCTTGAGGAGTAGAGAAAGACAACATGATTTGAATCCCCTGAGCGATATGCTATTTATCCAATGAAATACTCGTTATGAAGTGTTTAGGGAAGTCTAATCTAGAATTGTTTCTGGTATAACGTATGTGGACAAGAGAAAAAGGGAAAAGATATACAGTACGCTTATCCAAGCAAGTGAGGTGTATAGATCAAAGCAAACATTGAAAAAGGCAAGCATGGTATCATGAATCTTCATAAAGCCTCTACGGGATATCTTCCACCTTTTCGGGGGAAAAAAATCCGAGGGCACAATCAAAGGAGCAGACGCAACATGACGGATATCATCTAACTCAATAGATTGTCTAACCCAACCGATCCGAGATATCCTTGAAGTTGAAGATGGATTTCTCCTGATGACCCCGAACGCGATCATCCTTGAGCATCCTAGAGTGAGTGTTAGCTTAAATCCAACCAAGCTTTCATGTCTGTGTGATTGATTCGTCCCCCTAACCCCTCGCTCCAGACCCCCACCCCCTTTTCACTCTCTATTCCACAGACACAGTAGTACGGAGTAATGTTCTCAGCAAAACCGAGCGAGTGGGGCACAACCAAACCAAACCCCCCCCTTCCCCCCAAAAAAAACCATAGTCCCAAGAAGGAAATTTGGATGTGACAACGTACCTCGAATCCACCCGCGCATCCTCACCTTCCACATGTAGTGTCGGGGTCGGCGTCACGGCCTCGATCACGAAGTGGTTGTCGCAGTGGGGACAGTATTCGTCACTATGTAGAGGGAATGCGTAAGTTTTCTAACCCGGGTGTGGTGTCGTGTCTAGCGTTGTGGTGTTTGGTGTTTGGTGTTTGCGAGGGGGATGGATGCATGCCATACCTCTCGTCGAAATCGGCGGTGTCTTTGCGGAAGCATTTTTTGCACTTTTTGCAGGCGAAGACCTGTTCTTGTTGTGAGAATTGAGGATGGGGAATCTGATGGGGCTGGATTCTGGGAGAGGAGGCTTTGTTTGGGGGGTTTGGGGTGGTTGCTTTGTGGGAGGGGGAAGGGTTCAGTTTCTTCTTGGTGGATAGGTTCGGGTGGTGGAGGTCTGAATTAGGCCGGAGGATATAGGTGACTAAGTGCCCGTGGAGGATTGTGTGTCTAGGTAGTAGATTGGTGTTCGTGGAGGGTGCAAAATGTCAGGCGTACCATTTCACTGGCTTTCTGAAGGGGATGCTTTTCGGTCTCTTGGTGACATTCGGCGCAATCGAACCATTTCTTGCCTGTGGGATTTGCGGGCGATTTAGTCAGTGGTGCGACTCGATATCAAGCTGAGCCAGATGAACAGGCAGACTTACAACAAGGACTTCGGATTGCCACTTGCGCGTTGAGGACGTGTTTACTGCGGAGGAGGGGTGAGTTTCTTGCGTTGCGGGTGGGTGAGGGGTTTCCGGTATGCGGTTTGCGGTTTTCCTTACCACATAGTTGTTGAGATGGGTGTGTGGATGTGTGGAGGAGTAATTTCGAGGATAGAGATCAGATATCGATTCTTGAATAGATCGTGTACTGTGGTTTGAACCAGAAGCGAGCGGATAACGAAGCAGAGTCTCGGACGCGGAGAGAGGCTAAAAATAAATGGCAAGAAGAGGAAGCCAATAAATGACGGATCCCCAAGCCAAACCACCGGCTGCTATTCCGCCTTTTTTCGGAGTACACTTTCAACAATAACTGCCTACTCCTACGCTCTAAGTTAACTCACCTCGAACTTACCACAGTATTTGTTGCCAGTGTTCCACCTGCACGGCTGCAGCAGTCCAGTCGTCATCCTCTCTCCCCTTTCTCTCCTTTGTCGATCCACCCGAACCGATCAAGTAACTATTCATTCTATTTGGTTGCCTTCAGAGTCGTTCTTCCGTTGTGCTTCTCCCCCTCCCCCCCACTCTTTCGAACACTCCCTCTCTCTCTCTCCTTCCTCTGTTTTTTCTTCCCCCTCCTTCACCATCAGCTTAATTCCTACGTACAGTTCTCTCAGATACTCTTATCCGCCCGGCTGTCTACTATCGGCAATACGCAGCCTAATTCCTGTTCTTGTCCAAGACCTCCTTCATCTACCCCCCTGCTGCTCTCCGCACTTCCTCCCCTCCCTTCCGCCTAGAGCTCCGCCACAATCGTCACAGGCAAATCGCCTCCCTGCCACCTTCATTAACTTATTCCATATCGCTCATCGAAATCCAGTGTCTCTACTCCCGGTCGGTTTCAAACAGCAGATTACTCGTCGCAATTGGCTGCCTATGAACTATATCTCCCCCACAATCTTGTGTCGGATCGGTTGTCATGGAGGGAAACGGCCAGAAGACGGACGGCACGGATAATGCCCACATTGTATGTCCCAATCCAAGAAGCTTCCGCGGAATCCTAACCTAAACACCACACGATCATTAGAGACCCGTATCCTCCCTGCTTTCGCATTTCGAGAACCTGTCGCATCGCCGAGCCCCGTCCGCCGCAACGAATGGCACACGCGACACCCCTTCCTTTCTCAGGACTCTTGAACCGGGCGAAGACGTCCGCTCTTCTGCACGAGCCTCTCTCGATTTGTCGCGCTCACATACACCATGGGAATCAACGCCGGAGCTGAATAGAGGAACGGGGTCTTTGCATGGCAGCATCCCACCGCGACCCGGCCGTACCCCCGGAGTTTCTCCTGGACGGCGGCAGGATAGGCCTATGTCTCTGAGCTTGCGTTCCTCGCCGCAGCTCCCACCAACCTTGACGGTCGACTCTCCTCGATCGCCTCCTCGGGGATTCGGATCGCTGGGTGAGCATGAGGAGCATGCACGGTTCTCCCGCAGTCCGCCCGGCGCATCCAGAGAGTCTTTGGCGACAATCCCGCAGGGAGGCCGTCCGACGACCCCCGTCACATCGCGCTTTCCTGCCGAATCCAAACCAGGGCGCCTTTCTCCGACACCGACGGAGGTATTAACCAGTGGCCGCGAAAGCCCGCAAGACCGTCAGGGGAAAAGCGCATCTCTTCCACCGCCAGTGAATCGGGTAGAGAAGCCCAAGATCCCCGTCAAACCGGCCGCTTTGTCTCACCACGATGGAGGCTCCCTCGTTGCTCCGCAGCCAGAGCGGGCGTCCGCGGAGGACCGAATTTCGCCGTTCAGTACACCCCCAAGCAGCCCCGAGAAAGATTCTCCCAGGAATAATTCTGCTACTGCGAGAGGCGCGCCGTTTAGGCGCTCCCCTTCTCACCGGTCACCCTCCCAGCCACCAGCAGAGCCTCCGCGCCATCGCTTCGAAGAGCGAACCTCTACACCTCAGCTTCCTCTATTTCGGGAGCCTGCATTCACACAGCGGCACTCGGTCCCGGAGCCTCCGCGCGAGACCAGGCCCCTGTCTGTGCAAATTCCTCCCAGACCGTCGCTTCCCGCAGAACCTCTCTCAGCCGTGCCGCTCTCTGCAAACCGGCTAACGATGCATGACGCATTGCCAGATCGTCCAGGATTGCCTCCGCGGCAGCCATCAATTGCGCGAAGGGGCGGCCCGTCACCGTCGCGATTGTCCTACCAACGAGAAAGTTCCGCGCAATCCATTCCGCCGCCGACTCCGCAGCGGGAGTCCAGGTACTTGGACAGCCCAGCATTCTCCATGCCGCCTCCGACGCCTATCCGGGAGTCGCGGCAACCACGTCGGGATGAACCTCCGACTTCGACGACAATCCAGCGCCATCCGTCAATCGCTCGAGAGAGCAGGCAGCTGCCGCCTCCGGCTGTTCCGGAACGACCGGCGGTGGAGCGTCCAGTTGTGGAGCGACCGGTGGTCGAAAGACAAGCAGTGCGTGTCCATAGCGAAGACGAGCAGAATCTCGATCACGTTCCCGTTTCGCGTAACGATTATCCCGATGCGTCAACTGCCAACAGACGACCGCCCCTTCTCAAGTCGGGCCCGCTGGAGATCAACACAAGGTATGATACGCGCCTCATGGATGTGTGCGGAAAGCACGTGTGCACCACGGGGTATATCACGCGGGTATGGGATCTTACAACCGGAGAACAACTCATGAGTCTGAGTCATGGCGAAACAGTCAAGAGCCTGTCGCTGGCCTTTAAACCCGGCGTTGGGTTGGAAGATGAAGGCCAGCGCGTATGGCTCGGTACGAATTCTGGTGAGTTGCATGAAGTGGATGTTGCAACCGGCTCAATAGTAGCATCACGCTCGTATCCTTCCCGAAAAGAGGTCATCAAGATTCTCCGTCACAAGAAGGAAATGTGGACCCTTGATGACGAGGGTCGGTTACTGGTGTGGCCGCCGGATGAGAACGGCACTCCCAACCTTCAGTACAGTTACCACAATCCGTATGACCGGGTCGCCCGCGGGCACACTTTCTCCATGGTAGTAGGCGATAAGCTCTGGTTGGCTGCGGGCAAAGAAGTCCATGTCTACAGACCCAATGCGCGGGATGATGTTTCCTTCAAGGTACTCAACAGGCCGCTGGGCGCGCATCACACTGGCGATGTTACGTCTGGCGCATATACTACACGAGACGGCGGCTTGGTCTATCTCGGCCATTCGGACGGCAAAGTGACTGTTTATTCTGCCAAGGACTATGCGTGTCTGGCGGTGGTCAATGTTAGTGTTTACAAGATCAATTGTCTGGGAATTGTTGGGGACTACCTGTGGGCGGCGTACAAAACCGGCATGATCTACGTTTACGATACGAGCACGAATCCTTGGACTGTGAAGAAGGACTGGCGAGCCCATGACAGCCCTGTTAGCGGGTTCTTGTTGGATTCCAGCAGTGTGTGGACGATGAACCGACTTCAGGTGACCTCATTGGGCGACGACAATTGCATTCGACTCTGGGATGGAATGCTGGAGGATGACTGGCTAGGTAAGGTTACCTTTATGGTCCTTTTGACGCTTGACTGACTCGAGAACAGAAACCCGGATGCAGAACAGAGATGTTGAGTTTTGCAGCTTCCGCGAGATCAATGCTGCCGTCATTACTTGGAATGCAGGTGCTTCGACTCCCGGCAGTGTGCGGACGTCGTCGTTCATTCCAGATGCTATCCACCCAGAGAACCCCCCTGAGATTATCGTCTTTGGCTTCCAGGAGCTAGTAGATCTGGAAAATAAGAAGATCACTGCCAGTATGTTCTCTTATCGAGATTACCGCCTATGTCTGGACTGATACTGATTTGTTCGCAGAGAGTCTTCTTCTGGGCAGCAAGAAGAAAGACAGCGGAGACAAGGAGCATATGAGTCGGCAGTATCGGGTGTGGATGGAGCATTTGACACGCTGCATCAACGACTGCATGCCGCTGGAGGAGTCTTATGTGCTTCTGCATAGTGCGAATATGATCGGACTCTTTACCTGCGTGTTCGTCAAACACACAGAGCGGCAGAGAATTACCGACATCAGCGCCTCTGAGATCAAACGCGGTATGGGAGGTTTGCACGGCAACAAGGTAAGCTACCCCAACCTGACTACAGGTATGGAGCTGACGAAGTAGGGTGCTCTTCTCTTCCGCTTCACTCTGGATGACAGCTCGATCTGCTTGGTCAACTGTCACCTGGCAGCCGGACAGACGCAAACAGCACACCGCAACAATGACATCGCGGCGATTCTTGAAGCGGAGTCGCTTCCCGCCGAGCCGAGCCTCTCGACTCGTGCGAACCGGTACGTGAGTGGCGGCGACGGGTCGATGATCATGGACCACGAGATTTGTATCTTGAACGGTGATTTGAATTACCGGATTGACGCGATTCCTCGCAATGTGATCATCGACGCGATCCGCAGCAACAACCTCACGAAGCTGCTCGAACGCGACCAGCTGCTCGCCTCGCGGCGCAAGAATCCTGGTTTCCGCCTACGGTCCTTCAACGAGTCTCCAATCACCTTTGCACCGACCTACAAGTACGACGTCGGCACGGACGAGTACGACTCGAGCGACAAGAAGCGGGCCCCGGCCTGGTGTGACCGGGTATTGTATCGTGGCCTCGGCCGGGTGCGGCAGCTCGAGTACCGTCGCCACGAGGTGCGGGCGTCCGACCATCGGCCTGTCAGCGCTGCTTTCAAGCTACGCATCAAGACCGTGCTGCCCAAGGAGCGCGAAGCTATATGGGATGCATGCCAGCAAGAGTTTTCCCGAGAGAAACGTCGACTTGCCTCCGAGGCGAGGTAAGTTGCCTGGTGTCATTTTCATATTACCGTTATAACAACTAATCATGCCTCCAGTATCGAATACCTCATCACGGTCCTAGGCACCGACCCACAGCAGGCTCGGTCGTTGATCATGGGCAACGGGAATTAGAAGTTGCTTGAACTGCTTGTTTCTGTTGTAGAATTTTGCTGGGGTTGGTTGGTGTGTTAGTTGGGATGTTGTCTGCATTATCGGAGGTCAGCCTAGACCAGCGACAGGATGACAAGGGCATAGCGCTACACCGCCGGAGTGTATATGATTAATGATTCACGATAGACATGTATTTATCATGATGGAGAGGGGATGGGGTGTTTAGATGGGCTATGCTATGGTATGGTTTGGAGGGAGGATACTTAATTAATAGAAGATATGATGTGGTTGATATTCTTGGGTATTGGTCAGTGTCCGGTTGATAAGAGGGAGGAAGAGAGAAACTTAGTGATCTCTCTCCTTTCCCTGCTGGAATTGGTACTCCTCCTTGTACGATGTACTAGATGTTAGATTGGTCCTTCGGATAGAGGAAAGGATGTACCGCCAGTTGACGGGGCTTCCGCATCTTGAGGCCAGACAAACATACTTTGACCGGATGCAGAAACAAATTCCTCTCGTTCCCTTGTACAAAGGGAACTGTAACATTAGTATGCAGTTGGGTCTAAGCTCCTGGAAGAGATAGCAGTCTTGTGTAGCTGTCTATGACGGTATACCGAATGTCCACAATATCGCTTACCTCCGTAATTCACTTAGCTCACACCCTAATTTGATTGGACGAAGAAGTCTCGCTTCAGAAGGTTTAGTTCTGCCCCTCCCGCGCAAAGAGCCCGTCAAAGACAATGGATCATCTACGTTTTACTGATGACACATAACTCGAGCATAAACATCTCCCTCTAGGAACCGTCTAACACACAACTTTCTTGCATTTTTGAAATTGATAGAGGAGGCAAGCTTTACAAGTGGTGCGGGCGGAGCTTTCCGCCTTCAGAGTAAGTGGAGCTCCACTTAGCGACGACTTAGCCAGAATCGCCACGTGTTGTTGGTTTAAGTAATCAAGTAGTATCCCCAGAAGGAAGGCGATATAATATAATATGATCGACATTAACTAACAAAATCGCCTATGATAACTCTACTGATACAAAAGTTATGAGTTTCCTCACTTTCCAGTGACTTTTCTTTCGAGCATAGCAAACCCCACTGCCTTTATCCTTCTATATTCTTTGCCACCCGACGGAACCCTGTCCTGTCGATTGTGCTGGGAGAGATAAGTTGTGTACTTTGATGATGCCGCCGTGGCTGCGTCTCAGCTGCTCATGTTATCAATCAGCAAGCGCACCGTTGAAACGTAAGCGAGACGGGAGATCTAACTTACCTTTTGAGCGATGCAAAATGTCAATGCATCCATTACCGCCTTGACTTTCGTCATTTGGAGTCGACCCGGCGATATCGAGGCCTTGGCGCGATATACGATATGGCGGTTTGTATATATCGTGGTAGAAAGGCCACATGCACGGCGAATGTACGTGAATTCACCGCAGAGATGCCGAAGTGACCGACCTGGAACAAACAAAGAAGAAAAACTGCAACCTTCGATGGGAAGAATACAAAAAGCGGATTGTCGTCAAAAAGCACAAAAAACAAAGTAAACATGATAAACCCTTCCAGCACTCGATCACTGAGAGGGTATGGTAAGAAGACAAAAGGCAAAAAGATATGATAGGGAACATGTCTCGGCATGATATGCGTGATCCTTGCTGAGAATTGATGCAGCAACAGGACTCTTGACGGGATTTCGAAGATTCAGGAGGTCCAGAAAAAAAAATCCAAGAGACCCTGGGCCCGCTCTGAGGTGTGCCCATGTCAGACCGCAGTGACTTTGTACGAATAGATAACCTCATCTGTCGTCCATTCTTTGAAAACCGTGCAAGTCTCCGTGGTGAGCTCAATGCCAGGCCACAAGGTCTCGGCTTCGCAGTCGGCTTTGGGGTAAACGGTGATCTTGTACTTGCTGTCACTGAAGACAGCCTTGACCGAGTGGATGCGGTATCCTTCCTCCATGTCGAAGTTGAAGCAACCGGTGGAAGTGTAGCCGGCAACTTCGTAGCCTTCGGCACCCCCTGCGGCGCCACACTCCGTGCCGTGCCAGGCGTTCATGTCCCAGGCGGAGACAGTCTGGGTGGCTGCGATGCAGCCGGCGAGCAAGTAAAGAAACTGCATGTTGATCAGGTAGTTGGCTGCGAGATGAAGAGAATTGAAAAGATTAGGAGTAAGAAAGAATCAGATGTGTTCCTGTTAACAAATATCACTTGCAGAGCACCGACCTGCGTGCTTTATATGTTTCTATCCCAATCATACAACCTCGCAACGACAACATACCGCAGAGGATTACTGCATTTGGATAGTTGGGCTGGGGAGACTGGGTGGAGAAAGTCCACGCGGCCAACACTTTGGCATTGTTTGTTAGCGTCTTTTATCATATTATAGTCAGTGCGCTGCAGAATGATCCAGCCCACCTTTACTATACGCCCTGGTGTAGTACGTGTTTGCCTACTCTCAACTCGTTGCTGATTTACTTGTGATTATCTTCCCTATCTTCTCATGTGGAGTGCATTGGGGGTTTTTTTTCCAGTACAGTGGGCAGCTTTCCAGCTGGTGGATCTGTCATGCCATAGATAATGCTTCCTCTCCTTATCCTGAGCGGATTTCAACGGTCGTGCTTTGAGAGAGTTGGGTGCGTTTATTGACCACCAGACTTTAAATTCAATTCAATTGAAAGCTTTTTTTTTTTTTTTTTTTTTTTTGTTTTGCTGGGCTTTAAGCTATCATCAAGCGCTCTTAAACGTTCTACCGAAAGAACATTGAACGAGGTCTTAATGGTTTTCCTTGTGAGTACAGTTAGGTTCCGCAAAGAGAATTGCCAGCGGTGATTTCTCAGATTCAGGGGTCACGATTGTTGAGATGTGTGTGACTCAAAGCCACGAAATTTGTCCCGCTGAGTTAGTGTCAAATTGTTATCAGTGTTTAGCAAGTTGATGCGACTAGCCCTCTCCAAATGTCTGTTATCAAGTTGTCTACAGTCACATTTACATAAAATAACATTTCGTCAAAAAAAAAGAAAATAAGTTCGAGTCGGGTGATCACAGATTATCACGACCCGCTCCGGGGCTGGTACCCTAAGTACAGTAAAAGTCTTTCCGGAGTCCGTCCGCCACGTTAATTTGTATGCCGTTGTTTGCAACGTCAGGTCCGAAAACGTTCTCCCCTTACAAATCAAGAAACCCCATTCGGTCTGTATCCGGCACCCGAGCAAGTGCACAACAATAGCTGGATCATGGTAATGGTCCTGAGAGACCAGAACTGGGATGTACTGCTATTTCCAACACCTTTCGAGATTGCTAAACGGTCACCGGCTGATCATACTCAGGATTAGCACAGCCCGAACCCTTTAGCTGAGCTGGACTCTCGTCCCGAGGTCATCAGCGTTCTTGATACATCTGGGATATGAAGAAACCGGTGAAAAGTAGCAGCCGTGGCAGACACATATTCCTACCGCTCTTAGTCTGTAGTCTTTTGCTACTATAGGCGGCAAATCGCAGAACCCCGCACAACCCTTCGAGTAGTAACAAGATGATTAGCGATGGCTCTCATAACCCCTTGCCTGCTGCCTTCAATACATACAAAGCACATCATTCTGAATGACCCAGACTGTCTCTGTGCCGCGCGTCTTGAACGACTTGGGGTCAGCAACATGCGATTGAGTTCATCATGAGGTACGCTAGGGACGTTGTGCAGTGGTAAGTAGTCTGGGTCCTTGACGGCCGGTGCAGCTGTCACAGGCCTCGTCCTTGAACATGAAGCCAATTCCGACACAGGAGGTCTCGATCTGCTCCAGAAGGATCCACATTCTGTCTCAGAAAGAGATCGAATTGACATCTCCGCGAGACGCGGGCATTCTACCTTTGCAAGAACTGGCCTGTCAGAGCTTTGTCTGTAGAAGAACAGAGTCACAAAGTAAGATACCTGTAGTTGAAAGTCTGGATTTGATTACAACATGTGCGCACACGGAGCACAAGGCTGCGATTGGCAAGCTGCAATCAAATCAACAAATCTCGCAGATCCCTCACCTACTACTGCATTTCAGTGTCTATAGAAATGAGATTCTTCATCAACCATCGATGTGGTGTTGTCAATAAGACCAGTGCACGGGAGACGGGGTTTTGCTTCCCCGCATCGGAGTCATTCTCTTTGTCCATGCTTCATTTTTGCTTGAGCGACATTGGTGGTGGGTTGTGTGAAATTCTCTTTCTTGGGAATGGGATGATAGGAGTGAGCTAGAGATACTGTGTAATAGTACTCCGTAGGAAGGAAGTAGGGAGTCGTGGATTGGAGTCGAGGTGCGAGTCAGGGAGGTCGGAGGAATGGGAGTAGTGGTTGTAGTAGGAGGAGAGAATTAGACTTGTATGTCTGGGCGAGAACTGGTGGAATGAGACTGGAACTTACTCCCTCAGTGTACTCGGACTGTGGGGATATTGTACAAAGCTTACCCCAACACTCAGTGATAAGCACCATTATGGTTGCTGTTTCTGAACAACAAACGAGAAAGGTAGAACACGCAGTCAACCCATAATTCACCCAGCACAACTCGAGCAAAATCAAGCAAGTATTGAGGACTGGTATTTCCTGCATTGCCAACGCCAAATCCAAATCCAGTCCACAGAGTATCTATAGTATACCTACTCACTCCATTAGCACCAACTCCTCGAGCCATCACCTCTCATCCAGTCAAACACATACTAGTACTGTAAATACTACCAACCGTAGACAAATACTCCACCCCCAAAAGTCATGAAGTCATGCCGTCATCTTACGTCGCCGATCTCGATCCCGCCCCACTTCAGCCCTACGGCCAGCCAGATGGTTCCTTACGTAGCTGCGAGCTGTTAACTACTAGTTAACTTACACTCTAGGAGATAATATATAAGCACTGCACCCTCACACCCTTACCCTCACCCTCACCTGACCCTCTCATCCCGCGCAAACCGCGCTATCACAAGCCATCCCCACACAGTACGGAGTTTTGTGTCGACATCAACAGAATGACAACCCACCCGCTCGCCTACCGCACCGCCCAAGCCATCGGCTTCAGTGGCGCCGCGTGGCTGTCAGGTAAATTATCTACCTAACCAACCCCTTCAATAATCTTACTGGAACTCCCGCCAAAGAAAGTGGTTCCAACTTCCACATACCACAACTAATTCCCTTTTACTCAAACCAACAGGAAATATAGCCTCCCTATCTCTCCTCACCGTTCCCGCCCTCCTCCGCAGCAGCACTACTACCACCACCAACACAAAATCCATCCCGCTGAACCTCATAATTAAGACATGGCATCAAATCTACGAGTCCGGCAAGGCCCAGAACCCACCTATCGCAGCAGCCACCGCCACCGCGTTCGTCTACCTCGCCTGGACGGTCTCCCGCGCCGTCGAACCCCCGCAGTTGCTGCAGCGGTTGAGCAACAGTACCAGCACCGTAAGTCCGGCGGCGTGGTACGCTGCAGCGGCGGGATTGGTGCTGAGTATCGTGCCGTTCACTGCTGTGGTGATGCAGGGGACGAATGCTGCGCTGATTCGGTTGTCGGAGTCGCCGGCAGAGTTGACGGCGCAGGAGGAGATGGAGAGTCGCGAGTTGCTGAAGCGGTGGGGGTGGTTGAATGGGGCGAGGAGTATTTTGCCGTTGGCAGGGGGATTAGTTGGTATTGCGGCGGCTTGTGTTTGATTTATATCCCCCCCCGAGGACTGAAATTTGTTGGATATGAAGTATTGTATCATATGATATGTGATTCTGCATAGGCTTTATATTGCACTTAAAAGCAAACAGCTGGGTATCAGCAGCTGGTTCGTCTTTCTGCAGTCTCTACAATTAGTTTTGCTCACTCATCCTTCGCAAACAAGGCCAGGATCGTCTGCTTCCCACATGCAGCCGCTACATCCACCGTCGTCGGCAAGCAGTACCGTCATGTACTTCTCCTCCCTCTCCGACGCATATGTAAGCGCGGTCTCTGGCCCCCTGTGCGATGCATAGACGCAATTGGGACCAGCACCGCCCTTCAGAAGGATTTTTAACGCAGGTATACCTGCACGGATCGCGCGTTCCTATACCAGCGTTTCTCCAAGAGACGGATCCGCCCCGTCCTCCAGCGATTTTTTGACAAGCGACAGATCTTGGGCTCTCCCTCTTTTCGATTACCATAGCGCGGTGTCTAGTGGTAAACCCTCGTCGACATCCGCTCCGTACTAGAGCGGAAGATCCACATTCTCATCACACCACAGGCTGAGGTGGGCCCGCCTTGCACTTCAAGCGCTGCATGAATCTGGAAACTCTTCTCTGGTATGAGGCCTGTCTCTGTTTCAACTCCCAACTCTCAGCAAAATGCTCAGAGCGCGGGAGTGCCACCAGGATTTGCCGACAGCAAGCTTGTCTATCGCGCTAGTACAGTTGAATTGGAGCTATCAGGTGCAGGTTAGACAAGCTGACTCATGCGGGGACTCAGTTGACTAACTGGAAGGAACTACTACTACTAGCTACTAAGTTAGTACTTAGTGCGTGGTAGTCCACGGTACGATTCATCGTTGAGCGGTATGGTACCTGATTGTCTGTGGAATGTCTTTGGGTCAAACCCGGCCAATAACAATCTGCAGGGTGCTTCTTGATCAGTGCAACCTGTAATCGTGTTGTATGAGCCCCACCAGGCAGTGGACAACAAGAAATGATACACATTTTTACCCTGCAAAGACCGGAGCGTTGCTCTAGGACGATTATATCGAGATACGCTCCTAGAACATTGTCTTTTTGTCTTGTCGTTTGTTCTGTCCTCCTCGTCTACAAAGTATCAACTCGAAATCATCCACACAAACTAGTCCCAGAAAAACAACAAGAGTCGGCACTGAAAGAGTGGGACCGAGAAAGATGACGGTGGGGATTCAACGCCATCCAGGGGTTCAAGATCGACAGTGGGTGGGACCGACATGTCGGGGCTTGGCAGAGTCCCATACGAGAGCAAAACTGTGTAGCAGTCTTCTAGAGGTCTAAAAATTCGTGGTCAATAATTGTGCATTGCGTATTTCTCCAGCCCAAGACAAATCCCATTTCCCCGCAGGTTTGCATTTGATAGACAGAATCAGATAAGATGGGTTCCAATCATCGATAAGGGCTGAAGCGGGGACCCCAGCCGAAGAATAGTACTTGACAGTAACACGGTTACATACAGTAAGTACAACAAGAACAGAGGCATTCTTCAATATAAAATTCAAACTGAAGCCGATGCCACAGGGCGTCTGGTATAACCGGAGTCAACTGCAGATGCACTGTCTAGGACAATTTCTAATCAACGAGCCTATAGACATGCCTTTCACATCAGGTACTTTGAAACATATATCTCTATTTACTAGCAAATCTCCGCTTCCGACTATGGGTCCAATATCTCACAAGGGTGCACCTATGCAAAGCAACACACCTCTAATCTACTTCCTATAGCCCCAAAACCTCAACCAGAAAAACTAAAGAAAACCCCCTTCAGACCATCTATTGACCCGGAAATCATAGCAAACATACATGTAAATCTCCGCTACAGACAATCAAACTACCTCTATATAGACCCCATACAAAGGATTCCATAGAAAGAACGTCACTCCTCAACACCAACCCTAATCTCCTAGCACCCACACTTGAGAAAACTCTCCAAAGGAACCCACCAAGCCCCAAAACCCCTCAAAATGCCTCCCAGCGACATACCCCCCTTCCGCTACTCCCGCTTCTCCACCATCGACCTCCCCTGGATCTACCGCCTAACCACCCACCTCGAAGCCCACGGCATCCCGGTCGTCCTCATCAACCGCGCCCTCTTCCGCGCGCTGAACTGGACCGACAACCTCCTGCTCGACCCATGCATCGACCTCGACATTCCAGGGCAGCGCATCGCCTGCGCCGTCAGGGTGCTCCGCGCCGCCGGCTTCGACGACGCGCCGCGAAGCGCCGAGAGGGTGCTGCCGTTGATGCAGAATTGGCCAAAACCAGCACCCCACCCATCCAGTTCCGAAGGCCCGCGCCTCATCGACGCATGGTGGGCGCCCTCGGCGGCCTTCTACGTGCACCGGGGGCCGTACGACGCGGCGCGCCACCATCAGCTGTGGAGCGTGGGACCCGAGCCGGACAGCGGGGACGCGGTCGAAGACCCCGGGAATGATGTTCTACTCCGCATCTTCGCGCATGAGCAGTATTTCTGGTTGTTCAGAGCGCCGACTCTGGGACTGCCTGCTATGGCTGAAGCCACGGGGGCGGAGGAGCTGTTCGCGGAGGAAGACGAGCCGTTCGATTGCTACACAACGGTGAGTGCAGACGTACCCTTCCCCGATTCCGACAACCCCAATACTGACGACACCAACGAAGAAGAAGAAGAAGAAGAAGAAGAAGAAGAAGAAGAACGAGCCGGGTCCTGGATGGCCAGGGTGATGCGGCCGGCGCAGTACGTGGAGGCGATGATGTTCCTGCACCTGCGCGACCGGCGACGCAGCCACGGACACGAGGGCGGCACGAGCTGGGATTTGACCTACGATTTGCTCCTCGACCTGGCGCAAAGCAAGCGGCCTGCTCTCCTCGAGCCGGCGGAGTTCCATCCGGCATTACGCTGGTACTTCGAAAAAGAGCTGAACCCACCCGCCAGAGAAGGGGGATGCGAGGTTGTCTGCAGGCGGCACGAGTTGAGTCAGCAGGATCAGAGAGACGTATTGCAAATTGAGCTGCAGGCAATGGACATACTGCCCCTGTCTCCCTATCCGCTGCTGAGCTATCAGCTCCCCGCGACGATACGTGCTGCGTACGTTGCCATCAATGGGGGTCAAGAGGAGTTTGATCCCGCGCTGGCGGGCATAGATCGGAGCATGGGTCGGTTCGGTCTGAATGAGGATGGAGAGTCTCTCTGGGAGAAGGGGGAACGTGAAAACCATTTCATGCCCGAGGCGTATGATGAAGAGTCGGACTTCTCGGAGGACACTGACAACCCTGACGATGCTGACGACCAGGTGACTGTAGTTGAATCAGAGACAGAAGATGCTGGAGACGAGGTGACTATTATTGGCTCGGAGACAGAAGTTGCTGACCTCGAACAAACTGATTGACATGACCGTTGAATGTTTCGTCCCAGCGTGACTAGAGAATTTTCGGGCAGCCTAATCGCGCCAAAATGTTTCAGATACCCCATATCAAATATGATTTAACATAAACAAAGAGTACTATCAACACAAAGTGAATCCATAGTACATGCTCGCTAATCCTTTCGAATGGCTGGAGACGATGAGGCAATACGCCGCCAGGTAAAACAGAGCAAAATCCAAAAATCCAAAACTATATCACACTTCAATCCGTAAGTACTATTATACTGTAGCATCCATGCATCACCTCCAGAACCACAACTCCTTCCAGCGATAAAGATACCGCCTTACCACCTTCTCGTTCATCTCACCCTGCCAGCGAAGGAAGCGCTCTCCTATAAAGTACCATCAAACGTCCGGACTCGGTAAATCCAGTCCCGAAACGTTCCCTGCCCTGACTGGGCTCACCCCGAGCAAGCGTCGACCTTAAATCGCAGGCATCACAAGAAGCGGAAGCATCTTCCATCCTCTGACACTTTTATGACGCATCCCAACTGCGCGGACAGACGAAAAAAAAAATAATGCCGCGACTGGGACTCGAACCCAGAATCTGCACTCCACCCGCTCACGAAGTCGGGGGCTCTGCAATGTTAATACCACTACACCACCGCGGCTATTGTTGGAGGTAGTGGATGTAGCGTGATTATAACCCAGCAGACGTAAGCTTTTCTGGACAGTTTCTCGGTGGTGTGTGCACATTTCGGAGAGCAAATAGTTGCATTTTGTAGCTGGATGATGTGGCTATTGAATGACATACATATTAGCATTGTTTCTGAGGGAGGTGGTGGAGAGTATGGTCTGGGGGTGGATGGAGGTCTCGTTTTGGTGGCGGTGGTGGGGATAGGCCCACCTGGGTGGGTACCTTAGGCTCCACTGCGAGGTGCCGCAGGCAGAGTGGGTCATGTGCCCAAGGCTGCCGCGCTAAATATATTGATGCCTTAGGACGTGGATGTGCTACAGTACACACTGCCATTTCTGGTTGTTGGCTGGGAAGGACCGGATCTCCCAAAGTAGCCGCCACGTCCTCTACAGGTGGTTGCAAGGCCACTACCTTGAAGTTAGAAGACAGTCAAGTGACCGCGAGGATGTAAGGACGAAAGAAATGCTAGAAACTAGAGAAAAGAAAGAAGTCGCGATTATCCTCAGTCAACAGCCTCGATAGGCACGATCTGCGTCTCGCGTGTATCCTCCGTGAAGACCTCATCCTTATCATCAGCTGCCGCTCCTTTATCACCAGCCAACAACAGGTCCCGACTGACATTCGCACAAAGAATTGGCACAGCCGTCCAAATCCCATGCACCGACAGCCGCTTCGCATATGACGCGACATCCCTGATAGCATAGACCCTCTCCGCCGGCTTTCTAAACCCGAAGCGTCGAGTATATCTCGACCCTGCCATCGAACGCTAGAAGACTACGATTCAGGAAGCTAGGCTTGGACTTCGTCCCGGTTGCAGGTATGTAGATGTCCCCCGTGAATGTGCGCCCATCTTCCAGGGTAACCGTCGCGGGATCTGTATGATCCTGCCCAGCTGTTGCGGGATGGACTGTCTGCAAGCGGGCGTTCTTGATGACAGACACGCCGACATCAGCTAGCATCCGCTTGGCTTTGGTCGCCCATGCTGGACGGAGAGCGGGTAGGAGTTTGGAGGCGGATGTGACGAGGGTGATGTGGACTTGAGGTTGTGGCCAGCGGACAACCACCCTTTGCGATGACGGCCGTTGAGACTCTCTTCCAGCTCTCCGGCTGTTTCTACTCTTGCTGGTCCACCGCTGGCGATGATGACGGTTATGGCTTGCGGAAGGGTTTGGCGGAAAGTGGACAAGCTCTCCCGGAGGTGGACGGCGTTCTGGTTTGAGGCCGAGGATCTGGAAGAGGGTGGATACACCGCTGGCGACGACGAGGGCCTGAAATGCGATCTGCTCAGTCTGCTTGTCGGAAGACGAGGACACAGGTATGGTTTTGTTAATGTGATCCACCGTAGTGACAGTTCCGTGAATGAATCGGAAGCTGTCGCCGTGGTACTGGGCGAACATGCTGCGGATGTCGATCAAGAGCTTCTTCTCGTCGAACCAGTCATCTGAGATCAAAGCACGAGGGCAGGTCGGTCGGCACATGGCTTCTAAGGTGCGCCCACCAGAACAACTTGGTAATATTGCGGGTTTGCTAGCTGGGGGATGACATGTTTCAGCAAGTAGTGTGCCGTTGAGATGCCGCCGTATGATCCTCCAAGGATAATGATCTTCTATTTGGGCGGTTATCCTGACATCCCGATGAGAGTTGCTAAGATGACACGGGTGATTAACAAAGATTTGAAGAAAATGATTAAAGCGTGGATGCCGGATCTCATATAACCTTAGACGGCGGACGAATCGTTCGAATGCCTCCATGAATGACGCGGACGAAGTCGGCCGAAATCATTCGTACAAAAGCCCCCACGCACAATTGATCTTCAAGTCTAGAAGTACATGTGACGTAAAAAAAATAAAAAACATTCTCGAGCTATAATCAATCCCCTATTCAGACATCATAAACCGAAAACTCTTCTACCATCCCATCTATTGATCATGTATATTGTCTAAGACGTTCCTGGCATACCTCGTAAGCTCTTGGCGCGATACCCGACCGACATCCCAAGAAACTCCACTGATCCCAGTTTTGTATATGTACTCCGAGCTAATGAAAGAGAAAAAAGAAGTGCCAAATGCGCAAGACCCTAACATACTGAATCCTTGATTTAAACGCGCTCGAGATGTGCACCCATTTGTTGTATGCGCTATTGACACAAATCAGCAATCACCCACAAACCGCAGGTACAATCAACGAACCAGTCGAACGTCTATAGCTTCCAATTCAACATAGTAAAATCGTGCTTCGGGCGGTAGATATGTCATCAATTGTGACGGGGGGGTATGCTGCGGCAGAGCATTGACAGCTGTATCATGGCGATCGGACATCGGAGTGGGGCCTAGTATTAAGTTATGGTCAAAATTAGCATGTGTGTTCCAGAATCGGCAGACATTGAACCGAGAACCAGAGTAGAGACTCAACGAACCGAGATGGTGGGGCTGCGGGAGGGCGCGACGGCGGTAATGACGAAGGTAGAAATCCCAAAACACAAGTATGGATGAGGGAGCAGTGGCAAGTAGTGTCACAAGGGCAATTGTTGTTTCGGCTGACCAGGAAGACATTGTTCGTTCTGACTATAGTTTCGATCGTAGAGATGATAGGCTTGCTCTTAATGTGTAGATGGGGTAAATGACTTGGCGTCCTTGAGTGATTTCAGTCGAAAGGATGGAATGTTATTAAATGTTCAATGGTAAGGGCGAGAGATAGAAGGACTAGGAGCTGGGTTGTTCGGCTCTGCTGCATCAAAAGCTCATTTAGTAAATGAGTCTAACACAGTCAGTCCGTAGCGAGTAAGTAGTGAAAGTTGAAAGCCTACGGCACTTCAGTTTCAAATAAAGCTCTTGGAGGGGAAGGAGCCCCAACTCAGCTATTTTTTTACTCTCAGTTCTTTTCGTTTCTGTTGATTCTTCTTCTTCTTCTTCTTCTTTTTCTTTCCCAGTCGTAGCCATGGTATATATATGTAGAATTTGGGGATGCCGGCTCTGTTGCTCTCTGGCTCTTTCTTCAACCACGGGTTTGGTGCATTGCTTCGGATGACGGGGCCGGAAAGACAATCCTGGTTCCTGGCTAGGAGGACGAGTAAAGTCCGAGACACCTCTAACCAGGCGAGAGATCTTCAACTGCATAAATTTGACCGGTGAAAGCAGGGCAAGCACGATCAGGATCCCAGGGGTGCTGAGGCAGTGGGGGGTGCTCCGGAGGCAAATGTGGATTCTGATTGGCTACTCCAGTCGATTCGCTTTGCACAGCCACAATCATAAGTAATCGCATATCCCTTCTCATTATTTCCTTTGAATTTTACTTGTTTTCATTTCTTCCCCTGGTCGCTTAAGATACCCCCATAATCCTAGGAGGCTGTACCGGCGGCAGTGGCGGTGCCGTTATACTGCTCGGTCTAACCACATGTGGCTGGATTAGCATCCAGGTTCACCGCTGCCATTGCTGTTGCTGACGTCGCTAACTTATAAAACCCTTTCGAGCTGACATATCAAGCCTGCTACTGTTACTCGTTTCCTCTTCATTTCGCTCTGCGGGTAAACATGCGCAGTACTTCCTTACCATCACGCGTCTCCTCGCAGTCAGATTAGGACGTATAATGTCTGCCCTACCGGCCTAATCTTAGTGCTTGTACTCTTCACAATATTTACTGGGCAAGGTAGGATATTAGTATCTACTCTATCGTTTATCTCATATACAGATACACTCATGGAGTGCAGCCTCAACGAACGAAAGAAAGGTTACGAGGAGACCAGAGTCCCATTGGAGATATCACACACACACGTCTATCGACAACGACAAGCATCGAAGTCAGGTTTGAAGATACAATGTCTTATATTCATATGAAGTCCGCGTATCCTGATCCCCCGCCGACATATTGACACTCGTTTCCAGAATCGCCTCATCAAGAGATTATGCATCCACTTTTTGGGATTGACTCGCGGACACTGCACCGGATACTCAATTCGTGCTTATCCATGATATCATTGGTGGGAGTCAATTAAATGCGCAAACAGCCATACAGATTCATCGGTTGCGGGTGGGAACCAGCCCCGACGCTACATCGGGAGTGGTATTCTCCGACTTGCTGCCGCTGCCGCTAGTTGTACTTTGGGGGGATGTATCAGTAATAGAGGTGTTGACGTTCGTCTCGCCGGACCATGAGTCGATCAGACTTTGCCTGATATCCCATTCCAGCTGGTTGGCGTCAGATAAATAATGTGTCCTGGTGGTCCCATCCGCACCGGGGCTCAGCACGTTCGCGCTGGTCAGGATGGTGAAAAGCCCATGGATCTGGTACTGCACGTCATCTCCGATCGCAGTGCCAGTTATCGTGCCGAAGATATTGGACAGGTCCCTGTAGGAATTGGAGCGGTTGCTGGGAATTGTCGTCGGCTTGCTACCTCCGAAGATAGAGCTGTGGTGCGAGCTCGCGTAAGAGGTGCTATCACTACTTCCGCTGCTCTCCGCGGCAAGGGTCCGTGGCGCAGTAGCTTATCCCCAGATCGAGTAGGGTGCGAAGGGAGGCTGCTTGTGGGGCACGAGACCTTAGGAAGCTGTTCGCCATGACCCTTGAAATCGCGACCGTAGATGTCGACGAGCTGGGGGGAAAGTTGGTCTTGCAGCCGATTGAGTCAATTCAAAAATGGCTATGGTGCTTGTTGGATTGGGGCTTGGTAACTTACAAAGCTGCATTGTTCACGTAAGTGCCTCCAGCGGAGCCAATGGGCTGTAGTCGAAATCAGGATTCTGATTGTCGTTCCACTTATCGTTCGTCTAGTGCACTTGATCCCTGTTGCGAGTCGCGGCAGCAATGACCCAGCGGGTGCCATACTGAGCACCAGCTTCTCGAAGGCTCTTGTTCTTGTCTGGAGGTCTAGTCCTGGTGTTGGGGCTGGCCAGGATAAATGAATTTCTGCAGAGGGGCATGGTGCATCTGCGTATCAGTGGAGAGAAGTACTAAGAAAGAAGATGTGGCCCAGCGCTCACATTAAGGAAAATTATTCTAATTTAATAGTCTACTCTAAAGAAGAAAGAAAGGAGAAGGTAAAAGCATACAGAAGTAGCCAGCACTTATGAGGCTTCTGTTTTTTCTTCGATAGCGCCAAACTCCAGGTTGATTCCTGTTTCGAAGAAATCGTCGCGTCGATTCTAAAATGCTGCTGAAATGCAGGTTGATCTGTGTGATTGATTGAGAATCTCTTGAGAAACATTTTTCAGCATAAATCGCGCGTTTGCCGTCATAGTCACTCTACTCAGTTTGCTGTATGAAGCTTAGAATCGCTTAATAGGGTGCTTCAAAATATCTCTTTCATTCAGGCATTTTTCGGAACAAAATGTCTTCTGAAAGCTTTTCTGAAAGGTACTTGAATAGTCGCTTGGCCATTGCTTGGCAATATTCTTGAATAAACTGATATTTGAAATGCAATGTCATTCAACAGGAAAAGTTGTCTAGAAGACCGACTGCTTGAAACTACACAATCTTACACAGAAACCTCCATCTTCCGCATCCTCGATCCCAATTTACCTTCCTGTATTGTACGTACCTACTAATCTCAAGACCTTCATGCTCCAGGAACGAGTAATGGCACACAAAGTCAATTATATTATGACCGGTCCAGCCTCACCACAAGACAAAACATATCTAAGATATATATAAACCATCAGTCTTCTCCTTCTCATGGAATACCAACCAAAAGTCTCATCCACATTTTGTGTTCATCAATTCAGGAAACAAAAGTCCACATCAGATTTCAGTCATCCCAAGGGGGCTGGTAATATTGGAATCCAAGATTTGTCTCTTCGCAGGGATCAATGTAACATAGAAGGGAATTAGCCATGTCACAAAATAAGTAAGACCACAACAACAGGAGTCTCATAACGAGAAAGCTGTCGCCAATTATATATTGTGTGGGAGAGGGTTCCAAGAGGTGATTGTCTCCCTCCTATCTCCCCAATCTATGCGCGTCTTCATATCAAGTAAGTATTCGAACTTGGGGGGGTGGGTGTGCGCCCCTGTCGGGGTATTAAGTTCACTGCAGGGCAGTAATGATTTCGATGGCAGCATATTCTCCTTAAGCCTTGTTCTGCACGTGCTTAGACATGGCACGGATACGGTGGCCATACTTGTACAACAGAAAGGGCATGGGCGCCATGATCGTGGCCAGGATACCGACCAGCGTGAGCACCCAGTGGGGGGTCATATGCTGGTACATGGGGATCGAGGCGGGTTGCAAAGCACCCGAGATAACATAGCGGCTGAAGGTCATGAAGCCAAGCGCGGAACCGGCGTAGACGGTGTACACGAAGACGATGTACAGGTAGGTCGCCGTGAAGATGGTGACCAGGGAGTAACCGAAGACAAAGGTCGCGATGATGGGGGACCAGATGCTGATGTCGGACTGCAATGTGTTAGTAGACAGTCGTACACAGCGATAGGATGATGGTGGCAGCTTACATAGCAGGTCCAGCCCATCCAGAACAGCGAAATCGGCATCAGGAACGAGCCTCCGACCATGGCCCAGTACAGAGAGACCTCAGCCTGCAGAGCGGTACCGTTGGTCGCTGCCTTGACCGCTGCCTTCTTGGTCCAGCCATAGATCACCGGAATGAGACAGAGGGCAACGGCATCACCCGCCAGCATGGCTACCCAGATGATGAAGGTCAGCGAGTTGGAGATGCCGTAGGTCTGCGTGAAGATGAAGGGGAAGCCGTTCAGGAAGGTGAACAGGACGATGTACAGCAGGATCAGGTAGAAAGAGAAGAGCAGGACGATGGGTTCCGTGATGGTCATCTGGAAGGGACGGTACACATTGACGAGGAGACGACTGCCCAGCGAGCTGGTGGAGGCAGACTCGTCGACTTGGTAGCGGGAGTCTCCGGTGGCAGCTCGCAGGTGCTTGGCCCGCCATGACAACAAAGTGGGACCGTAGGTCTCGGGCTGGAACAGTGCAACAAAGGCGAGCACAACACCGGCAATGATGAGAGAGATCCAGTCGGTCCAGCTTGACTTGTCAGCAGGGATGTAGGCGCCGATGATTGGACCCAAGATGGGACCCGAGTACGAGGCCATAGTCACAAAGGGCAAACTGAAGGTGACTTCGAGAGGTCCCCAGATATCACCCACGGTACCACCTCCAACCGTCAATGGCGCTGCACCAAAGAATCCCTGGATGAAGCGGAATACAATGGCGGCACCATAGTTAGGAGCCAAAGCCTTAGCCAGGATGAACAGCATGAAGACAATCAGAGTAATGAAGTAGACCGCGTTGCGACCAAATGTCTCCGAGAAAGGTCCGGCGAATAGGGAGCCCACACCCACGCCAATGAGATACATTCCTGTGGGCATTTAGTCTCAACCCTTGAATAGTGGGAAAGGGGTATTCTACCGGTTACCATGGTACCGGCAATATCACCGACATGATACTTCTCGTTGAAGGCCGAGGATATGGGAGCATCGATGGTACCGGGGATAGAGACAGCCAAGGCGATCAGACAAACCGTTGCTGTGCAGAACCATTTTTTGACGCGGGTCCAGTTCTGAGGGTCCAATGGGTCGCCCTTCTTCCATCCAACGAGGTAGGTAACGGAGCCATCGTTCTCAGCAGGGCGAGATAGTTCCACGCCAGGAATGAGAGCCGTCTCCTTTTCGTCCGGAGTAGAAGTGCCAGAGGATGAGCCGCCGTCTTGTGCCGTGTAGGCTTTAGCCACGTCCCTCCTGGGCCGCAGCTCGTAAGTTGATATATTGACGAATGGTCGCCATGGATAATGGGTCAAAGCGATGTGGTTGTGTGAGGTATAAAGGGTTTCAGATAGTCGAAAGTATACAGAGAGGATGAGAGTGGGATGATTGAAATGCTCTGGTCAGACATATTTTGGCAGATAAGTCGTCACTGGCAAGCAAATATATACAGACTGATTACCCCTGTGCTTGGTAACCTGGTGATGCGTAAAGTGACCGAGACGGATTGATAGAGATAGGATTATGTTGATTACTGTTGACTACTAGGTAGTTTTGCGATGGGAAGATCAGCGGGATCGGGATTCAGCAGTGAAATCCGGCCAGTGACAGAAGGCTGAAATGCCCGGCCGCTGCAGTCTCGGATTCCCCGCCGGACTCTCGGGCACTTTTGGAGGGGCCATTCTATGCAGTTTCATTGGCAGAAACCATTAACTCATCCCGACATGAATCAGCTCGATGACTAAACCCAAAAGTGTCCATGGCTTTTCCCTTTCTGGCCGCGGACGGGCCAATTTGTGTCCGATTGTCCCCGCATTTCCCTACTTGATACTCTCTTGATGCTTCTCGAGCGCCTTGTGTGATCACAGTAGTGGTCCCTGACCTAATAATTTGAACCTGACTTGGTCTAAATCTGAGTATTCTGACTCTGGTCTCAGACTAACTGTTGCTCAACATGGAGTAAACTTGACATTGAGTCTGCGACATTACGCGTGTCGGCATATATTGATTCGACATGAGCAGGTATCATCCTTATGAGCCCTGATTCGATGCAAGAATAACTGCTGTCATTCACGTCAACGACTGCATCCAAATTCACTGGGGCAAATTGAGGCAGGGGATAAATTACATTCACATTCTCAAACGACACATATCCCACCAACTCTATATCTGCCTGACACCATGTCTTCCGAGACCGTCTACATCCCGCTCAACCTCTGAGCCACCTCCACCGGTTGCTTGTTAGAATCTGAGGGAGATCAACCGACACGGCTAGGAGGCTATGGTCGAGGTTGCTGGCTGTCATGGCTCGGCTTTCTATGTGAGTAGAGGAGTTTGAGACTTGTGATTGGACTGCTTTCCTTCTGTCTGGGTTTGTCATGAGCAAATTTGTTTAACTATGATGATGTCTTGCATGTTATCTATGATTAGCTTAATTTCATATTCTATCTCTATATCTCTTTTTGATCAAGAACTGTACCCAAAACTGCCGCTGGAAATCCGAGCATACGCCGCCAGTCACGAGCTTTTCACCACTCCATACAAACACTCCCCATCCCGCTCCATGCCCTTCTCCTCCACCGTCTCTAGACAGCATATCCCACCCCACGCAACACCTCCAGAGGCCCAATCTCCAACCACCTCTCCAACACCTCCTCGCGATCCAACCACACCGACCCCGCCATTCCCGCCCCATTCACCGTGACATCCTGACTATACCGATCCTTCGACCGAGGAATCACCAGAATCCACTCCTCGACCAGAATCACATTATGCGGCATGCATTCCCCACCACTGCCTTGAGTCCAATCCCCCAGAGCTGCTTGCATCTGCCCCAGCAAAGCAACATACTTATCCACCACAACCTTAGCGTACCCTTCCGCGCGGAACTCGGACGGCGACAACGCCGCCCTGAAATGCACAAAGGGGATATCGCAAGACCGCGGATTGCGGTTGGTAGGGAGGATCCCCGCTCTAGAAGCCTTCCCTGCTGGAGATAAATCTACAGTCTCGTCATCTTCGTCGTCAAAACAAGGGATGATATGCATGTGCTTATGCTGTCTACTCGCGCCCGCAACGTGACCACAGTTGAACATGGCAAAGTACCGCCGCCGGCGAGTACCGTCAGTTGCGAGCGCGCAGAGCACGGCACGGACCGCTTCGAGGTCTTGGAGGCTTAGAGGCTCGTGCTGGCGTCGGTACGAGTCCTGCGTTAGGAGGAGGTACTGTGGCCGGAAGACGCTGTAGCCGTTGGGAACGAGGATGTGGGTCTCGTGGATGGTGGCGAGGATGAGGTCAGGCGTGGGGCAGGCGAGGTCGCTGCCAGGGCCGAAGGTCGCGGGTCGGTCGGGTGAGTCCTTGTCGGACGGTTGAAGGCCCTGGCCGGATTGGGGTTTGTTGGTTAGGGATTTACTGATTTGGAATTCGAACTGCAAGTTGCAGAGTTAGACTGTGTGGTTTGGTTTAAATGTATCGATGGGGAAGGGGAGAAGTTGTATACGTGAAAGTTGTCGACTGTGAGGCGCACGATCTTGCATGGCGAGTGGACCACGAGGCCGCGGCGGACTAGGGAGTCGAATTCCGATAGGGCTGTGGCATGGGTGAGAGTTGAGAGGGTGTGTTTGGCGCTAAAGCTTGGCATCGTCTCTAAATTATACGGGCTTAGGCGTTGTGGATGGAATTGGGCTTGGATGCACAAACGGGATGTGATCGAGAAGGGAAGACGAATGTACGGAGTAGCGGTGCCAGGTTGCAAGCAAGGGGGGTTACGGGGGGGGATGAGTTCGACGGCATGCGGGCTGTGGCGCCTGTCTCGGGTCCCGATCTCGGTCCTTAGCTGGGAGTGGTCTCGGCCCGTCGGGGCTTGAACTTGCGCGGCAGATCGAGGGTTCTACTGTATTTGAGCTTCCGCTTCCCTCTCTGCGTCGGTCCGCACGTGGAGATGCTCTCTGTGAAGGAAGAATCCACTTATGTGAGCAACAATCTATGTGATATATGCACCTTGGGGAGGTAAGCCACGGTCAAAGATGCGCATACAGACTCATATTGAAAGAAGAAATGATGGGTATCTTTGAGTATATAGAGCAGGACAAGAACTGGTAACCAATCATGCCATTGTATAGTTGAATTCTTGCGGACTTAGAAGGCCACGGCAGAATGCAGCCTGGCTCACCGCCGGGGTTGGAACGGGATTCAGCGGGCAGATCTTCCACTCTTGGCAGCTCGGAATTGGCGCTGCTCTATGTGAACACCGGCCTTACACGATCCATCAAGAAATTATACTTCGGATTTCTACTTGGGACGCTCGGCAACATAGCGATCGAATTGTCTCTTCTGCAAAAGCTTGAGCCTCGTGCATACAACGTGCTCGGACAGGAGCAGGAATCCCCTCTACAACGGTGACCATACTTAAGCTCCGACACCAGTAGTCCATTTCAAAAACATGTCGATAAGCCGAACACAAACTGGATCAAGATGATAAGGTCACCACTCCTCGATCATGCATCGCCCTACAACTCCACCATGAGTGTCATGGAGAAGGGAGAGAGCATCACCAGCGAGCTGCCCCCGAAGCGCAAGACCCGCGACAGCTGCGACGCCTGCGCCAAATCCAAGGTGCGCTGTGGTAAGCAGCATCCGCGATGTGACAGATGTGTGGCACGCAACAAGCCTTGTAACTACGGCTTCATCCGACCACGAGGACGACGACGTCTCTCGCAATTTTCAACGGGGGGCATATTCACTCCGGTCAACGACATACAAAATGGCTCACCCCACCGGGCCGACAACAACAGCGACAACCACCTGTTCCAACACATCGACCTCTTCAACACATTAGGCTATCAAGAACTCGAAGCCATTGCAGAGAAGCTGAACGACTTCTCTGCGACCGACCCGCTGCTCCCGAACCCGCCCACTAGCGTGGGACAGAACGACTTCCAACTCATCGAGGACTGGCAGACTATGGACCAGGAGCTGGAGCGGCTGCTGGACATCACCACGCCGCAGCCCACCCCAACCCTCGGAGTCCCTTATCAATCCAGCTCGCAATCCAGCATTCAAATTGGCGTCTCTTTCCTCTCCACCTCCTCCCCCTCATCCGTCTCCTCCCCATCACCCAGCGTCTCCTCCCTCCACGGCCAATCCTGCATCACACTCACCTTCAAGACCTTGCAAACTCTCCACGCGCCCTCAGAGAAATGCGTTCTAAACTCCAGCTCTCTGTCACCCCGCAGCCTGGACGCCGTCCTGTATCTCAATCAGAAGGCCATGAGCAATCTTTCTCTGGTCATTGGCTGCCCCTGCTCGCTAGACTTCAGCTTCGCGCCGCTCATCGCGCAGGTCATTTCCAACATCCTGGTCTGGTATCAAGCCATTCTGGATGGCTGCGAGGCCATGACCGAGACGGCGAACATGCAGCCAACCACAAACGCAACCCTCGTGCGCGTCCTCCCCATCAAGATCGGGCAATACGAGCTCAGCGAGGGCGACCACCGCCGCATCGTCACGCAGATGGTCCTGAACGACCTGAACAAGCTGCGGGTCTTGGTCGACAGCTTCACGCAGTCGTACTGTCGACGCGAAGCCTCGCCCGGCGACGCGGACCAGTCCATGTGCTCGATTCTGGAGTCAGTGCTGCGGCGCAAGCTGGATGACACCCTCGGTTCTGCGGTTCTAAAAATGACGGATTAGGTTGGACTTTCTCTTGGAGGAAGTGTCGAACGTAGCATTATGTACATGGCGCTGGAATTGGGGAGTTGGTGTCTAGGTGTTGTTTAGTTCTGAAGATGATTGACTTGATGCGCAATAGACCTTTCTTTCTTTGGGCGGGTTTGTAGCCTGTGGTGATATTAGTGGCATTTTTCGTCATACTAGGTATCGTAGTCAGGATACCACATCCTTGGAGTATGTCGGAGGTTAACCTAACCTGTTTAACTTGGTTCCTCGTTGTCGTGGATGCACAGTATAAAATGATGTCGCGGGTTGAGTGCATCTCATTGCTCTCGTAGTACTACCCAGTCTCCGCGGTCGTCCATTGCATTTGAGCCGCTTGAAATCGGGTTAATTTATGAATTACGACAATCTATAAGCATCAACCCTAGTGCAAACATGCCTGCAGAGTTAGGCTTACCGTTCTCAAAGTTTCAAGCACGGCAGAGAACACTCAACCCACTCGAACGAAACACCTGCACCCCCCCAGTGGCTGAAGAAACAGGAGCGGGCTTACTCTCTCTTATAAAGACCAACAAGCCCGGAAATCAGTCTAATTTCGCGCCCCAGTTGGTGGTCAACCCCCAGTCCTATGATGCAACGTGCCTACCTATGGAAGTAGATATGTACCTAGGCAAGACTATACATGAGAGCAACCCCACGGAATTGGCATTCGGACTTCAAGTCACGGGTCCTGCTGAACTCCCATGCGCTTCCACCTGCTAACAGCCAATGGTGTCTGTTCTTGGGACTGGATAAGGTGGTACGACACAGGTGTGATGCAGTTTCATTGGCTAAGGTAAAGTAGCAGCAGCAGCAGGGGTACCTGTTGCTGCGTCGGGGTTCAACCTTTCGAATTCCGGAGTCCTATTCCCCTCATACATGTTGAGAGCAGGCCAGAGATAGCCCAGGATTTGATCACAACCTCTAATAACAAAGTAGTCTCTAATTAAGGGGATAATACACAGAAAGGTAGATCCAAAGGACGACTGCGGGATTCAACCCAATTCTCCCTGAACCCGCCCAGTTGGATCTGGCGCCACCGTACAAAGAACGCGATTGGGAACAATAGTAGTACCTAGGTATCTATGAAAGATGGTGCAGATATTATTTCAATGGCCAGATATAAAATCCCGTTAACAACACCTTTAAACACCTGCTTGGAGATCAGTGCAGCAGCCTTGAATCTTTCCTCTCTCGGTCTACATCTCTATCCATGGTAGTAAGTCATAGTACACTCCTCTGGATACGGAAACCCAAAGGTTATATCCCTGCTCACATAATTCCCAAATGGGGAATACAGTATACCCGCCGGCCTGTGGACAATTACACTGTCACCGGATTCCGGGATTCAGGATTCACAAACCCACTCCCTTGAATCCCGAAACCCGGTCTCTCCATGAGTTTCAAAACTGTTTTTCTGTACTCTTAAATGGCACTGGATTCTCGACTGCACAGATCCTCTTACTTGGTCAACTCCAGTCGGTTATTTTTTTTCTTACTTTCTTTCCTTGTTGGCGGGTGAGGAGGGGGAAGCAAATGATCAGATTGCTCAAGATAGTCACGACACCCTTCATCTGTCGGTACTGAGTTATTCAGAGCATGGAGCATAGGTATTCAAATGTTATGTGCAGTGAGCGACTCCGCTGCCATTTGTGAATTCCAACAATTTATCTCTGGGAGTACCACATTCAACGCTTCAATGGGAACGACCTCATTTTCTTTCTTCTGTCAAACAATAAATCTGATCGAGCGTCGTTGAGGTAAGTATCCTTTATCACTTCCACGTCTAAGAGCTGATGCTGTATAACAGATTTGCAATGCAACCAAGAATCTGAATTGGATTCAAAATACGCACGAAGGTCGAACATATATCATACATACATGCTCAAAACGAGCAGACGTGCGTGTCCTGCCCGAAGCCACCCTCCTTCGTCATATGAGGTGATGAAGTCATGCATCACTAGCAGAAGGCAGGCCGGCACGTTCTCAATCTCGGTTGCGTTGATCATGTTCCATGTTCGCCAGCATATGCAAATGGATGCACCAATCACAGAACCTACAAACCGCGACAGTCATCTTCATTATCATGGATGTCTAGCTACATGTCTACGTACTGCAACTGACCTATAATGCACTTTCCAGAGTTGAGGAATCTCTGCCTTTTTTTGGCTCATATCTGCATGTCTGGGATTATCGCTCCATCTCGTGTTCCCCTCATCGGAATAGCACTCAAGCCATAAGCTCTTACAAAGACGCGAGCACAGGTTCTTTCCATCCCCGTCCCGGGGCGTTTGCAGTTTCACTTTTAGAATTAAAGTGTTGCAAGCTGGTTTCTGGGGGCAGTCTACGGATCTCTTCGACAACGGTTCGGCCCGCTCCAAACTGGGGAGAGTTTCCATCCAGTTTTGTGGTCTTGACTGACGGAGACAGGACTCATGCTGGTAAGTGGAACACCATGTGGGTCCAGCTGCAGAGTGGTCAGCCTTCAGTCAGTGGTCCTGGCGGTTGAGTGCAATTCTCTTAGTGGCCCGGCAAGCCCATGTGCGCTGGGCGAAGGATGGCTCGTCTGGCTGATTTCATGGGTAATGTACTTGCATCATTAGACTGGCAGCCTGCGGAATCCATGCACGAAGACTGTAGAGCACAGACGTATCATATTCGGTGCATAAGGCGATTCCGTCAAGACGTTCATAGCTCGAATTGTGCCTCATCTTTCCCACCTTGTCATGCAACACTTCAGGAAACAGAGGCATTCATTTCTTCGTGAATGGAACTGCGCTAATGATCGCATGGTTTGACCATGCAGTGATTCTGTGATTGGCATTGCTGACAGCTTTTTCCTTCAGCAGGCAAGTGTCATTGTTGCCGATAATACGATCTACTACAGCTGCGCTTCTCTGGAGACTGTCCATCTTCAGATCCATCAGCATCTATCTGAAGGCAAAAGGAGTCGAGACGTGGCTCTTTCACCTTGAGTAAAGCTGACATGAAGCAGCGCTTCTACCTATCCTCTGATGAAGCCTCTCCTTTCATTGAAGCCAATCGCCCAATCTCTACACCTAACAGTGAGGGGCAAGTCTTGGTCTGAGACATTGAGGGTAGGATTGGATGTTGATTCAATATATCAAGCCATTCAATTCTGCTATTCTAGGTCCCTAAAATTAGTTCTTTCTTGGCAGTAGTCTAACAGTATCCACCAGGGTCACCATGTTGACATTTGGCGTTAGTTTGATCTTTCATGCTGTGGCTCTAGCCTAATCTACCTAATCGTAGTCCCGCCCGCAATCTCACCACCACCAGCCCCGACTTTCCTTTCCCTTTCACCACCCCAGTTTCCCCTCTTCATTTAATGTCACCGTCATTCTTTCTCTTTCTTTCAACCCGTGGACTAGACTACCGTGGCTTGGAATGCTATTCTTTTTCCTTTTTCGAATCTGAACTTGATAGAAACGTCACTTAAGCCGGGCGAATGACCTCGACAACTAACAGTATCAACGGCGAAGCTGCGGTCAATCCCGTCTCCGTCGTCGGGGATAAAGAGTCGCCTCAGGAAGACACCTATCCTGCTCCTTACGGTCGCTCATGCTTCAACTGCTCCCAGGCCAAATGCAAGTGTCTCTACCTAAAGGCAGGAGGTCGATGCCAGAGGTCAGCTTCGCTCAATTCTTCAGTAACCCCATCATGCAGACATCTACTCAAAGAACGGTGGTATTAATCCACCCCTTCCATTCAGGTGTCAACGCCTAGATAAAGAATGTCGCCAATCCGCCGCCAGTCGAAGGTCAACTACGCGCAAGGCTGGAATTTCCAGCAGTTCGGCCAAAATATCTCGACTGGAAGACAGATTGGAGGACCTGGTCTCGCTGCTGCGCGCAGGCGTCCAGCCGAATAATATCACCACCACCACGATGCTTGGTCTACTTGGGCAGCTCTCAGACAACCAGGCCTCGTCCAACAGCAACGCCGCATCGCCTCCGAGCATGTTGGACGTCCCGAGTAACGGCAGCTCCGGGCCTAGCCCAGTGTATGTCAGTCGAAACTCTGGCGCCACTTCCACTCCCGACACCAGCATCTCCGACAGTGGGGCTTCTCTATCGTCGGGCGCCGCGTCCTTGAACGCCACGGAACCGTCGGGATTGCAGGCTGAGGAGTACCTCACCTTCTTTCAGACTCAGATGCTTCCCTATTTCCCTTGCATGCATATTCCGCCAGGTACTACATCGCAGAAGCTTCGGCGAGACCGCCCATTCTCGTGGCTGTGTATCATGGCCGTGGTGTCTCGGAGCAGTGCGCAGACTCGCCCGCTTTTCGACAGAATCAAGCACATCGTATCACAAAAGTTGGTGCATGAGTACTCATGTCGTGATCTTGACATTCTTCAGGGGCTCTTGATCTATCTTGGATGGTAAGTCACCCCCTCGGGCTGGAATTTCTCTATCGGCTGACCTCAACTGATCCAGGTCCAACCAGCAAGTCTACAATAGAGCCAATGTGCATGTTTTTACTCAGCTCGCCAACAGTATTGTCTATGAGATGGGACTTTTCAATCCTGAAGCGAAAGGAAAGCATACGCTCTTGTGTGTACACACAGAAGCCCACGAAGACCGCGCAGCACCTCCCAGTCAGGTTATGGAGCAACGCCGGGCTGTTCTGGGTTGTTTCTTACTCACCTCCATGTAAGGCTGTCTTTCTGTCTTTTACATCATTCTCTAACGTTTAGGCTAGCATTGCTACCTTCCTGCAACAAAGTGACTCTCTTCGCTGGACATCGTACATGGACGAGTGTCTTCGCCTACTTGAGGAGCAGCAAGAGAGTATCAACGATGAGATGCTGGTTCAACAAGTCAGACTACAGTTGGTCAATGATAAGCTAAACTTAGGGGGCTTCTTTGGAGGGTCAAAAGGGTCGATGCGACCGTCGCCTGCGGTGTACATTCGGCCGATGCAGGCTCAGCTACAGACCCAACTCCAAGGGATCATGAGCAGAGTCCGGCCCAACTCGCAGGGCTACAGTCAGTATCCTGGGGTTTTCAACGCCATGTAACGCTTTCGCTAATTTGTAGTAGAAATTCTTCTTCTACATCACTACAATACCTCATTGAGCCTATACGAGTCTGCTCTTACCAAGGGTACCATTGCCTCCATCACAAACGTGAGCTACGAGCATCTCGACTATCTCTATGGCTGCCTTGAGGCCACCAAGTCATGGTTCGACGTGTTCCTGAGCATCCCAGCCGCAGAGTACATTGGATTTCCCTTTGCGATATTCTCGCAGATGGTACAGAACCTCGTGACGCTCTATCAGCTATCGACCTTGGACAGCTCCGTCTGGGATACTACGAATGTTCGCCAAACGGCAGACATTATACAGATCATGAACATGGTGATCTCCAATATGGGGCAGGTTGCGTCGCTCAATGGCTTCGAGGGTGATCCTGGTGGCGACGTTTTCTCGAATATTGCCAAGATGTATCAAGGTGTGCGCGTGGGTTGGGAGACTAAGTTGATTCCAAATCCTCTGGGCCCGCACGCGGCGACTTCTATTCCATCGCTGTCAGCAAATACGCTCTCCGCGCCGCCAGACGCCTTGTCGGCGTTGGACACATTTCCTCTTCTAGAGGACAACGACTGGCTCGCGGATATGTTGAGCACGATGGACAAGAACAACAAGGGCTTAACACCTACAATTTCCGGTGTTCCTGACGTACCGTGAGGCATGAGGCGATGCAAACGACCTGCAATAGATTCATAGCCTCTGATCAGAGCAACGTTTGAATATAAATAAGGTGGCCTGGGTGACTACAGCCCTGCATCAGGAGATCCGCACACGATCCCCACTGTGAGGCCTTGCGGATTTGACCTGAGGGCGCTAAGAAGCGACCTTTCCTATGGGTAATACCATACCACGTTGGACGGCTTGGCAGTCCAAAGGACTTCAATGCAGAGGGACCTTCCCCTTGGCGTCTATGATTTCATGACTATGGCGTTACTACCTACCTAATCGAGCATATCAGGATTGGGGTCTTTTGGGTCGAGGAATCGACATTGTTGTTCCTCTTTTTTAGAGTTTGGCTTCGAGTAGATCCCTTCTGGTTGGCGCATGTGTATTTAGAGAGCCTCCAATATTGCTGGGAAAATGCATTTTATTATCATGTTATCCACTCGTTGCCGTACGGTCACTCATTAATAGCTAATCTTATAATTCGAGTACAAGATCCCGAAATTTCAGTATGACATTGTGGCGAGGGTTGGTTGCACTACACGTCTTGTTGCAGAGGACTTCCAGAGTGTGATCTAGGAAAACAGGGAGGCATTCGTAGACTTTAGATGGTATGCAAATCTAGACCTAAGAGCTGGTTGATTTAGAAGCGCAGACGTTAGGTAGGCTCGCTGTATACATGCTATCCCTAGCCAATGGCATGTAGATGGCAACTTTCATTCAACACCAGCTGCGCTACTCTTCCTCTTTGCGTGTCTCTCTGTTCATCTTTCGGCTCGGACTCACCATCCTCGACTCGTCGATTTGGACATCTTGTGCTTTGGTTTGTTTGTCCTAACCTCCTTGACCAAGGCTAAACCTAAACATATACGTCCTCTACTTTACGCTTCGAAGCGCTGCTACGGTGTGCCATGTACGTTGTGATGTGTGCATTTTCGGGCTGGAAGGGTGGGAGGTAGATGCTTGCACTTTGCTCGGACACTAGATCTCTCGAGTGTTGGTTTTAGGCGGGGATGAATCTACAAGGTTTGCATCACGAGAGAGGTTCAGGTTGCCATTGTACTTGATACAACTGGGGGTCTACTCTGCGGGTGCAGACAACGGTCTGGTTGGGGTCTACTGGTGTCGCCTGGGTGGTTATGTACCATGGGGTTCTTTCGAGGCTGTAGCAGCGGATATATCATGTGTGGATATCGTTCCATAGGAGTATTGTGGTTGGCGGCCCAGGGTAAGTTACGACTGTATACACGGAGTATGTCGGCCACATGGCGATGATGATAAGATGACGACTAGCTTAGAATGCTTCCATGATGGAAGTAGTACCAGAACAGACGTTTTAAAAAAAGCCACCCGCGCGAACCCGCCTCTCCTCGTCTAGCGGTATACAGTTGTGTACGGTTGGGAAAAAGAACAGAGCAAAAGAAGAGGAGGGACATGCACCCGATGGGGATTGAACCCATGACCTTCGCATTACAAGTGCGACGCTACTACCACTGAGCCACGAGTGCATCTGTGGCGAATTTGGCGCCGAGGGCAACTTATAGTGCACACAGACAAAAGCGGCGATAAACTCAAAACAAACACACTCAAAAAACATCTCCTCGGGCGAAAGAGTGCTCGTTCAATGCACCGAATGGGGTTTGAACCCACGACCTTCGCATTACGAGTGCGACGCTCTACCACTGAGCCACCGGTGCTTGTATGACTAATCCCGCCAGTTGAGAACATTATGTTGCAACTACAAAGATGGTAAGTGAAAAGAAGCGGCTGCACACAAAAAGGAGAAACTGAAGTGTTGCATCTGATGGGGATCGAACCCACGGCCTTCGCATTACGAGTGCGACGCTCTACCACTGAGCCACAAATGCTTCAGTTGAAGAATGTGGCGACTTGCATAAAATATCACTGACGTTGTGTGAACCGATGCTGGGGAAGTCTTATCTTAGGCGTCTGGGATGTCTATGATCTTTCTTTTTACAGGTTGGTTTTCAGAGATTCTGCTTCCGTCGAGGTCGGGCTGTCTTAGATCGGTGTTTATGCGATCGGAACTACAGCCGTGCGACTTGATGTAGTACACTATTTTCACGGAGTACATGCTGCCAGGCAATATATATAGGATTGAGGCTGATCCTCACATCATCTTGCATCGTGAACGAGTAATAGAGCGGCCTTCCAAGTTGACCCCAGCCGACAGTCGCAAGCATACCAAGTGTGATATGGCTACATACCGTATCATCATCAGAACCAGGTATACCCCAGATCGCGTGCAACCGCAACCCCGCACTCGACCTGCACCCTGCAAGGCTGCAACATACGGCAGAGACAGATCGCATCGGGACGCCCCCGGTCAGATCTGAGACTACCCGCAAGGCTGCGGCTCTGAGACATGGGTTATGAGTTACACCCGAGACACTTTCCACCCAAGAGCAGTAAAATGAGCCAAGAAATCGCGGCCGGTGGTCGCCAACTGCCACTAGCTCGGCTGCCACTAGCTCGGCTGCATCGCACTATATCCCCTACAAGCCAAGACTTTCTCGAAATTCGGGCCAAGCCACATCGACCGTTGTTGGATCGAGGAAAATCAGATGCTGAGATCCCACTTAGGGGCAGGTAAACTACGATCCTAGGCCGCGAGAGGGTGACCTTGAAGAGAAAGGAGAAGATACGGAGTAGAAGGGGTTGATCTCCCTGCCAACGGTGATGTTTATATTGTATAGTACCCATCCGGCGGAAGTAAGGGCCGAGCCACATGTGAGGGTCTCTGTCAATTGACTCAGACCGCTGAACACCGCAGAGGCAGATGGTTTCCGGTCTAGATTTCCGATCGAGGTCGGGTTGCGGGTGAGTGATCCAGTCGCCTTGGATGCAGATGGCGATCATAATCTCCGCCCATGTCGTATGCGGCTGTACCGTCAACACACGAACACATATCCTCCAGGCTACCACGAGTCGAGTGAATGTGGTACCCCCCCCGGCTTTACCACACAAGGAACGGCCACAAGGCATGGTTCCTGGCAGCGCGAGGGGGACATCGTCGCATAAGCCATAGAGATTCCACAGAGATCGACCCAACACCACATCTCAGGCCCTGATTGGCAGTCCACAGCTCATATGAACAGACTCCTGGGCGAATCTTGAGGAAGACGGTTGGCTACGTCTCCAGGCAGAGTTGGGCACAACAAACAAGCCAAGAAAGGTTCCTCAAAGACCTACAACTTACACTTTCAAGCGGCCGTGGGCCAAGATGTCATTTTTCTTGGACCATCCTGTCATATACTACTCGAAAAGTCAAAGATCAGACACGCTCGCCGAGTCTGCTGCTTTCGTTGCAGTATGCGCTGGTCTTGCCTCAACTATGATCATCGACATGTACATGTCGCATCCGATCCGAGTACTATGCAGTCAGGCCGACAATGATATATGTCGATCTTGCGCGGCCGACTGGCTCAGAGTTTATTAGCAAGTACCGAGTGCACATAACCCTGTTGCGCAGCAGGCGGGATTCTGAAGCATCCTCTGACACACACATGTCTGCCACTGGGATCTAGACAGCCAATGGCGGTGTCAATGTAGACAACCACAAACGCACAATGTTGGGTCGATGTGCGGATGCGCCCTGATGTTTCAAGGGCCGAGTCGCAAGAAAGAACGAGATGTCAGGACACCAGTCAGATTGTAAAGCGCTCTATGGGTCGCGCACACAAGTCGCATATTGGAAGTGAAATAATTTCAATCATCATACAATTCCATGTCATTTGGACCAACATTTCGGTTGCCTGTTTGGCATGCAGAGCCGAACGATAGATGGGCCAGCAGTGTCAGTGAGCTTGGAACCACGGGTGCGACGGGGAACCCCGGCCTCGGGGAGGAAGGGGGGGGAACTGGCACGATTTACAACCCGGACCGAACAAACGTAACGCCGACTCCATGACTTAAGTAGGCACTGACGTTTTATTCCTCTTTACTCCCGGATAGTCCGTACTACTTCTGCTTCCATCACAATTCCAAAGTTCTAGACTCAACTCCATCCATCCCCATCGAAGCAACAAAAGGGGAAGATAACTTAGAGGAAGGTCGCACAAGCGGATCAACTCATTTCCACGCCCGTGTCTTGAGACAATCTCGCGAGGGGGGCAAAAGTGGACAGGCATCTCGTCTCGATCACCCAATCTTGGTTTTTCAGTTGGGGAGTTTGGGCCAAAGCTGAAACATTAGCGGGCGCCAGGCGGGCTCCAGATGGGCTGCCGAGTTGCCAAGTTTTTAGGTGGTCAATCATTTTGATCTCGTTTGCTGGTTCGCTTTATCAATGAGAAGTTAGTAACATCCTCCAGGCTCTGTGATGTCCAGTTGAACCTTGTGATCCTTGGTAATTCATTTGGGTGTAATTAGGGTTATAGTGGTTTAATTTCCTACTGTCCCAGTAGTTTTGGTGATGGTCATTCTATACTCCTGGTTGACGGTATCTTTATCTACGGAGATTCAGAGAACCGAAGCAGCCTTTGAGGGTTTGTCATGAACTGACAAAGCCCACACTGTTCAGTGTAGATAGACAATGGGCATAAGGCAGCATTCTTATTCACCACTTATACAAACGTCCAGTCCATCAATTCACTACTCCATGATCAATCAAGAAACCGATCAAATCCGTAATGTAAAGATGGCTCTAGTGGAGCCAACCATGACGACCAATTAGCCTGGTGATCGACTTGTGATTTGCCTGATAGGGGACGGTACCTGAAACGGGCGGCGGCATCAACGCTGTTACTGTTCCCCTTTAGGCTTAGTGGCAGCCAGGGGGGAAAAGCACGGGAGCCCCATTCAATGTTCTCAGTCCCAGGGGTTGCAACATTTCCTGCAACAAGGAAAATCAAAAAGACTGTTCACCAACGAATCATCGAAATTCTGGACCCTGATGCCAGAGCAAGAAAGAGATTCCTTGTGCACCCTTGTGTGCGCCCTTGTGTGTCAGAATGGCTATGAGTAAGAATGTATCAGCTTCGAAGCATGAAGGATTTCTAGATGATCTTCTCCGGTATGTGGTTGGGAGATCCCACGAGGAGGCGTCATTCCGATGGCAACGCGTGCAAAGGCGCTTAGTCGTCTGGATATTAATGAGTAGCGGGGACTCACCTCTTAACCGAGCTTTCCAAAGAGATTAGACCACTCTGCATATCGGTCAGTCTGTACGTCTCTGGCAGTAGAACTCGAGGAGAAAAAGGCGATGCCTCCCACATCCCTCCTCCACCTCCGGCCCGCCTCGTTGTCGAGATCGGTCTGAAAGACTCACACTAAACCACAAACTAAACAACTTCTCTGACTTCTCTCTCTCAGCCCACTGGTCTGGTGCTTCTGAGAAAAAGCTTCCCCGTCCGAAAGTAATTTACTTTTTAATTATCAACGATCGCCCGACCCCACCGGGGACACGCCGCCCGCTGGAGCCCTTCTCCTTTCCGTCATTACACCTCTGCCCGCCCCAAAACATCCCGCCGCCGCCTGCTCCAGACTATATTATCACTTCCTCCTCCATCCTTCCTCCATCTCTTGCCTTTTCCTTCCTTACCGTTGGCCTCACTTCACCTCCCACCCCCCCAACTTTTGCTTCTTCCCCTCAACTTTGCCGTTGGTACACTTTTTTCACTCTTTCAAAAAGTGTTTCCCTCGGCTGTCACTCTTTTACTACCTTGTCTATACGCACCCCCGGTGATACGTACATACTCTCCCTCCTACCAACACCAACCCGCTTATCTTGCAGTCGATCTGCTTATTGCCCACTCAAAACACACTCTGTGCTTTGAGTTCCTGCCTGGTCCATCGGTCAAATAACTTCCCGGAGAAGTCGTTGCTTGCAGACGGACACAGTTGATCTGTGAAACACATCTCAATTCCATAACATTGAAAACATCATCAACCATCCAACATGCGTTACTCCCTCGCTCTGAGCGCCCTCTGCGCCGCCGGTGCCTTGGCCACCAACATCGACAAGCGTGCCTACGTCACTGACTGGACTGTCGTGACTCTGACCACCACCATCACCGAGTACCCGGCTGCCGCCGCTACCACTACCGCCGCTGCAACCACCACTGCGGTTACCAGCGCTGAGCCTGTCGTCCAGGTCGCCGAAGTCGCTGACGTTGCTGACGAAGCCTCTACCGTTGCTGCCGTTGCTGCCGCCGAGACCAGCTCTACCGTCGCCCCCGTCGTTGAGTCGACCTCGACCTCTTCGACCAGCACTATCGAAGTTGCGACGACTGCAGCTGCGACCACCGAGGCTGCGACCACCGCGGCCCCTACCACAGAGGTAGTTGCCACCACCCCTGTTGTGCAAGAGGCTGCCGCCAATGGTGATTGGACCACTGCTTGGACCTCTTACTGGACCTCGTCCTGGACATCTTCCGCCGAGCCCACCACCCTTACCACCTCGAGCTCAACCTCCACCACTGCAAGCAGCACCGCGACTGCCAGCACCGCTTACCAGTCTGCCGTTTTGTACAACCACAACATCCACCGCAGCAACCACTCTGCTAGCTCTCTCGACTGGGACTCTAGCCTGGAATCCAGCGCCTACGCGTTGGCTGCCAAGTGTGTCTATGAGCACGATACGTAAGGACAGCCCATTTCCCCCCATCCAGATCGATCGCTAACCATAACATAGTACCATTGACGGCGGTGGCTATGGCCAGAACATCGGCTACGGTGTTGAGGCCAGCGCTATCGGCGAGATGATCACCAACCTGATGTACAACGACGAGATGGGCTACTATGCCGACCTGTACGGAGAGGCTGACCCCGACATGACCTACTTCGACAACTGGGGCCACTTCTCCCAGATTGTCTGGAAGGCCACCACCAAGGTTGGATGCGCTACTGTTACCTGCTCCAGCCTCGGCAATGTTGATGCTGCTGAAGCTCTGCCTTTCACTGTGTGCAATTACAGCCCTGCTGGTGAGTGCTCCACCCGGAACCCGGAATGAGGTTCGCTTGGCTAATGTGTCTTGCATAGGTAACTATGCCGGTGAATATGGCACCAACGTCGGCAAGCCCCTAGGCAACGCCATGTACGTTGCTTCTTAAGGAATGAGTCGTGTTATTTTGTTTCGCCGTGACTGTGTTCGGAAATCTTCGTCCTAGCACCCTCCCGACGCGGAAGGTCCAGATTTTCGATGGCTATGACGCATAGCTGCTTATGAAAGTCTGGAGCGAAGATGTCGAGTTGGTTTAGGTTATGCCTTGGGTTGACCTCAAAGCTTGTGCCAAGGACCTGGAACTTACCCGGATATTTGACCGTACGCGAGCAAGCCAATCGAATAATGAAACAAGTCTGACACTTTGCACCCATTTCTTCTCCCCCACTCTTCTTTTCATGCATCCACGACCGGGTCCATTTTAACTTTGTGTATGTATGTGTTTCTGGCATGTTGTCCTTCTACTCTCGTGCTGGTTTAGCCACTGCTCAATGTCGCTAAGCTTTCTTTCTGACGTGGAAAGAATGTGAACGATCTGCAGCGCCTCCATACCTCAGCCAAGCCACACCCATGAAGGAGGCTCCACTTCAACAGACCTGGCAGCACGTGGGTGGGGGACTCTGGCTTTTCTCTTCTCTTGTGCATATTCTACTGTGGTTACTCGATGAGGTTATAATCATCTCAGTGCCATCAATTATTTGATTGAAACCAAATTCTCTTGCTGTGTGATTTAGCTTGCAGTTCGGGTTTTTTGAGCGTTGTATCTTCTCATGTGGCTACGAGCGCCCTGGGTGCTGCATTAGATCTGATACTTAATGAATGAATTGAATAGATCTGATGCATATAATAGGACCTAGTAGAGGACTGACTGGTAGACCCTTTTCTTTTCTAAAACCAAGCAAGTACTCGAGGTCTATGATGTTGATCTGTAGATATAGTTACCTTTCCGAGGACCGAGAGGCATCCTGCCTGAGGCATTCGGGCCCTGCCGCCCGACCGGCGGGTTGCCCTACTGCCTGAGGCGATCAATGTACCGCCTTGGGATAGAAATAAAGTTTGGGGGAAAGCATCACCGCTTCGATTCCCCCCGCGACCAACCAGACGAACCTCCCTTCGCCCGAAACGTCATCGGCCATTGCAACTCACTCAGCCACTGCACCCTTGGCCTCGTTCTGTCGCATCCCATCAATTCATCAATCAATCCGTCCTAGGTCTTTCGGCTCTATCTCAACTCGTGGTCACATACCGCACCCGATACACTAATAGCGACTACTGTACTGTACTTAGCTAGGCAACGAACTATTCCCTCGCTACCTTAGGCTCTCTCATTGTCGCCATCTCATCTATTTCTTAGCCTTTCTATTGGATACGCTGTGGATTATCTCCCCGTTCTTATTACGCCGGGTCATCCATCACCTCTTGATGTCTACTGGTGCTCGGTGACACTTTCCGTCTTTCACATGACGATTATTGTCTCTCATCGCAGGCATTGACGTCCCTACGCGCCTCTCATTGCTTACGGCTGATTCCTCGAGACACTTTTTCTCTCCCTGGCCGTGCGCATTGTATACTGCTTAGATTCAGTTGAGGCTCGCACATCGTTGCTTCTAATGTGAGTAATTGGCTTCTTCTGTGGCATTATCATGCATTATCTGCGTTTGGGGTCCTGTTCTTGGCAATCAGACAGACAGGACCCTGTCCATCCTGTACCCAGCCTACCTCCGTTCCCCCGATGCGACCTCCATTACCTTAATCTTCGACGCGGCTGCGGATGGAGCAGCCTGGCTCAAATGCGCAACCGTGGTTCGCTCGTTTTTGCCTTGACCCTAGGCTGTGACCGTCCCTTCGGCGTCCGGCCAGTCTCCCATTTCCCCGCGCTGAGGCGCTAGCTCCTCCCTTATTCCCGAATATACCTGAGGGTATCATCCCGGCGGCCTCATAGCTGCTTGTGCTTTAAAGAAGATGCGCTGTCTCCTCGCAAACTGCATACATCTCCCAGCAAGACCATTCTCACCCATTGCCCCTCTGATCTTCCTTGTCTCCTCTCGTGGTCGACGTGCACGACGTGCCTCCAGGTGACAACCCCGGGACTCCCTTGTGGTCATGAGATAATTCTCCTCCATGCCCTCCTACTGCCTCCAAGATTGTCATTATTTCAAACGCAGCGCCTTGCGCCTCTTATCCATTCCTACTTTTCTCGCTTGTCGTTACGCCTAGTGGATCAGAAACACGGTCGGACATATTTCACTTGCTGACATTATGTCTTACTCGTCTGTTGCAGTGCGTTATTTCACGGCACCCAAGCCCCTGGGAAGCGCCATGGATCCTGCTCGGTCTCAACCGTCCTCTGATCCTGCACCGAAGCCGTCTCCCGCGCCTTTGACGGTGAACGGATCGATTAAGCCGGGTTTGACGTTTGCCAACCAAGATTCCCTGCCCAAGTTGCCCATTCCGGAGCTGGAACAAACATGCAAGAAATACCTCGAAGCCCTGGCTCCGTTGCAGGCACCTAGGGAACAAGACGAAACCAAAGCAGCTGTCCAGGATTTCCTCCGGTTGGAAGGACCTGTTCTCCAGGAGAAGCTCAAGAACTATGCTTCGTCAAAGACCAGCTACATCGAACAATTCTGTACGTCATGGCTAACTGTGATCGCTGGCCTTAGCTGACGACCTTTTAGGGTACGACTCATACTTGAACTATGATAGCCGTGAGATGCCCTGTCCAGTTGATCATCGAAGGAGTGAGCTAAACTGACCCAATACTAGCGGTGGTCCTGAACCTCAACCCCTTTTTTCTACTGGAGGATGACCCAACACCGGCGAGGAACAACCAAGTGACCCGGGCAGCTTCGCTTGTCGTTTCTGCGTTGTCTTTTGTGCGAGCTGTCAGGCGGGAGGAGCTACCTCCGGATACTGTTCGAGGCACTCCCTTGTGCATGTATCAATACTCTCGCTTGTTTGGGACAGCACGGGTACCCACCGATAATGGGTGCGTCATCAGCCAAGATCCTCATGCAAAGCATATTGTCGTTCTGTGCCGTGGCCAATTCTACTGGTTCGATGTATTGGACGAGAACAACGATCTGATCATGAACGAGAAGGATATTGCTGTGAATCTTCAGGTTATCATCGGCGACGCCGAGCAGACTCCTATTCAGGACGCTGCAAAAGGCGCCCTTGGGGTTTTAAGCACAGAGAACCGGAAGGTCTGGTCAGGGCTGAGAGACATTCTCACAAAGGACGAAGGTTCAAACAATGCGGAGTGCCTGAACATCGTTGATACAGCTCTCTTTGTCCTCTGCCTGGACTACACTGAACCACACAATACCTCCGAACTTTGCGCGAACATGCTCTGCGGGACGAGTGAGGTTATCAGAGGTGTCCAAGTCGGTACCTGTACGAATCGCTGGTATGACAAGCTGCAGATCATCGTGTGTAAGAACGGCAGTGCAGGTATCAACTTTGAACATACTGGCGTCGATGGGCATACTGTGCTTCGATTTGCCAGTGATGTCTACACCGACACCATTCTCCGCTTTGCTCGTACCATCAACGGTCAAGCGCCCAGCTTGTGGGCCACATCCAGCCCGGATCCTGCTAAGCGCGACCCTCGAAGCTTTGGCAATGTCAGCACGACTCCGCGCAAGCTGGAGTGGGATATGGCTCCTGAGCTCAGCATTGCCTTGCGATTTGCCGAGTCGCATCTGTCTGATCTCCTGAAGCAGCATGAATTCCAGGTGCTGGACTTTACCGGTTTTGGCAAGAACTTCATCACTTCGATGGGATTTTCTCCCGATGCCTTTGTACAGATGGCATTCCAAGCAGCATACTACGGGCTTTACGGACGGCTGGAGAATACTTATGAGCCAGCCATGACCAAGGCCTTCCTACACGGCCGAACAGAGGCCATCCGAACGGTAACCAGGGAATGTGCCGACTTTGTCACCACATTCTGGGGGGAGAACCCGGCGGAGCAGAAGATAAATGCACTGCGTAAAGCGACAGAGAAGCACACAGCCATCACGAAGGAATGCTCCAAGGGTCAGGGACAAGACAGGCATCTCTACGCCCTGTACTGTCTCTGGCAGCGATCGTTTGATGACGGGGCGTCGTCGGCGAGCAACAGTGTCTCGGAAGGTACCAATGGCTATACCAGCCCTGTAGACGGCGACTCTATCGCCTCGCCCAAATCCCCCAGCCCGATGTCAGATGACGGGCTCTCCTCGACTGGATACAGTGTTCGTGGCGTGCGCACCATGCCGGCCATTTTCAGCGACGCCGGGTGGGACAAGATTAACACCACGGTGCTGTCGACCTCAAACTGCGGAAACCCATGCCTGCGCCACTTTGGATTTGGACCAACTTCGGCAGACGGCTTTGGAATCGGGTACATCATCAAGGACGACACGATCTCGTTCTGCGCTTCCTCGAAGCATCGTCAGACGCAACGGTTAATGTACACACTAGAGTCGTACCTGCTTGAGATCCGGAAGCTGCTGCGTGCGATCAACCAGCGACCGGCGAGCCCGCGTACGAGCCGGGCGCGCGAGATGGAGATGATCAGCGAGCGGCTCCAGATCGATCACCGCCGGGGCCGGATCGTCCGGAGCGACACGAGCCACCGGGGAGCCGAGACACCCACTACCGATAGCGGAGAATTAGAGGACGATGGCATGGGCGGATGTAAGTTTTTCTTCTCCCACGTTTTGGTGCATCTTTGGCAGGCATTTGCTTACGAGAGACCTATCAGATGGATTCTTCGATGCCGGGATGTTGCTTCATGCACTAAAGGGGATCAATGCAGACCGGGAGCGTGGCGCGGACAAGCCGGAGAAGCGGCGATTTGTCGGGAAGAAGTTGCGGCTGAATGACTATTGATTATGGTATGTTTGTATGGTTGAGCATAATGTTTTTGGCACTCTTAGTTGTTTAGCCGTACATTGGTGTTGGGCGTACAGTACATTCATATGTGTCTACTTGATACCAATTCTATATGCCCTATTGATGAGTACAGAAGTATGATGCTCTAAAGCTGGAAGTATCATTCGTAGCTATCCGTGGTAGTTTGAGGTGATGATTGCAGTAACTCACGCTTTTTTCTTCAAAATTGCAGATCGTTGATGAGTTGAGTTGAGTCGACTGATCGGTCATGGTTGGTCTCGGCAGATACCGAGGCCTTAGGTGTTTCACCACTTTTCAGGTATAGTAGGAAGTAGAATCATGCCATTCTGTTGCATACTTACTAGTATGTAAACCGATAAGTTAGTTTAAATCTGCTTGATAACATTTGAGAGGGTGTTTCATTCCTGCCCAACGCATGCATGCAACCAAGGTTTGTAGTCTGGTTAGGAGTTCGTTACTCAGGGCCCGTGTGTTAGGATGGATGGATGATGGGTAGGGGTGGTGGGTGGGAAGGTTAATTAGAGTCGACGGCGACAACCAAGACAAAAAACTCCAAGGTCCGTATTAATTGCTCACCTGTTTGTACGATAAATTTGTATTGTAACGGATGCTCTCAGGGGGTATAGGTGGCGCTGGAAGAGTGGGTGAGTGAGTCAAGATCAAAGTTGACTTGGGTGAGTGAGTGCCAGTGACTGCTGCATTCATCCTTTTTGGGAAAGAGGGCATGGAACCCCGACTGACTGACAGTGCTCCAAGCATCACACCTCAGGCTGGCGCGGTGGTATTGTTTCGGCCGGTAACTAAAGTTTGGGTGTATCGAATTGGTCATCATATGGGAAGGATGGGAAGGCAGGTACTAAGGTCGTTAACTACAATTGTATGATTCTGCTCCGTACATGTATATTACTTTACTGAGTCGGGGAGTTCGCCTCATAGACAGTGGGTATGTGGGTAGGTGGTATTGGCAAGTGGTGTCTGTCTGGCTGTCTGGCTATTTCGTATAGCTCCAAAGTTTACGGGGTGGAATGTTCCTTGGCCTGTGACTTTATCTTGCATACTACTTCTAGGAAAGCTGTGATGGTCAGGGACTCTGTCGTTTGCTTCAATACGGATGTGTGCTGATTACGGAGATACTCTGTACTCTGTCTTGTACATTGGCTAGCGGTTGTACTATGGTACTTCGTCAGGAGGGATCAAATAGCTTGACTTGCGGCCTGGTTGAATTTCTGTCTCAATAAAAGAGAGGTACGGAGTAGAGGTTTCCCAACATGAAACCACTCCTTTGTGAAGTGACAATGCGGACCACAGCTACGGGATACTAAAACTTGTTCTCCCTTCCATGCAGGCACTATCTCGTCAGACAGTGAGGGGTCTAAGCGGCTATCGCCCGTCGATGCCTCTACGGCCGCCTTATGCATGCATGCACAGATGCAGGTGTTTCTCGGATGATCGTAGGGGCGAATCAGAAACTCTAAATCCCCCGTGCCATACTGTAGGTATCAGTGTTGAGCTGGTTGCTGGGTGGGTTGTCGTGCAGTCAATCATTTCACTTTCTTTCGGAAATGGATATTGCCGAGGAGGAGTGATATGCCGTGAATGATGGGGTTGTATGCTCTGCATATCAAGTGTGTGCGTGGATATATGGAGTGATATCGACCACTGGGACAGTTCTGGCTGAACAAAGAGCATAGAACCGCTTTAACCACCGGCTAAATGGAGAGCGGCTTTGCCTCCCCCAATGGCACTCGGGACTGGTGAGGTCATTCCCGAGCAGACCCTTGATAGTCAATGGGAATTCCCACCATCTATACGAAGAATCAGTGGTGGGAAAAGGAGGAGGAGGAGGAAGAGGAGGAGAAGGATGATGATGATGATAGTCGTTTGTAGTGCGTCTTTGCCCAATTCCGAGGTTATCCGCTGGTCAGGTCGACATTCGTCCGGGCCGTTGTCTTGACTTGCTGCTGCTGCTGCTGCACCTTGCTGCAGCAAAGATACGGCGTGCTGATGTCTACCGCGTGGCCTTGTAGTCTGCGTCCCACCGCCTACACAGTACGTTCGCATTTCACTCCCTTTCCGGTCATGTGTTCCACGTGACCCATCTGCGTCAAACCAGCCAAACTGCTGCTGCGGTTTTGCTGGAAATTCATCAACAGAGTGATCGAGACAGAACTCCAACGAACTACAACTACGATTACTACAATACGATCTCCCTGCAACCATTCTTTTCTTCATCCCAACACAGTTCTGTCTCTCGTTACAGCGAATTACACAGTAAGTGAGTCTGTCTCATTTCCCCAACCACTCTTGTTCTTCCGACACCGGACATCCGTGCTGCGTGCTGCGATCTGCTCGCGGCAAGCAGCCCAGGCAAAAAGAAATCTCCCCTGCGACTGGCCACGCATCCCGTACTTTACTGCTCTGAGTATCGCGTCGGTGCCTTAAGCCATTCTTGCTCTCAGGCGCTCAGGCTGCTCAGCCTTTCTACTCGTCGTCCCATTCCATCGTCATCAAAAAAAGGTCAGGCCATCGTGCTCTGGCCGGCTCCACTCGTCGTCGTCTTCTTCCACACCCCCTTCTTGATTGACCCTTCCGGACCTTGACGCTGCCTCTGGCATTGGCCCTGCCTGCCCTCCCCCCCCATTGCCCTCTTCCCTCCTGCTGGCTGCTACACATTTGCTAGTTTGGTAGTGGCTCCATCTGCCTCGCGCTAGCTCAAACCCATTCCTCTCCTTCTGCACCGCTGCTGAACTAGCGCCATCGTTGCTCCTGCTGCTTGGTCCTGCAACACCCACGGGCAAATCTGCTCCCTCCGTTCCCTGAGCCTTCGCACTGGAGGAGGGGCCTGCGTTGCGTGCTGGTCTGCTGCTACAGCCTACCGCTGTCGATACCGATCTCATCATCCACCACTGTTCCACCTGGTCCCTATCTTTATCTGACTCCTTCCCGGTGTTTCTTGCGCTTCGCATGATCCCGGAATCTTCTGCAATTTGTCCCAACTGAGCTTGGACTATCCTAGCCGGGCATTTCATCAATCCACTATCTTTTTCTCCTTCCCTTATTCACCCATACGCTCCCCCGATTATCCCATCTATTCATCATTGTCGCCTGCCTGAACTAAGCCTTGTCAAGTCGGCCTCCCTTGCAAGCTACTTCTCTCTTCCGCGATATTAACCGGCTCCCGCAGAACCAGCGCCTGCTGAAGGTACCTCCTTTACGTCACACGCTTTCTCCCCCGACCGCTGGGAATCCTTATCCTGCCGTCGTTCAGCGGTCGCTTCTTCCGACGACGGCATCTGATCATTATCTCCGACCAATTCCTCCCCTTTTCGTTTTTCTCATCTTGAGATGATGGCGGCAGCGCTTGATCAACCCCTCTTCGAGTCGATCGCAAGCGGTCCGGCGACCCATGCCGCCTCGATGACTCCGCCTCAAAGCGCCAACGGCAAGAAGGAGGCTCCCGAGGGCGTGCCTTCCGAGCTGTCGGACCTTGAACTCGATCACGGTGTCTCCGGCGCCCCGGAAGAGATACCATCGGTGGAGGCAGATGATGATCTGATCGAGCCAGACCACTACTATGGTGGTGGCAAGATCCCGGTTTTCAAGCCGGTGAGTCGCTTGGTCTTCCACCGTGGGAGTCCGATCGTCTGGCTCCTGTATTGGACGCTTGGGCTAACTGGGAAATCGCTAGACCATGGATCAGTTTCGGGACTTTCAGTCGTTCATCAACAAGGTTGAGGAGTATGGGATGCGGTCGGGTATCATTAAAATCATACCTCCAAAAGAGTGGTTAGTTTGTCCTCTTGACCGCTTGAACTTCATGGACTCCAGCGCTCATATGTTTTTGTAATAGGTCCGATGCCCTGCCGCCCCTCGATGAAGCCGTCAAGAAGATCCGCGTAAAGAATCCAATCATGCAAGAGTTCCATGGTTCGCACGGAACATACACCCAGGCCAACATCGAGAGACAGCGATCCTACAACTTGCCCCAGTGGAAAGGGCTTTGTGAAGAAAGCAGCCATCAACCTCCCGCACGCAGAGGTGAAAGACGCCGGAACCAAGAGCGAGTTAACCGTGCCACTACGGCGCCCCGAAACCGGACACCTCGAGCCGACTCGCAAAAACGCCGACCTGGCCCTGGCCGCCCACCCAAACGATCTAACCAGGTCAAAGTCAAAGAAGAGCCTCCCGCGGAGGAAGGGATTGATAAGATCAAGCCGGAAGGTCCTCCAACGCCCGTGTCCCCGGAATCGAATCCGGTCGAGACTAAGACGGAAGAATTGAGCGACGGCGAATCTCTGCCCGGCCCGAAGCCTAAAGGCCGGCAGCCAAAGTCCGTGACTGCACGCAGAAAGCACAACAAGGGCGGCGATGCAGTCGACTACGTCGATGAAGAAGCCTTCAGAGATTTCGACTACCGTATCCACGATAGTGGAGAATACACCGCAGAGAGGTGTGAGGAACTTGAAACCGCTTACTGGAAGTCGTTGATGTTCAACAACCCGTTGTACGGTGCCGATATGCCTGGTTCCCTTTTCGACGATGACATCACAACTTCCTGGAACGTCGCCAAATTACCGAATTTACTGGACGTGCTCGGACAGAAAGTACCGGGTGTCAATACCGCGTATCTCTACCTGGGCATGTGGAAAGCCACGTTTGCCTGGCACTTGGAGGATGTGGATCTATACAGCATAAACTATATTCATTTCGGTGCCCCGAAACAGTGGTACAGTATATCTCAAGAGGACGCTCCTCGGTTTGAACAGGTCATGAAGAGTAAGATAATAAGCAGTCTCCCAATGGGCTTCCAGGGCTAACTCCGCTTCAAGGTATTTGGCCGAGTGATGCCAAGAGCTGCGACCAATTCCTTCGTCACAAAACCTATCTTGTTTCGCCCAGCCTACTGAAATCTCAGTATGGCATCACCGTCAACAAACTGGTGCATTATGAGGGCGAATTCGTCATTACCTACCCTTACGGCTACCACTCTGGCTACAATCTGGGTTACAACTGTGCTGAATCCGTCAACTTCGCGACGGAGAAGTGGCTGGACTACGGTCGTGTAGCAAAGAAATGCCACTGCGAAGCCGACAGTGTCTGGATCGATGTAGATGAGATCGAGCGAAAACTTCGCGGCGAGGCAACGCCGGAATTCTACGGAGAATACGACAGTGATCTGGATGCGATGGAGGGTGCATCAGACCTCCTGACGCCGCCTCGGAGTGTACCTGAGAAAACTTCTACTCGAGGGCGCAAACGGAAGCAGGATGGCGAAACCACGAAGGCGAAACGTATGCGGATAAGTATGGATGTTCCTCGGAAAATCCCTTGTGTCCTCTGCCCCAACGATCTCGACTATGAGGATCTGCTACCCACAGAGGATGGCAAGGCTCATGCTCATCGACGTTGTGCTCTGTATACAGAGGAGACGAGTATCCTCCGGGACGAGAGTGGCCGCGAGGTGGTTTGTGATGTGGATAAAATCCCCAAGGCCCGGATGGGTCTCAAGTGTCTCTTCTGCCGCGAGGTGCGCGGCGCCTGCTTCCAGTGCAATTTCGGCAAATGTACCCGGTCCTATCATGCCACTTGTGCACTTTTGGCTGGCGTGCAAGTGGAGGAAGGTTTGATCACCGTGATCGCCGAGGATGGCGAGCAGTACTCGATCCCTAGCGTGGATCTCAAATGCAAATACCACCGCCAAAAGAAGCCGTCATGGATGGGCAACAGCGATTCGCTCGAGTGCGACCGGAAACTCATGCAGACCGCAGGGCGATTGGTGGCTGGGGATTTAGTGCAGTTCCAGGCGGACAAGGAAATCAATGGGGCAGTGGTGCTTGACAACCGACAAGAGGAACGAACGTTGCTGGTCAAGGTGCTCCCTCGAGGGTAAGACAGCTTCAGCTTCAACCCCCATCCCTTTCCTTCTCCCCGCCTGTTTGGAAATTACCCGATTGGGCGATATCTAGACGGCGATGCACTGATGATCCTTTTGGGATTGAGACTGACAAGATTGGCGTACAGGGATGTAATCGAATTACCATACAGGTGGATGCTCATGGTTCGACGGAGCAATTTCTCACCGCTGGCACCAGGAACCAAGCCTCTTCCTGCCCACTTGGCTCGGAAGCCCGAGAGCCGGAAAGAGTTGGAATCAGCCGTGCCGGTGGCAGGAAATCCGTTTGGTGATGGAGACTCCCCGTATCAGTGGGCCGAATTCGAGACGGTGGACAGCACTAGTTACCACATTGCCCCACCATCGGCGCCCATCAACCTCATGCAGGGCGAGCAGCAGATCTGGTATTACCTGGGCGAATCTTCTACTGAATGTAGGGCTCAGTATACGCACAACCCTACTGTGCCTGTCCACAACCCGCGGGCGAATTTCCTGGACAGCGTTAAGTCTCTTGGCGCTGTGATGGCCCGGGTCCCCTCTTACTACCCCCACCATCCTCTCCCTGCCACGACTACGTATGCCCCTCACCTCGCTGGCCTTTCTCCTCACCACCTGTCGCTTCCCACCGCCTCTGCTGTCGCTGCTACTGCTGCTGCTGCTGCTTCTGCCGCTGCCGCCAAAACCACGCATCCCACCACTACCGCTGCCGCTGCTGCCGCCGCCGCCGTCGCTGCTGCTGCTGCTCCCCGCTCTTCATTGCTGCAGCATTCTTCTCTTGCCCCTCCACGTTCTACATTTTCTGCTGCTGCTGCTGCTGCTCCTCCGCCCCCTACTGCGATGCCGTCTGCTTACCGCACCCTACCAACGCAATCTGCCCGTCATGCCCCGTACCCGCACGTCACCAAGTCGCACTTGCAGTCCCATGCTCGTCATCAGCACTCACAGGCTCACCCCGTCCATCAATATTCGCCGTCACAATTATTACAACAGCAGCAGCAGCAGAACAATCACAATCACCACCTCCCTGCGAATAATTTTGCCAATGTCCGGGAGCTGATCGCTCGCCGTCGCCTGGCTCAGATCACCGACCACGCCAATGTCTTCGCCGGTTATACTATTGTCAGTCCTGAGCTGGTCGTTGAGACGCTGCTGGGTCCGATGGGCTCCGTCCCACCGCCTAATGGCCTGGAGAAGCTGGAACTAGCCATGGCTCAGCAGCGAGTGCAACCTCGAGCGCCTGATGGCTCCCTCCTTTCGCTACAGCCCCTAAACATGCGATCAGAGGAGGTGACTCGGTTGTTGCAGATGCTCCGCTTCTCGCTGGTGAGTCATCGGGACCGGCTCGACGTGCTGCAAAAGAAGGAGCCGGAGCCCATCAAGCAAGAGGCGGTGAGTGGCAGCGGCTTGGCAGTTGCGAAAGTGCCACGCACCTACGCTTATCTCGAGCAGCAGCGTGAGCAGGCCCCGACCGTCTACCAGTCTCCTTATGACATGCCATCTGGCTTCACGGAGTATGCTCAGAAGACATTCGGTTTGACCCGCGTTGACCCTGAATTGCCTCGGCCGTCTCTCGCCAACGACTACTTCGCCAGTCTTTCCCCCGCCGATCAAGAGAAGATTCTTAAGACTTGTGGTAGTTTCGTGCAACGGGCCATTGAACGGTCGGCCAGCCATAGCCGTCAGAATTCATCTTCCAACCTGCGCCTGGCCACGGCTCTAGCCCGACAGACGGAGAACCCGACGATTGATATCACGACGGTGGAGGACATGCCGTTCCCCGGCCTCGACCTACCATTGCACGCCGACTCTCCCTGCTCCAACTTCAGCCGATCGCATTTGCGGTTCCAGTCTCCAAATGACTTTGCTCATCACGGACCGGAACCTCATCACGATCACCATGATCTTTTTGGCGATCAGCAGGCAAACACGAGGTTCTGGCAGCATGGGCCGTGGGCTGCCGGCGATGGCAACACCCCCAACGAAGAGAGCCGGCCCTTCTTTGGTCCCCACGAGCGACTCAAGCATGACTATGCGTCATCCGACATCTCTCTGGGCCGCGGAGGTCCTGGTTCTTTGCACTCGGTCGACATGGCTGGGTTTGGCATGGACGGGACAGAAGACATTGGCGCGGTGCTCAGCCCCTAAGCGAGGGGCCGTCTCCTCGCGACTCGATTTATATGCCTGCGACGATTTTTGCATCCTCAACATTTCTCCCGACTATCATCACCATGTAACGACTTATCTGGATTGACGACTGCATGACTGGGCGTTTGCGATTCTATTTTTGTGCCTCTCTCTTTCCGGACGATGATCATTCGCCATGAAGTCGACACTAGCTGGCTAGTCGTCGTTCAGATTGGGGCCATGTTCCAAGGAGGCCTTTGATCATCTCCTTTCATTTCTCCCAGCAGGGTTGCAGGGTAGAAGCTGAACGCCGATCTTTCAATAAAGCGAACGGTTCAAGGTCCAAGTAGCGGTGGGCGAAGTTCTCGGCCAGGTGGCTATCCGCTCAATGCGAGGCATTTTGATGCCCGAACGGACTGTGGCCACCGAATTACTAAAGGGCATCTTGTTCCGACCGCCCTGTTACCCTGCTTCCTTTTATACATTTATTGACCTCGCACGTATCCCCCTCCGTCCCCTTGTCACCATTGCCTGGTGCCTCCTCCATCCAAGCGATGGAAGAGCTATTGGAGCCTACTGCCGCTCCAATAAGACAGGTTTCCTTCCTATACACTAGAGACGCCCCCTACCCTCTAAAAATCCTCAGAAAAAAGCATTCATTTCCTAAATTCGATGAACAGAAAATGCCTCCAGCCAAGGCGAATGAAGTGTCTCTAATCATCCCCGTGTTTGATACCCCCTTGTGCCCCCTGCCCCTTCCCCTTCTTCCTCCCTCCCCGGTCTCCTCCCCATTCCTATCCTCGTTTCGGTCCCCTGTTCTGTTACCCTCCCTTCGCTGGACCTCTCTTTCTGGATCTATTTGGCGCTCATCTCAGGCCGGACCCGTATGGGTGCGTGCCGTCGAATGATGTGGCAGCCGTCACTGGAATAGTGACAATTCACTGTGCTGTATGTATCTAGCAAATGGATAGCCGTGAATCACCGATGAGTTATGCCCTGCGATAGAAGTAGTTTGTGCATTATTGTAGTTGGAATAGACAGCAACTGGGTGGTGTGGAACCTCTCTGGACCTGGACTGGGTCCTCTTACCCCGCGGGGAGCCCACCTCGAGTATGCCGTGGTTGAGGAGGTGGCCACCGAACACGAGGCTGTTCGTGCCTCTCCGGAACACCCGCTTGCATGGGGGTCCGCGTGCATATGTTGCTTTTTGTATCAGGCACGTATCTTAGTATTTCATTTTCAGTGGCGAGTCATTCAGACCAGCGATAAGAGGCGGATCCCCCAGTATCAAAGGGCTGAATGGTAGATAAGGTGCAGGAATTATCATTCATACCTCGAACTAATCGTCTGATCGGCTTATCAGCGCGGTCTCGGACCGCGCCCCTTTAGGCTCTTTAGCCCGACACCGGAGTCTTTTAGTGAAGGAGTTTAACCAGTTTCCGGCCCGTTGATTGGTCACATCCTGTTATCCCCCCGGTTTTAGTGAATGGGTCTTGGGTTGAGCGCAGTCTGGAGAGGAAGTGGTGGTTTTGAAGGGGAGCAGCAAAGGGCAAGGATGGTCGGTGGGTGACGTGCGGGGGAATTAAGCATTCGACTACTGGTCTGCTACACTAACTACCTTGCAGAGCACCATCTCAATAACTGCGGCTGCTTCTTCCACTCGTCCTAGTTTCACTTCTTCTATTCATTCTCCTTATCCCAAGGGGAAACTCTATTATTCCAAGTCATATAACTCTCTCTTTCCTGTTTCTTGTTTTCTACCGTTCACCCCTTCCTTCCTTGGGGAAACATCCTGGCAGCATTCGCTTCTCTTCCTCACGCGTCCAGCCTCATAGACTACTTCGAACTTACCTGCAATGACAACTCGCGACTAAGATCTCCTTTGCAATCACATCCATCACTATGCCTCAAGCCTCTGGGGATACCACCGCCGATGAGGCGCTGGCTCGTTTGGGCTACAAAAGCGAGTTGCCGCGCAATTTGAGCATGCTCAGTATTCTAGGCCTGTATGTTGTGAAGCTGGCTGCACTACAATGCACTGGCATGAAGTATGTACATGAAGTGAAGCTGATTTTAACATAAACAAAACAGGTCCTTTGCGATCATGGCCGCCCCCTTTGGTCTCAGCACCACCCTTTACATCACCCTCGCAGACGGCCAGTCTGTGACCATCATCTGGGGCTGGGTTCTCGTGACGCTCATCTCCGTCGCCATCGCCGCCTCCCTGGCCGAGATCTGCGCCGTCTACCCCACGGCTGGCGGGGTCTATTATTGGAGTGCCATGCTGCCGACCCGCCGCTGGGCCCCAATGATGTCCTTCATCGACGGCTGGCTGACGCTGGTCGGCAACTGGACCGTCACCCTCAGCATCACCTTCTCTGGCGGGCAGCTGATCCTGAGCGCTATCTCCCTGTGGAATGAGGACTTTGTGGCGAATGCGTGGCAGACGATTCTCGCTTTCTGGGCGGTTATCCTGGTCTGCGCCCTCGTCAATATCTTCTTTTCCAAGTATCTGGATCTCATCAATAAGGTGTGCATTTATTGGACGGCGGCGAGCGTGATTATTATTCTGGTGGTCCTCTTGACGATGGCCGATGATCGTCGGGATGCAGAGTTTGTGTTTGGGCATTATGATGCCTCGCAGAGCGGTTGGTAGGTTTGCCTTTCTTCCTGTGGGGTGGCTTGGCCCAAAGCTGACTACTGAATAGGCCGTCTGGCTGGGCTTTTTTTGTCGGACTTTTGCAGGCCGCGTATACTTTGACAGGCTACGGTATGGTGGCTTCAATGTGCGAGGAGGTGCAGAACCCGCATCGAGAGGTACCGAAGGCCATTGTCCTGTCCGTGGTAGCCGCTGGTATCACGGGCCTGGTGTACCTGATCCCGATCCTATTCGTTCTTCCCTCGGTGCAGTCCCTTTTGGACGTCGCTAGCGGACAACCAATTGGGCTGATCTTCAAGACGGCGACGGGTTCTGCCGGTGGCGGCTTCGGTCTTCTGTTCCTGATCCTAGGGATCTTGATGTTTGCCGGCATTGGCGCCCTCACAGCCGCCAGCCGCTGCACATACGCCTTTGCCCGCGACGGAGCGATCCCGGGATTCAGACTCTGGCGACAAGTGAACAAGCGCCTTGATGTGCCCGTGTGGGCCATTATTCTGTCGACGGCAGTGGACTGTCTGCTGGGGTTGATCTATTTCGGCTCCAGCGCGGCGTTCAACTCGTTCACGGGCGTGGCCACGATCTGCCTCTCGACCTCGTACGGGCTGCCGATCCTCATCCTAATGTGCCGCGGTCGTCGGGCGGTGCGCGGATCGAGCTTCTCGCTGGGTCGGTTCGGGTATGCGATCAACGGGGTTGCCGTGTGCTGGATCGTGCTGGCGGTGGTGCTCTTCTGCATGCCCGTGTCGCTGCCAACAGACGCCAGCAGCATGAACTATGCAAGTGTGGTGTTTGCGGGTTTCGGGGCCATCAGTATCGGCTGGTACGTTGTGTATGCCCGCAAGCACTTCACCGGGCCTCCGGTGGCGGAGGAGATGGATGGGATGCCTGGAGTGATGACGGGGAAGCCGGTCGACCCTGAGAATGTGGTTGCGGAGGGAGAGAAAATGCAGAGTAGTAGTTCGGGGAAGATTTGATATTATGTGGTGTCTTGCTTGGATATGATTTTCAATACTATAGTTATTCTGTGTTATGATTGTTTTGCCGGGTTATATGTATGACTAAGTAGGTACTAGTTCTTGTGATATTTGAATCAGGTATGCCTGACTTAGACTTTCACCTTGGTACCTAGTAGATCAGAGTCGTGCTCTATAACTCTCTACGAGTCAGTGACTAGTACAACAACAAGTACAGCCCCTGTGATGTTCTGGCCGAAGAGAGTACATACAGTCACAACAAGTGCGAATCACAGGCGGGCGGAGCTCCGAGGCCGAACAAGCCGCGGTTGAGCCGAATCCGTCAGTGGGCAATCAGTCCATTTCTCCTCCTCCACTCAACTTATCGGCCTGACTGACCGTGCAGTGCATGCTGCCAGCCAGCCTTGTTCAACACGCTTTCTCCATTCAAAACAATTCCCTTTGTTCCTGTCTACCCAGTCCATATTCAGTTTGCAACCCCGGTTCAGATCGACTGCATAAATCATTCGCCCTGTCCTTCCCTCCCTTGTTGCGCCCGCGCATACAGTATCTAATCGATCTCTCTTCGGCTCCGAAATCCGGGGAAGCTTTCCTGCCCATTGCAATCGACTAGTCAATCGTTTCGCGACCACTCTCCTCAACCGGGCTCTTATCCTGTCACCAGAACCGCAGCGAGCGAACATCTCGATCTTCACTTCCCTGGTACTACAACTCCGATCTTGCAGAGGTCACCACCGATGCGGTACCCCCTTGTCACCCTCGCTGCCGCCACGACCTCCTCCGCCTCCGCCTCCGCATCCACTGCTCTCATGAAGCCACCCTCGATCATTCTACATTCGGGTCCTAATTTGCTGCTGCGTGTTGAATCATGTCCGACTCAGTGGGTTCGTTGTTTCCTGCCTTATGCTTCTTCACTCCCGGAGCTATAATCTACACCGTCGTTCCCAATCGCAAGGGGGATGGAAATGAGACAGCACCACTCCGTCCCCCCCATCTCCCCCAGCTACATAACCCCCCGGCCACACACGATAGAGCCTCAAAAGAAATCACCCCCTGCAAAGCACGAAAACTGATTTATATGTCGTCCGGAATAGATCGCGTCTTCGTCCACGCACTTAACACGGTCAAACGGATCCCGCGCACGGGGACGGCACGCCCACCCGCTTCGGAGCGATTAAAGCTGTATGGGTTGTATAAACAGAGCATGGGTACGTTCTGTCCCTGCTTTTATCTTTCAAGGGGTGTCTGAGGTACAAAGCTGACGTCATGTGATGGCTTGTTTGCGGGCTGTCTAGAAGGGGATGTTGAAGGTGTTATGGAACGTCCTGTTGGAAATACTCCGGATGTGTTTATGGAGTGTGAGAAGTGGTTCGTTTTCCTTTTTCTGACTGTCTTGTTTTGGGAGAGGATTGATGGGGCGCCGGTGTGGGGGGGAGGTGCTTTAATCAGTCTTTGGTTGTTTAATTCAAATTTGGAGGAAGGGCTGAGGGTGATTTGCCAACTTGCTGACTTTTCATGCTTGCAAAGGGATACATGGTACGCCCAGCGCGGCCTGTCTCGCACCGAGGCCAAACGCCGCTACATCTCCACCCTGATCGAGACAATGCACCAGTACGCGTCGCAGACGGCCGAGGCCCGCGAGCTGGTCGCCGAGCTGGAGTTCGTCTGGGATCAGATCAAGTCCAACACGGCGTCGTTGGGGTCGTCGTCGGACAATGGGTCGTCGTCGCGCCGGGAGTTGGAGGCGGCGCAGGGGTTACTGGCGGACGCTTCGGGGGTGGCCCGACGGTTGTCGCGCGAGGAGTATGCGAGGTTGCTTCTCGCTGCGTCGGCCGGGGAGGAGGCGGAGCAGCAAGTAGCAACTGGGTCGCGTGCTGGGCGTGAGCGCGCACGGGAGGGGACGTCTGGGTTGCGGGTATTGAGTCCTGTTAGTCAACCGAGTCAGCCGGGAGTGTATTCCCGACATAGTAGTTATGAGGACAAGAGGGATAATGTGCCTGTACGGGATGGGGATGAGGACGAGGAGGATGAGGAGGAGGAGGTGTACGCCGAGGCCCAGGATAATCTCTACGAAGACGACGACGACGACGACGACGACGACGAAGACCACCAACACCAAGACCAGAACGATTACCCACACCAGCAACATCATCACCCCTACGAAACCGAACCTCCTGATCCCGCATCCCCCCGAAAAGCGTCACGCTCCTGGCGTCGCCGCGTCGAGCAGGCCTTGACGTCGATGACGGCCGAGATCGCCGCCGTGCGCGAGCAAATGGAGGCCCGCGCGCGGGCCCAGCGCCGCCGCTCGGGCGTCTGGGCCTGGCTGCGCTGGTTTCTGTGGGTGTGCTTCCGGCAGCTCATGGTGGATCTTGCGCTGCTGGGAGTACTGTTGGTGTGGATGCGCCTCCGCGGGGACCGACGGCTGGAGGTGGTGCTCAAGGTCGGGTGGGCGGAGGTGAAGAGTCGGTTGGCGAGGGCCAAGGTTTGGCGGAGGAGGGGGTTACCTCGCGGTGGTGGTGGTGGTGGTGATTGAGTCTTGGTGTTGAGGTTGATGTGGACACTATGTATCACTTTTCTCTCCTTTGGTGTTGGGCTTGAGTGACGTTTCCTATGTTCTCGTACATATATTCTTGATGTCATATTGCACGTTCACGCATGCGTGGACATGCTCTTTTTTTTCTTTTTTCTGTTCCCTTTTTCTCCCCTTTTTTTCTTCCTCCATCGTTGGGGCTTGTGGCTCGCATTCGCGGGTCAGTATTCTGTTATCGGCATGTCGGCAAGCCATGCACTGTATACTGTATAATACACCGAACCAGCTTACGAAGTGTATCAACTATAGAGCCTGAAATGAACCTTCTTTGTGTTCTTACAAACCATCGCTTACCAAGCAGCAAAGAAGAACCCTCGTCATCCAAGCCGAATCAACATTCCTGATGCTAATATATACACACACATACACACGACAAAGCATTCCCGTCGGAAATCGTAGTGGAATAACACTTTGGGATTAAAAAAAGAGAAAAATGAGGAGCAGCAGAGAGAAAGACCCATATCAAACAAGGAGAACAGCGGAGGGGGAAAAAGTCTAGGCCTTCTCCTTGTGGTAGTCCGTGATGGGCGACCCATCCTCGTTCGCCCGCCACTGCTTACCAGGATAGCGGGAGAAGATCTGTGTTTGACGCAGGTGGACGGGGGTGAGTTCTTTTGGAGCGTCGGGAATGGTTTTCTTGAGGCCCTGTTGTTTGTACCGGGTTAGCTTGGGAGTAAAGGCTTGAGCAAATTACACTTGGGGATGTAGGAGGAAGAGGAGGAGGGGGCTACTAACAAGCTTGTCAAACACACAAGCATTCATCTCCACCTCGTCCTTGCGGCAGTCGAAGAGACGGTGGTTGTTCTGCTCCAGACATTCCCAGTGGTTGGTGAACTGCTTGAGGCAGTGGGTGTTGATGTCCTTGATGCTGCGGTATATCAGTATGGATTTCTCGGTCCCTGGTCTTTCTTGCTTGTTTCGAAGGAAGGAGATCACTTGAAGAGCCCAACTCACTGGCTCGCTTTATTTGCACGCCAAAGAAGAAGGGGTGATTCAATTGATCTCTCCCTCTCAGTCCGGAGGAGTCTGGGGGGGCAACGTACACACTCGCAGCGCAGCGCGTCACCTTCCGCCCTTCCTTCAGACACTCCAGCTCACCCCGACCATTGGCCTCGGCCTTGCACTTCATAAAGTCATCATTGTAGGCGCGGCACCGGTCACCGATGAAGAACGACGCGCTGAACAGGGGGGCGGACGTCGCACCGATCTCCTCCACCTTGGGGATGTGGTCGGGCATCGGCGTGGTGTCGATGAGGACCTGTTGGTTGAAGCTGCCATTGTGTTTGTGTTAGCTGGGAGCTGTAGCTTGAGACTGTGAGATTTTGAGCGGGAGTCTTTTTCAAGACGAGGTGGAAAGAAGAGAAAATTCCCAGGGAGAACCCAGTGGGTCAATTGCAGGTAATGGCTGGCTTGGGATGTATTCGGATGTAGACAGGCCGTCCGAAGGAGGGTGGGTGAGTGACGTACCGGGACTCGCGGCGGGCCATGGTGACGGTTGATCTGGTGAATTTGGATCCGAAAAGAAGGGTCGATTGCAATTGACTAGGTAAAGGTCAATCCGGCGGAGGGGTGAGGGGCTTCCGGCTTGCGGTCTGGGAGCGGGCTGCACAAGGTCGACGACGGAGAGTTGAAGCTGCGGCGGAGAGAGGTTTGGATGGTCGGTTTTTGCTCGGCGGTGATTGGCTGCAGGCTGAGTGCTTAGGTAATTCAAGAACGGGCAAGCTGTGTCTCTGTCACGGGTCTGAGGCAGCATATCTGACATGATTCTTGCCTGGCGGGAGGGTAGTTTTGGCCTGAGGCAACACAAGACACACTCCGGAGCTTCACTCACGTGATCCGCGAAAAACAAAGTGGTTGCCCCGAACAAAAGCGCTTCGAGTCGCAGCTCCGCATCACTAGTGTCTCGAGGTTCCTGCTGTCAATTGTTTCCGGTCTCAGGCGCTTGCAGTGCGGGTATTGGTCACACTATCGAGATTATCAATCGCGCGAGTAAAGGTCCAGTCGAGAGACCTCATCGCTGTCAATCGGTCGATCGCTGAACATAACTCGGTCCCTGCTTCATACCAGCTCGGAGCTTGGATCTTCCCTCCAGCCTCGTCTCAACGCACCGGAGCCCTTCCTTTCAACACAATCACACATAATGTCCTTCTTCGGTCAACCGGCAGGAGGCAGCCTCTTTGGCAATACCAACACAGCAACCGGCAATGCTACAACAGGTACCGGCGGTGGTCTCTTCGGCAACAACACAGCAACTGGCACTTCAACAACAGGCACCGGTGGTCTCTTTGGGAACAAAGCAGGAACTGGCACCGCCACCGGTGGTCTCTTCGGAAACAATACAGCAACCGGCACGCAGCAGCAACAGCAGCCAACCGGCACAGACGGTCTTTTTGGCGCCCAAAGTAACTATGGGCTAAAAACTGGATTCAACACCTTCGCACAACCGTCGCAGGCGCAGACCGCGGCAGGAACAGGAGGTCTATTCGGTAGCACCGCAGTGGGTGTTCAACAGCCACAGGCCCAAGGGATGCCGCTATCGCAATTGGGGTCGGCACTACAATTCGGACAAACCAATGCACAGCAACCACCGCCGGGGTCGAGTCTCTGGGAGCCTGGACGCGCAGTTACAGGAGGTCGGTCTCCACGTTCTTCGTGTGCCCGGTCGTATACTGACTTTTATTCTCCCGCTAGTTCACCGCACCGTTCCCATGCAAATCCAGATCGTCAAGGACAAATGGGACCCCAGCAGTCGCGCTTCGCCGTTCCGCACCTACTTGTACAACAATGTAGGCGAAGAGGCGGCACCCTTCTACCAGCCGGGCCCAGGCGACGACGATCAGAAATGGGAGGATGCGCTCCGCAAACGACCCGAGCCGGGCTACGTGCCTGTCTTGGTGCAGGGGTTCTTTGATCTCGGCAAGCGCGCGCAGCGTCAGAAGGATTTCCTCACCATGTTGCAGACTCGGATGCATGAGATTAACAACTCCCTGACTGAGCTCCTGTCGAGACACGACCTGAAGATTAGCGTGCGCATCGCCGATTGCAGGCGGAAACACCTGGTCCTTAGCAAGCGGTGCCTGGCGCTGGCGGCCAAGACTCAGGTGCTGCGCAACCGCGGTTATGCGATGGATGACGCGGAGGAGGAGCTGAGGAAGAAATTGACGCAGCTGGAGCGGCAGGTCTTTGATCCGTCGTTGAACGGCCGTGGGGAGGAGATCTGGGCGCGCATGCTGGCTATCCGGGAGCACTCGCGTCGGTTGCAGCAGGAGATGGACCGCGCGGCGCCGAAGGCCACAGCACAGGCGGAGGATGAGTTGGACGAGCAGACACTGAAGACGGCGAAAAAGGTAGGGACCCGTAGCCTCTCTCGGTGAGCTTTTGACCATTTACTAATAATCCGAGACAGATATTGGACGATTACCATGTGCAGATCCAGCACCTACAGAAGGAGTTGGATTCGGTGAAGAAGGATTTCGAAGAGTCGCAGAAGGGCCCCGCCAATGGGGTGCATCTAATGTAGTGATTTATAATCCTTATGCTTTCTTTTTCTTCTATGCTCTGAGTCGAATATATTACGAATCGGGTTGTTGCTTGCTTATTGCTTGATTTCATTTGATGGCTTGGTTTGTGAGGGAAGGGAAGCAAAATATTGGTTTCTAATCGGAGTTTTCAAAGGAGCTGGTATCCGCAACATATCGTTACGCGCATTTGCAGGATGAATGGAGAGGGTGCTTTAATTTCTTCTTGACTTTGAGCGCAAAGCAGAGAGATAGGTAAAGAAAACATACGCAAATGATTCCTTCTCTAGGTTTGGTGGTTTCATCCCAATGGATCTAGTATACAGAAAGCTGCCCTTTGTGTCCATCACCATGTGTCTTCTAGTCCGGTAGAAGTAGAGTTCTGGCGCTCATTGAAACGGACGGATGATCGAACGACTGTTGCACAATTTACAAAAACTTCTTGACGAAGTCGACGGCGAAGGGAGCTGCGAGCCAGCCTCGCGATTAGCTTTGGTAGAATAGTAGACGGGAGCAACACGAGCATGAACGTACAGAGGTAGAGGAGAACACCGCCGGCGATGGCCATGCGGACGGTCTGGTTGGCCTGGGCCTCACCAGCCTGTTGACGTTAGCTTCGATGCCGAGTTCTTGCTGTAGCGTGAAGGCATGGGATGCTAGCGGTCGGTCGGGCGGGCGATGATAGTTACCTTGATGTCCTCTCTAGAGAGCTGTTCCTGACCTGGTAAATGTTTAGTGGATTGTTGTTTGAAGAATAAAGAGAAAAGACTCACCCGGGGCGAACATTGTGAAGAATACTTAGTGATAAAAGAAGAGCAAAAAGTGAGGTATATTGTGTATGGATGGGCCAACTGTATGTGAGGTAATTCAGCTGTTGCCCCGAAGGAAAAGAGATTCTGCCGAGCACGGACCACCCGCGGAGGCGGAACTGATTCCTCCATCCATCCATTCATCCATCCAGTTCAATCCAACTTGCCCCGTCTTGAGATTCTTTACTTTGCCTTTTTTCTGCATCTGACGTTTGTTTCTGGGTACTGTGCTATTGGCAGGAGGGTTAAAACTTGAGAGTGTCGGTTAAGAGGAAAGATTTCGAGTTTGGTCTCGTCCTACGGCCCTTGCCTCAGGCTTGAAACTCACCACTACACACATCTGCCCTCCCTAACTGTCAACCCATCAACACAATCACCAACAACCACCATCACCACAACTACTAGATCAACATGTCCGCACCCAACAGCCCAGAACAACAACGACTCGCCTCCCCGGCCATCGAGGACGATGAACCTGCCCGGGCCCCCACCCCCGACGCCGGCGCCGGTTCTGACAATGACAACGACAATGAGAACGCCAACAACGCGGCAACCGCCGAAGACGGCGGTAGCAGCAACGATCAGTCCCCCGCTGCAAAAGCCGTTTCAGAGGAGCCCGAGCAAGTGAACGATGATGACGAGGAAGACAAAGCCAACGACTCGGACGACGAATCGATCCTCTCGGAGGTCGACGAGGCGCAGTTCGAGGACTTCGACCCGGAGAACGTCGACATCGAGGACCGCCCGCAGCTGGCCATCGACGAGGACAACCTGAAGCTGATCGGACGGCATAAGCGCAAGCGCGACGAGGGCGCCGACGGGGAGCGGTCGAAGCGCAAGCGCGAGGGCCGGCGTGAGAAGAAGAGTCGCCGCATGCGCGAGCTGGAGGATGGCGGTGCTAGTGATGAGGAAGGCGGCGGTAGTGGGGGCAAGGCTGGCAGACGGCGGACGGGGGCGGGGTCGAAGAAGAAGGAGGTGCTGCCGGAGGATGATGAGACGTTGGATCCGGCTACACGTGAGTTTCTTTCTGTCTGTCTGGTTGATTTAAGGTGAGAATATGGAAGCGGTGCTAATTTAGGACGATTTACAGGACGCAGAAGAGCGCTTGATCGGGCTATGGATGAGGCGTTGAAGAAGCCGACCAAGAGACGATTCCGCAAGGCGGATGGAATTGTACGTTTGTCTGCCAGGTGTCTATGTACGTTGGTTTTGTGGATGATATTCTAACGAGCTCTAGGATTTGGAACAAATGGCCGATGCGGAAATCGAGGATATGCGCAAACGCATGACCCATGCTGCGCAGATGGATGCCATCAACCGCCGCGAAGGCAAGCCTGCCATGCACAAACTCAAGATGCTCCCCGAGGTCGTCTCGCTGCTGAACCGCAACCAATATGTCAACAGTCTGGTGGATCCGGAAATCAACTTGCTGGAAGCTGTCAAGTTCTTCTTGGAGCCGCTGGACGACGGCTCGCTCCCCGCGTACAACATCCAGCGCGACCTGATGACGGCGCTGGGCAAGCTGCCGATCAATAAGGAGGCGTTGATCGCCAGTGGTGTCGGCAAGGTGGTTGTGTTCTACACGCGCAGTAAGCGACCGGAGCCAGGCATCAAGCGCATGGCGGAGCGGTTACTTGCCGAGTGGACGCGCCCGATTCTGCAGCGCAGCGACGATTATTCCAAGCGAGTGTACCAGGAGGCTGCTTTTGATCCTACGTATGTTGTCCCCTCATTGTTCCATCTGGGTCGCTTTTTCTCGATCGCTTCGCTTCTGGTGTTGAGCTTCGCTGACTTAATGCAGTCAATTGGCAACCCGGCCCAAATCGGCGCAAACGAGCGTGGCAGAGGCGCGCGCGCGCGAGATGCTGCCCCCACGACTGGCAAATCGGGCACGGGCCGACCTCACTCACACGAGTTACACGGTGGTGCCGCGACCGACGATGGTGCAGGAGAGCAAGTTTGCGCGACCCCTGGGTGCCAGCGGCGAGGATCGGTTCCGCAAGATGCGGGCGCGACAGATTGCGGCGGCCAAGGGATCCCGGCGATAATGGAGTATCTATCTGTATTAGCTGCATATTTCTGTTTCTTGCTTCGTATTCGAATTATTTACGGATGGGACGGCGCAGGAACTGGGAGTGAATTGTAATCAATTTAATTTTTAGGCTTACGGTGCGGGGAAGTAGGAGAATAAAAAATCAGACATGCGAGTTGATCAGGCCATGCAAGAGGATGCGATCCGTTCCTACAACACCCGGTGATACGGCGAGTCAACACTTTATCTCGCCGAGAAGACGAAAGGACGAGGGAAGAATTGACCAATTTGTAAGGCCACAGGGCCAGAGCCTACAGGGCCCAACAACCAAAGGGAAAAAAATGAGTAATCGCCGTCTCGGCAGGAAAGATCCGAGTGATAGTATGAAGAGTAAAAAAAGGAAAGACCAGACCTATTGGGAAGACCAGAATTAACTCATGATGACTTCTTGGCCAGCAAAAGCCGCGGAAACACCGAGTCAGAGCCGCAGATCCCGTTGCGGGCTTGCAAGACGTCACTCGGCTTTTGCTTTGCCGTCGACGAGCTTTCTTATATCCCGCCTCCTTCCACTAACTTTACTCCATGCTTTTCTTTTTCCCCTCAGACAATTGACTTGACTTGCCTGTACTTACCTGTACACTTCTACATCCACCTCCACTGCATATTCTCCTGTGTTTGCACATCGCTTCACTGTGCTATTTGACAGATACATACCTACAAGTGAAGAGACTCACTGCCACCCCACTCTTCGCACATAACTCATCTCGATCACAATCGCACAATGAAGCTCCTTACCAAGGAAGAAGAAGATGCTCACTACCGGTAAGTTTTCCTACCCTGTAACCTCCCAACTCAAATCCCCGCTCCCTTCTCACCGGTAATCCACCCACAATTTAAGCAAGCTAACCACCCTCGAAAAAACCATAGCTCCGTCCTCAAAGGCGGCACCATCGGCGGCGTGCTGGGCCTAGTCGGCGGCGTTGCCGGCGTTCTAGCATTCAGCAAACGCTTCGCGACAATCCGCAACCTGACCCTGCCCATGAAATCCTTCCTTGTAACCTCCTCCGGCACCTTCGTCGGCATCATTGCGGCGGACCACGCGTCGCGCGACTTCGAAGCCTCGCGCAACGCCAGCCAGGCGTGGTACAAGGACCGCAACGAGCGAATCCGGCAGGAGGAGCTCGCCTCCCTCTCGACGCTCGACCGCGTGACGGCGTGGGCCAAGCGCGAGAAGTACAAGATCGTGGGCGCGACGTGGGTGGCGTCGATGGTGGGGTCGTTTGCGATGGTCAACCGCAACAAGTTCCTCAGTAGCAGCCAGAAGATCGTGCAGGCGCGTGTGTACGCGCAGGGGCTGACGCTCGCGGTGTTGGTCGCCTCGGCGGCGTTTGAAATCCAGGACCAGCGCAAGGGGAAGGGCTTGTTGGATAAGGCCAAGGCGGAGAAGGCGGCGACTGCTGCCGCGGGTCAGACGCAGAAGAGTCAGGAGTTGGCGGATCGCGAGGAGAGTGGGGATTTGTGGAAGGATATGGTGGCCGCGGAGGAGGAGAGGTTGAAGCGCAAGAAGCAGAGTCTCTATGAGCATGATTACCAGGAGGGGCATGCTAAGGAGGGTGAGCAGGCCTCTAAGGAGGCTGCGCCTAAGGAGGAGAAGGCTGAGGAGAAGAAGGAGTAACCTACCTTCGTCTGCTGAGATGTGTCGATAGACGAGTGGTCTGCGGGCTTGGATCACTCTGGGGGTGTTTTCCCTTCTGGTCTTTGTGGAAAAATTTGGGTTCGTGTATCACGCTTTCTTAATGCATTTTCATGAGGTTCTCTATCTCTATATCAATTAGTGTATAACATCGTGTGTTTCTCATTACGTCGTTGGGGATTATCCTGGTCTTTTATCCCAAGCAATCTACACGTGATGATTTGCCTAAAGAGGCTGTCTCTAGTATGGGATCCGTTGTGAGAGCATAGCTTAACTTATTGTCGGGCCGCAGTCTATATAAGCAGCTCTTGTATTATCTCATTTCTAAAATCACAAAACGATCAACTATTTTAAATATGTACTGATGTACATGTAGTCGTAGCTCGACACTTAATTAACACATTAACTCATACTCGTACTCATAAAATACAAACGGTCCAGACTCGTCGCCGAGCATCCAGTTTCAACGTCTCCACATGACATCATAAAGCATATGCAAACATCACGTCAACCCCTAAACGCTCTTCTCATGCTCCGTGCTCTGCCTCCCCAGCCACTGCGACTCCTCAAGGTTATTCAAGTCGTCCTCCTCCTTATCCAATTTCAAATTACTGAGGTAGAACAGGTTACCTCCGATGAACGCCAACACCGCCACGAACCCATAGTTCCAAATCAACAACGGGTCCGTCGACAGCGCCGTCAGACCCTGCTGAATGGCCGATGAGATGGCGTTCATGAACAGATACAACGATTGAACTATTTCACCACACTGATCAGCTGCTGCGCAGAAGACTAAACAACAAGCCGGAATCTTACCTAGTGACTTCATGTTCTTCGGCGCCTTGGTGTAGGCATACTCGTAACCCGTGATCGAGGTGAAGATCTCCGAAAATGCGATCAGCACGTACGGCACCGTCTGCACCCAAACGTTGATAGGCGCCGCCTCGTCGCAAGTGCTCGGGTGGTCGCCGCAGGGGCTCAGCTTGTAGATGTAGTACTGTGTCACGGCCGCCGCGATCATGGAGGCTGCCGCCAGCAGGTAGCCCACATAAATACGCTTGATCGGCGTGAAGTTGATGCCCATCTTGCGCAGACCCGGGTACACGAATTGGTCCATGATCGGGATGAAAATGATCAGGGCCAGCGGGTCCAGGTTGTTAATGATGTCGTTGGGCACCCCGTGCAGCTGCATCGTGGCCGCCTGAGATGTCAGGTTGTTGGTCATCTGGCCGTACGCAAGCCCTTTTGTAAACCTCTTGTCAGCGGGGTCGTCATGCTAAGGGCCGAGAAGGGAAGAACTCACAGTAAAGAGGGTACCAGGCAAAGACCGCGCAGGCCTTGACGGCACGGCGCACCTCGTCCACCCACTGGTCGTCGAAGGTCATCCACTGAGGTCTGTTTTCCATCTGACTGGGCTTGACGCTGTCCCAGAACTCGGTCGAGCGGCAACGCTTGAAGCTGTGCTGTCTGTCAGTCTTGGCTCGCTAAGATGGTGATGGCGGCGCGAGGGACTCACAATACTACCGGGTTCCAGCTCCACTGCCCCTTCAGGGCAAGTCCCCACAACTTGATTGCCTTGGCTGCGACAGACCCTGTCGGGGGCGTCACATGATACTTGTTGCGGCACGCGAACAAGACTAACGGACAGAATCCAAACATGATAGTCGGCAGCAGGTAAGCAAGCCAGTAACCCACGTACTTCTCAGCGTACACCATGGCCACTGAGCCAATCAGGGCCCCGACATTGATCATGAAGTAGAAGTACAGGAAGATGCGGGTGATGGTCTGCGCTGGATCGACAATGACCCGCTCTCCAGTCTTCGGAACGGTCTGGATGAAGAGCTTTGTCTCGCGGTGCTGCTCGGCAATCAGTGGGGAGATGTTGGACTTGAACCCACCCACGCCGATACCGAAAATGACCAGACCGACACAGAAACAAGCCAGAGCACCGTTGGGATGGGTAATCACTTCGGGGATGGAGGAGATAATAATGATGATGTGTCCTAGCATAGCGAAGCCGATGGCGACCTGGATGGTCTTCATGCGGCCCCAATATTCATCGGCGATCCAAGCACCCAGGATGGGCATGACATAGCACCAGAACGTGTTGACTGCATTTTTCGTCAGAGATAATAGGATAGGTGGCCCGGATGTAACTTACAGGTAGTCAGCGCGGTAGACGTCCGTTGACCTTGACCCAATGCGCCGGATTGTCCGCTTCCTCCAGCACCGGTATCCGAGCCTGCAGGCAGAGGCTGTTGGATGAAGTTGGTGTCTGCTGTGGTTAGCAGCGACCATCTAGACAGACAGATAAAACTCACAGACGGCAGTCGTTCCGTAGTAGGAAAACCGCTCGCACAGCTCGACGAAGGCAACGGTATAAGCAGTCCACTTCACCTTGCCCGCCACACGACGCAGGCTCTGCTCCTCCTCGACTGTCGGCATCTCGCGGCCCTCCTCATCATATCTGGTCGCGGTAACAACAGCTTCATCTTTCTCAGGTGTCGGGAGTTCTTTCTGAGGCACGTGGGCCTGGGCAACATAGACGAGATCGTCAGGACCGACGGGATCGCTCATGGTGTCAGATTATGCAGAGAAGCGCACCTCACGAGTCGATACGAACGCAGAAAAGATAGATTCGGAAGAACGAGTCCAGGGATGCTTGGACGGTAATATATGGGCGGAGATACAAAGACAAGAAACACACCTCGCCTCATTAAGATAAGAGTTGCCCCCGTCCAGCGGGGCCAACATTCGGTTCGCTCGCGTGGAGTGACTATCAGCAATCTACCCAGACGGACCTGGGGAGGATAGAGCCATGCAGATAGCCAATGCCTAGCGTCAGGCTCGAGTGGGTTCCGTCTTACCCCTGCTTCCAGCCTGGGTGGCGGCTAAACAAGGCAGGTATTCCATCTTACCCTAGCGGCCTTAGCGTATTTCGCAAAATCGATCGCCTGTGGCAAAGAAAAATGTGGCATTCAAGCGATGCAGCAGCAGGATCACGACATTATTGCTCACCAAGGAAGCACGAATCTTCGATAGACAAACGACCTCATATCTTAGCCAGTGCCTTCAGATCACCCGGGAGTCCTCAGATGAAGCATGATAAGTGACTGTGCCTCGAGACTTTATCATTCTGACAGACTGGACTTGGAAATGGCCCTCATTCCCTTGTGCGAACCTCTTTTGAACAGCATGGACGTCCCAATGGTCCCTCGAGCCAACGAATGAGATACATCGTTTGATTAAACGATGTCAAGCTTCATTGGCGGGTGAGATTTTAAGCAAGTCGTAACCTCGAAGGAGCATTGATGAACCGGCCCTAGCACGGGCCTCTGGATTATGCGGCTAGAAGCCCAGAGTACGCCATTCAAAGTGATAGTGCAAGAATCCCCGCAATTGAGGTTGCATCCCGGACCTTTTCGGCTGTTATCGCATCAGCTTGCTTCCAAGGCCACGGCCAATGTTGAGAGCCCCAGTGGCATTCATCCCAGGGCAAAAATCACGCTGCCTATGTTCTCTGTGTTGTCAATAAGAGCATATTGGGAGTCCTAAGCGGCAGTAGATTAGAACACGGGCGAGTCTTCACTGCGCTGAGAGAAGCGAGGATTCTGTCCGGACCCAGGGGTGAGAAGTGTGTGCGGAAGAGCCAATCGGACATGGCCACCTTGCGACGCATTGTTGACCGGCGGAAGGCGTTCTTCTGCAATCATTAGGTCCGACAAATCAGACTGAATGACACCATCGCGGCCACTGATAGTGCTATATCCGCCAAACCAACCAACGTTGGCTTGACAGCGGACGGTGGAGCAAATGGAATCCACGGATGCCCAGCCAAGCCTTGGCAGTGGAGCTTGCTTTAAAGCCAATTCAGAGCGGGGTTGGCCCAGAAAGCGAGAGATAGGCATCTCTCTATCAATTGGTCGCCGGCGCTGCTGCCTCTGATAAGCATTCCTTCAAAGTCCGCTGAGGATGATGCACGCCTGATCTCACTCAGAGTCACCAGCTGAGATAGAGGATTTCGGTAGACTTACCTCGGGTGATAACAAAGGAATGCGCCGGCGCCGCCGTCCTCATGCGCTCCAGGAAGCGAGAGTTTAGACTGCGTGTCGCAGAGTCAGGTGAGCGTCTGCCATCACACGGAAAGTTCCGAGGCTCTTACGTACTGCAAACATGTCACCATCAGGCACCTTTCTCCCTATCCTGTAACGGCATGATCCAAGCGAGTCACGTGCGGCCGACATGGTGAGTAAAACATCGGAGGCTCTGATCGGTTTCGACAGAATCACTTTGTGGGAAAGTATACTGGGGAATAAGCTCTGTTTTAACATTTTCCAGAAGTCTATGAGCTGCATCCGCGTTGATTCTATTTACCTCTGAAGGATTGCGGGGATGACCAGTTCGTCATTCATCGGCGTCACAATTGGATACTTTCAATGCTGCAAGCCCATCTTTATCATTGATATTCGCGCCGATGTCGGACATAACTAGAGGCGCACGGTGGACGCTATGGTACGCAACGCCCGTTATAATTCGTCAATGTCTGGTCTAGATTGAGCCCGTCGAGACATAGGGCGTGACCTTTCCTCTTTGCTGCTTAGAGTCATAAATCAGTGGAGTGGCGCACAGTTGGATGGACATATCATCAGGATAGGCAAAACATAAGCCACTCTCTACTCCCGGAACCTTGGCCATGACCCCTTGACCATGAGCCGCTAACTGGCCACGAACTCTCTGGTCGCAGGGTCGACATACAAGTCAATCTGCTAAGATTAGGTTGTAGAGTAGCGGACTTCAGCGGCTTACATGCCTGCACGGCATTTCCACCAATAAGCGGCGGATCAATATGCAGCTGCGGCTGACGGGCTGACACTAACCATTAGACATTTGCGTGACTTCGATTCGGTAGCTTCATCAATAACATGCTTCGTTTGTTGATACAGGATGACCGTGGCTTCGATTGATTCGTTTATCCAGCTAGATGACGACCGAACGGCGCAACTCATGCTAGCCGCCCAACGCGGCTTGCTAAGCGAGGTGCGGTTCCTGCTCTATGGCGTCTCCGCTGATGTACGAGATCAAACTGGTCGCACTGCTTTCTCCTGGGCGTCATCCTATGACCTGACGCAAGCCAAATCCGCAGCCGATTGCGATCGACCGGGTCATCTGATGCAATTGCTTCTCGACCGTGGAGCCGATCCTAACCTCGCGGACCTGCATGGAGAGACCCCGTTGCACTGGGCCGTAAAGGCCGGTGACGAGCAGATGGTGGGGCTTCTCCTGCAGAAAGGTGTGCTCTCAGAAGTGGCCGATCTGCGGGGTCGCACACCGTTGTCGCGGGCCGCTGAATGGGGCTTCGATAAGATTGTCGAGCTCCTTCTCGACAAGGGCAAAGCAGACCCCGATAGTAAAGATGGGCGAGGGCGGACCCCGCTTTCCTGGGCAGCTGAAAATAGGCATCTCGGAGCTGCGAGCCTGTTGGTGGATCATGGGGCTAGTGGAGACATTCAAGACCATGAAGGACAAACTCCTCTTTGGTGGTTGGTTGGGAAGTCAACCAGAAGAAGTATGCCAGGTGTACATGAGGCGACGGCCGCTGATGTCGATCTCCAAAATTGGCTGAAGGTGTTAGGGCCTAGTCCTGGGGTTGAACCTATGACAAAAGCTCGACGGACATTTCTTGCCTGGGCAAGCGAGCGTGGCGATCTCAAACTAGTTCAACATCTGCTGAGAACCACGTGGGCAGATCCCAATTCAATTGATCGTTATCGCAAGACGCCGCTCATATATGCTTTAGAATGGAACCACTTCTCAGTGGCTGATACGCTCATGCTAGGCGTTGGGAATGACATTGAACGAAAGAAAGATGTCATGTCTCTGCGACTGATGATTCAAGAGGGCCGTGCTCGATTGCTGAAACCTTTCCTCGAACGATATAAGCCCTGCTTAGAGGAAGAGGATGAGTACAGCTCGATTCCCCTCATGCGAATGGCGCTTCAACAGGCAGATCGACTCACCGTGACCATACTTCTGGAACATAAAGCTCGCATTGATGAATTGGAAAATAGTGACTGGTTCGGCCCTTGTAGCGAAGGAAAGCCGACTGTGAATCTGATGCCCTCACGCAACTTCTCCGGTCCGGGCCAACACTCAATCCCAGTAATGGATATGACTATACCCGAAGGAGACCGTGCAGGTTTGATTGCCCTGATGAACCAACGGCTGAACATGCTGGAACTTGACGAGGATTTGAATTTTGGCGCTTACAGCCGTGGAATCAAGCCTAGCGTGGTCGTTGATATTGTGCTCCTTCGGGACGGGCGCAGAAAGGCCCGCTGGATAACAGCAGATGTATCTCGGAAAGAGGTAAAAGCAATACCCAAGACGGTCGAAGAAACACATCTACTGTAAGTCTTAGTGCCGCATCTCCATGCTGTGACTCCGTCATAACCCGTCGACGCCAGGCTCTTCCGAGAGAATTATGTCTGGGAAACATATTGCCCAATGACCGAGACGCCTAATGAGTTGAATTTCTCCTTGGGCCATAAAAGTCCTTGCAGAACATTTAGTCTGTTCATACGACAGGCCATAAAAGTAGGGGACTTGCTTACAGAGGACGATGATGAGAAGGGCACGGTTCGAATCATTGAATGGGCAGTGCTGGAGGCACCGCCAAAGGCAATCCATTTCTTCAGCAATTTGCCTTATGGCTGGATCCCGCAAAGCGATCTCGAGATAGTGCAATTATTTATGCAGACTTGGCGAGAGGACTGGTTGGCAATCTGCCGGGAGGCAAGAAGATATCTCGGTCGACTGGTAAGCTCAACTGCCATGCTTACTGGGACAGGTGCTAACAGCCGCAGCGCACACATCAATTGACTGCTCGGGGGAAAGATGACCGACTCATTGACTCTATAGCAAAGCACATGCAGCAATGGACTCAGGTCCAAGGAATACTGGCGGAGCAGCTTAACCAAGCCCGAGATTTTGTCACCCAGTATCAGCGGTTCAGTGAGACGCGCAGGTTCACCGAACAGATGCAGGAAATGATCATAGAGCTCGACCGGGATATCTCGGGACAGATTGACAAGCTGGAACAGACAGTGCGCGATCTGCTCCAAATTGTGAGGAGTTATACTTCCATGGCTGCGGTGATACGTGCTGATTTTACAGGAATTTGCATGGGTGTCGATTAATGAAGCGCATCGATCGACCAGTCTGGCGACCAGTATGAAACGACTTAGCTGGATCACGGTAGGACGTCACTTGGCGGGAGCCTACATGATGCTAACTCGGATGTGTGACTTCAGTTTATCTTTCTTCCCTTGACCTTTGCTTCGGTGAGCATGTCCTCTCTATCTGCGGTTGAGAACAGTTCACTCACCTTGGCCAGAGCCTGTTTGGCATGAACGTGGATATTCTAGCAGATAACCCAACCTGGCGTTGGTACCCTCTCATTGGAGGCGTATTACTGCTGGCAACTGTTGGTACCTGGGTGTTCTTCAAGTTCATCAATGTGAGTGTCAACCTGCGGGATCTCGCTGCACTTGGCTGATCAATAGTAGATGGAACAATGGATGGAGCGTAGAATTGAGGACGTGGTACGCAGGAAAGGTCGCTCTGACAAAGATCCCTTATTAGTATAGAATAGGAATCTTCCACAGTAGCCAAGAATAAACAAGGCTTATCAGCAACTCAAGATGATTGAAGAACGGTGTTCGAGAGAGTGGTAGTCGGAGCGCGCGAGTGGGTGGATCTGAGAAGTGGCGTCCCACCACAAACAAACAGCACAAACACAGGTGACAGGTCAAAGCACTCGAGAGACATCAGAATTGATCGAAGGAGAAGGAGTCGAGCTTGAGTGGAAAGTAGCCAAACCCTTTGCTGGAGCCTGCACCACATCTGCCATCGCTCCAAAGCTCTGCAAAGGTAAGAGGTCCTATGGAAAAGCGACTCAGGGCAGGGATTGCGGCATCAACTTTGATTAAACTACCTTTTCCAGTAAGTGAAAGCAGATCATCTATAAATCATATGAAGCCGTGCTTAGGGAACTGTATGGTCAACAATCTGTTTTCTAAGTTGATGATCTGTGTGACCAGCTTCAGCTTTGATTCTCGCGTCCATTGATCCCAGACTGAGCTGAGCCTGACTCCTGGTGGCTTCTCTAGCTCCATCACAGCACTTTCTTGCAACATCGATAAGCTGGGCGAGATTGAACATTAGATAGCTTTTGGGAAGCTCGCTCTGCTGATTGTAACTGGAGGAAGCCTGGTGAGTTTAAATATCAATCCCAATCGAATTAATTGACCCACAACCATTGGTATCTGGTATATTGGTACAGATACTTCTTGGTGATTTTATTATATCTATGTACAAATTAGCCATTCTGGTGTCATAAAAGTATCGATTGCATCCAAGCTCCATCGGATCGTTCCCTGCATGATTCGGGTGCATGAGAGCTTGCTTTAATTCCTCTTGATAGAGAACGAGTCCTCGGCTGTCGACTAGGAACTGGCTTGCGATAGAAATTCATATATGTGTGCTTCCAGAAAGCTTGCGGACTTGTGCGCATGTTGGAGGAAAGCAGTTCATCAACTGATGATCAAGTTTTGTTGGGCCTTGTCTGCAGTTGCTGTCCTTCTAGCAAATGTGACGTCAGTTTTGCCTGTCCTGGCGGATATTATGCGATATGATTGTTGTTATCGAAACGGAGTCAGTATGCTCCTATGAGGTAGCTCATCGCAGTCTCGCAACTACGGACAACTCGAAACCAGATACCACGGCTCGGCCCGAGGATCTGGTAAGGGCCCACTACGACTGGGGTGCACACTCCATGTTATGTCATTACTATGGCATCAAAAGCAATAAAATCACCCCAGATGCTTAGTCTTGGTAAGAATAACCAAGGTCTTCACCCTATACCCCGCAGTCGACCTCCAGTCGGACTTAGTTTCCTTCAATGAAGAAGTCCGATGGTTTCGTTTGCTTGATTCCTTCTGGCGATGTAATATGAGGTCTGGGTGAAGCTCTTGCCCGATCCACCCCAAAAAGGTCTGGGTTCGAGTGGCTTTATTTACGACGGCTAATGTCGAAGACAATCACGGAAAGTAAGTATATATGAGGGCTTCAAGGGATATTTACTAATCATACACTTCATAATGGAGCAAGAAATACCTACTGATGTGCCTCACGATACTTGTGTCTTGGATGATTTCGACAGCCCGAGTGCGCTAGTACAGTGTTTACTTACTGTGTTGTGATAGTTTCTGTGTTGGGTGCTTTAGCCCGTGGTGGTCACTCTTCCACGCTCTCGGCTTGAACAAAACCACTGCGAAGTTTCTGTGCGATTGGATCATTGCACCTCGCTTCATATTTGGGAGGCCTGAGATACCGCAATGTGCTTAGATGGCCCACCATGTATGCTTCATATATTCCAGTACTCATGTATAGTTATGGCCTGACTTGATGCATATTCAGTGGGAAAGAAAAATTAATAATAAAAGCAACCTTGCCGCTAGTTTGTGGTATCACTATCTAGTCGGTTTTTTTCACACATTTTGAGTCGCGTGGTTTGGCTCACAGAACAATATATCTTTCTTGGGATGCGGAGTTTGGCCCTAATATGTCTTCCATCCAGGCACATGAATGCTTCCTTGAGGACTGAATAAAGTCACATAGCAACTCATCCTGAAGCATTACTCTCATGGCTACAAAAGGTTTTGTTTTATAATTCCTTCAGAGGGCTGGTGACCCTCCATCTGCTCAGACTTGATTTTGCCTACGCTGGAAGGGAACTCCTGCTCCAGGCAGTATTTTTTGATCAATATTTATAAAAAGACACGAGCATTCAACAACATCCGATGTGGTGTAATGGCTAACATCGCTGTCTCTCACACAGCAGCTCGGGGTTCGATTCCCCGCATCGGAGTTCATTCTTTTGTCTTTGTTGTTCGCTGTTCTTTCGAGCGATTGTGGTGGGTGTGTGGGTCTTCCTTTTGCTCGGCCCGGGACCGAATCGGGATGCGCCATGCAGGAGCCCGGGGGGTAGCGCCATCGGGTTGCCGAGCCCGACGTTCCCGCTATGGGCAAATACCGGTAGGTCGGCAAGGTATTGTACCGTTGCTTGTACTCCGTGGTACTCAAAAAAGCAGAGTGCGCAGAATTGAACTGAGCCTCGATCTATTTCGTGTCTCATTCCTGCTGAGGCTCGAGATACGGGCCTTCCCTGTAGGTGGTTCAACACAATTTGCGAGTCGTGTTCGGCTTCTTCCTGTTTTTATATCAGTAAGGTTCATTTTCTCTTTTCAGTATATCTAGGCATGATTCGTACTGTCGCAGAGAACAAATAAATTGCACAAAAGAATGAACAGGCTCTAATGCGAAAACTCGAATCCCGAGCTGCTATGCACTAGTTCCTTGGTCACAGTTCTGCGAGCACACGATTTTACAAAAGCGTTTTCCTTTTCTCACAAAGTTAAGATCCAAGGAACCGTCCAAGCCGGAAAAGAAATGCGACTTCTCAAGGTGACTTGTTAGGGATTGTTGCTCAGATTCACTTATCCGCCAAAGAGGAATTATAGTTCTGGGATGCCTACGCTGGTAACCTATAGAGTCCAAGCGATTCATTCTTTGTTCCCATAAGCAAAATGCGTGCTTTTGCCTTCACGGGGCTGGCCTGAGGTGTATTATATATGGATATCGTCCCGAAATGTCACTCGCAGACAGGGACCCGTGAATCAATCAGTCACTGAGGCGACTTTGCCATGCTCAACGCTGACGGTCAAGACAGTCATTTTGACAGAAGTATCAAAACATAGCAATGCATTCTCAGCTCATGTATCTGAAGACAATCTTGGGAACGGTTGAGGTAAGCGAACAAAGACTTCGTCATTCTGGATATCGCTCCAATCACCGGAATAGATCCTTCACGAATAGCAAATGCACATAGTAAGAATAACCCACGATGACTCTGGGTTAGAATTGAACCATTGGCGACGGCCATCTCTGCCTCGCCAAGCTATTAATACTTTGAACGGACGCTGCCGTAGGGTACCCCGTTGAATTCGAGCTCAAACATTAGTGAGGCAGACGTCGGGATCATGACTAATTTGAAATGAATCTCGAAGTACTCAACTCCCTTGGAGTTACGCTTTCGGTAAAAGAGCTCTCGAGGGACTCTGCTGAGGTCCGCTTCCAGTGTGCACAACTGTATCGTTCCTGTCTTGGGTAAGCAAGAGAAAGGCGGGCGCGACATTAGCTGGAACTGGTAGGACACGTACCATTATTCTTCGTATCCGGTGCATCCTCGTGATTACAGAAGAATAAGCCGTTCTTCAATAAGAAGCCCGCCGTGTGAGTGGTCCGCACAATACAATAGAATGGCATCTTGATCGGCTCGCTCTCGGAAAGCTTCGAGTACTGTACGCTCGGTTAAGTCGAGTTCGAGGTTGTTGCAGCTAAGTAGCTAATGCCCCAGCACGCACCTTTTTGATATACCAATTCATGCGATCATCGACCATGTACTTCTCCTCAAGCTCATCCCAATATCTGTCATTAGGATCATGTCGACTTTCGATGTATTGAGTGCGATAGCCGACGCCGTAATGGCGGCAGGCGATGCGATTTTCTACCTGGTTGCCATCCAGCCCTCGATGAACCGCACCACTACAATCATATCAGCTGACTGCTGCTAGGATGCGCGGCTTCAAGTGGCGAACGTTACTACTGCTGACCATCTGAGTAGACTATTTAGCCGCTGCTAACTAGTGAAGCTGAGTGAACTTACGCGTCACGCGGCTGCATTACAGTCACAGTAGGGTTTGCTTCTTGCAAGCGATGAAAGAGGAACTCGGAGGCGCCAAACCCCCCGACAAGTATGATTGCCTGCAAAAGAAGTCATAAGTATGATTGATTGGGTTGAGTTTCGAGTAATGAGTGACCTTTGGTGAGAGCTCTTTCTTCCTTATACCATTGATCGACTCTGCAACAAGTGACTCCACATCCTTGACAATTGGCTCGAAAATACTTGTAACATCCTCACTAAGCGCGATCAAAGCAAAGCGCAACGTTAATCATTTGTTCAAAAGGCGTACGATGATATCAGACCTGGTAAGGAAAAAGAATCCATCCTCAATTGGGATTGAGAGATCGTCACGCGCTCCTGGAATTGGGATGAAGTAGTCAACGTCAGCGTATTCATTGTCATAGGTACCCTTGAAACCAGGCTTGACTCTATCTTGCCAAAACTGTATTGCAATTTCTCTCGATTTTACCGGCAAGGCGGCGAAGGCTTCGGGCCCCATTCTTTCCTCGAGACTTTTCTCGAAACGTTCGTCCAACAACATCGAACCGCAGACGCGACCTAAATCATCATTAATATTTACAGAAAAAGTGACGCATGGCAATTTCTGGACAGATGGTCTCAGCATACCTGCTCCCTTCACAACCTCGCTCAAACTGAGAGGCTCCAAACTCTTGACTTGGTACGAGATTAGGTCCTGCATAAGTCAGCCATCGCCAGATCCGAGCTGTTGCCTCGGTCACTCTCACCACCGTGCCGCCGCCAGCATCGCAGACAATGAACACATCATCTCTCTGTCAGCTGTCAGAGTTTGATGGAAAATTGTCACAGTTTGGGGTTCAGCATACAGCAACCGAGTTGGGTTGAATGGCGCGTAATGAATAGAGGGCAGCAGCCTCCGGTTCTGAAACGAGCGAGACGTCTTGGGGATGGATACCGGCATCCAGAGCGGCTTGCAAAGTGGCATCTTTAGCTCTGTCAGACCAGACAGCTGGCACTGTGAGCACGAATCGCAAATCCATGTCCTGTGTAGCTATTCCCAGACGCCGCTCCAAAATGCCCTCGATGTGCCTAAGGAGACACCTCAAATAGTCCGCTGTCACCTTGACCGCAGTTGTCTGATACCTCATAAGCCGTTCCTTGCATGCCAGAGACGGCGGATACTCCGTTTCCTGCTCCTGATCCAGAAGCAACTTGAACCCTCGAAAAGCCTCATTGTACGGCCCGACCTGGTAGCCCCAGGTGGTGGCATGGACCCCGTAAGAAAGGGTTGAAGGCACTTTTGCGGAAGTTGCTGGTTTACAATATCGCCAGACTGTAAGGGAAAGGGCTCATCGGCGAAGAGTATGAATGTACATACCATTGCCTCTCCCCGGCCAAGTAGATATTACCTCGATATCATCCGACGATCCTTTGAAAGCCCATGCAACCCTGCTCTCTATGTGAGAAGGCATAATAGGATGACTTTTAATGACGGCTAAACATACCCACTGAAGGTTGTTCCAAAGTCCACGCCAAGGACAATCGAGGGTCCTTGCGCCCCTTTCTTGCTGTGTTCGTGCATCTGGTAAGCGTGCTCGCCTATGCTGCGTAAGTCTTGAAGGGACCGATGGGAAGTAAATTTTTGCCTCTCTGAAGGTCAGTGGAAGAAAGTAAGGTCTGTTTATATGAGCGTGGGAAGTTTGGTTCAATAGCAATTCCGGCCATGACAGAATGGTTACCGGGCCGGAATTGATGGTGTTTGCGTGGGATCGCGTCACTAAGCGGAAATACTCGAAAACATCTGCAGCGACTATGTATTTCATTGGATTACTGGCAGAGACCCCATTCAAGAGATTGAGCCTACTAAGAGAAACATCATGCAGTGGAAAGTCGTCCTCTTTGTGCATCGATGGCGTCTATGGAAGAGGCTACATCAAACTGTGCGAGCCATAGCCACCAGAGATGAGCATTTGAACATCAGAGATGAGTTGCAGCTGACACAAGGTGAAGAGACAAACAGACAGCAGAAGAAGACGGAGATGGTTTTGCTCCAGAATCAACAGTTGTGCCAAGAGCTGGCAACGCATCGGAGACAGGGTAGAGATCACGCGGAAAAGATTCGACGACTCAGTCAACAGCTCTGCCAGGCGCATGATGCCCACAGAACCTTGAAAAGACAGCAGATGGTAGACCGAGAGAGGATCGAACAGCAGGACCGTCTTCTGAGGCAGGCGCGCGAGGAAGCAACAGCTAATGATGAGCGTCATCAGGAAGAGCTCAATAGGCTCTATGACAAGCTCAAAGCACTGCAGACGGGACCTTGTAGATACTGGGAGATGACCAAGTCATTGAGCAGATGCGAAGATTGAACCAGACTTTAGACAGCTGGGTCAAATCTAACTTCAGAGACGTGGCAAAACTGGTGTCGTCGAATGGACAGACTGGCTTTCCGCACAGTTCCTCTCAGCGACGGGCCTGTATCCACTTCACTATTGCGAGCTTCATCCATGCGTGCATTTTCGTGCCACATCAGTTTGGCATAGAAACCATCCAAGCTGATCAGTTTCTCGCCGGAGTCGAGGCCAATGTTCGACAAAACTGTATGTGCGCTTCTTAAATTCGTGCGTGTTGTCTATTTAGACTGCTAAACAGCTGCAGGTTCCGAGGCAACACACAACACCTGGAGGATGGCTACCAGCATCGCAATAGAGGCAGGCTCGAGAGGCCACTGTGAAAAGGCGATGAACCTCATTGTCGGCCAGGTCAATGCTCAATTCAGCACCTTTTCCTCCACCAACGATGAAACAAGGACATGCCAGCTCGTCAACCTGTTGCGGAAATGTGTGGGATTCAAGATAGCTCTGAGCCGGCTAAAGCAAACATTTGTCTTTCACTGCAGTCCCATGGGGACCAGATACTCTCAACAGTCTATGGTTTTTGGAGGGGGTGACGGAGAGACGACCGGGGTGGTGAGATGGTCTCTGTGGCCAGCAATCATGAAGCAGGTTGACGAAGGCAGTGAAGTGTTGGAGCCCGAGCTGGTCTGGACAATGGGTGATGGTGAGAGGCCTCACTCGGACTTTCGGAACAATCATGAGGTGATTGAGGGATAACGGGGCAATATCGATTCGCTGTGCCCACTGTCAACAGACAGATGGTATTCTGGGGGAAGCATTGATCTGGGAGATTGGATAAGTTTGACGAAGTAATTGAATCATGCTTCTTGTGTGCTATTTCAACATGGTTTACACTTTCAAAGAAAATTCTCTTCACTGAGTATAAGATGCATTTCGACCAGTAGTTGCGCTTTTACATGATACTACTTTGAGCACCGCGCCAATTTGTGACTGCAACCTACCCATCTCTATAATACCACCATGAACACGCTGAGATGATACATTCTACATGAAAATATTCAAAGCCACCGAAATCTAAATCTAGTTCTATTGAAAAATCACTCCCCACCCCACTCCTCAAACAGCTTCGCATCCAACCCAGCATACCCCTCTACCACCCTCAACCCACGCAACCTCTCCTCCTCAATCCTCTCCCACGGCCAATCCTCCTCATTCCACGATAACCGGACATTCCTCCTCCTCTGCTCCTCCTTCTCCGCATCCCCATCCCCATCCCCGTCCCCTCCATTCAATATAACCTCCTTCACCACCTCCGTATCCACCCCCGACGCCGTAGCCGTTGCCGTAGCCGTAATACCCTCCTCACTCCCACTCTCCCCAGGCGTCACGCTTTCTCCCACTAACTCAAATTCGGCACCATCAGGCCGTTCCGGCAGAAACCCACTCGCCCTCAACACCCTCTCCGGCGGAACCGTCACCCTCCCCTTCTTAACCACATATTTGCCCAACGCCGAGGCCAACATTTTCCCTTTGGCCTTCTTACCATTGCCACCTTTCCCCGGCCTCACGAAATAACTCACAATATACACCCACTTCTCATCCCACGCGATCAAACGGGAGGTGATCTCGTACCGCTCAAAGGGCTTGATCTCGCGCTTGAAGGAGCAGAAGACGCTGCCGACGGCGATGTATAATCGCAGTTTGCTGCCGTTTTGGGGTGAGTCCTTGGCCCCAGAAGTAGAGGGGGAAGTGACAGAAGAAGCGAGTTCGGCGTCGAGGTCGCGGTTCACGATGCGCGAGCCCGGGGTGAAAATGCGGGTGGCGAGGGCGGTGCGGGCGATGTCCAGATCCGAGAAGTAGGTGCTGTTGGATTTGTGGAAGTTGTAGTCCGTTTCGAGAATCGGGGTGCGCGAGGTGATGGTCAGTGGGAGGAAGATCGGGTGCGTGGGGTGCGGGAGTGGGTGCGTGCTGGGCGGATGGTGCGGGTCTCGCGGGGAGCGGCGGAGGTTGCGGTAGAGGTGGTGGAGGAGGCGGGCCTTTGGGGATTTATGTCAGTAAATTGTGGGCTTGCGGGTGAGGGTGAGGTGGTGGTTGAGGATAATGGTGGAGGAGTTCAGAGCTGCGATAAGGAGGCGAATAGTTGCACTTACATGCCAGACCAGAGGAAGATTCTTGAGATTGATCAATGCCAGGAGTAGTGCTAAGGCTTTCCAGGTGAGAAGAGATGAGATAAACTCCCCGAGGAGGTTGGAAAGAGTGGACAGGGAAGCCATGTTGACAGTCTGATTATCGCTACCGGAGCTATGCTATAGATTCCAGTCCAAGCAATGGGAAATCAAGCCAGCAACAAGGCGCATCCAGTGTGGCAGATGAAACGACAGACAGGTCTGCCTGTCCGTCAAAGAAAATGACAATGAAAAAGTTCAATCTCCCGCCAGCAATGTGCCTGTCTCCTGAAAACCACTCCCAAAAATGAGACGCGCCGATGCAAACAAAAGTGTTGAGCTCGGTGAGCCGAGGCACGTGGAGGTTTGTTGTGCTTATCTCAGCCATCCGTCCATCCATCAACATTTTCAGCTTCAACTTCAGCTCTGGTCGCGACTTAGAAAATCGCCATACAATTTGGCGGGCTCGACACACCCCGCGCGCAATTTAACGGGCTACTTGATACGAAGAATGTCCACCGGCCCAGACGCCGACACATCTCCGCCAGTTCATCGAGATCGAACATCTCCCCAATCGGCAACCCCCACCCAGCCAACAGGTAATGATGGAGATCCCACTCTGGCTTCAGCGGCGGATAGACCTCGAAGCTGACTGCATCCGACGCCACCGCTGCAAAATGATGATCCCAGATGAAACGTAGCACACGCTCGCTTTGCTCCAGCCCTGCATGTTGCGGCGTCGGCTGCCGGCTGTACGCCGCCTGCTGGGCCTCGGTCATCCTGTCCCACGTGGCCGGCAACCCCACGCGCAGGAAGAAGATGTCGCCGCGCTGGAACTCGATGCCGCATTCCTGCGCGATTGCCTGCACATCGTCCAGCGAAATCTCGTATCGGCTGAGTGCGTCGACCGTAACCCCGCGCTTCTCCCGCGCCCAGCTGTAGTAATCAATCAGCACCCCGCGGCCCGCAATCCCCTGCTTCGCCCAGTAGCCGATGCCAATGCGTGCGGACTTGGGGTCGAGGATCTCGGCCGCCCTGGTGCCGCCGTAAAATACTTGTTCGTCTGTGCTGTGGCTCGAGGTTGTGCTACTACTGTCCTCCGGTCCGGGCGCAGGCAGCGGGGGCGGCGGTTGACTGTGGTGACGCAGTCCATCCCATTGCGAGGATTGCTGCGGGTTGAGGTGATATTCGTCGTCAAAGGCAACACCTTCCGCTACCCACTTGACCTTGTGTTCGAAGGGTTTGCGCTTGAAGCCTGGCCCATGCGATAACGTCATTAGTATGCCACTTAAATACACAGCAGCAACTGCTGCGGGGCTCGGATCTTGCGAGCAGGAACGCACCAGGGGGATTCAGCTTCTCGAGATCCCAATTCAGACACACGCGCTCGCCCGTCCGAATTTGCGTCTGGGCTGCATTGGCAACAACCTCGGGGGTCAACAGCCGTAGCATGCCCAGTCCCTCTTCGCGCGAGCCCGGCGCCGCGGGCCAGAATCGTCGCTTGTCCGGGAGGTCGTCGTATGTCTCGGGAATGTCCAGTTCTGACATTATGAAAGCGTATACAAGGGTAGAGCACAAAGTAGACTGGCAAGACAATAGCAATGAAGTGGAAGTGACGGGCGAGGAGGAGAGAGTATTTAAGTCACCGTTGAGTGGTGTTGTAACAAAAGGCGGGGAATCGGAGTAAGTCCGGGCTTAAGTGAAATCCAAGTATGAACCGAGCGGTGTACAGTACATAAACAGCTCCCCAGAGCCGTAGAGATGATTTCTATTCAGACAATGACAATACACAATAGTGGAATACAAGAATGCAAGACTCCCTTCCAGCTTCACAGATCATCCTCAGCTTCCGTCACATTCTTTCCTTGCTTGTTAAGACGTGACATCTCGTGCTGCTCACCGCGTCCAGTGCCGCCTGGCGTCGACATCGCAATTGCTTGGCGGCCTGTATCAGACGACTCTAGAAACTCGCGCAGGCGTCTCTTACCCTCCACCATGGCTTGGTTAGAGGCGGCCTCCGTCATTTTCATGATAGGGCCCCAGAGGTTAAGCTGGTAGGTGACATATGCGCCCACTGCGCACACGAACAGCAGGAAGAAGTAGGCGGGATTGCGAAGCACTATGACTTGATTAGTGCTGGACCTTCCACCAAGAAAAAGAGAGAACACTTACCAGCGACAATCTCGTTCCAGCCCAGCGCAAGGAGAATACCATAGAAGTACAGCGGGACCTGCGTCATGCCTCCGATGGCACTGCGCTTTGCCTCCACATATACTCCGTCCGCCGCCTTCTTAAACCGCACCGTCAATTCTTGACGCTTAGCCTCGCTGAGCATCGTCATCTCTTCCTCTAAGCTCTTGCCTTCCTCCTCGTCCACTCCTCCAATTGGTGGCAAGTCCTCCTCGTCCGCCGGGGTCGAAGAGCTTGGAGTGTGTCCGATCCAGCGATCCAGCGGAGGTGGAGCGGAGGTCTCCTCGAGGCGGAATCGTGACAGTAGCGGGATAAGCGTCAGAGTCGACTCGCGCGCCCGTGTATAGATGCCTTCAATATCATCCGTCGGGCGCCAGATTCGGGGGACGCCAGCCTCGTCGTAGCGGAATTTGTCCTCGAAGTTCTCACGCAGCTTCAGCAACAAGTTTCCCTCCAACATCTCTTCTTCAATCTTGGCACGCAGCACGCCCCAGGACTTCCGGCGCAACCGCCACAGACCAACGTCAACCTCTTCCAAGCTGGCGTCAAAGCTACTGGCGCGATCGGTGAATCTGCGCTCAGCATCAAGAACCGTCTCAACAAAAACATTCCAGACACGGTCCCAGAACTTCTTCTCTGCAGGCTTGTCGCCTTCTTCTGGTGCACCGCCTCCAGCGCGCCCAGAACCAAGCGCATTGAACTCCAGCCCGACCGACTCTCCTAGACGGGACTGAACCCATCGCTCAACCCGGGTGGCCAGCCGTCTCATCTCCTCCCGTCGCAATCGTGCGCTCACATCGGCCAATTCTTTCTCATACAGCGACAACTGTTGCTGGTAATCGCTCCAAGACGTCTCCTCAACTACGGTGGCGCGCGCGACCTCCTCGAACTTCTGAATTGCTTTGGTCACCTCCTCATTGACGATCTCCGCGAAGTCGTAACTAGTACCCTTCTTCTGACCAGTCTTGACAGTATTAGAGACAGCCTCGCTGAACTCATTGATACCAGCCTTGTGCATAGCGTCAAGCTGTCCCTGAAAGAGGGCCTTAAGGCGGGTGTCAATTTTCTCTTCCAACTCGGCCTGCTTACGCAGATAGACACCCTTGTGGTAGCGACTGGCCTCGGTCTCGAAACTGCTGAACGCCTTGCTGCGAGAGGAGCGCATGGCGGCCCCCAAACCACCAAGAATTTCCGGCTCACCAAGACGAGCCGCCTGTGATTGCTTGTCCTCAAACGGGACAATGGCTTCATCAAACGCAGTCATAACCTCCCGCAGAATTTCATCGCAGCGGAATTGGGCCAGCAGCTCCTGCTGGGTTGGAAGGTCCAAATCCTTATTGTTCACAATCTGATCCCAAATGCCCTCTGCGTACTTGGAAAATCCATCGGCGGGAATTCTGCGGTGGTACTCGGGTAGGAAGACTCCACCGTCAGAGAACTCACCCTTGCGAGGATCGAGGGCGGAGTCTTTGTGGTCTTCACGGAAACGCAAGCTGAGTTTCTTGGTCTCAGCAACAAACTGTTCGGGCTGATAACTCTTGTGAGGAAGGCCATAAAATTGGAAATCAAAATAATCGTGCACCGACGACTGCTCCAAGCCAGCGGGCTTCGAGATCGAGTCCCATAGTCGGGACATGTCTTCCATGAGGGTGTTCTGCAGGTTCTTCAAGGGCGTATTGCCAACAAAATCACGAATCACGAAGAACAAAAGAGACCGGTGTGTAGTGCTATTTCGCGAATAGGGTAAGAGTTAGCACATACGAAAATGCAATCAAGTTGAGCAGAGCAAACCTACTTCCGATCCTTCAGAAAAAGCTGAAGATTGACTTCAAAGACAGTCTTCAGTAGTCCCATGTTTGCACCCTGGTAAAGTCCGACCTGGTGTTCCCAGATATTGACAATCAGAACCTCACTGGTCGCGAGCGCAAAGAGAGCGCTTTTGCGCTCAAAATCCTGATCTTCGCCTCTTTCGCGACCATCTGTGCCTTCGACATCCATAACCAGAATATTATCCGCCATCGACGAGTCCCCGCCGTTCTTGTTCTTCGACAGCCATATGCCCTTGGTCGTCTGACGGCGCTCCAGCTCGGACATAACTGAGAAATGGGTCCCAAATAGGTGATTCAGTAGCGTGGACTTTCCGGTCGATTGGGATCCGAACACGGAGATGAGATGATAATTGAACCCGGCGTGGGTGACATCTTCGAGACTCAGGTATTTGGAGAGATTCGGACTGTAATGAACTAATGATTAGCCGCATGCGCCAGTTGTACACCAGGTGTATCGTCCCCTGATAGGTACAATCGGGAACCGTGATCGAGAAGTGCGTATGGTCAAGGCTCGTGCGTTGGAGTTGGAAAACATCAGTGGGAGATCATGCATGGCATACTTGAACTCTTTGTCCCCGTCAATGACTTGCACGCCATGCTCGTAAGCAGTCTTGTCGCTGCTGCCGTTGCCGATCGAGGCAAAATGGCCGTTGGTTGCCATGAGGGAACTGGTGGCGTCTGCGCGGCACGCCCGTTGACAGTCCTAGAGCGTAACCTGGTTAAGTTTCAAACTTAAATGAATATTTAGCTGGCTCTGTGTTGAGATGAAGCGAGTCGTAGTGGAGGGCCCCCGGAAGCGCAAGTGGGAATAGGGAACGTCAGATGCGGAGACCGTGGCGAGAGGAGGAAGTAGTAGTAGTAGTACAAGATGAGACGAGACAGGTTGAGAGCAGAAGGCAAGGAGTGACCGACAATGAAATGAGATCAGAAGGCGATCACCATGGGATAGAGAGAAAATGATCACAAGGCAAGAGAGTAAAAGAAAGCGCCCCGATGATCAGAGAGGGAGTTTTGGTTCATATGTTGTTGGGAAGAGAGTGGCTGGAAGGTCAGGAGGAGAGACTCGGGACGGGACCCTCTTCTTGTTTGGTCAGTTGTCGACCGTGGGTCATCATAACTACGAGTGCTAACTTAGTGGAGTCGTCGCCTGAGCATCCAGGCCGCCAACCGCCCACCCCCAAATCACGAGTTAGACTCGATACCCCATTGCTTGCTGCTTTGAGTTTAGGGGCTCTCTATGATCTTGTCTGGTCCAATTCAGCTCAACTTACAGTTCTTTCGGAGGTGGAGTAGTCCACATTTGCATGGTGCCGTGGATGATGATCGTACGATGAGTGACGCAGGAAATATAGGAGCAACGCGTACAACAATCCATCTTACTCCTCTACATGTATTTTCAAGAAAGTATTCCTAGGCACAAGATGTGAAAGAGAGGAGAAGGTATAACGCATCTACATATAATTCAAATACAATACATGATACATAGCGATGTCTCGAAAACTCCGGAACAACCCACCATCACGAGTGAACCCTGCGTTTACAGATCCACTCCTTCGCTGATTCCCGCGCCCCAAGATGGTGCAAACATTATAAGATTTCCCAGAAATTTTGTTCATAGTACATGGTAGCCAGTAGAGGCCAGCTGTTTATTTGTCCAACACACGGGTAACCAGACCAGTGGCGACAGTGCGGCCACCCTCACGAACGTTGAAGCGCTGACCAGCCTCAGCAGCGAGAGGACGGAGGGTCTTGACGATGACCTCAACGTTGTCACCGGGCATGATGCGGCGGGTGTTATCACCGTCGGGGAAGCTGAACTCAGCAGCCTCATCTGTGGTGTCTTAGCAAGCTTGCGACCTCACTTGGATATAAAATTCACTTACCGGCAGTACGGATGTACAACTGGGGGCGGTACTGGACACCGAATCCAGCGCGACGACCACCCTCAGCCTCGGTCAGGACGTACATGGAGACCATGAACTTATCGTGAGCGCGGGCGCTGCCAGGAGCGGCAACGACCATACCACGCTTGATATCCTCACGGCGGATACCACGGAGAAGGAGACCGGAGTTGTCACCAGCGCGGGACTCGTCACAGGACTTCTTGAAAGTCTCGATGTCGGTGACCTTGGTCTTGATGACCTCGTTGCTGGTACCAACAATCTCAACTTCGCTATCCTTCTTCAGAAGACCACGCTCGACACGACCGGAAACGACAGTACCACGACCGGGGATGGAAAAGACTTCCTCAACAGACATCAAGAAAGGCTTGTCAAGGTCACGCTGAGGAGTGGGGATCCAGGTGTCGACAGCCTCAAGAAGCTGGTCAACTCTCTCGGCACCAATGTCGGGGCGCTTGTCCTCGATGGCGCAGAGGGCAGAGCCGAAGATGATGGGAGTCTCCTCACCCTCGAAGCCGTAGGTGGTGAGAAGCTCGCGCATTTCCAGCTCGACGAGCTCCAACATCTCCGGGTCATCGACAGCATCGACCTTGTTAACGAAGACAACGATCTTCTGGACACCGACCTGACGGGCGAGCAGCAAGTGCTCACGAGTCTGGGGCCTACCAGAGAAAAGAGTATGAGCATAATCCGAAGATCGAGAACGGAAGGGCAAACGTACATCTGACCATCAGAAGCAGCAACAACAACGATGGCACCGTCCATGTTGGCAGCACCAGTAATCATGTTCTTGATGTAATCGGCGTGACCAGGGCAGTCGACGTGGGAGTAGTGGCGGGCTTCCGTGGCGTACTCGATGTGGGCAGAGGAAATGGTAATACCACGCTTACGCTCCTCAGGGGCCTTGTCGATGGAGCCATAGTCGAGGAAGTTTGCAAGACCCTTGCTGGCCTGCCGCTTGGTGATGGCAGCACTCAGGGTGGTCTGATTGAAGGTGTGAGAAGTTTCTGAAGCCGCCACGAATCGGGGAGAAAGAAGAGTGGATGGTAGGGAAGATTATGCTAACCTTGCCGTGATCGACGTGACCAATGGTACCTATCGGACATTGATAAGTACTAGAAGTAAATGTACCAATGAAGACGATTAAATGTACATACCAATGTTGACATGAGGCTTGGTACGCTCGAAAGCAGTAGCCAGACCGCGGGCAGCGAGCCTGTCTTTGGCGAAGACATGCTGGATGGGGTTGACAGCACGGGGACGCAGCAAGGACGCCCGGCTGGAACGCAGCAGAAGGTTGGCAGTTCTGGCAAGGCTCGACATGATGGCTACCTGCGATGGAAAAACAACAACAGGAAGGGAAACCAAATGAAACGCGATGGGGACAAGAAATCAAAACGAGCCGGACCGGGGAGATTTGGAGGACGACCTTGTTCAAGCCCGGAAAATTCTAGGGAGCGGCTGAGTCAGCCCCGGCCAATCACACCCGCAGCAATGCGGAGTCGGTCAGGAACACATCCCGCAATGACCGGAGGTCAATTGGTTTCTGCCAGTCAACACGAGTTTACCGCTGACGAAACCCGGGTCCGTCATAACTATTGCAATGCAGGAATCTACAGATGTTGAGAATCGTCTAATATACAGAACATGGCCCGAATCTACCATGCCAGCCAAGTCAACTAGTTGTCCGGCTTCTTCTTCACAGTAATAGTAACAGCACGCCCCGGCTCTCCCTCCATTGGTTTGATTTGCATCCCATCAGCCTCTTTGATAGTTTCCACCACCTTTTCCATAAGGTTTTGCACCTCCTCCGGCTTGGGGGCACGCTTGCCCTTTTTCCTCATGAGGACAATCTCCAATTTGTAGCCCTTGGCAATGAACTCGGTGATCTTTTTCAGCCGGTGGTCGAGATCATGACCGTCAATAGCCCAGTTGAACTCCAATTGCTTAGAGGAGGTTTTAGCAGCATGAGCCGCCTTGGCTTTGGCCTTTTCTTGCTCCCGAAGAGCCACTTTGTTCACAATCTTGCAAACCGGAGGCGCGCCATCTATTCCCTCGCTGACCTTGATCAGAAACTCTTTGGCTCGATCGATGTTTTTGAGAACATTCGAACGCCGAACGGGGGGATCCAGGCTGCCCTCCTCGTTCACGAGCTGGACCCATTCGGAGGCGATGCCTTCGTCTTTAATGAGTTTTATATCCCTCTTTTCTGTCGGTGCCGATTTTGTCCATTTCGCCGTTCGAACCCCGATGGGCGAGGGTTGGAGATATTGTGGCCGAACAATGCGTTGGGGCGGAAAGAAGACCTGGCGCAAAACTTGCGCCGTCGAGAGGAGGTTGCGCATATGCCTCATTTCCGATGCAGGAGTGTTGTGGTAGCAGAGAAAGGTTCAATCAGATGAACACAGAGTACTAGGGCAGATTGGCCCTCGTTTCAAAATTGGCGACGTAATAGCCGTCCCGCGAGCAATGATGGTTTGAATATATGGTCTGGTTACAGCCGGAATGTGTCTAGCAAAGAGCTGGCCGCATGCGGCCAAACAGCAGAAGTTGACCGCCCCCCAGCCACAATGACAGCCACGGCGGCGGGCGGATCCCCAACCACAGACCCTGAAACTGAAAGGCTGCGCTGCTCATTTGCCTCCCCGTGTCCATCCCGTCCCGTCCACCTCTCATCCTCCGCCTCTTTAAACTAGGTTCTTTCGTCCTTTTACTTCTTATTTCTCCCCTCCCCCTCTTCCCCCCTATCATACTTCCCTTCTTTGTGTGAATTTTCTCTCCCCCCGTCTTCACCCTACATCCTTTTGGGCTGGACCGGAGGTTCTCAGGGCGTTCCTATGGTTTCTATTTATTTCGACCGTTAATTTCCATCTTTCCTTTTCGTCCAACTCGGTCAGAAATCAGGAGCGTTGCCCGAAACGCCATAGCCTTCTACACCTGGCTTTGCCCGCATGTCGACTGGAGTTGACAGCCGACATCTCAAGGGTTTACCGTCTTTCTCTAAACCAGGTTCTAGAACTAGTCGACGTTCGATTTCGCGCACTTCCACCCCCGCAAAAGATCCCGATAATATTCACGGCTCGGACGATTCGAAGTCTACTTCACCCTTTTCAATGTTCGCCATGGCTCAGACACAACGGACTCGCTATCTGAAGACCGGAGCCGTTGTTGGCTTCGTTCTGTTGATGCTGCTCTGGCTTTCACCGTCCAAGCCATCCGTGAGCAATTTTGGAGGATCCCGTAAGTCGCTTTCTCCGCAAGGTTGATACACACGAAACTAATCACTAAATGTAGAGAAGCCTTCAACTGGCGCAGCGCCTTTGACCGACAAGTGCACTAAGCCATATGACTCGTCTAAGCCTCTAATTCAGTATGCGCTCATGATTGATGCCGGCAGCCAGGGTTCTCGGATTCACGTCTACCGCTTCAACAACTGCGGCCCCACTCCCGAACTCGAGAACGAGGTCTTTGAGCAAACTGAGAAGAGGCAAGGTGGCTCTGGCTTGAGCTCCTACAAGGAGGATGCTGAAGGAGCGGCCAAGAGTCTGGATCCCCTCATGCAGGTAGCCCTCAAGTCGGTGCCTGAGGAGTACCGGTCATGCTCGCCCATTGCTGTCAAGGCTACTGCCGGTTTGCGCATGCTTGGTAATGAGATGAGTATGAAGATCCTCGAGGCTGTCAGATCTCGTCTCGAGACTGTTTACCCCTTCCCCGTCGTGTCCCGGGAGAAGGGTGGTGTCGAAATCATGGATGGCTCGGATGAGGGTGTTTACGCCTGGATTACCACTAACTACCTACTTGGTAAGATCGGTGGACCGGATGAGACCCCTACTGCTGCCATTTTCGACCTGGGTGGTGGTTCCACTCAGATTGTCTTCCAGCCCACTTATCCCAAGAGTCCCTCGGGAGGCATGCCCGAGCATCTGGCCGAAGGTGACCACCGTTATGATCTTGAGTTCGGTGGTCGGCACTTCGAGCTTTACCAGCACTCTCATCTGGGTTATGGACTCATGGCTGCGCGGGAAGCGGTTCACAAGGCAATCGTTGAGGCCAAGCTTGCCGCCAGCCCCAATGACTTGAGCTGGTTGGAGGAGCCTATTTCCAACCCTTGCATTGGACCTGGTATGGAGCGCAAGATTGAGTTGACTTTCGATGCGGGTCACGCTCTTGCTCCCAAGGTCAGCGTTAAGATGGTGGGCCCGAAGGAGGGATCCTCGGCCGCACCCCAGTGCCGCGGTTTGACCGAGAAGATTCTTAAAAAGGAAGCTGATTGCAAGCTCGCACCCTGTTCCTTCAACGGAGTGCACCAGCCCTCGCTGGCCAAGACTTTTGCTCGGGAGGATGTTTATGTCTTCTCCTATTTCTACGACCGGACTAAGCCTTTGGGCATGCCCGACTCTTTCACTTTGGATGAACTGCACCACCTTACCTCGACTGTCTGCGCCGGAAAGCCCGAGTGGAAGATCTTCGAGGGGATTGATGATGCTATTCCTCAACTGCTTGACCGGCCTGAGTGGTGCTTGGATCTCAACTTCATGCTGGGTCTCCTGCACACGGGCTACGAGATGCCATTGTCTCGTGAGGTCAAGATCGCCAAGAAGATCAAGAACAACGAGCTCGGTTGGTGCTTGGGTGCTAGGTAAGTTCCTTCAAGTCGAGTTTCTATATGTGCATGCTTGCTAACTTGTTCCTATAGTTTGCCCCTCTTGAGCCAGGAGTCTGGCTGGACATGCCGGGTCAGGGAAGTGTCATAAAAGATGATGGCGATGCGGTGACGAACAATTAATCAATATCACGTTTTTACGCCTTAGGGCACATCAATTTCTTTTCGTGCATATAGGCTAGATTTGGGGTGTTTGTATATGTTTCATGTATTAGACATTTTCAGTATGATGGTTTAATTATTCAAAGTGTTTCCAAAATGCATAGTTCTATAGTTCGGCCCAAAAATGTCTGCATCCGTGACTAGTTGCAGGTAGACACGGAATCATGCATTCAGCTGTGCGATAATAAACAATACTGACCAAGCGGAGCAGACCTCGACGCCCAAGCCACTGGGAGCCCACAGCATGTCAAAATAAGAGCCTAATCCCAAACGCCCTCTGCCATGCAAATCAAAGACACCCTTTGCCCAATACTTTTTGCCCCCTGATAATCGGCGACGTAAGAAAAAGAACAAAAAAATTCAGTTTACTTTTCCAGCTCCTCTATCGTGGGCTTCGACGCTGCCGCCGCAGCGTCCATATTACCCATCAAAGTATCCAAGACTCCTGAGTCCTTAGGCCGTTGAGCCAGCACCGTCTCCTCGCTGTCATTATACTCGGGACTGGCGATTTCGCCATCGGGACGTTTCTCTTCCAGCACGCCGAGTCCAAGGTTCTATTGAGGACAACAATGTCAGCCCCGTCATCAATAACCCCCCCCCCAAAGCACGAAGGTAGTGAATCCCCCCAACCACCAACAAAAAACGTAGAAAAAGGGGGCAACCCACCATTTCAATATATTGTTTCCCATCTCCCTCCTGACCCTCTTCCTCATCCTCCTCCCCAACATCCATCACATCGTCCAACCGAATATCCTTGGCCCGGCCTGCGGCAATCTCGCGCTCGAGCTGCTCGTTGGCGGTCTTCATCTGCGGAAGGAAAGCCGATAACCGGGAAAGAAGATCGGGACTCTGCTGCACGCGCCGGATGTTGGGTTTCGGGATGGCAGGAATGCGGGGGATGTCGGCGTCCGCAGAAGTCATGGTGGGCGGGTTGCGCGCGGGGTGCGTGGAGTGGCGCATTGTACTGGACTCCTCGGTTGCAATCTCAGCATCATCATCGTCCTCTTCTTCACTCTCTTCGCTGTCGCTAGGGCCGGAGGAGGAGGTATAGTCGTCGCTGTCCTCGTTGTCGTCGGCGACGGCGGCGGCGGCGGCGCTGCGGGGAGGAGGAGCGGACGAATGGTTTGTCTGGGTGCGAGGAAGCGTGGAAGCGACGGGATCATCGCTGGCGGGATTGGATGAGGATGCACTCATTATGGTGGTCACTTGAGGTGTGTGAGTGTTGGAGAAATTTTAAGGAGAGGCAAAACGAATGGATAAATTCATGATCGACTGAAACTGCGGGCGATAGAATTGGCGCCGAAGTGGGGGCGGGCGGGGATGGAGTTTTAGTCAACTATGAGTTAACTTCACCACGACAGACAAGACAAGACAATCTACGGAGTATGACTGCGGGCTGCACAATGATGACAAGCAAGAAGAGAGGGGGGCGCATGCTCTTCACCAATCGTCCAGGCCTCTTTTCCGGGCGGCTTGATCGCCCTGCAGGGATTAATTATTGGTCTTGGTGGGAAAAGTGTTCCTGTCTTAATTTCACTCGGTCACTTTTACTTACTTCCTTTCCCTATTCTTGCTTAATCCACGCGCTGAATCCACTACACCCTCCCGCATTCAGGGGATATTATCTATCCAATACTCGCCGGTCTCTCGTTTCTTGACTTGAGCGTTCTTCTCCTCTCTCTTCACTGACAGAGGACTTCACATCCTAATCTATTGTGGCAACCCTTGTTCAGACCGAAGAACTGTCGCTGTCATTCATCGTCTCCACTCGTGTTGGCTGGCCAGATCTCGGAATAGACTCACTGCTGCTTACTTCGGTTCGGTACTACCTTTTATGTTTCTTAGCATCCCCTATGTCTTCTTTGTCTGCCGCCGGTAGACCCGGTACCAAAAGCACCATAATACTATTCTTGGATCCCTGCTCGTTGATCTTTCATTCAAGCTTGCACATCTCATTGTCTTTCGTCCCACCCTAGCGTTTCAAACTATGCTCAGAATCAACTGACCCTGACTATAAGAGATTCAGTATATCTCTTCGAAACACACTTAGCCCACCTCATCTGCCATCGCTCCTCGACGTAGCGCATTGGCATGAACGCCGGTCCTCATACGTCTTCCACCGCGGAGCTCCTATCGTCCTGAACCTTCCCCCCCCCCCACGTGGGCATTCCCGAACTATACCACCCGAACCGAACAACAAGCCCGACAAAACGACAGCCACCAAGAATGACCATCTCCCTCCAAAACAACCAGCCCCGAGCCACCGGGTCCCTCGAGGACATGGGCAGGGTCCAGCAGTCCGCGAAGCAGCCCGAATCCAGCAGCTCGACGACCACCTCGCCATCCTCCGCGACGACCCGTAAATCCCTCCATCAGAACATCTTTGGCAAGCTGCGGCCCCTCCCATTCCAGTACCACTGGGCCGTCTGGTACGACAAGCACACGGACAACACGACGACCAGCGGGCCAGCCGCCACCCAGGACTACGACTCGCGCCTGTACCTCCTCCACGAGGACGTCTCCGACATTGCCACCTTCTACCGCGTCTACAACAATTACCCGTGGGACAAGGTGCGCCTGCGCGACACCGTCCACATCTTCCGCAAAGGGGTGCGGCCCGTATGGGAGGACCCTGAGAACCGCAACGGCGGGTGCTGGCGGTTCCGGGTGCCCAAGAACAAGGCGCAGGAGTTTTTCCATGAGATTGCGATTCTGGCCATGGCGAATGAGTTTCAGGCCGTCCTGGAAAAGGGTGAGTTATGCTTTCAATGTCTTGTGTTTCGGTTGCAATCAAAGCCCCGCTCGCGGGGTCCGATTTCCCCCCTTCCCCGCTCGTCCCTGTGGTTCCGGGTCACCCGTAGAGTAGCCGAGTCCACCGGAATATGTATATCTCGGCAGCAGGGCTGATACGTACTAACCACGCTTGCATCAAATTGAACAAACAGATCACGACCACGTCCTAGGCGTATCTACATCCTCGCGCTTCAACTCCAATCTCATCTCCGTCTGGAACAAGCTCGGCAACAACGAACGCTCCATCAAGGCCCTCGAGCAGACCATCCTCGACCGCCTGTCACCCGAACTGCGTCCTACAGGGACCGGCTCGACCGCGTACTTCTACAAACGCCATGCCGAAAACGAGGGCTTCACCGATGCAGTCCAAAAGGCGAGCACAGTGACGTGAGGATATGTTGCCTGCCTGCTTCACCTCCTCTTCTTTCCTTCTCTTTCTGTGTCCGACCTGACTTGCGAAACACCAGCACCAGCCAAATATTCTACTTCTATTCATCTATTTCTATCCCAGATGGCATTTGGCATATTCCGAGTCATTTTGTTCACACCAGTTTCTTGAGACTCAGGCAATATAAACCGCCGTCCTATTCACCTTGTCTTCTTTCCCCCCTTCCTTTCAAGATTGTATCAGGTAGCCATGTGCATTTGCAAAAATACTTCCATCTTCTTCAGAAATCATATCATAAATTTTTGAGTATCGTGGTAATCAAGGCAGCTCTCGTGCGGCCAATATATTCATGCCGATGCAATAATGGCCATCATAAAGTCTCAAGCCCTAACTGTAAGCCTCATATCCCAACCTTGCGTGAACCCCTCCAATGCGGAATCCTCCGTAATAACGCCAACCCATGCAAGGCAATTCCAAGTTCCCATGTAGAATACAATATATTGATACATAATGGAAAAGGATATAGTCACCGTTCCTGTTGCTCGTCATCCACAGACTGATAGACACACAACCTCATCACCGGTTGTGACTGAAACTCTGTCGTCTGGGATTCTGCGAGTGAGGAAGCGAGCTCGAAGCCGAGGTCGAGGAAGGGGCCGGAGGAGGCTGCAATGGCCGGCGCTCCTCGGCCTCACTGCGATCTTGTTTGCGGGGTGTTGTCGCTGTTGTGCTCGGTGTAGCTGTCATAGCAGCAGAAGCAGCAGCAGCAGCGGCGGCGGTAGGAGTAGCCGTCGACTCAGACTCCGAAGGCCTCCGCTGCTCAGCGGGCGCACCTCCGCCGGGCATGTAGCGATCGATCTCCACGAACCGCGGACGGTCTTCGCGCTCTTTCTCGGTGCGCTCGGGAGACCTCACCCGCCGCCGCGGGGATCGGCTGCGATTGCTGGTTGGAGGCACATATCGGTCAATGTCGAGGGTACTTGGGGAGCGACGGCGGCTGCGAGAGCGGCGGGCCCGCGAGCGCGAGCGTCGGCGGGAAGAGACGGAGACTCGGGTGGATTTGTCGTCCTCGCGCGCTGGACGGTCTCGCTCACGCTCGGGGTTGCGGCCACGGCCGGGGTTGTTAGGGTGGTGGTGGTCGTGGTTGGTTGTGGTAGGTGTGGCAGTAGCAGAAGCCGCAGTGCTCGTACTTATTAGAGGTTTAGTGGTGATGATGGTGGTGGTGGTGCTGCTGGTGGCGTGGTTGCCGTCACGGTCACGATCACGCTCCCGATCGCGATTCCTCTCTCGTTCGCGATCATGATCTCGATCCCGATCGCGATCTCGATCTCTCTCTCGATCTCGATCGCGGTCTCTGGTGTCCCTGTTGTCTCTCGTATCCCTCTTCTCTCTGGTGTCTCGGCTTCTGTCCCTTTCTCTGTCGCGGTCGCGATCCCTGTCCCGATCTCTTTCCCTATGACTGTCCCTGTCCCGATCTCGATCGCGGTCACGATCTCGATTTCTGTGTAGCGATCGCGATCGTGACCGAGACCTATATCGTGGACGAGAACGGGATCGAGAATAGTAACTCCGTCGCCGGCGGTAGTCGTCGCGATCGCGTGTTCTATCCCGGTCTCTTTCTCTTTCCAGTTCCCTATCTCGATCTCTGTCTCGATCTCTTTCTCGATCCCTGTCACGATCCCTGTCACGATCCCTGTCACGATCCCTGTCACGATCCCTGCCGTGGCGATCCCGTTCTCTGTCTCGGCTGCGATCTCGATGATAGTCGTGGTCCCGATTCCTCTCTCGATCTCGATCTCGATCTCGATCCCGCTCCGGGCTTTTCTCGCGGTATCGCGGGCGGTCAGCACCTTGATCACGATCGCGATCCCTATCGCGATCCCTATCCCGATCCCGATCTCTATCATAGGTTCGAACTGTCGACCGACTGCGACTACGACGGCTGGGCCGGTAGCTGCGGTCGCCGTATCGACTCTCACGATAATCACGAACAGGTGCGCGATCGTCGGGCTCGCGCGCACGCGGTAAGTTCGACAGATCCTGTGAAGGGTTTCGGCGGCCCTCTTCAGCCCGGGACGTAGGCATTCTCCTTCTTGAGCGGCTGCGGCTCGCATCGCGTCGTCGTGGTCGTGTGCGGTCATCAGCGGAGCCCCGTCCTTTCAAGGCTTCTGCATCGGCAGGAATGCTTCCAGCGCGAGTAGGGGTATTCGAGTATCTCGAGTCAGCGGCCTTGGGGGCCTTGGGTGGAGGTTTGAGTCCGTTTTCGATCGCCTCGGCTTCCTCGAAATCGAACTCTGGCTTCTGCCGGGCTTTCGCCGCAAGCTCTTCTCCTTCCTTCAACAGAAGCTGTAGCGCAGCCTCTTCCAAGGACTTTTCGTCAACAGGGGCTGGCGGCGGCACAGGGGCTGGGGTGGGTTCCTTGGGTGTCGGTGATTTGTCTTTCCGAGACTCGCGGTAGCGGGGGGAATGGCCTCGTTCAGAGCGGTAGCCAGGGGAGCGATCACGGAAGCGAAAACGATCTCGGTCTCGGTCTGAGTCTCGGTCTCGGGTGTGGCTGCGATCCCGCCAGTCGCGGAATCTTTCCCGCTCTTCGCGACGACGTCGTTCGTACCGTTCCTGGCGCTCCTTCTCTCGCTGTTCGTCCAGCTTGCGCTGCTCTTCCCGACGTTGCTCCTCGCGTTCCCTGCGCCGGGCCCGTTCCTCTTCCTCTTTCTGGCGTTCGAGCTCGCGTCGCTTGCGGTCCTCTTCCGCCTTTTTACGCGCTTCTTCCTCCTCCTGTTCCTTCTCTTTGCGCAAGGCTTCCTGGTAGGCTCTCTCGCGCTCATCGCGCTTGGCCTGTACGTAGTTCGCATAGTCGTCATCGGTCTTGTTCCCTGCTCTCTCCTCCTCAGCAGCGGCTTCCACGCCAATTTCCTCACGACGAATCTCTCGCACGGAATCCAAGATTGTTTGGAGATGATTCGTAGCTAGCGCATCAAGCGACCGCTCCACCGTCTTGTACACGTCGCTCCGATCGACCGCGCCTTCAATCAACGTAGCAGCTTTTCCACGCTCGCGCGATAGCAATCCAGGTTCGCGATCAATCTCCGCTTCCGCAAGTTCGATGAGGAGTTTCGTGAATTCTTCTTTTCCAACCTAGATAGTGACGGCGCACAGGAAGGCGCAAGATCAGCGAACAAAAATATCACAATCACGGGGGAAATACAGACTTACCCCTTCCTCAAACTCAGCCCAGATTTTCTTGCGCACATTGTCGAAACCACCTCTCTTCTTGAATGCATGGAGAAGATTCTCGATCGCGATGTGTTGTACGGCAGAAAGGGGTAGGTCGTCTGTTTTGAACTTCTTGCGCTGAAGACTGTCAATGTCAAATGGCCGCTTTACGCCGACGGCCACCGCATCAACAGCAGCTGGAGCCAATGGATCGGCCGTCCCCTCTATTGGACCAGCCATAGCGGAGAGTCGGCGGTTAGCCGATGCACAGCTGGGGAACGAAGTGTTGAAAGAGAATCACGTCTCTGAACTGAAGCAAAAAGAACAATCAAGGCGGAGACATGGGGAATAGATAAATGTCAAATTTGCGCTCGCATGGAGCGGGCGCGTTGCGTTCTAGTGGAAGCAGTTAGTAAATGTTGGTGGTTGGCCCGTTTGTCTCTCAAAGCATCGCAAACCGGAGAAACAGATGTGCCGACATCCACCGCCCGATTGGGAACTGCGGCCCCGTGATTCGACGCAGCAACCTCCGTTGGATGGAATCCCGGCGTCTTCTTTGAACAATCGCAGAAGACACTCCAGCAACGTCACCGAGCGCTGCCTTTATCCCCCATAACCCATTGAACCTCACTGCCGGATTCCTGCGCCGCATAATAAGGATCTCCTTCAGTGCCGGCAATTCCGCTTCGCCAAATCCCTTCCGCCCGCCTTCCCTCCCTCTCCACATCTTCAGTCATGGTTCACAAAGTCCTCTTCTGGGGCGGCTTCGGTATGTTGTCCTGCCCTTCTCTCCTCCTCGCCATGACACCATGACACATTCTACCTATCCCATTACATGCGGTCCTCAAGCAAGCAAAACTCAACTAAACTAATCCGTGGATGCTCGCATGCAGGCATCGCCGTCCGTCTCTGGCAACTCGGCATCGAAATGCGGCCCATCCTCGCCCGCGAATCCCTCTGGGTCTACCCGCTCTTCGCCGGCGTCGGCGGCAGCTTCGGCTACTGGCTGCAGGGCGTCGAGGAGCGCCAACTCCGCATACTCGCACAGCGTCGGGAGGCGATTCTCGAGAAGCGCCGAAGGAGAGACGAGCGTGAGACCCCCGGCACGTTGAGCAAGGTCGAGGAGAGTGTTATGGCGGCTGCTGCTTAGATTTGAAATTCTGGAGCAGAAAACAGAGAAGAAAAATACAATAGGAGGGATCAGAGCCGGCGGCGTTCTGGTTCCTTCGTGCGGGGGAAATCGTGGGGGTGGATGAGCGAATCGAGTGAGTTGTGTGATGTATATCTGGGAAGGGTGTTTTATGCCTCTCGTTGTGTGGTGTCTTCTATCCATTGTTCTATCAATATCAATATGTTTTCTATCTATGTTGCTGCTGTGGGGGGTGGGCGGATGTAGGTTTCTTGCCATAGGGGTATGTGCGCATGAGAGGATGATGCGTTGTACGACTGAGGCTTAGATGTTGAGGGATTCCCTCGGTAGAGAATGGCAGCTTGGATTAAGGAATTGTATAGCTTATATAAGTGCTAGACTGTGTTCAGTGCATATCGTCTCGATACTTGAGAGCAAGAGACATTAAGTTCCAGCACGCGAAACTTGACTCTTCGTCATGCCATTGAAGCGCAAGGAAACTGCATTCATGCCTATCCTAGTTATGTTCACGCTTAGATGTCATGCTCGTACCCTCACTTAAATGACATCCTATGTCCAATCCATAATATACACTAAATGTACTACAAACATCACGCCTTCTCTATCGCGAACTGCAACGACACCTCCCACTTCTGCCCTCCCGTTCCATAACCCCCGCCCAGCCTGTTCTTGATCAAGCTGATTATCCGCTCGCGCAGACGCGCCAGATTCTCCTCCGGGCCTGAGACGCGAAGTTTCAGATTCGCCATGCACAAGCCGTAGTGCACCTGCCAGAAGCGAGCATCGTCGACACCCCGCACGCAGGGATCGGCTTCGATGTCGTGCATCACTTCCGTGACGCCCTGGCCCGAATAAGACATGAGCAGCATCGACCCCAGGGTCTTGACCAGGTGCACGCCGATGACACACATTGAGATGGAGATGGTTCCCGATAGGAGCACGTCAAGCCACTTGTAGAGCTTGATGGAGACAAGCGGTAGCAACAGCAGAAGGGAGGAGCAGGAGAGCGTCAGGAAGTGGGAGGGGTTGCTGAGCACCGATGGTAGTGATTCAATGTACCCGAAGCGCATCGCCTTGCCGATGCGGCCGTGGTTTTTGAGCCCAATCGCCGAGACGAGCGTGGAGACGATAGCCAGCAGGGCTGTGAAGTCCACGCGGCCCAAGGACACGCGCTCGTGCACGTGCGAGTGATGCGGCTCGTGGCCCGCGGACTCAAGGAAATGCTGCAGGTTGTGCGAGATCAAGTCCAAGCCCATGAAGAGCAGGAGCACGCACATGGCGAACCCGGCAAGCACCTCGGCTCGTTCGAGCCCGAAGGGATGGCGCACGCTGGAACGCTTCCACACCTCGAAATTGCCGAGGATGTCTACCGCGACGCAGAGAAGGGCACCGATGGAGTCAAACAAAATCAGATGCGACAGAGCCGTCATGGCCAGCGACCCATGCGCGCTCCACAGAGTGTACGCTGCGACGGACATGTGGCACAAGCTCCACCAGAAACGGGTCGTCTGGTCCCTGGACATACTTGATCGATATTCCTTGAACGTGGGGATGGGTAGCGAGTTTGGCAACGCGAGAGGGGCGCGAGGTGGTGGCTCGAGGAAGATCTGATGCGATATACTACTGTGTTTATACTTATGTCCGCGCCGTTGTCCAATGTTCTATATAAGAGGCCAAGGCAATGAGGAACCTGAATCATATTGTTTCATATCTGACAGGAAACTCACAGATTTGACCACGGGACTTTTGGCCATAGTTGTTGTCTGAAAGTTGAAGGGACCGGACGAGACATTGTCGCTCTGATCGGCCTGTGATCGCGCACTTGCTGGACTGAGATTGAAGGCTGCCCGCGTAGGGCTCAACCGATTGCTATCATTGACCTCCAAAACACCCCTGGTGGGAGTGAATGTATCCCTCAAAGGCGACAATGAATCCTTGTCGTAGAGGGTGGAAGATGGCTCAACCGTGCTGGCAGGGTTGTCATCTGCGGGGGGAGTCGGAGTGCGCGGAGGAATAGGGATGGGGAGGTTCGACGCCATCACGATAGTCGTCGAAGAATGGGGCGCCGGCGCCGATCGATTTGAAGGGATACGCAGGTCAAGTCGAAGATAGTAGCGTTACACCGATCGGAGGTCAATGGAAGGAGTGAAAAAAAAAAGGAAAGCGTAACCTCAGAATGGAATGAAAATCAAGCTCCCAGGACGCAGGGAGGCTGACAGATTGGGGGAAGGGAAGAATGTCGCTGGACTCGCTGATCGAAGGCCGGCGGAAAAGGCGGGGGCGGGCCTCAGGCCAGAGGCCTCGACTCACTCAGCGCATCATCGACTCCATCCTTCCGCCCGCTTCCTCCCTAATTTCATCATCTGCCTTCTTATCGACCTTGTTCCATCATCATCAACCGTTGTCTGGTTCCTCTTGAAATTTGATGACCAGCACTAAATGAGTGTCGCTTGTTTCTGCCAGAGTTTGGCGATGCGACACCCACAAACCTAAAAAGTATTTCTACTGATCTACAGGAGTTTCCCTCTACTCCGATGTCTACATCCCCTCGGCATCGATGGATCACCGCGGCTCTTTTTTCTTCTTCCTGGTCGTCTTCTACCTTCTCCTGAGCTCGCAGTCTCGTTCGCCCTTGATATCTCAAGATGGGGAGCACCAGCGGGAACTGGAAAGGGAGCGAAATGCCCTTCGTATGCTAAACGAGACTCAATATGGAGACTTTGATCCGCTGGCCGACAAATGGTTACCTTTTCCAGGCGTCCGCAAAAACGACAGCTATGCTTGGGACCTTCTGCCTGATGTTCAGGCCAGAGCCCGGTCTCAGCTGCGGTCTGTCATGGCGGAGGCAGGCCTCCGCCCTCCCAAATCCCTTGCAGTGCCTGACGCACTACCTGATCTCAACTTAACGCAACTCGTTCTTCCTGTGTATCGCAATGCGACAGGGAAATTGCGCGGCGAATGGGTGCGACGCAAGCAGGACAAGCCGCATGCCCCTCTCAACAAGACTGCTATCATCCAAGAAAATGAGTACTTCACGCATGAATTCAGCCAGAATGTCACTGGCAACAGTGGCACATTCTATCTGGATGTACGTGAAGGGGGTGGACAGGAGCTTCGGTCGCCTCAAGGCCACGTTCGGGAGATTCGGGCCACGTTGACTGTGGAAAGTGGCGAGTTTTGGGGAAACACTTGGTATCTCTCACTGATCGGTATACACTTTCCGGAGACTGGCGGGATTATCCTAAGCACCATGAGCGAGAAGTTCGGGGGCCTCCTCACTTTGCCACATCTCTCCCTTTCGCCGGATGCATATAACCTCACCCATGAACTTCTCATCAAGTCCTTGTCGGATACCATATCCGAGAAGCAGAATCGACCTCCTACCCTTTTCCCCTGGTCCTCTTTGGCCGGCAGTGAGCACATGGAGTTTCCTGCGCCGAGGTGTGAACACATAGTTTACCTCCAACAGCATCCACTTACAATTCATGGTTACCTAGCGGACAAGGTAGTGATTGAGCAGATCGAGCAGGAGCTGAGATATCCCATTGGTGCACCGATCCCAACACCTCCTTTGATGGTCATGTCAGCCGTCGTGTTCTCTCCTGATTGTGGATACATCTTAGAAACCAAAGGAGCACCTGAATTCCCTCCCACGGAGACATTGTATCTATCAGGTCCAAAGATAGAAGAGTTCGGAAAGTACTCGGCTCGCATGATCTTCGTCATGTCGGCGGTCTCCGTTGGTCAGATCGCGCTGCTGTTGAGACAAGTGAAGGAAGCCTCCACGCCGTCGACTAGAAGCCGTATCAGTTTCTACACGATCGCCTTGATGGCATTCGGGGATTCGTTCGTGCTGGTCTTCATTCTACTGGAGTTATACCCGGTGGTATCATTCCTGGTCATGACATCCGCATCTTTCCTCACCTTCCTCTCGGTCAGCTACATTGGGATGAAGTTTATGATGGAAATCTGGACTATCCAAGCGCCAGAACGACGGGAGCAGGAGCGGCGAGCTCCCTCTAACACGCGGCCCACGAATCTGCCCCTTCCTGCTACGGCAGCCCAGGTCAGAGACTCGGGCGCAACCCCGATTATACTGCCTCCGGACCAAGATGCCCCTGCTGATGAAGATGCGCCGGCCGCGAACCGTGGCACTACACCGACAGCGCGGGACGCTCGAAGTGACGTGGGAGCCATGTATGCGCGATTCTACTTCATTCTTTTTGTGATGCTTATTATCTCTATCTGGTCCTTCCTTTGGCCGAACCGACTCGGCGCAATATATGCTCGAGTGCTCGGGTTCATCTATCTTTCCTTCTGGACGCCCCAGATTTATCGTAACATCATGCGCAACTGTCGCAAGGCACTGCGATGGGATTTTGTGATCGGACAGAGCTGCCTCCGACTGTTTCCATTCCTCTACTTCCTAACAGCTCGTGGAAACGTGCTCTTCATCCGACCCGATGCGACGACAGCCCTCGCCTTGATAGGCTGGGTCTGGATCCAAGTCTGGATCCTGGCGAGTCAGGACATTCTGGGCCCGCGCTTTTTCGTTCCGCGCGGATGGGCACCCCCGGCCTACGACTACCATCCGACTCTCCGCGATACTACCGGGGCAGGCGACGATCTGGAGTCTGGTGGGGTTTTGCCCATTGGGGCGCTGCGGGCCGATGAACGTGAATACCCCAGCGAGTCCAAGGACGACGACAAGCATCGACCCAGAGACAGAAAGAAGGCGGTGTTCGACTGCGCCATCTGCATGCAGGAGATCGAGGTGCCCGTTCTCGTGTCGGGCGGAGCGGGCGGTAGTAGCATGGCCGACGGAGCGACGAGCATCCTCAGCCGGCGCACCTACATGGTCACCCCCTGTCGCCATATATTCCACAGCACGTGCCTCGAAAGCTGGATGCGCCTTCGTCTCCAGTGTCCGATCTGCCGAGAGTCTATACCTCCGGTGTAGTCGCGTGTATTCTGCCGTTTGTGTCTCGGCATGTACCTTACTTATGATAGACGCCCGACATGGTAACTGGGTTTAAGATGAGCTCCGCCTCGCACCAAGTGACCTCTGAACACAGGAAGAAAATAGAAAACCAATAAACGTTCTTTTGATTTTATATCATTTAACCCCTTTCGTTGGATGTTGAATACAAGGTCCAAGCTATTGTAAAACCAGCAATGCTACCGGTTAGTGCTATCACAGTGTGTATCCATACCTCGGATATCACCCATCCCAACAATCCTCCGACACAATACTTATCATCATCATCTATAACCCTAGCCCATCATCATCGTCGCATAAAGTCCCGCGACATATACCGAGCAAAAAGAAGAGGCTCCATTCCACAGGGAACCCATAACCGCAAAACACAACGCAATTCAGAACGAACAAACAGATGGAAAAAGCAAAACAAAAACCACAGCCCTCAACCCATCACTTTGATTCACAGCTGCCCCTCGTTCCGAGAAGGGAGTGAGTTGGGGGCTGGCATAGCAGGGCCCCCTCAGTGATCCTCCGCCTCAACGTGCGCCTTGTATGCGGCCTCATCCAGCAGCGCATCCAGCTCGGCGGCATCGGAGACCTCGATCTCGGCGATCCAGGCCTCATCCTCGGGGCTCTCGTTGATGAACTTGGCCTTGTCGTCGAGGATGCTGTTGCCGCGCACGACGGTGCCGGAGACGGGAGAGAGCACGTCCGAAGCGGACTTGACAGACTCGACGGCGCCGACGGGCTCGTTGGCGCTGACTTCCAGGCCCTCGCTGGGGAGCTCGACGTAGACAACGTCACCGAGGGAGTGGGCGGCGTAGGCGGTGATGCCAATCTTGGCTGCAGTTGAATGGGTTGGTTAGTATGGGTTAGGTAGGTAGGAAGGGTGAGGGGCGCGTTCGGTTTGGGTGTTGGCCCTTGGATATTGGGAGTGTAAAGAGGAGGAGTAAGAGAGAGTAGAAGGTCAACGCACCCGTCTTGCCGTTATCGGCCAGCTCGATCCATTCGTGGGATTCGGTGTACTTCTTCAATTGCCCTGCGCGCGGTTGATGATATTAGCCACGATTGTTCTTTTATTTTGGTTATTCTCTGCAAAGACAAGGCAGTAGAGCATGCGCGAGGGCTTCATCACCCTCAATACTGCCCTCCAGGGGGGAATGCCTACAGAATGGGCTGTGGGAGAAGCTCCGGACACTTCCCCGCGGGAAACTGACGGGCGTCACCCTGCGGACGGCGGAGACGGGGAGCTTCTGCGCCAGGAAGCGAGAGGCGACAGGGCGGAAAGAACTGGCGAAGGCAGACATGGTGAATGACAATTGAGACTGTAGGAACAGCAAGGGAAGTGATTGAAGCAAGTGGTGGTGCGTGGTGATGGAGGAAAGACAGGGTAAGTTGTGGGGGAGAGGACGGAGGAAAAGAGGTTAAATACTAAGTGAAGGGAAAGCTAATGACGGAGATGACGAGCACTTCCCGGAGCTAACGTTCTCGCGCTGATAACGGACTGCCAAGCCGATTGCTGATAAGAAAATGGACAGAGTGCGGGAGCGCGGCCCGGAAAAATCTGGCTCCTTGGCTCAATTCAGAGGTTCCCCGAACGCTCAGTCTGCTTGTGTCGATTGATCACCTTCCCTTCTTTAGCAAAGAATATCGTACTCCACCATCATATACCATGTTGTACGAGCTGATTGCAATTGTACGTGTCTATGATTCTGGCTGAAGCAAGTGTTGTGGCTAACATTGAGCAGGTCCGCCCCGGCAGCCTCCAGGAGGTCCGAGAGTACGTACTCATCGACACCTGTTCATGATCTTCCTACCGCAAGAAGCAGTTTTCAGTAGCATTGCTCATGCGGCCTCTCAGACTCCGTCTCTAACGCTTCCAACAGAATCGCCCGTACTGCGGGTATTCAGGTCTTGCGCTCCGGCGGCGTCGTCCGCGGCTACACCAACTGGGGCCCCTTCCGACTGCCCAAGCCCACCACTAAGCACCAGGCCCGCTACACCGAAGGCCATCACTTCATCATGCGCTTCGACTCCTCGGGACCCGTCCAGGAGGCTGTCCAGAGAACCCTCAAACTCGACCCCCGTATGATCCGCTTCTCCGTGGTCAAGCTCGGCGACAAGCTGGAGGAGATGAGGCACGTGGAGGGCAAAGTGGAGTGGAACAAATACCGTGCTATCACCGACCAGATCTCCTGGAGCGGATAGAGGAGATGATCGATTTGCACTTGTGATTGATGTTTGCGACGAACAAAAATAAAGCGGGCGAATCTGTCATTTGGTTCAGCCCCCCCCTGTGGCGCGACGCGTCTGAATCGTTATTGTATCATATCTGGGATGGGTGTTTTCTCTGTGTTTTCTGCTTCTTCGTCTCTGTTGTATATCATATCAGCATCGTTGGCGCATATACCTGAACTGGGCAGCTTTTTGGCCAATGTAGATTGCGAATCAATTTATTTGAGTTTGCTCTGATGGGCTGCAACTGAGATTCATCCTTGAGAGGAGTTTGCATAAATTGGGACTGTCGTGAGCGGAGTCGCGGTGGGATAGCAGGGCTAGTTGCGTTCTTCAGCCCCAGCGAGCAACGTACTGCCTAGTGCTTAGCACAATGTCTCAGGGCTACAGTAGTCGACAACTAGCGCATTGGATCGAACAGATGTATAAGACACGACTCAGCAACATGAGCACATAGATTGATGTTAGTGGAATCTGTGTCTCTGTGAAGTAGACGCCGCAAGTCTTGCCGTGTGCATATCGCATCGGCATCTACAGCCGAGGTTAGTTCCGCCATGCGTCGGTTATGATGCATGTCAGCTACACTTAAATTAGGTTCAGCAGCTGCGAAGCCCCTCCTGCTCTTGCTCCTCTACACCCTTAAGAACCTCATTGTTTTGCAAGCAGCAAATCCGACCAAGAGTAACACATCACATGCGCACATACCAAACTCATCGAGCCCGTCGCATGTCTCCGCACCAGCCGTAACCCTCACACTCCAGAGGGATCAAAGAATTCATCTTTAGCGACAAGAAACATTCGGACTCAAGCCCAACAAACATAGACTACCATATCGGCTTTCGGGTCACTCTCTCAGTTTTTTTCTTCATAGCCCCCTGGCAGCACCCACAATGCTGAAACTATCCTACACTGAAAGCCCATCCTCATTCGCCGAGCTCATGTCCCTACGCCGGTTAAACTCACCACCAGCCGATCGCAGCAGCAGCAGCGCAGAACGTATCGAGCTATTCCAATCCCTCGCACCTCCTTACCCACCAGGGGAGGCCGACCGAGCCTTTGGCGGCCACGTATACGCGCAATCCGCCTACGCCGCCTCCCAGACCGTCGAGAAGGGCTTCCTCATTCACGTACGTACTAAACTCTCTCCTTCTTTCCCTTCCTTCGCAATAATTCAGGTCCCTTACTCACCCCTGAAGGACATAACCGGCACATTCATTCTGCCGGGTCGCCTCGACATCCCCTACGAATACAGCGTGCGCCATCTCCGCGACGGCCGCAGCTACAGCACACGAGCGATCGACGCGCGCCAAGCAGGCCAAATCTGCTTCTCCGCAGTGTGCAGCTTCAAGCGCCCCGAAGAAGCGGCCGCCACGGCGTCTGCATTCGCGCATCAGCCGGCGCCCGTGCAGGAGCGATACGCGGCGCTGCTGGCGGGCAAGCACCCGCAGGATTTTGAGGTCAGTCCGGGTGTCGACGCGGACTTTTACATTGACTACTGGCGCGAGCAGTGGAAGAAGCATGGGATCGCAGAGCGGGAGTTCCCCGGGCTGGAGGCGAGGAAGGTGGATATGCAGGGCTACAATCAGACGGAGGAGGTGCGGCGGTGTCCGGACAGGTACCGGCAGTTGACGTACTATAAGCTCAAAGGGTCGCCGGGGGATTCTTGTCCGGGGATGGGAGTGAAGGAGGTGAGGCGCAGGGAGCGGGAGGGGGAGTTTGATAACCTGTATGCGTGTGCGCATATGTATGCGGCGGATAAGAATTCGCTGTTGTTGATCCCGCGGGCGCTGGGGATCAAGGCTTGGAATGCGCTGGCGAGTTTGACGCTTACGATTGTGTTTCATGATCTGGGGAAGGGATTGCGGATGGTTGATTGGGACGCAGACTCGACAGAGGGGGTGGAAGGGGAGGACCGGTTACCGAAGAAGTGGTTTGTTCAGGAAGGCTGGACGCCTCGATCGGGCGACAATCGTGCGGTTCATGAGAGTTGGTTGTGGTCGCCCGATGGGCGGTTAGTGGCCACGAGCTATCAGGATAGTATGTTGAAGGTGTCCCGGGTGGACAGGGAGAAGTTGTAGAGGTGAGGGACGCTGTGTTGATTGTGACTGTAAGGATTAGATGGTTCTGTAAGACATGCAAGGCCTGTAGACTAGTAGACATGTGCGCTTGTCGGGACGCGTTTTGTCGTTCGTACAGTACATGTAAAGGCATTCACTGTTTGTGAGCAAGACTGCGAGCATGATTCACATTACAGTTCTGCTGATTGAGAGCACATTTCTGTTGAATCTTCTCTACTCCTGTGCATCGAAGCTCCCTGCTTCTATGCCCTGAATAGGAGCATCATCACGTATCGTATGATTTGTGGATTTGCACGAGGACATCGATCAATCAAACAAGCGCACACGCTTGCTGCGGCCCAAGTACTGTATGTCTAAGTGAAGCGTGTCTCCCATTCAATGCACTTCAAGTGCCAAGCATCATCTAAGTCAGTGGCGCTGGTCGGGCTTACATTGTCAAAGATTGATTGACATGACTGGGTGAGTCCTGGTCTCTTATTCGGTTAGAAGCTGTTCCATTCAATTCCATTACTTGACCCGGTGGCCAATCCTCTTGAGCTCGGTATATTCAAGTTTAGAAGGCGCCTTGTCGGGAATTCCGAATTAGGAAGTCATACACTGGACTCGGGAGTATAAACCCCCCCTCGCCCCGGCTTCTGAAGCAGCTTTTTCAAATCTTTCTCCCTCCAGCTATGCTGTAGCTTACCGAGTCTCCCGCTTGCGTCAAGTTGACAGCTCTTGAGCCATGCCATCATCGGTGCCCTTTGCCTTGAAAATGCGTCTCGAGTATACATCAAGAGGTTTTAACTGATATCGCTCCGCCATTGCGCCGCTGAAACACACGAAACGAGATTTTCCGGGGCCAAAAACGGCGGATGCTTCCTCTTTTTGCCCGATCACACTCTTGCTCCGTGAAGTAGCAGTAAACGCATCGTTGAAAGCCTTGGCGTCCTGGCTGGTGTACTCCAGTGTCACCCGACGGACGGCCTCGTCATCAGCGGAAGCGCGCGGAGGAGTCACGCCTAGGGTCCAGATACAGGCGTCTACGGCTCGGAGAGAGGCGGAGAGCGTCGGTTTGGACCAGGAGAGGAGAATCATGGTCTGTCATGCGGTGGACGTCGAGCTTGGGGTGGGTGACGGGTAGTTCACGGTAACCCAGAGCACCTATAGAAGTGATGGAGGGGTGGCTTATACATTGGGACAGGACCTCTTATCCTTTGAAGCCTGTTGCGCCGGTGAGAATGACCTTCATTATCGTGCGGTTGGGTGAAGATTAGAGGTAATAGATGTGTCAAGAGATAGGGTGGCTTAATGCTTCGATGGGTATACAGACCCTCTGACGTGGTGATTGTGCGGAGACGCTTGCTGGTAAAAACAGTCCTTCTCTCTAAGAGATCTGATCGTGGTTAAATCGGTCGTAAGCTCGTGGTCCGATCACCGGTCGAGTCCGAGCGGGAGGATTCTAACAGGAAATGGGTTTAGTTCTTGCGGCACACTTCCATTGGAGTCATCTGCTTCTGATGATGTAAGGGTGAAGATAGTCTGGTGGATCTTCCTGTAGCGGATTGAGAGAAGAAGGTGCTGTGCTTGTCCGACTATCAGTAGGCGGGGTTTCGTACTTCAATGCAGAGTTACCGTTCTCTTAGGGCTGAGTGGGGACTTGGTCCAATCAGCCATAATCTACGAGCACGATTCCCTTAACATATGTCCAACGTAAGTACCTTTAGTATTTTCTATACGATGCTATACTTAGCTGTGAAGTAGTATTCTGAGCAATATCCCTTTGATTCAGCTTTGCCGACAGTAACCCATATCTTCAATTTGGGTGCGGCACTACCCTTGCCGCCTGGGGCTTTTTTGACGAGGGAAAAGGATTTTGACCCATGTCGCGTTGATTTGCGGGCCTGCCACGACTTCTTTGCACTTCTTATGAAGCTTCGGTAGGATCTCTCGTTTTATTCCTTCATTTGTGGACTTACGCCTAGGTCGAACATGGTGTGTGAGGACGGATGTTGGGGAAGCTGTCAAGGTAGACTATGTGAGGTAAAATGGCAGGTGAGAGATGAGGTAACACGACAGCTCACATGGAACCAGTCGAGGTTAGCTCGGCTCATCCCACAAGAATGATGAAGCTATAAAGCTTGAGGAAGCTGCACAAGTACAATTGTACTGGAAAAATGGTGATCGTGATCCTCACTGGGCGAAGGATGCTGCAAAGAAGAGGATTGAAGGATGAAGCTGGAAGGTGGAGAAAGTCATAAGTCAGGAAGCAAGTGACCAGCATCGCCGGGGGCACCCGTGACCCTTCGAAATTTGTAATTTCTGGGGCTATGAGTTTCTCGACCGATTGTCCCCATGGATCTTTTGTTGGGATTCTTCAATGATCTTCTGCACGGCTTCGTCAATATCCTCTAACCTTTAATGTGGGTAGTTCAGCCCTCATTTTCACCGGTACCATCAGCGTTGTCAATGCAAGGGGCCGGTTGTCCGGCCCTTGGATTCGGACAGACCCTGACCCATATTCTCCATCCATGCGGACCGATCCATTGGGCCCCTGCTTCAATGCTGCAATGTCGATGCAAATCGAACAGCTTGGTCGCATCTTCCTCCTTCTCAATCCTGTATCGGCTTCGAAATTTGGCCTGGAGCAGCTGCCAGCCATCGCGGATATCTGACCCGAGAGAATTGAACCACACCTCTGCTCTATCTCTCGGGTTCTGCTGAAAGTAGAATCTGTGTCGGCGGATGGCCCCGGCTGGGTCCGCTTTCTAAAGGGTCTACTGCATTGTCCTCTCGGCTGCAAAGTCGATGTCCTCCAAATAGGTCTCTGGGTCCTCCTGCCGCTCAGTGCGGCCATAGAATGGCTTAATCAATGAACGACACATAATGGGCCGTGTCCTCTTCGGTGGTTCGTTTTTCGTTATTGTCGACCGGGACCTTGACGTTGAACCGCTGTTTTCAGTCGATGGGGCCGGTTCTGGGAGGGGTCGCCCGATCGCTTCTCCAAGCAAATCCGCCAGTCCGTTCTCCCTTCAGATTCGTATCAGATGCGACGGTCAATAGTGGGCGTGCCCTGTCCTTTGGTCCCACGATGACTTCAGCACCTCTGTCCTTCTGGTTGGTCCCTCGCCCAACTTGTATAAAGATCCAGTGGTTGTGATTCGTTCGAGTATGAGCACCGAAAAATCGACGTCTGCCGGTTAGGGAAGAATACTTAAAGTTCTGCTGTGAACAGAATGACTCTGTACTACGCCCTTGGATATCGAGTTGTATATGTTGATCTAGGACTGCTAGACTTCGGAGAGCAGCAGTCACCTCAGCACAATTTGCTCTATGCGGCTCTAGATCAATGGAAAACAAACTTGAATCTTCGCTCATTCTGAAGCAGTAAAGCCGACAGGGATGAGATGCTTTCCCATCTGACTTCGTTACACTCTGGGTTAGACGCTGAATCCATCAATGAAGAGCTGGTATGGCACTGGCATACATTTTTGTCCGTCATGGATATTCAGTAGAAGCTGTCGTCCAGAAGTTTCGATTTCCAGCTCGGCTCGAAGTGGTATGAAGATAAAGCAAGGGGCTATTGCTCCTCGTGAGTCTGTCACCGCGCACACTCTTCTCAAAATTAGCTTGCATTCAAACCAGTAGATCAGTCTCAGTCGGTGGATAATGCACTGCTCACTCGGTAAGGACGCTGGATGTCCAAATACTCCTCACTCGTCCGAGGATTAGAGAGATTTTGTACAAGCCGTTGCTTCAAATATCCCATAGATGCCTTGCTTGGAAGACCTGATGAGAATAACCCTCGCCGCCCGAATTGCTTTCACCGAAGCCAGCTTTTTACTGTTCTAGGACGTGCTTAGCTTGGTAGAAAATAAAAGCTGGCCGGAGACGATCGATACGGTTAGTGTATCGTAATTGGCATCTCGAAATATTTGCTGCTAACCACCGTGCTCAACGGGTCGACGTGCAAGTGTCGTGAGATATGTCCACGGTGTTCTCGTGCGTGATGGCACATGCCTAACGACTATTCATTCGGCCGTCAGGCGTGACTGACGAATGACGGTCTGCAAGATACACGTGTACGACCAAGCTCAGGCAGGATTGATAAAAGTTCGCTCGCTAGTCGAGATCACGAAGCTGGAAAAGACCTGGTCCGAGGGTCTTATACCCCACACCCTGTTTAACATGGGTATGGTAGGGCAGACAGACAGGGTGTGCATGGTAGTAGTCCCGTTTGAACAGAATCTCACCTCGTTCGCGCTGCAACTTATATGAGTGCTCCAGATTGGTTGTGGGAGCGGGATGAAGCGGGAAGCTTATGTCGAAGTCGGCAAGATATCTTGTCTTTCTCTGAGTAGTAGACACAGAAACGATTTTAAGGAAAACGCTTTGGTCTATAAGCCAGACACCTCTAGGCGGCTAATCTCTACTGTCCGACATCGGCTTCCCGGTGCCTTTCACCGTAGGTCACTGCGACCATGCGTTTCTTTGCATTCTGGAGGCATCTGCCTTGTCGTCAATGAGATTAGGCATAGGACTGTTGAATCCGCCATATTCTGGCTCCCAGGATGCTGAGGATCGTGACTGAGTCAAGGCAGTCTGACAGCCTTTGGGAAACGCATGCAAGAGTCGTTGATTACCAACATGTTTGCGTCTGGAAGCAGAATGCCTAGTGACATAATGATCTTGCACTAAGCTGATTCGTGCTCCTCTGCTGGGACATGAACTGTTAAAAGTGATGTCCGAATAGCTGGCAAACTGAGTAGTTGCAGAAAGTCGCCTTTGGTGCTTGAGTATACTTTGAGATTTCCTGCCGGGAAATGAGTTCGTAGCTCTAAGAATCCGTGCATTGAGCCGAAAGTAGGGAAGGTTTGGCTCTTGGAATGGCAGTCTAGTAGGACGGTGTTATATTTCTGGATTACCTGCGTAACCACGGAAGTTACGATATAAGTGCTCCGATGGCTTTGCTAAGCTTATCGTGTATACCCGCATTGGACGGAATCCCCACCCTGCTGCGAAAAAGCTTACCGGTTCTCGTAGCTGGCTGCGAGCTCTGCGGGACCCAGAGCAACGGTGTGAGACTCAAGTCTTTCTCGTCATAAAAGCGCCCTGTGCATTCATGCGGAACGTCTGCCATACCACTCAAAGCAGCAATCAGGTCGAAGTATCCCTGTTTCCTCAGAAGATTAAAGGATGCAATGGGCCTGTTCCTCAGATCCTGAGTTCCCATTGCAAAACCATCGCCGCACTTGGTCTGGACATATTATTGAAATATTCGGTATCGCCGGTACTGATTTGGAGATCTAGAAGTTGAATCGGAGAGATTAGCAGATCCACTCGCTTGAGAACTTTGCAGTAGGAATGAAGGGAATGGGTCTCGGTACCCTTGGAGACGGCAATACCTGTATTTCCCAGGAGAAGTTCAAGCCTGCTTAAGCTTTCACTACCGTGAAAAGATAGAGCAAGGGGTCGGTAAGATATGAAATCATAATTAGCTATTTGCCGTACGACAAGCTTGTCTGCAGGTGGAGAGACCGGTGGGGATATGCCGTCCTGAGACTGATAGTCAAAGTAGACATCAACCTCGTGTGAGATGATTTGCTTTTCATATAGAAGAAAGGATGTCCTTTATGCACTAAGTAGTAGGCGGGTAAAAGGCCTTATCAGGGTGGCCGGCGTCGAACACCCCACCCCTGTTACATTCAGCAATCGTTTCATCCACTCCCTTGTCCTTGAAATACGGTCTGTCGAAGCTATCGAGACTCGACTTGCAGGCGCATGTTCCTGGTTGTATTGAACAGAGTCTTGTGGGGCTATGGGTTGACGAGCTGTTAGTCAAAACGGGAATGCAGTCCTGCAAGCAAGCACACCGGATGGAGTGTCCGAGCGACAGAAATCAGTGGTCGCAATCCACAACTGCAGGTAGCAAGTGAGCAACACTTGTGACGTGTCAAACACGCATAGTCTGGGTGAAATTTGGCGTAGGCCAGGGAGATGCCTTCACCTATCGCTCTTGTAAGGCTCAGATGCGATAGCGTAGTTCTAAAGCTCCTCGCTTGTTCCAATCAGATAGGCGCCTCTAGAGTTGGTGGTGAACATTTAGGGCCTTGGCAATGTACGGTGAAAGAGCGTAAATCCAGAAAAGGTGTGATGCGTTGTTTCCTTTGAAGAAACGGATTTGCCTTGCAAGACTTAATCACCATGGTGTCATCGACATGCATATTCACTGTGTCTCTGCCTGAAGTCCTATAGCTGGCAGGCGGTATTTACGCACACATTGACTAGACTAATATAGGCACATTCAAGATCGCTTCAAATGGAGTGAACAGCATAGTAATAAGAATATTTAAGCAGGCCACAAGTCAACATTTAGTGGACCACCAAAGTCACTCTACGGAGTCACAAGCTAGCTCGATTCAAGGCCAGTGCCGATGGAGGTTGCAAGAAGGTTGTGCCTGAATTTACGACCCGCTTCGGACTCTTAGCCTGATCTGCTGAAGCGGGGACATACTATCGCCTCAAGTGGCACGAAAGGAATCGAGATCGAGATCCGGAATCAGATCGATGGCGGTGGTTGGCGCAAGCCTCAAAAGTTTACCAAGACCACAGCGCTTGCCTGTGACTGACGAATTGAACGATGAGCATCGTATGACATTCCTGTCACACTGGTTGATCAGCTCTAATCATGTCCAAGCTGGTGGAAGATTGCTTGATTTTGATACCGGCCCGGAGAATAAGGCAACCACGTGAGTGTGCCTCAACAGTCGATATCACGTGCCTAATCTGCTTGATGACGTAGAGAGCCTTTTCTGCTGACCGAGGCCGTATTCGAGGGTCAGGTTGTCCACTTTCCAACCATTTTCGGGACTCGCTCCTCTTCTCTACAGATCTTCGTCACGACCATGAGTTGCTTGACCTAGCCTCGCACTGCACAATGAATAAGACCCTGCTTATCGTGTTTATTCACGGCTTCAAGGTGCGTTGTGTGTCCAAACCTGCGATCCTCCCCGCTTAATATGTTCTGGGCGCATAACGTGTGTCGGTCGCAAGGTATACACCCGTCTTGCTGATTTATCCGCAGGGAGGGGAGGATACATTCGGAGACTTTCCTAGGCATTTTCGCACCCTGGTCAGCCGTGCCCTTCCGGCCGTACGAGTGACAAGCGCGGTCTACCCAAAGTACGAAACTCGGGGCGACCTGAAGGAGTGTGTGAGCACTTTTCGGGAATGGTTTGTCACATGTTATGCGATCTGAATTGATTTCTGCGTCAAAACGTACCACTAAGCCATTATCGTTCGTGCAGGCTGCAAAACACGGTCATCGACTTGGAAGTCGCCAACCATACAGCTTCTCCCACCGTGGATCCTTCAGTCCATGTATTCTTAGTCGGTCACTCCATGGGTGGGATTGTGGCAGCCGAAACACTTCTCGTACTGGCTTCCGAGCAGCCTCTGCCACCTAAACCCGCTGCCAACATCGCAACCAAGCCGAGTGCACCTGACTCTTGTACCGATCCGCACGCTGCCGTCAACCCCGGCGCATTTATGTTTCCACATATTCAAGGGGTTTTTGCATTCGATACGCCATTTTTAGGCATTGCACCCGGGGTAGTATCGTATGGAGCTGAAGGACAGTTTCGGAATGCCACCGCCGCATATACCGCGTTGTCTGAGGTGGCGGGCCTGTTCGGAATTGGAGGAAGTAATAATTCTTCAGAGGAAACTAGAACGGCCGATCGCTCAGGAGAACCTCAAAAAACCCTACCGACTTCTCCGACTAACGACGCCGCGGCCACGCCCTCCTGGCAACGGTGGGGTCGGTACGCGATGTTTGCTGGAGCAGGCGCTCTGGCAGCCGGCGGGGCAGCGGCAGTTTATTCGCAGCGTCAGAGACTAACCGACGGCTGGGGCTGGGTGTCATCCCACCTGGTGTTTGTCGGCTGCCTAGCACGTTCCTCGGAATTGCGACAGCGCCTTGCCTCGCTCGTGGATGTCCAAAAAGACCGCGGAATATCCTGCGTTAATTTCTATACGTGCTTGGGCGAAAACGCGAGCTCACTGGTAGAGAACACAAGCCGTAGCAATACGTCGTTCAGCCAAAAGATTATACGCTCCAAGGATCGCACTTTCTGTTCGCTTCCGGCGGGAGGCCAAGGCCCGGGGCTTCCGGATCTAGGTCTCCGATGGGTCAGAGCCGTGAATGATAAAGCTGCAGATGAAATTAAAGCCCATACCAGCATGTTCTTGCAGACAGAGAATCCGGGCTACGCTTTACTCCTTCGTGAGGCAAGCAGAGCACTGGTGGAGTCAGTCGACCAGGGATGGTACGCCACGGCCACCGGATCGGTTGAGGAGGTTGATGGGGACATGCCGCATCATAAGAGGGATGCTCTCCACGACCCCTCCGATGATGGCTTCATGGATGGTGACGACGTGGTGGTCGTGGAATAGAAGCTCTAGTACTTGGAAGGGAGAGGAGGGCGGTGAATGGCATTATCCTTCTCCCTTAATGCCTGTCTCACTTAACCTACCTCTTGCTGTTTTCCTCTGGCGAACATCTCCTCTTGGGCGCTGCTACCATTCAAGGGCTCCAAGTGGCTTTCACGAAACAATCGCTGGATCAGATGTTCATCCGTTGCTCCACTTACTTCGGAAATCAAGTCTTGTCGCTTACCCGGGCAACGCTTATGAGACCTGAGTTGGAGCTAGTGGACGAAGGGTCCGATTACATCCTGGCTGACGACGAAGGCGGGGGGCTAGACTCCAGTTGGCCGCTCACACAAATGAAGATTTTAGTGGCTTACTCTGGCACAGTAAGTTTGGATTTCTCGGTGGAAATTGCAATCTTGTAATTCTCCGGCTAATAGCTTCAGAATGGGTTGATAACATCCGATCCATCGATGGTGGATCTTCCCCTTTCCGAAAAGCCGGCCGTGCATCGGAATTGGGCTCTACCATGGCATACGGACTAATGGATCCCATGGGTCTTGGACGATCTTCATGCTCATCGTCACCCACAAATTCTTCTGCGAACCGAAATCCTCCCTTGAAGCATCACCGTCTGTTCTAATCTCCTCATCAAGGCAATGTCATCTAAATTAAGGAGATTGGCTGCTTACTTCAGCAGTTGAGTTGCGCTGATGAGACATCCGCACCTGATTTGGTAGATAGTCCTCTTTTACTGTACCGATGCAGGGGCTGTTCCGGAAAATATTGAAACGAGGGACTCTGCAGTCCAGGCATCGGTAGATGTGTGTGAGAATGTGATTGAGATCCGGTGCGACTTGGTCTCTGCCTACGGGCCATGAGTCAGTTACTGATTTCGAAAGGAGGACATGACGTAAACACTCGGTTTCGGACTCGATCTCTCGATCGCCCGCCAAGTGCAAAAGCTTAGGTGGTATAATGAAATCCGATGTTAGTCCGAGACAGAACAGAGCCAATTCCAAGATTCAGGAGCTGGTCTCGAGGAACAACCCATGTGCTCGACTTCAAAATCCTTTATCTGCTTCACCAGTCTACACTCCAAAGAGTCTGAAGCACATAACTCGTGAATACTGTGTACAATGCCTCTTTTTAGGACCAGTACTATTCTGGTCGAGCTTGCCCCGAATAGGCAGTTTCTTTTGGTGAGCTGAGCCCAAAGCGCGATGTTGCTTAAGCATACAACATGCAAAATGGCCCTTCATCTATCCCAGTAGGATTCTAGGTGGTAAGGCATGCCGCTAACCCGCGCTTCAATAGCGAGCCAACCTATGACATGCAAGTGAATATACTTAAGCAGCAGCTAGTCATACATAGCTATTTACATGGTGAGCTCGATACGGACTGACTGTCTAAATATGTCCGACATAGCTGTAGCCACTGTACAGTACAGTGTACAGTAAGGACTCTTGTTGTGCTTGGGTCAACTACCCCCACCGGAACCAAGTTGGCCGTCAAATCCCCCCCTCCCTTGCAGGGACAATGGCTTGCTTGATCTTTCCCCTTAGCTTTGGCCGATGGAAAAGCAAACAGGCAATAACTAAACAAACAAAGAGACAAAGAGAAGCGTCAGACTGCCCCGATCGACTCTTTCTCCCCCCGCCTCAGCCCCATCCATGATTTTAGCTTGTCTCCAACTCGGCGAATGCCGAACGGGCTATTGCCTTAACGGTTGTGGTTCTGACTCGCAGGTACGACCAACCATTCCTCGAGTTTACACCTACTGAGAGTCTGAGTTGTCTACCTACTGTTATCCTGTGGCTGCCGTGATCCAGACTTCCAGCCCCAACGTCTTATCTAGGCAGATGGAAAACCCGCCTTGACCCCTTTTTCTTTCTCTCTCAAATCCACCTTCTTTGTTCCCCTCTCCTCCCCGGGGGAATGTTTGCTCTCCAACCCCTGCTTTGTTACTCTGGATCTCCGTCTCCTATTACGCCCCCCTTTTTGCTGAGTTGAGCAGGCATAGGATGATATTTCTATGGTTGATCGACTGCTATAGGGGTGACCGGTGGTCGTCAAATCATTTAGGTCGCCCCCACTAATGCCAAGTGCTTCCGCATTCTTCTGAACACCCCAATCGTCTAGATAGCAGCAGGTGAAGCAGAGCATGGTAGCTGCAGGGCACAGAGGACAGGCATACACAGTAGGTGTCCTGTCGCCTCGGCCGAACGACGGCTTGGATTAGCCCGTACCCCGTCTGTGTTTCGCCGGTAGCAATCTACAACTATCTGCGCGCTAACTTCTTTGGTGTAGAGTTACAGTAGAGCGCGGTCGGAACGGGCCCGAGGACCAATTGCAGCACAGTATCTGGCGTATGGGGCCATTGGCGACAAACCACTTCCCAGCTTCAACTCTACAGAGAACACATTATTGCGTGTCAACCACACATTGCCCTACTGATACCTTCTTTCCCCCACCTTTTGTTCCCCTAGTTGACAATTACTCAGTAGACATCATACTATACCTAGTTTGCTCGATCTCCGGCGAGTTGAACCTTTTCCGACTTGCGTAGCCGCTCGGGCCCTTCCCTCCTCGAATTGACTTCGGTCGGTGCTCAGGCCCCAGCAGACTTCTGCCATTCAGCTTGACCATACCTGCAACATTCCTTCGCCAGAATCAACGGTAGTCCCACAGGTTTCAAGATCTGGATATAAACTACCTTCCTCCTCATGAACCTATAGCTCCAGGGTCGGGGTCATTGGCTCTACAAATAGAATTAGAGGTTACATGGATGTCATTTAGGGCATTGTCGGCCCCGACCGAGCTGCGGAGCAAACCTGGGAGGGATTGATTGACTTGCATTCGCTCGCCCAATCCAGGCCACTCAATGGGCCACTCGAACTTATGACATCCTTTATCTCGTTCATTGGCTGCACCAAAGAACCTGTCTTTAGATCCGCTCATAGTCGCTACCAACTCTGCCGACATGCAATATGGGACTTTGAGACCAGTATTAATTCACCTCAACCGCAACCCAGGAGAGGTTACTATCTAGTAACATTTATACATAGCTTGGGAATTATGCATTTTGCTTACGATGGCTCAATGCTGCCCATGCATAAAGATCCTGGTAAGCGCCACGTGCAAGGAAAAAGCAACAACGGCTGCGAGGGACCGCGTCGATCATCCATTGCCCGACCCGATCAGTCCGGAAGCTGATGGGGCTTTTTGCATCGCGCTGGAACGCTATCTGCCGTGCCTGCTGGCCGCTAGAATCCAGTTCCCATGTAGCAGAGCCCCACCGGATTTAGGGAAAGTCCTCCCTTTCTTTCTTTTCCTTCTTGTTTTCCTCTGCAGGGATTGTGTCGTTTCAGTCAGTTGTTGGTTCGATTCATTTAAACCTTGTCTGTCTCCATCCCTCTCCAGGTGGTCCTGTCTCAAGTACCTTTCGGGTTCGCCTCGCTGTGTTTGTATCAGTTGTCGTCCCCTCTCCAACGTGGGCCGTTTTTGCCTGACAAAGTATGGCTGGCCCTGGAAACCTACAGAGCGGGTCCGAGATCAAACAGGCAGCTCTACAAGACTGAGATCTTGATACTCGTTGAAGAGAGAGGTGGCAGATTGTTGAAAATGCTGGACTTCGAATTCCCCGCAACCCTTAGTAACTGCAATACGGCAAAAGGTTCGAGGGAGTGAAGAAGGAAAAACACGAAGGCAAAGACGCATGTTTTCCTGGAAGTACCTACAATACTAATAAACTGCCAAACACAAACCGCAAAGCAGATCAAGGCAGATTTGATACAATACTGTCGAGTGGTGCAAATTGACCGGATAAGGCCATCTTCGGGCAATTTGGAAAAAGGAAAAAAATAAAAAAAATCAGAGAGCAAGCAAAACTAAAAAAGAAGAAAATTCAAAAATAATCTTTTGTGTACAGAAAAAGACGATCCATAGTCCCATGGAGCTATTGTTTGTTCCCTGTCGTTACCACCTCTACTACTACTCAACCACCGGCTTGTGATGGGCTCTAGTTCGCATGGCCGATGCTGAGAGTGGGCAAACACCCTCCTCTACCCACCATTACCACCACCACTGTTATAAAGAGAGTATGTTATACTTGGTCTGGAACACACCTATAACCATGAACAAAGGCTTTCTAAACCCGTCTGCGAGCAAGAGGTCCATCAAACTGTCTAATCTGATCATTGGCTGCTGGTGCTAGATCCTGCTATATTATCTTCCTATCCACCCGTTGAAACCAACAACATCCTGGGGCATCTCGAACCGAATCTCAAATCTCACCCTTTACCACTTGGCTGACCAGTCACATCCCTCCTTCTTGCTCTATTTTCGCCAGCCTTGAAAGCTAAGATCTGACAGCCATGTGCAACTACATCAAATACGTCTACATCTTCACATCTTGTGCCAATCCGGGTCAACACTTGGCCAGAACCGAGATAGAAGGCGGCAAGGACGGCCGTTGCGCGAAATCTCCTCATGAAAAACTTATTCTCTTGAGCGGTGGATGTGATCTTTGCGCCAAAAAATGCTAAGTAGTGTACGAATTCGTTGGGAAAAAGCTGCGGCGGAAATTGGAGGAAGAGATTCTCTGCAATGGCCTATGCGATATTGGGGAGTGCTGAGGTTGAGGAAGAAGCTTCTTCAGATCAGAGGTTGTGTCATACAGTAGCCTCCATCCTCTCCCCCCCCTCCCCCTCCCCGGCGGTAGTAAGCTGCTGCTATGCGCATTGCACACCAGACTACGGCCACCCGATGGCCTCTTCTTACTACTACTACAACTACTACTACTACTACTACTTACAACAACTGCAACCGCGCCTTCCTCTACCGCACCACCTCTTCGTCTTCTCACTCATCACCTTATCTCTCTCTTTCTTTCTTCGCTTTCTTCCTTTCAAGATTCTTTTCTACCATTCCCTCTCCTGCTGGTTCATTCCGCTGCAACGAGTTCGTGTCTATTTATCTGGTCTGGTCGAGTTTCACTTGCATGGCGCTGGGGGGAGTTTAGATGAACCATCTAAAACTGGTTTCTGCATATCATGATCACAATCTACAATTGAGTTACAGCTGCTACTTGAATCTGCCTACTACCGCAGAGACAAGAGCCAACCTCGTCTAAAGTTTCGTTTCCCTTTCTGCTAGAGTATTTCCGAAGACCGCCAAATATCGGTGGGAGAACATGGTACCACCATGAAACCTGGAACCGATTCCTTACTTTTTCGCGCAGGAGCATCAGCGGTATCACATGTTATATTGCACAAGATGTGTGCTCCAGTTTCTTTTTTTCCTATTTTCGTCCACCATGACAGGTCGGAACTGAAAAAGATAAGGGAACATTCACCTTCCAGTAAGGGCAGACGTTACTGTACACAAGGCCCGCCTTGACCCTCACCCGCACAGCGGCGGCCTACTGCCCGCAAGGTGGCCGTCCCGGTAACATCCCGGAACACTCAACGCTAAGAAACCGTTAGCTGGCTCACTGCTGTCAACGATGCACAATGACGGACGCAATAGCCTGCGGTCCGTTGCCTGCCAAGACAAGCTTCCTGCTGTCACCCTCGATGGGGCCTCCGTTGCAGTCTGTGCTCAGATTACTCTTGCTTCCTCGCCTCGCTAGCGATCGCCCGAAAGGGAGAGAGACTGCAAAGGGGTTTTTACACGTATTCTCGAACCCACGGCCGGAGGTGGATTCCGGTATCTCAGAAATTACTCACGGAAATTAAGCGTCGCACCAGCTCGAGCTCCTGGCAGGGATCTCAGAGGTCTCCTTGTCACAGGACCCAACCCATCAACGAGACAGGACGGAGAGAAGCCTCAAATAAGAACTGTTGGCTGAAAGCGAGAAAACGTAATTCGACGGCAAATTTAGAAAGGAAGATGAACAGGGAGCCATAAAAGGAAATGGAGAGAGCCAGAACGCCAAGGAAGAAGGATTATATTGTAGACGGAATCTATTGCGGAAGAAATAGGACCAAACAATACCGCAATTTTCGCCGTCCAGTAACCACCAAATCTGCTCTGGCCTCAATCGATCGGAAAAGTATTTCCTATTCAATGAGAGCTTACAAAGATCCTAATGATGATAAATGCTGCCTGCCAGTCGAGCTTGCAGCTGACTTTGCTGTACATCGCATACCGGTACAGGGTTTCTCATGCTGAAACTCGACACAGACCATGGTTGCACATCTGCCGATGCGGACACAGGACGTAAGTCATCTTAACCGCCTGGTATTGCATGAGAGGGTCTATTAATGGCCCAGTGAGTTGTCACCCTGCTAGGTTTTCACCCCCCTACGGTTTATCTCCTTTATCGATTGTTATTTATTCGTTGGTTGAAATATGTCTTGACGGGGAAGGTATTTTTCGGCGGCAGCCATTCATAGACACGAAAAGCCAGCGACTACTACTCACATCGTGGACAATATTCGTTATTGCCCAAGGTCCTAATGATTTGGATCGAGCAACGAATGAGAGCTTGGCCCACTCGTGCTTTGTCTTCTTTTCCTCTTAATTCTGCCTTTTCGTTCAAAAATGGGGTAAGCCTCAAACCTTAACACTGATTGATTATTTTCTAGGACAGCATTCAAGGCGGTTCCCACTCACCCCACATTCGGGCCGATAGTGCATTTCTGCAGGGTATCCAGATGATGCCCCTTCCACTTACGATGCACCCTCGCAGTAGAAAACCCCCGTGACCGAAGAACGGAGGATCAGAGATCAGCGGTCCAGGTTGTCAGGTTGAACAAAACCAACCCCCGCGCATGCGATTTTGAGGCCAGTCAGAAGACGGGTATGTTAAGGGCCGATGCCTCGTCTAACTTGCTTTGGCGAAACATACGTTGGGTCACTGTCCTTTGGAAGTCCAATCCCTTTCTCGCGGGTCAAGGAGAACCGGACGACTCGGGAATGTCTAGCCAGCCGAAGAATGGCTCTTAACCAGTCGATGGATAGATAAGTCCAATTTGATTCAATCGCCCGGGACACGTTGTCAATTACTCTTAACCGTCGCGCCCAAGAGGCGGAATGACGTCTCACACATCTACGTGGGAAGGTTCTTCTTCGAGGATCGAATTGTGTGTTCCTTTTGTTCTCTTCCGCGCATTTCCCATTATCCATGCTCTGACTTCCGTCCTTGACGAAAGAGCAAGGGAATGGAGACTATGAGCGGCAAGGCTCCTCCACCAATGCGCGCGAACGCTTGCCCCTACGTTAGGCGACATTTACTCAGCTACACACTCCGGTCCTCCGCTAGATTACCGTGTCGTGGTACGGAGTTGCTTCCGACGCCAACTTTCGGGAGACGATACACAACAACGGTTGGATCGAGGATCCGTGTGGAGCTTCTCTAATGCAGAGCCTGATTGCTTACTTGTCCCCTGCCGTGTTTCATCATTTGCTTTTCTCTCCTTTTCCCGCCAGTCCCATTATCTGGCAGAACCGAATCAGCAGAACAAAAGCCCTGGATCCCTGCAGGCGTGACCCCATTGCTAACAATCTGCTATGGTTGTCGATTGTTGACTTAATGAAAAGGACCCGGCAGTGGAGCAAGGCTTGAAACCAGCCACTGAACGCTAAATAATAATTAGTAGGTTGCCGGCATAGCCGACCACTTTCCTGCTCTAGCACCCAACATCGCTGTTCGGACCCTGATCACGGTAGTTGAGGGGAAAGTGTCTCGCCTCGCAATGAGCGGCGAGAAGTTCGCTCATTGCTCCTTGTTCCAGATTGTCATGGGCCGCATGCCTGTCAAACGGGGTAGGGGTTTTCGGTGATTACTTAAATGTCAAGAAACAACGCGTAGGCGTCGCTGATCTCGCCAAGAGGTGCAGTGGCAAAATACCTGCCATTCCATGAGGGTGGGTGGCTACATTGTAAGGATGTATGACTTTTCTGATTGGTAAGTGGTTTGTTAACACAACAACTAACGACACAGTACTCTTTTTCCTGAGAGATAATCTTGGAGGGAAGGATTCTTACTCCTTGTTGTTTGGAGCATCAGGTACCTGAGAATGCGAGCCCTATTCATCAATAGTGCCCATGTTCAGGGCCGTAGAAAAAGCAATCTATACGCCGCGAACGAGGGATTACCGATTTGGGCAAGTAGTCACCTATGAACTCATTCGCTAGTTGACTTGGGTGATTTGTTTGCCTAGCCCTGTTAATGAGACTCACTTTGTCAACCAGACCGGAAAACTGATGACCAAATGACTAATCAGGAAGTACCCCCATTAATATCGAATACTGGTGTATGAACGAATGATGCAAGTAGGTACTGTACTTTATCAATCACACCAAATTTTAATCACAGATACGGACGCATATTGACAGATCCGATAAGCAAACAAACATAAAAGCCCCAAGAAAAGTACTGACAGTCACCCTTGATGCAATTGCACACAACACGGCCGACCGACCCTGTCAAGAGCTTGCAGTATGCACGTAGGTGCAAACCTACAATAATAACCCCTCGGACAAAGCACTGCAAGCGAGGCGCGTCAGGACAGTTCCTTGTTGTCTCGTCTGAGTCGTCTCCCCTCCCGCTTCCTGTTTGTAGGGCAAGGAATTCACCCAACGTACTGGGATCGAGGACGATTATTACTGCGTACTGTGTACTGCGTCACGGCCATATACGTGTATTTCTTGTCCGGTTATGCCTCGGTCGATCTCCTCCAGCCCAATTGATATACAGCCTATGTGCGGGCAGTATTCTGAGTCACAGTCTGTACATGTATGTACAAGTACATAAGTACAGATTAGAAGGAAACAAAACACGGCCCATCTGTTCCGTTCCAAAGCGCTTTGTTTTTTCTGTCCTTCTAGTAGATTGGTTGGGATTTCGCAAGGAATCTAGAGCGCTGATCTGCTTGCTGGATTGACGGAGTACGAGGTACGGAGTGCCTTCAAAGTCGATCTTGCTCATTCTTGATTAGTTAGTTACATGCAGGCAGTGAGTAGTAGGCGGGAGCGGTGCGCAGACTTTACAATCTTGCAAGGTTAAGTGAGCTATCAACAAGGTTGGAGGATTTGAAATTTCGATTTTGCGCGTTGTCGGCCGCTTCTGTACAATATGTGCATCGGTAATGCCAATACCCGATCACGCATATAGGAATATAATAAAAGTCAATCATGTGAAACTGAATGCCATCACTATTTTTCGGTTCATTTGTTATCGCAATACTGTTGTTATACTGTAGGTAGTAGGTGGTCGAGATTGATTGCTGCGAGATGATTACTTGACAAAAGCAGGTATATTAATTTATGGTTTGATTACAGCTGTTCTAGGTGAAGGGGAGGCGAGTCCCTGATCAAAAGAACGTGAGGACAAATAGTTTAGTTAGTGGTGACGGATTCTGGTCGCTTGAGATGATCGACATTTCAGGCTGGATATGGCTAGTATCGTGGCCGTCATCTGTCAATGCTTGCGGAAAGTCCTGTCGGTATCATGAGAATGTGTCATCGAGAGCACCAAAGGAAAACTTAGGAAAGGGGCCAGGAATACTTGTATCGTCAACTCGCACCTTGGATGTCTGGAACAAACAAAAGGGCTGGACTCTTAGAAACGAAAGCACGCAAAACGTAACAATCACTAGAGAGTAAGTTATGCATGAGAATCAAAGAATTCCCGGTTATATAGACACCCATGTTGATAGTGGACAGTGGCGACCACCTCCACCTCTATCCGAGAAATCCAAATTGGTGCCCCGGCAGCACGACAGTGTGGCCGGATCTGATTGCTTCTAGAACAATAAGACCTCGGTGATGGTCTCCGGACGCGGCGGCAAGGGAGATAATGCAAAAGTATCTGTGCCCCCCTTTCGCGAGCCATGCAGGAAGGCTCTGAGATTCTGTATCAACCAAGACTCGTCGGAGCAGGGCAGAGCGACAAACATACGAAAAGAAACCTAAGTCGCATCCGACGGACGACCCCGTGTTGTGGCACCTGTACGTGCTCTGCTGGATTGGTTGTTAATTGTTTTGCGCGCGCGGGCGATGTTCACTGGCTCATAAATCATGCCCAAGCACGTATCAGTTAGAACCTGAGCGCCCGGATCGCTCCAGGCGACGACATAAATCCTTGGCAAGCCCGCGCTTAGGAAATGTATGCTATATGCCTGTCTTCCCTTTACATCTGAAAGTTGGAAGGCGGTGTCGGGACCCGATGCTTTCCTACTAGTACTGCCATGCAGCAAGGGACGGAGTCTGTCTTTCGATTCATTTTCGGGATGATGATTGTGTATTGTCTCCAGAGCAAAGAGATCAGGTTGACCCGAGGGGTGTCGGTGGCAGGAGCAGGAGCGACCAAATCATGGAATGTGGTTTCTTCGCCGGTGGTAAAGTATTCGCAGTCATTGGCTGGTTAATTTACCCGGTGGACCGAAATACGGAAGACTTCCGGTAGTATTCCTGTAGAAGGTGGTGTCTCATTTTGTCAGACTGAGAAATAGAGACAGTATATTTGTGGCATTCGATCTCGTTGCGATTGCGAACCCGGGAATCATTTGATCGTCCATGGTTGTTGCTTCTCTCACTTTCTCGAGGTCAGACACAGAGACTCCGACCAGCAGCCATGTCCCCGACCATGCACTTCAGATGCCGGGAAAAAGGGCGTCGTCCGGATTAAAGTTACCAGCCAGATGGGCGTCAATGTGGTAGTTCGAGCGTAGATGCGGTAATCCGCGCGGGCGGCATTTGTCCAGGATTAACCGTCTGTGTTCGCACGTCCCTCCCACCCACGCTACGCAGGTATCATGACAATCAGTTTATGCACCTCTTCAGGCTTCAGGACACCATTAGCGATGACCACGACCATCGATCTAATCCCATATGATGGGCTCATCCTCCTCGGCGCGCTCTGCAGAACGTAAGGTGTGCAATTCAATGTTGGCTTGGCTCCCGTTTGGCGATACACTGCCGAAGACTCTTCATTCCACTCCAGAACAGCGCAATCGTTGTCCATCAACCGATCGCTATCGTTTCTGAGGCCCGAAGAGTGTGACTCTTGAGCGAGTTTCGGCGTAGCTGGTCCTAGTATAGATGCAGCAATCGGGATACACTTGCTTCATGTCGATGGAACGATTGCCACCTCGGATCTTCGCCATCTGACAGGTAGCTCCCATCAGTAATTGAACCACTTTCCCACAAGACTTCGATGTCTCCACATCTAATGCTGTACGGACTAGGTCCGAACACCAACACCAGAGTGGTGGCTGATGGGGGTCCATCGACAAAGTGGGCATGCTAGACAGCACGCTACTTTGACAGAACCAACCACGTCCATTGCCCAGTTCATCGCACATGCTTGCCGTAGAACACGCACCCAATCGGCTTGCGAGACGATCTCAAATTTTATTGTGTTCATTGTGAAGCGGGAATGATTTACCTGAGGTCTCACCAGAATCGAACATCAAGGACTTCGGCTCGACGATTGATGATAATTGCTGCAGGACTCGAGCTACTCAAAAGTGATATGAGTATCACTGGCTGAAAAGATATGATCCTTGACTCTACCACCAATACTGTGCTGGCCATGTACTTAACCCTAACGGCTAATCCTGACCGATGACTCTGTCTTCGGGGCTATCACGCCTTCGATGAAGTCAAGGCGAGACTGCTCGAAAAGCTGCTGCGTCAGCGGCACCTTGAACAAGTGAGAGCTCCGGGGCAACGATCTGATCGAAAAGGGTAAACGAGCGGGCCATAATGGACACGGGATCATAGATCGTCGAAGGCTCATTGATTGTCGGCTCATTGATTGTCGAGTGGGCTGCGGTTCTGGAACGACAAAGATGGTGGCGGACATGTGGCTTTTCAAGACCATCTCCTTGCTTGAGAGGAAAGTGCGCCCAAGCTCGGCGAGCATGAATATAGTTCCTGCCATTGAAGGACCAGCTTTCTCGGAGATTCGCCACCTTTCACCCCCTTTCGCCACCGTTATGCACTGCCGCCAGACAAATGCGTAGAGCCAAAATGATCTCCTATCGCATTTTTCCATACCAGCCCATCTCCCCAATTGCATTTGTCTTTTCTTTCAGAATATTTAGTTCTGGTCGGAGTTTCGTCCTTGATCGTCGTACTGATTTCGATGCTTTCATATCGCATTGAGAAGCGAGAGACTTGACTGTCGACGACGCTAATGATAGCAGCATAGCATGTGATTCCTTGAGGTCTAGGCCACTGAGGTCGTATTGGCAGCAGGGTCCTAAACACTCGAGTCGAGGGGTGTGGTACAACGAATTCGCCAGTCAGCTGCGGTCGCCTGGCTCACCTTTCACTTTCGATTTTGTGTCTCCCAGCAGTTTCTGGTTATGATTTTCTGGTCATTCGTTGGACAAGAGAAAACAAGGCATCTTCTCCAATATCTCAACGGCAACCGTCGTAATGTGTTAATTAAGGACGAGTCGTGTCGTGGGGAGTGATCATCGAGGTTGGTCTTGTCAGTGGGTCAATTCGACAACATGTGACTTATTGCTCGTAGCGGGTGTATTCTGACGCTGAAGTTTAGTTCGACAATATCACACAGGCATGGATTGAGGAAAGGTCCTTTGACGACCACTCTTGAAAGGGGTCTTGCTTTATTATTCCCTTCGAGGTGGATAGTATGGAAATGCTTGCTGAAGGCGGTCAATGTCACTTTCACAAAAGAGGTATGCAGAACCCCATCGAGATTCTGCGAGGTTTGAAGCTCAGATTTTCCGTGTGATTTCAGGAATGGGTACTTTGTTTCTCAATCTTGCTTCGGGGCAAGTCAGGCATTATTCATGCATCTCCGGTGACTAGTTCAAGGTACAATCGATCTATATCCAATGCAGTTCGAACCGGGAGTTATAGGTGTCATGCTGCGAAGTCATCGCTGGTTTCACTCGAGTATGCCCACCATGTGATACTAATGAAGACGACACAATCCTCAGTGGTTGTTGAAAACTGCACATTTCGACACGGCGATAAGAGGCAAACGATATACTGAAAGAAGCAGGGAAGATGTGCATGGAAGTCGGTCACTTGCTGGCATGTGCGGCTGCAATGTCGGTATTGTACGAGCGCAGATTTCTGACTTCGTGGCTTCTTCACCAGATGAGAGATCAATGCGAACCGGCAACTTGCCAGCTCGTAGGGGAAAAGACATTCGCCGGACGACGGGACCACCCTGCTTATGAGGGGCTCTGGGCCTCCTAGGTGCGGCTTTGAAATCAGAACCCCAGTCATACCTATCAAATGCCAAGGAACCAAGGATGCAAGCAGGGCTTGATGTGGAGAAGGGAGCAGGGGCCATCAGTCCCTTTCAGCGATCGGGCCCGATATGCCGCCTTGGAACAAGCCAATTCAGAGAGAGCACTTCAGGCAGCGGTCTGTCAACGAAGCGCTAGAAAGCGGAATATGGTTACCTAAATGGGTTCCACTGATCGAAGAAATAGTCCTCATCGGCGATACCTCAATAGGCAGCAAGGCGAATGGTTTACATCACGGAAGGCGACAATCTGATTTAGCGATTATATCACTGGTCCGTATCGCATACAGCCACATCAGACAATTGGAGGGTTGGCATGGAGCATTCAATGATGTTAGAATGCTGTTGTTCTTGTCCCTGTTTGTTTTTGCCACCAGGTCAATCGCTAGCGGGTACCGTTTCGAGAGCGCCCATTTCCCAGATAGCATGACGGGTGATTTTGTCTTGTCTGAAGGATGATATGGGATCTCAGAGTAGGGGTTATAAACTTTTCTGAGGCGCTTTCCGATGGCAAGGAGACCCTGTGATTCTGAGTCGACGGCCGCCGATTTTTCTGCGGCGGCCGAAGGGTTCTGGCCGGGTTTTTGGTGGAGGTGGGGGGTAGTGAGGAGGATGTGCATTGTTTTCATGGGACTCGTGCGTTCCACAAAAGTGCCGGCATCCCGCCGGTACCTCCTTGTAGCCCGAGCATCGTGATGCGCAATGCTAGCGAGCGGACTTTTGTTCTTCCAACATGAATATCAGCTACTCGATCTACATGCGTAGTGATACCGAGAAGAGAGGTGATTGGGGCGAAGGAAATCATTCTTGTTCAGATAGATTGACGATCTGTCGGGCTATGTTCCGAGTGCTGATTGAGAGGCGAGGGCAATGGCAGGCCTGAGGCCATGAGACGGTTTGTGCGATTGCCGAGAGTGCGGAAATAATTTCCTGAGGAATTCCAATGTGGTGAGTCGATCCACACTTCGGCTCCCCATACGCGCTAAAATCATTTGGCCCATCAGCGTTTGTACATGGTAGAGTATTCAGGAGGTGGAGAAAGGAAAAATCGGCGCACTCTGCAGCTCATAGAGCGGTTGGCTTTGGGTGAAGTCAATGTTGTCGGCTATTCCACCTTCTGGCACTTGCCACACTGATTGACGTTGAATTCCTGCAAAGATGAAGATGAGGAATAGTTACTGAGTGATTGATTGATGAGGAAAGAAGTCTGGTGGTTTTTTGGCGATGAGTTGCTTTCGAGGAGACAAGGAGAAGAGAGGAAGTTCAAAGTTTGACATGGGCGAAAGTCACAACCACCTACTGCTGCTGCTGCTTCAGGGGCACCTGCTCTCTTTGTTCTTCATACACACGGTAAAGCCTATACTTTCCATACCTACTCCCAATACCTTCTTCTACACTCTTCAAATAATCAATCCTTTCTGTACTTTCTGTGCTCTCTGTACTTAACATTCTTACAACTCTACTAAACTCCTACTACGCATCCTACAGTAGCTCTTAAATTACTACCATTGCCATTGCAACCATTGAGATAATTGCCACTCTCGACAATGACAACCCATCCAATCCCTAGCAGAGGTTCTATCATAACTTCTACAATAAACAGTACTATAATTTGGCTCTTCTTACCGTATGACCCGCTGATCCTCTTTCAAAAAGATACAGAAGTCTCCCGGAAGTCTCTCATATCTACTAGCACAGCTACAGCAACACCAGCACACAGTACGCTTACTGCGCTCCTTATAGCGTTGGAATCCATCTAACACGTTTTCTTTTATTTATGGTCTCAAACTAAGAATAATCTTTTTACTCGCATGTCAAAAGGATCGCACCGCGACCCACCCCTCAAACTATCAATACGGAAAAGGAACAAGAATCAGAACCACAGACACAAACCATTCGATCCTCGAGACACCATATTGTTCCTAGCTTCCATCACCATAGACGCAACGATACCCTCGTTCTTCACTTGCCAGCACACCACAACAGGAGGATAAAACATCACATCCCCTACCCGACCATCCCACAGTCCGTCACCAAGGGAACTAGCAAACCTCCACCCAGGCATCAAGGTTAATATTCTTAATCACCGTCGAAAACAACCCCGCATCCTTGAACTCACACGCCTTATTCTTCTGCTCCATGGCGACCTTAACCTGACTGACCACCTCCGCCTTGGGATACTCGATATGAAAGACTGGCTTATTCTGCTGCACAAACGGTGCATAAACCTGACACTCATCCATCTCCGCGCACTGCTCATTCACGCACCACTGCATCTGGCCGATCACATCCGCGATTATACTCCCCGCGTTCTTAAGGCCGATGCTCAAGCCCCGGGCGTGCGCCTCGCTCGCCAACCACCCGATGAAACTCACCGCGTCAGCGGCCGTCAGCCCCAGCCCGTTGTCGTTGTCATACCCGTCCACGTTATCCGGGTCGACGCCGTCGCAGCCCTTCTGCCTAGCCAGGTCGAGGCGCGCGGCCAGCACGCGGCGCACGTTAGCGGAGCGGATGTCCAGCCATTTCTCGTCGGGCCACCCGTCCAGCATGTTGCCGAGGTCGGAGGACGCGAAGTCGGCTTTGTCCGGGCGGTAGTTCTCGTAGCTACCTGCTGAGAAGTAGCAGATGACTTTGCGGTTCTGGGCGTGCAGTGATTCGATAGCCGAGGCCTCGTTGATCCAGAGGTCGATGTCGTAGACTTCGGTGGTGCTGTCGATGCTGCTGGGGTCGATGGGGTCGGTGAGGATGATTTGCCAGGTTGAGGCTACTTGAGGTTGCCATATTGTTTTGTTGCCATAAGAGGAGGAGGAGGAGGAGACTGAAACACTGGAGCTGCTTGCAACGGGGGCAGCGCTAGAGGGTGAGATCGTTGCGATGAGAGTGGTGGATGTAGAGATCAATGTCGAAGTAGTGTCATGGTGGTGGTTCTTTCCCCTCGAGGCAGCCCCAAGTCCCAAGAAAAGACTCACAATTATCAAACCGATCTGATAAAGGAATGACATGGTCACATGCCAGAGGATCTCACAGTCTCGATAAACTCGTTCAGGGTTGTTAAGGAACGTCGGGTCAGAGAAAAAAAAGCGCCACAGATATCAAATCTAGGACAGCAAAGCCGGTGGGAGAAAGGAATGTGTATCACAGATATCAATCTGGAAAGGCAGAATGCAAAAGGAGTGTCACAGATATCAAATCTGGAATGTCGTGATGAGGTTCCTCCAGGTTGAAGCAGACCTCTCCTGCTTATATACAGCATCAGAAGAGGGGTACATCCATGACGGTACAGTAGTATTCACTGAGCACAATCCCCCAAACGCGTTGGCTAGGGCCGACCAAGAAAAGCCCAAGTTTCACAATTCTCCGCCGAGTGAATGAGCACGGCATTCGAGGAAATAACGGTGTGGTCTTTTGGCCCACAAGAAAGCAATCCTTGCACGTACACGGTACTGCCAAGGCTCACTCAACTCAGCAATAAGCAAGTACTTGAGAAACAATGTTTCAAGTTTTGATGTCTCTTTTGTGGGCTGCGGCGTCCATAGTTCACGACAAAGGGCTCCGATTCAATATACGAAGGGCGGGGTCATCATGCGAAACAAAGAGGGCAAGATGTACCGAGAAAATAATCCAACAACTGCCTTACCCCCAGTCAAGGGTCATGGCGCAATCAAAAGTCGCATGGCACTCAGGCACCTGAAAACACGATCTGGAACCGCCTGAATTGGCGGGGTCGATGGCCGATCTCATCGTTGATTTGTTGGGGGGCACAATCCATGCAGGGTCTCTTGATTCAGGGACGGAGGAACATCCGCTGTGGCTGACAGGTCCAGAGCGCTAATCGGCATGCACGTCTGCGCTGCATTTCCGGCGGGTAGAGGCCTTTCGTCGGGTGGAACTGTGTCACAACATCAACCGAGATGGGACTTGGACAGGTCTGACAAATGGTGAAATGGAGGTGGTAATTGGGTACATTCCCTAATACACGGTGCAAACAAGCAGGGATCTGCGATGAGATAACAAACAGGGTCTTCGATGCAGGGATCGAGTCAATGAATGAGATGAGATGGGGCGGGGCTTGGCAAGGCAATATGACAACCGAGATGCTCAGGATGCCCAAGCATTCCCCGAGTCTGACTGGTCGAGACGAGTTGCAGGTCAAACACGGCTTGCTTTTGTTTGAAATGTGACCCTCCATCTATAACCCAAGCAGATTGGATGCGCCACCTTATAGGTCGTCATATAGAGCAATAAGTAGGTTGCCAGTGGGTCCTGTAAGAAAGATAGATGCATCCAAGCCTGACCTACAGCACAGACATGAGTATATACTGATGAAACACAACCACACGACAATCAATCAACCATTTCATTCAAGACGTACTTAAGATGTTGTTAGAGGCCTAGACTCAGAACGTAATTAGAGTCCAATTCTCTTATTGTAGTCCGTTGGTTGTATCACGTGATCGACATGGGAGAGTTTCCTCTGCCCCTCGTTCCCGCCGCCCCACCTTCCTCTCCTTATACTCACTCTCCATTTGGACTCAAGAAATGGTCTGACTGGCACCACCTTTCCCTGCGATTTGGAAGATGCTGGGAGCGGTTGAGATGATATATCCTATTGCCATACTGAGCTAAAATTGCTCCTATGATGGTTGCAAAAATGGTTCTTCGCAGCCCTTGCTTCATTAAGTCGAATTCAGTTGCTCCATCGCCTCCTTGGTCAGCCCTTCCAAGAAATCGATCGTATTACCTGGATAATTTACGAGGTCAATCTCAGAATCCTGGCCGACCAGTGTTCTCTCCAGATAGATCTGGAAGGCGGACTGCTGCTCCGGTCTGGCAGTGGTTGTGCCCCGGAGCTTGACCACACGGATACTACACAGGGTCGCTGCAGCCTCGATCATCGTGCGCAGCATGTCGTAGATTCCACCTTTGACTACGTTAATAGCATCAAGGCCAGCCTGCGCCGCGAGGAAGGCCGTGTTGTTGTTCTTCGCTGCTTCTAGCACTCCCTTGGCGAACGAAATTCTAGCACTCAGGCTGCTATTTTTCAGCTGCTGCAACTGGAGGCGAAGTCGTTTCGACTCCAGCTCCTGCTTCTTTAGATAGTCGCGATGGATCTTCTGCGCAGCGTCGACCGTTTTGCGCGCCTGTCGCTTGGCCTCGTCGACCTTCCCCTGCGCGGCGGACTTGGCGATATCCAGAAGTTTCTGCGCATTGCGAAGGTGGTCACGCGCGTCGTTGATGCGCGTAGGCCACTTCCCGCTTAATCGTTCCAACCACCTTTCAATAATTCATGGCCTTGGTGAGGCCGTGGAACAGTTGAGATTGCATGATCTTTGGGCCAGCTTGAGGTCTAAGACGAGACCTTCTTGGGTCGATTGGACTTCGGAGATCTTCGGCCGTTCCTGAGTAATGAAAAGATCAAGTTAAAGCCCAAAACAGTGAAGCAAAGACTGGATAGTATACCAATTACATTTTGCGTTGGCTACGTTATCCAGCGCGCGCTGCATGGCGGCCTCGGTCTCTCCAAACTTGGCCATGAATTGTTGTCTCTTCTTTTCCCGCTTGAAGAGATACAACTCCTGGTCCAGTCGGTCGGTCATCTTCTTGAGATGGCAGCCAGCCGTATAATGATATCCACCAAAGGTGGCTCTCAGGCTAGCGTAGGAACAGCTTTAGTTTGCGGACGTGGGCACCGGTCCTCTCCAGTAATAGAACAACCACATGTACTCAACTCCTACATCCATGTTGCTGATGCATGCACCGATGCTAGATCCGTGCTGCTGGCCATTGGCCAGCGCCATGGAGCAAGTAGATACTTTCTACCTCGAGGACCAGCAGCTGTGCCCCCTCGGCACGTATGACTGTTTTTGGCTGGGACCTTGCCTGAAGAATGGCTGTCCACTAAACAGCCCCAATGACAAAACGGTCTTCCAGCGGGGGCAAACCTCGTGTCTCGGCTGCCCGCCGGAAGTGGATCTTCAATTGGCGCGGCGGTCCCCCGATGCAGGGTAACGTGTCGGAATTCCCGGGGGGTGATGCTCGCTTTAAATTGCTGCCAATCGCCGGGGTGCGCCCCCCGGCTCTTGGCACGGGTCCGGAGCGGGCCTCCATCCAAGAACCCATCTCGTCTATTCGTCTACTTGGCCGCACTGCCCACGAGGGCGTTACCACCACGGCGCAGCTGAACCGCGGCTAAACTTCACCTACGCCCGCTATCGCCATCGACTCTCTAGGGAAAGGAAATCTTCGGATTGGCTTGCAGCTCCAAGTCGACAACGAGAAACGCGTGATGCGATTCGACATCGTCGACTCCTCAACGCCATTCTCTCAAACCAGGTGGATGATGGGTCTATAAAACGGGGGGAACCCCCGGCAATGAGATAACTTTTCATCGAAAAAACAGCAGCTTTTATCTCACCCTCTCAACTACACAATCCGAAACCCTCAGACACCTTCGTCTACCATCAAATCTTCAATTGTTCACCATGCCTGTCACCAAGGGAAACACCATCACCATCCCCATCCAGTTCCTCAACGGCACTGAGGGCAACAAAGTCACCATCCAGTGGCAACAGACCTTTCGGAACCGCCACGAAGACTACTGGATCTGCAAGTGGACCAACAAGACCACCCGTACGTCTCGATCCTGAACCCGCTCCATGCTACGGAAGCTGTGACTGATTCCTCACTCCCCCCATCCCTCCAGCCGGCGACCAGGGCGTCATCTTCGTGCAGGCCAGCAAGCTCGAGGAGCTGAAGTCGCGCAGAGTCGAGGGCGACGACCTCACCGTCGTCGTCAGCGACGAGTTCCAGTACGGTCAGAAAAAGGACCAGACCAACCGCTTCCTGGTCTACCACGACAAATCCAACAAGCCCTATCAGGTGGGTGTTTCCTAGCCTCGGTCCTGCCTTAGAGGGTATTCCAGACATGCTCACACAATCACAGCACCGCTTCATGGAAAACACCCTGACCTCCCTGGGTGCCAAGGGTGCCGACTTCATAAGCAGCTTCGGATACTCCGATGTCTCCACGGTCGAGGATATTCTCAAGAACTTTATCGGTGACTACCTTAAGGATTTTTAGAGGCGCAACCTCCAGAGAAGCAAGATGATGGGTGGATGTGTGGTGGATGAGATAGAGGAGGTGTTCTGCAAGGGGGGGTGGCATGTTTGAGTTTTATATCGGTGTTACTTTGGGCCTTTCCAGTCATAGCTACTTATTTTGTCGATCATGTCTTTAGCTCTGCAAAGTCACGAGTTCCTTTTCAATGGCACACAGTTCTTATAACATGGGATCTGCTTTGCATTGGCATCCAAGCAAGGGGTTTTGTCGTAAAAGGGTGTATACAAATGCCTCCCACTGATATTGTTGCCGGAAAAGTAAATTATAGTGAGAATGAGCCAATAGGGCATCGAGATGCAAATGTTACTCAGTCCTACAACCCGTCATACCTGCGAGCGAGCGGTACCCTTCAAACTTGCTTGATCTCAACATAAACTCCACAGGAAAGAATCTCTGCAAGGCCTGACCTAACCCTACAAGCTGAAGCATTGAACCCCAGAAAGGTGCCACGTGCGTATACCAGCGCCAGAATCCTGGAGACAAGAGGCACTGCACAACCAGTCTCCTGCAGAATATAGCTGCATGCAGCTCGTGGGCAGGCAAAGATCCACCCGGGGTAATCAACTGTCCGTGGTGGTATTGAGAAGAGTAACAGTTTAGCACTAAATAGGTAGGTACTTAGTAGTTGTGATTGTGGGTGAGTTAAGTAGTCGAAGGTAATTGGTGCACTGCACTCAAAGCCCTAAATCTGAAATGAGCTTACTTAGTCGATTACCTGCCAACTGATTAACTAGTAACAAGTTAGCACCCTATCAAAGCACCACTTACTACAGAACTCACAATGATACTCTATCGCATCACAGAAGGTAATATATACTTCCAACCACCGAAAAAAAACCCCTTACCCCCCGTTCACACAACAGACAACATAGAAATAGATGTATACTTCAAGTGAAGTCTGCGCGATACTGAGAATAATTCATTATTCAATTCGCGACACCTTAATATTCATTCATTGTATAATGTTACTCGGAAGGCGGAAAACATACCCCCTCAAATTGAAACATCTACCATGACAGCCACGTCCATGTCCAAACGAAAACAACCACTCTGCCCCTTGGTTCTGAAGCATCCACGCTCGAAGGAATGGGAGTGGGGCGGGGTATTGGATTTACTACAGTCAGTACCTATCCTGAAACTCAATCGCAAACCCGACACTCCGGCTCAAACAAAGAACACAAGATTCATGGGTCCATGATCTCAAACAAAAAGTAACTCCGAGGCCTAGAAGTAGGGACAGCTGAAACAGACTTTTCCAAGCGTAGGTGTGGAATTAGGGCTGCTGTCAGTCACGACAATAAGCACGGTGGCCATTCCTCGGCGTTGAATAGAGTTGAGTGTTCCGCTGATAACCGACAAGGGATAGAGATTAGATGATGGATGGATGGCTGCGCTGTCGGAAATTTTGTTCCCGGGGGTGCGAATCGCACGTGCGTTATATTGCAAGGTGGGGAACACATCGCATAGGTAGTAGTGTACTGTTTCCTGTGCTAGGGAGCAAGACCCTTGGGATTGTAAGTATAGTCGATACACTTTTCCCTCTTGATTACTGACCACTAAATCAACCCGAATGCGGGCGCGGGATGGTTCAACAGAGTTACGCCAGGAGTTAATACCGTAGACCTGAGAAAAGGAAAGAATGACTAACTACAGCGGAGTAGTTGAATAAGCATACGTGCGCAAATGTCATCAAATACCACAAACCCACACCATCCAAACAAGCAGCTGAAACCAAAAACTAGCGTCTAGTATATACACTCATCATATCATTAAGATCAGTTCACTAAGTACAATGCAACATCATAGACATTATCACTTCAAACTAGCATAGTGCCCGGTCCCCAAAATCACCCCACAAAATCACACATTATCTGTAGACTATAGCTGTGCAACCCCACCTCAAACACCACTTCAATTAAGCTAGCCCCATCAAGTCTGCAATGTCAATCGAAACGTCTTCAGGTCGCGGGGCGAAGGCAAGACGATAATATGATCCTCGGGACTATCCGGAACGTAAAACTCCTCCTTCTTCCACGGGAGATCGAACGCTGGCGGCCGGATCGCCTGGGGCGCCGGCGCCGCCATGCCCGCGGACCGCGTGCTCGTGCGCAGTCCCGCGGCGCGAGCGAAGGGCGAGGAAGGCGGCGCGGGCAGGTCGCGTCGGATGTCCGCCTCGGACATGGTGCGGACCGGGCCTAATCGGGCAATGGGGCGCAGCGGGATGTATGGGCTGCCTGGGCTGGGGGGCGCTCGATCTACTAGTTGAGCAGGGCGGGCTGCAGTGGTTGTTGTTGGAGAAGAGGAGTCGGTGGGCTTTTCGGGGAGGGTCAGGTATTCGTGTGTCTGAGACATACGCCGGGACATTCGGCGGGGAGAGACGTTGGATACGCGACGACGGTGAGAGGGCTGGGAGAGGTGGTGGTGGTGGTCGTCGTCGTCGTGAGCGTGATCTGACAGCCGGTCATCCAGGGACTTTCCCGCCTCGACAGCTGCTGGGTCGCATGGGTCGCTTTCGGGACTCCGGGCAGGGATGGGTTGTCGGCTGAACAGGGTCCAGAGGGTGACGCCCGGGCCGCGCTTGACTCGCAGAACAATCCAGGTCGAGACAAAAACGCCTAACATCACGGCCGCTGTTGCCCAATCCTCATAGTCAGCGTTTAAGGTTCGGATCAGGTACCCGAGGTGGATCAGTGCGGCTGACTTACCCAAGAGACCCAGGGCCAGTCCAACCCGGGCTGGCAGCGAGAGAGCATGACTTCGTTTCTGAAGGCTTCGCATAAATGGCTGAAAAAGGGTGTGGGACAGACGCGTTCGTCGCGAGACCAAGGCCAGAGGCATTCGTAAGTGTCGTGGACCACCAGGGCGTGCGTTCAGATCATGAATTTGCTGCAGAAACGAGTGGATATCTTTAGGATGAAGAAGGAGAAAGAAAGCAAAAGCCAACAGACCAGCTGCGTAAGGCACAGAAGAACGACAGTCCCAGCAAGGATGTCAGTGGCTTTTTGCACGCTCGAGCCAGCAGGTTCTTATATCACTGTGGCGTTCGGCGCTCGCTCCAGCTTGATATATCGCAGTAGTTTCTGACCTAGCTCACATCGACAGTTCCCATGAAGAAGCGAAAAGAGGGGGTGAGAAGGTTTGGGCTTGAAACTGGGAAGTTTGCGTTGGGGTGGTATCATGTTGCAGAGTTTACGTATCATTTTAACCTTTGTGCATGACAGTTAGCCTGCGAAAAAGCCTTTTCCCTTGGCCCCTGACTTGGTCTAGGCCAGGGATTTGGGTCAAACGGTCGGCCAAAGTGGCCAAAGATAGCCTGAATGATGGACTACTGGGATTTGTGAAACGGCGGATTGTGTCTAACTCGGATACTAAACGTAGGCTCGGACCACCGGCAAAAAAGGATGAGCTGCAGATCCGCTGGGGGTGAAGAAGACAACTTGAAATGTGTCTAGCAGGTTCCGCAGCGTGATCAGTATTATGTCATATTAAGTGTGATAATATGCGATAGTATAAATCACATCATATATCACATCAGAGTCAATGGTCATTGAGCACACAGGGGATGTTCACAAGTGTAAACATACCATGAGTACTCCGTACCTGACTCTGTAACTAACTTACCCCGGGTTTGAGTTTCATCAGTGGCTTTCCGACAAACCGGTTCGCCTTTTCACTTCAAGCCCAGGAGAAGGTCGCCCCAGAGAAACATGGAAAGAAAAGAAGTTAGGACGATCCCTGTTCATGCAGTTCTCGGAGTGCTCAGAGACTAACTTTCTCGAGTCAGACCAACAATGTTTCACGGTCGCAAAGCCGCGTTTGTGTCTCAGTTGCAGAGATAATGGTTCGTTGGTTAGTAGGCAGTAGTTCAAAACCTGGTCTAGGTGCTTCTAAAACATAAATGATAATACGATTCGTGCTGCGCCAGTGCGTGAGATAAGCAAAAGCTGCGTGGGAAATCGACTCCGCCTCCTTCCGAACATCTATCTCGACCTCGGCTTGCGCACCATACAATAAAGCTAGACATGAGATCAGCAACGCACGTCTAACCATTAAATCTGCCTCAAAAATAGGGTGATTAGGGTTATCTCTTACCATGCACACGTCCTCCCCGTCCCGGCACTCCATCTCCTTCGCCATTTCAAACCCCATCTTCTCGTAGATCTGAACGTTGGGCTCATTCCGCGAGCTCTCAAGATAACACTTGACGCCTTCCCGGTCCGCCTGATCCGTGACGGCTTCGAAGAGCTTCCGACCGATGCCCTTCCCCTGCGTCCCCGGTCGCACGGCCACAATGTTACAGAAATAATACCCCTTGGGGTCATTCCAGATCTGACTCTGGGCCTCATGCTGACGGGCCTTCCAGATCCAGTAGCGATTCGTGCGCAAGCCCCCGCGGCCCCAATGGCGCAGGTTGTTCAGCGCTTGCCGCGCAGTGAGCAACCACCCTTGCGACCAGGTATACCAGCTCTCGGGCTCAGACGGCGCATGGGGCGGAAGCCAGCACGAGACACCTACAACGCGGGAGCCTTGGGTCGCAGCCGGCGTGGTTGTCGTCTGGTTGTCGGCCGGCGCCGCCGCATCGCCCGCGTCATCAAAGGTCTCCTTGGCGACGTGGAAAATGGCATTGTTGATGCCCCAAAGGCATCGAACAGCGAGAGAGTCATGGTTGCGTTTTTTATCAAACTATATTTTTTGGGCAATGGGGATCAACCTCACATGACGAGCGACGATGGTCGGGACGATCCCGCCGCGCACTCGCATCAGAAGGAGAAGACTGATTAGTTTACTCGTTCTTGAATAATGCTTTTGAGCGAATTTCGTTTGTGGGGTGTTGGAGGAATCCAGGTGCATCACATTTCAAGAAGATGAGATACAGTCGGGAGAGGTGGACGTACATTGTTGGCATCGAACACCCACTTGAAGTATGGGTCCTCTGCAAAGGCCGATTGGATGATCTCAATAGCGTCAGGGATGTCGGCCTCTGCGAGGGGGACAACTTCAATAGCCATATGGGGCGTAAGTGCTTGTCCTCGACTGCAGTATAGTACAAGTAATCTTATATTGGGGGTGGCGAGGCAAGAAAGGTTCGTTGGAAGAGTGAGCAAGCCAACAGATCGATTTGACTCGGCAGCTGCGCAGCAAAAGTCTCTCCAAGCCGGTCTGCGAACAACTGGCTCTTGAACCGAGTTCCAGACAGCTTTCAGTCCCTTTTCTTTTAAGAAGAGAACTGTTGGGTCTAGTTCTTCCACACAAGATCAAAATCAGAAAGAGTCGGACCAGTTGAACCCAAATGGGAGAAGAAGTTGAGGTTGTAGTTGAGGTTGTACAGAATAACGGCAGTAGCAGACATAAAAAGGCCAGACACGGGCGGTGGAATCCGCCACAGATCGGACCCCAAAAAGGCAGCTCCATGCGACTCACTGAATCCCGCACTTGGTCTCCGCCGCCATGCGCCTTACGGACCATCAGCTGTCAATTGCCCACATTGCCTTACTGCTTTCCCCAAAGCTAATCCATCCACAGTACGTCTGCGATACGTTGCTAGCCCGCTAGCACTGCCGGTAACTTAGTCCCACGTAAGGGTTCTTGATCTGTAGGACAGTGGGTCTAGGTTCAATAAAGCTCATGACGCCATGTGAGGTGCGTTGCGACGCCAACAAACATCGCATCGTATATTCTTCCAGATCAAATTTCTGACGGGTGGTATCTAAGAACATATGTAACCGTGCAGAAAGGCCTTTATATGGTCGAGAACAAAAGGAAATGAAAGAAAGACAAATCATCGCTCGAGATAATGCAATCAGGTAAGACAGGCGCCGACCATATATCCAGTTTATCTGCGCCACTTCCCAAAAACTCATCTGTAAGTTTGACACATGTTCATCATGAAAGTCACCTTACATGCCTCCAAAAGTGCAGAGGGTATCTATCAGTGACTCGCCAACTCCGGTCCTTCCCGTAAAATCGACAAAAATGAACAAAAGATGCATAAAGGTCGTGAGGCTGATTCCAATGTCATCGAACATGAGGAAAGAGAACTGGCCATGGGCTAATTACCAGCTATCTATTCCAGGCGCACCCATTCGCGCGGGACATCCATGCTGCGGTTCACGCGGCCACCGGGAGTCAGAGGTACGTCAACACGTCCACGGCCCCGATCGTCATCAGCGTGTTCTTCATAGAAGGACAACCGCGAGAAGTAATCTTGCAGCACGGTCTCCCGATCATTGTCCCCAACAATCGTATTGTACTCCGGGGGAGGAGTGACAAGAGGTGGCGGTGGCTCGAGTTCCTCAAACGCAGGAGGGGCGAAAGATGGTGCGCGCAGGAGATGCATGGGACGTGGTGGTCGATCGACCGACTCATCGGCCAAATGTGCCTGAGGGGGTCGAGTTAGACCACCAGAACCATTTGTGAAACTCCTCGAAACGGGGCCTCCAATCGGTCGTTCATCGCGGTCGGAAGACAGCGATTGCCGGCTGGAACCAGTCCGGTTGAGCAGCGGTGCGCCAGGACAGCCGCACTCGAACTCCTGTGCTTGCGGAGTCGGCTCCGACTGTGGCGAGGTGTATGCCGGCAGGTAGATGTTGGCCTGCGTGGCCTTGCACGATAGAAGGTGGAACGGGGAATCAATAGAGATCTCGAAATGCCTTCGCTTGCCAGGGTCTCTTTCATCGACTTTAGAGAGGCGTAGAACAATCTAAGCTCCGAATTAGATCACTGATCGCGCTATTCGAGATTGGTGGCGACGTACCTTAATCCAATGATTGATCTGGATGTTCTCATAGGTGGTATCAAAGTGTAATCGCTGGGACTCGTCTCGGTTGCGCATTTCTTGACAACTCGGCAATTGAACGTTGAATTCCATCTCGGTCGGACCAACGCCTGAGTCGCTGGACAGATTACCAAGGAGATTGGTTCGGTTGCGGTCAACAACTTCCTCACCTCGAGCTGCTGCTGCTCGGTGATCCCAGTCAATGCCACCGCCCGCCGTGACTCGCATCGAGCTGCCGGGGTAAGTACTGGTGCTGGCGGAGTCGGCCCGCTTTTCAAACAGTAAGACTTTCTTCGCCGGCTGGAAGCGATGCACGCTTTTATCTGCTGTCCAGTGCTGGATGTTTTCCGTCACGTAGACCTTGATCCGGTGGCATTCGACTTTGGCCAAAGGTGTTAATTTGAAGGCGATGGGAACTTGAGAGCCCAAAGGAAAGGATTTGCCCGATATGACTATGTCATAATGCAGCTGATCCTCCCAGTTTCGCGAAATTGCGATCGGCTCGACCTGCTCCAGTGAGCCCTCTGCCGGGGTGCGGATGACCGGGACCTCCAAGCTGCCCAGCAAATTAGGCCTGAATGCTCCGGCTCTTTCGACTATCGCCTCGATATCATATTGAACGAATCCCAGGTCTGTCTTGATGGTCTCTGGGAGAGAACCATCGATGGGAAACTCGAAGCTGTACAGGTAATCGCCGACCGGGAAGAGGCGGTAATTGCGGGGCGGGTGGACTGGCGGAGGTGGTGAATCATTCTTACCAAAACTCCGAGAGTGATTCGAATTCAGCGATAGTCGCTTGAGATCCTTTGCGGAGAATTGCCCGGTGTGGCTCAATGATGTTGAGGAGCCAGTCTTAGAAAGCAGCTCGCGGGTGATCAAAGTCGGACCGTCCTTCCCCGTCACCGAGGTCACCGGCTTAGCATGCTGATAGAAGTGCGCACCGTAGTCGTTCTGCATCAGTGCCGTATCGCCGTGATTGAAATACATCACTCCATGAGTGACGAGATCCTTCTTATCATGGAAGTGGACTTTCTTGGGTGGAATGCCTGTTAGAAAGACTACTGTTAGGTTTTCCAGATAATAACAATTATTGAACGCGGGCAGATAATGAATATTACCGTCTGGCCAGTCGGTCTGCGCATGTCCACGAAAACAGATCGATATCTTTTTCACCTTGACACTTTTGGTGATTTTGAGGTGCAACTGGCCGCGCAGAATGGCGGATTTCTTGGTGCTTGGGTCATTCTGGTCATATCCTTGCAGGTAGAGGACTGGCTCCGTGAGAGCGATTCCAACAGAGATTCCGCTTCCTGTCGCGACAATCTTCTCGTTGCGGAGCGCAGGGAACGGCACGGCCGGATCGGATGTGGGACTGGAGGCCGGATAAGGTTGGTTGGAGGATACCGTGGAGGAAGAATGCGATCGTAACCTGCCGACTCTTAACCCCGAGGCGGTAAGCATTGTGGCATCGTCGGGATTCAAAACGATCTCAGACACAGGGCGAGGACGATGTGTTTGAGTCATTGGAGAAGGAGGAGTAGGAGGAGGAGGGGGGGAGGAGGGAGCGGATGGTGGCGTAATTGAGGGCGTAGAGTGGATCAGGGACCCCAAGCGGAAGAGACGCTTTGCGTTTTCCCGTGGACCCGCCGCCAACTTCTTGAAGATCGAGGCGCGACGACGGAAGCCTCGTCTGGATGCTGGTTGCCCGACAGTGGAACTAGTATCGCTAGCAACCGTCGATGTCTCGAGTGAGGACCGCCGATCGGATCTCACGTGAAACGGAGTTGATTCGGGCGCACCGTCGGGGAATTGGAATTGAGTGATTGTACCACCGGGACTGGTAACCGATCCCAGAAGAACCTGTGGCAAAGCAGAAATGTGAGTCGTCATTGTGCACAAGAACAATGCCAATCAACAAGCTGCATTCTTTTGTTGCTGGGATTGTGTGGGTAAAAAAGCAGGCAGGCTTGAGGCAATGAGTAGGCCAAAGATGTTGGTAGGTCTAAATATGGAGGAAGCGAAGAAACAGTTGTGCTCGGATGGTAGTGGCGGAAAACGGAAGTATGCAGGCAGGGAGCGTGTTGGGGAGAGTGTGTGAATGATGTGGTGAAGTAAGAGTTGGAACAACAAGATCCAGTAGCGGAAGAGGAAGAGGAAGAGGTAGGTAGCAGGAGATGTGAATAGGAAGGGAAGGAAAGAAAAGTAAGCACGTTGTGACTCTGCACAAGAAGAAAAAAAAGGACTTACTCTTCTTTAATAGAGAAAAAAGAAAAGAAAGTAAATATACTAGTCGAATCCCAGCACCAGCAGCTGAAGACTATAGGATGAGGAAAATTAGGCTTAGTAGCGAAGCCAGTGTTTGACGCACAGAGCCAATGCACGCAGTCGTGCGACCAGTGGATATGTAGCCTTGCACTTGTCAATAATAATAGTTTCTTTTGGGGCGCTGTCTCCTTTGGGGGGTGTTTGGGATCTTTTTCTAGGTTTGGGCGATGATCGACACCGGCAAGGAGCGGATTATTCCTCGTTGCAAATTCGTGGTTGGTACACGCACACACCGCAGCTGCAATCAATAGAGTATAAAGTATAGTATAAAGAATCGGAGATGCGAATGGCACGGAGTCGAAAATCTTGAGATTGAAATTGTGGAGAGAGTGGAAGAAGGATGGAATCACCGCATTCAGCAGGTGAAGGCAGGAGTCAAGCCCCGAGGCGTCGATACAGTAATGCGGGGAGGGGTTTTGCGACGGGAGGGGATCGAGAGCGAGGCAGTGAACAGAAATAGTTCATTCAGTCAGCACTTGGGGGGGGAAGAGGATCGATCAATGACAAAAATCCGACAAGTCCAGAATGAGGCGGTGCGGGTATCGTTCCTTGGGCACAAGTTCCTTATTAAATAAATGTGTTTGAGGAGTGAGTGGTAGAGCAGTCAACGATGACGCGGAGGAGACAGAAAAGCTGGTAGGTTCAAGTCCTATCCGGTGATCCGCATTACTGGACTTTGCCTGAACTGGCTGGGAGGCTTTTTTTCTCTTCTGTTTTAAAGTGTCTAGTGTGTCTAGTCTCCAGCGGATGCATCTAAATGGACCATGAATTCACTGTGCTTCTTCATGCACTTCCGACATCTCCACCGCCGACGAGAGGTGATGTATCATGTATCATAGTCAGGTGATGGAAGAGAGTACAAATCTGTACACTGCACAATGCACATACATCCTCGTTCCCCGGATCTACCTCGTATCTTACACGCACGCTCTCGAAGAAGAACAACAACTACAATCAGTCAGTCTTGTCTATGTGGTAAGATGACCATGTGAGATGGGGGTGGGGGAAGAGGGGAAAGCCGAGTCAGTGGGCTCGGAGGTTTCATCGCGTACGGGTCTAGTGGAGGAGGCCTCGAACCACATGCATGAAGGGGCAGTGACGTCTGACATGGATTTAGTCCAATTGTCTACGGAGTATAAACACTCTGGAGTCAATCTGATGCCCAGCTTACCCAGAGAGCCTAGCCTGGCCCCAGTATTCGACGGGTAGTCCGGCACAGCCATTCCCACCGGGCCAGCACGGTCATCATAAGATAACCACTTAATGCTCGCTCCTTGACTTCATCGTCAGAAAGGAAGCAGTTTAGACCATGCAGAAAGCTAATCCCGATTGTGAATTGCAGTGAATGGGTCCACTTGTCCAGGACTCCAGATACTGATACAGTTTACCTTTAGAGAAGGCCCGAGAGCCTGGGAAAAAGAGTGCCTGACTGCCTGGAACTACCGGACAAGCAGGACAAGAAGAAGACAATGCGGGGAGATCTTGCTTGGCCGACAGGAGCAGGGCGGTGTGGTGATATCATCGGTTCGGGCGGGAGTGGGGAGAAGTAAGAACTCGCCTCGTCTGCTGGTCACCGTTTTACTGAGTCTGTAGTACTCTACTCTTCCTCAATAGCTATTTTACTTACAATAGGACTCTGAAAAATGAAAAGATTCCATTCCGTCAGGTGGAGGTTCTTGAAGCCAGGTAAATGAAGATCGCTTCCGACGGAAAGAAAATGATGAAGAAGTCTATTTTGGCAATCCATGGTCTGATCCCGGGAAAGCTGCCGCGCGCCGACTTTCGCCTTGCATGCTGAACACCAGCAGCGTCGTTATCGCCACCACTTCCCCCTCCATTTCACAGCCAAATCCGAACCCTACCGAGCCGAAACTGCCTGCAGACTGTGTATACCATACCAAGTCCCATTGATCTAGCTCGGATAGTCAGATTCTCTGACAGATGGAGATTTAATTCCCGCAATATGCCCCTTTCAATTAGAGGACAGATGATGACTCGATGCTTGTCGTCGGTGGCTCAATCAGCCACGTATGGGCTTACAATATGCTATCGCTATCGACCCAGTAGCCCCATTATACTCCAATACCACAACATGAGAAGGTAAAATTCTTATCACTGTCGCGCGGTTCGAGCTCTGTTATCCTGCTGCTCAACGACAATTCCTGTAGGTTGTGAATCCATGACATCATAGCCACCACCACCATCACCATCATTATCCTGTAACCTCGTGGTAATTCGATCTTGACTCCAAAGGCCTTGCTTGTTGGTGTGTGGGTAGGCAGGTATGGCAACAGCGACGGTACATTCTCAGGGACACTATTGCTAGCAATGATCTTCAATATCTCTAGCTTGAATTTCTGCTTTGGGAACATCCGCACCAAATGACTGCCGAACGGAGCACCAGTTCGTGGCAACCCCCGTATATTAATTAGGAACCAAGCATCAACTAGCTGCATACCAAGACCACTTTATGCCCCAGTAAAACTAATCCACCTTAGGCGTGGAGCATCCTGCTGTCAGTCTGGAACGGAAATTAGCTTTGTCGTCCATCTCTGACGTACCTTGCGTCATCGCGTAGTCAGTCAGGACCGTCCGTTTAGGACAGGTCCCCTTACAGGGTGGATCTCTCTGCCCTGCCGATTGGTTGTTTGGTAGAAGTCAGGAATACACAGTAGACCTGACACTTTATACGGGTTTCAGCTGGAGTAATGAAGAGGCATTCGCGAAAAGAATGGAGTCTTTTCCGCTTAGCTTGAAAGCCATAATTGCGGGGATTGCTCCAAAGTGGAACTGCCTATATTGTTGAACTCCAATGCACCCCTGTCGCCACTCATGAATTGCATCGTGAGCAGTATGCATCCTACTGCAACTGCCACGAACGTAATCATGTAAACCAGCTATCGTCCAAATCATTGATGTCCACCAATCCGTCACCCTCTAGTAGACTCGCATCCCCGGTACCATCCCCTCCGAAGTTATCATTTTCCATGAATAGATCATCAAAGCTGGATTCTCCTGGCGCCATGACATCTTCGAGGTTTCCACCTCCCGGACCATCCAACGGTTGCCCTGTGAGGGTATTGGCTTGGGTAGAGAATGCCTCGGCTTTTTGCAGTTCCAGGTCAAATGCATCCCCGCCTGCAGGCACAGCAGCGTTCAGGTTGTCCGTGCTCACTAATTCAGCGGCGGTGTTACCAGATGGCTCGTTGGCTTCATTGCCAGGAGCGGCAGAAACCAGGTGAGAGCCTGCAAGAAAGTCATCATTGCCAACCGAGTCGTCGCCAAAATCAAGATTCAGATCGAAATCATTGGGGCCCGTATTGGGGAGCATGGTGTCGAAGTTGAGCTCTTCCGGTCCGGTGAACGGCTGTCCAGATATGGCAGGGGCGGGAGCTCTGTTGTCAACTTTATCTTCCTTGACAACTGGATCAATCAAGCCTGACTGTTTGGCATCCCGGTCAATTTGCGGCTTCGGCACAACTTCATCTTCTGCGGGCTCGGCTTTAATGGCATCGGCGTTCGTGGCTACGACTGGTGTTTCCTGAGTGCGGGGAGCTGTTTCTGGCTCTAGCTTCACTACCACGTCCTCCATCATGGAATCTTCGGCGGGATGAAGTGCGGCTTTCCGCGCTTTGATTGCCTCATAGTCTCGTTCTAGGAACGCCTTAGCAATGAACTGCTTGGTGTTAGTGATACCCCAGGAACCCAACGAGGCAGAAATGGTCCCTACTATCTGCTCTGAGAGATTATCCAAAGCGGTCTGGAATTGCTCGTGTGCAACAGGCATTGAGCGTTTGAGCTGTGCACTGTACTGCAATTTCCCATGCGAGTTGAAGTACCGGGCTGTGTCAACGAGCTAATATATCGTCAGAGATCATATAAATGAATGAATTCGGAAATTTTACCGTCCGATTGACCGTAGATGTCAACACATCTAAAGAGTTGGGATTGGAGAAATTTGTGGTGGTCATGATTACTCTGCGGTTGTGACCTCGACGATGCTGACGATCAAGCCGCTAAAAGCAGGCCGCGATAATTTGCTGATGTGGTGGTATTGATTGGTGTGTGATGGGAACACGATAGACAACAAACCGGAACAACCATAAGATGTGATTCAGTCGGGGACTTTTAGCGATGCCGTGGAGGACTATACTCCCTGTACTGCGGGTCCGAGAGCTAATTGAAAGTGCTGCACGAAGGTTCGCGTAGAAGTGACAAGGGAGGAAGGGGGAAGTGTTGGGAGTCAAGGAAGGGAAGCTAAGAATAGAACCAAGCCGATATGACAGACTTCACTGCGCCAAGGAAGCCGAGTCAGGTAGGAACAACTTGAAAGGAGGAGTAGGCGCGAATTTGGGGGATGGAAGAGGTAGGATGGGGGGAGAAAGAAGCTAAGAATTGATGGATGAAGGGCAAGTTAAGCGCCGCCTTTGGCTGCGGTCGAGACAAAAGAGACAAAAGACACAGATGGACTAACGCGGTGGGGTTTAGCGCGCGCCCCTCTCCAGCTCGGAGCGGCTTTCTTAGTGGTACTCCGTACCCAAGTTAGCAGCAAGTGAGGTACTACCTTAGAAGGTACTGGGTACTACTAGGTACACTGTGTACACTGTGTACTCCGTACTCACTTTTACTGTCCTTAACACTTCAGGGCCTACTGAGTCTGTGTATGTACTGTACCGTGGGACCTGTGACCTGTGACCACTCACTATTCAGTACTCACAGAACTGTCAGTCCACTTGATCCCCATTCCCAGACATTCACCTCGTTCTTTTCTCCGGCATCCTTAGTTACCTTCCCGTCAGCTCCAGATCCTCAAAACAGCTTTTCTTCTTTCTTCCCCTGTCTGACTGTCTCTCTTCTTCTCCATCACCCTTTATTTTTCTCCTCCCTCTCGTCCATTTTTCTGCTCTGTTCTACCTGTCATTGCTGCCTCTCTTCCCTTTTGTCTCGGTTTTTCTTTTCCTTTCCTTTTTCTTTTTTCTTTTTATATTTGCCCTTTCTTCGAGCTGTCGGCTTTTTCGCTCCCCTCCATTCCTCATTCCCGTCAGCTGTCATCCCCGGAGCTTAAACACTGACTGACTGACTGGCTTGTTGAGGTCGTGGTTGAGAAAGTCGTCTCCGGTCTCACATATTTGCTTTTCAGCATCTCTCGGTCCATCAAGACACCTCTCATCTTCATTTAACTAGCACTGCAATCGTCCGATTCAATAACAGTTGCTCGTACTTTGTTGAATGATCTAATTTAGCGCCTGTCCTCGTTTACCTACACTCTGTCCTGGACCTTTCAACAACCACCTGCAAACCACCACCATCGAATAAACCACCACCCCCGCGTCTGCTCCCGCCTTCGCCTACTCTAATTCTGACTGCGTAACGCCCTGCATCGTCCCGTCACTCAGAAATTTGCATATCCACTCTCCGTGGCTTCGTCAAACGCTTTTCTCCATCGTCTGCTCCGCCTTGCAGCTCTTCGTTTGTTTGTTCCGTGATCTCTATCGTCCATCTCGTGACCGTCCCCCTCCCTACCCCGTCAACAATGGCCGACAACGTTTCCGCTGCGACCGCTACCACCCTCCCCCCTCCCCCTCAGTCTTCTACTGTTCCTTCCAACCAGCAGTACGATGCTTCGCAGGGCAACGGTCAAGCCAATCCTTCCCATATGCCACCACCTCCTCGTCCGCCCGTAGTGATCCCCCAAAACACCAATCCGATCCCCACCGCGATCACATCTCCGATGTCTGGCAATATGATGTCTCCGACCAGTGCTGGTGGCTTTGTGCGTCGGGCGGCCCCTGAGCCAAACAAGAGGGCTTTGTACGTCGGTGGTCTTGACCCCCGAGTGACTGAAGATATTTTGAAGCAAATCTTCGAGACCACTGGGCATGTTGTCAGCGTCAAAATTATTCCCGACAAGAACGTATGTTTTTTCTCCCATCGTCGTCCTCGACTGGCCTTTCGCGTTTTACGCGCCCATTATCTATTGAAACACGCTCATCCTCCCTACTAACAGTCACAGAAGTTCAACAGCAAAGGCTACAACTATGGCTTCGTTGAGTTTGATGACCCAGGTGCTGCTGAGAGAGCCATGCAGACGCTCAACGGACGCCGTATTCACCAATCGGTAAGTATATGCAGGCTGGCTTATTTTGTCTGTGACGGAAACTGAACTATCTTTGTCTTTCGCAGGAAATTCGTGTCAACTGGGCCTACCAGTCCAACAATACGAACAAGGAGGATACCTCGAGCCACTTCCACATTTTCGTTGGTGATCTGAGTAACGAAGTTAACGACGAGGTGCTGATGCAGGCCTTCTCTGCCTTTGGCTCCGTGTCTGAGGCTCGTGTCATGTGGGATATGAAAACTGGTCGCTCCCGAGGCTACGGTTTCGTTGCATTCCGAGACCGCACCGATGCCGACAAGGCTTTGAACGCCATGGATGGAGAGTGGCTTGGCTCTCGTGCGATCCGCTGCAACTGGGCAAACCAGAAGGGCCAGCCTTCGATCTCTCAACAGCAGGCCATGGCCGCAATGGGCATGACTCCTGCTAATCAATACGGCGGCCACCATAACTTTCCTACCCACGGCATCCAGAGCTACGACATGGTTGTCGGACAAACCGCGCAATGGCAGACCACGTGCTATGTGGGTAATTTGACCCCCTACACAACACAGAACGACCTTGTGCCGCTCTTCCAGAATTTTGGCTACGTACTTGAAACCCGTCTCCAGGCGGACCGTGGATTTGCCTTTATCAAGATGGACACGCATGAAAATGCTGCCATGGCTATTTGTCAGCTCAATGGCTACAACGTCAACGGACGCCCTTTGAAGTGCAGCGTATGTAATCCGATCCCTCTGTCTCTAATTCTCTGTGCTAATTGACTATTTTAGTGGGGGAAGGATCGCCCTCCCACTGGCCAGTTCGACAATTTCTCTGGCCAGCAGGCCAGCTCACCTTTCAACTCGAGTCCCACTCCGTATTTTCCACAGTACGGCGGTCCTGGCGGACCCATGACCCCTCAAGGTAGCTCGTTTGCGCTCTAGTGTCGGGGTTCCCGCTAACTCTCTGGCACCAGGCCCAAACCCAGCCGGTAGAGGATGGGACCAGTCCGGGATGGGCGGCCAAGGCTATGGCCAGGTTCCTGGTAATGCGGGATACGGCCGTGGCCAAGGTGCCCCAGCCTCTGGTTGGAACCAGCCAAACAATGCCAACTTTGGCAATGGCTTCGGTGGCTATCAAGCGTAGCCTATTCTTCGATATATGCTGCCGCCTGCCTCTTTCAAGTCTGCACTTGTAGTCGGCGGCCTGTACCGGCAAAAGCGTTAAGCACCAGCCCTCCCTTCATCAATTCCCTTTTTTTTTTCTCTTTCTTAATACTTCTCATTTCGACTGTTGCTATCTTTTCTACATTGCTTCTCTTCCCTTTTCCTTTCTCCTTCCTTTTCCTTCTCAATGCCCCCTACAAGGTGGATTTCTAAAGCGCATCTCCCATTCTCCATTCTTCCTTTTTGAAATGAAATTTGTGTGTTATCGTACACTCAATACCCCGAATCCGCTTTGTTGACTCCAAGTTTCCGATTGCTGTCTTCTTTGAACGAATGCGCGCAACTTTGATCAAAGGCTAAGCTTCTTGGGCTTTTCACTTAAGCGTTCTGCGGACTAAACTAAAAGTACTCACCATTCTCATTCTATCCTTGACATTTGTCGTTGGTCTTTTATTGAATAGTGCCGTACAATCAGTATAAGCACAGCCACCTGGGGGATGATGGTCCTTTGTGGTTCTGGCTGTGTAGACCATGGATTTTTTCTGCTCTCTTCTATTGTTTATCATTGGGAAGCCATGGCTTTCCTGAGCATCGTTACTGATTCGTTTGATACCTGGTTTCGTTTCTCAGCTTGTCAATCTGTACTCGACTGGTCGGGTTGGTTGGCACAGTTCTCCAATTTGTGATACCATTATGTGTTCAGGTGACTTTCTTCAGCTCAAATCTTAACTTCGGGCTCTTGCTATTCTGAGGCCGTGCCCACCTGATCCACTACTTTTCATGCCGGTGTGGCTGGGATTGGTTTCTGTTTTCATGGATGAGTGGGGTGAGATTGCCCGTAAACTAAGGCTAGCTGTAGTTGTATCTAGTTATTCTCAGTGGCTCTTTGATTGATATCTTGAAATAGAAATAGAAAGGTGTAATTGTTACGAAGGGAAATAGAACAAATCGAGCTGTGCGGGTGACACCCATATATTACCCAATACCCACCCGTCGCACCCACCGCCTGGACCCTTTTCTTCTTGGCCGATCGATCCAGTGCCTTATGGCTGGCCCCCTCCCTGGCTCTCTCTTCCCCCTTCTTCTTCCTATCCCTCCCCCGTTCTCCGACCCCACGCTTTCAACTACAGCTGATGAAAATCTTCGGCCACGCTCAACCCGCGTTACTGGATGTGGGCGTGCTAAAAATCAGTTAGTCGCGCCCAGCCTGCGCCAATGGAAGATGCAGGCAACAGCAAAGGTGCGGCACTCTCGCTGGACGACAATGACCGGCTCGCAGGGCGCATGCGCTCTGGAAGCGCAAGCAGTGGACACAAGCGCACCACCTCGGGCTCCTTACTCTCGCGATTATCCTTTCTCCGCATGATTCAAGCAACTCAGAACACTGCTGAACGAACCCATTCGGGCCTCGAGCGCGACGATGGCGCCGACGAACTCACAGCCGGCCTACGGGGCGGGCGGGCGATGTCCAATGCGATTCAGCAACATCGCAGGACGCGTCGGAGGCGGGGCTCTCTCCGCAAAACTGCATTACTGGGCACCCGACTCGACTACCGGGATAAGAAACCTGCGAGTGTACCGGCCGATGTGTTGCGAGGGGACAACGGCGCTGGTAGCGAACAACAACAGCAGCAATCATCATCGCGACCGGGGTCAAGTCCGACCGTCTTGCCAACCTCCTCTGCTACCACCAGTGCCAACCCACGAATGCGATACTTTGTCGGCCCCGTGTCGCGCGCTGATAATGAAATTACGTCACCCGGGACCCTCGGTTCATTCGTTGGGGATGAAACGGATACGGCATGGACGCTGATGGATGCACCGCAACGGGCCCGGACGGCCGCGTCGACGGCGGCGGCCCATCGCCAGTCCAGCCCGGCGAAAAACAGCCTCCTCGGCATCGGGGACGAGATGACGACCGACGAGGAAGAGATTATCTCCTTTCCACGCTCCAGTACGAGCACCTCATTGCATCCGCCCTCAGCCAGCGGCGCGACCGGCCTCCGCCTTCCGACTGCCGCATCGACTTCCGATTCATATTACAGTTTGCAGACGGATCCGACGTACAGGTCGTTGCACCGGGCTAAGTCACCGCTGGCGACCCACGCGGTCGACATAGCCACCAGCGCCCAGATGGTGTGGGACTACTCGGAGACTGAGTGGTGGGGATGGATCATTCTGATCGTGACGTGGCTGGTTTTCGTCGTTGGGATGGGGAGCTGCTTTGGGGTTTGGAGCTGGGCGTGGGATGTCGGGGAGACGCCGTACGCGCCCCCCGAGCTGGAGGATGATCCCACCCTGCCGATTGTGGGGTATTATCCGGCACTGATCATTTTGACTGCTGTCATGTCGTGGGTGTGGGTGGTCGTCGCATGGGTCGGGATGAAGTACTTTAAGCACGCCAACATCTCCGGCGAGGATATTTGAATGCGTTGATGTGCTTTGCCCGATACCATTTTATGTCTTGAGTTGTCTATACCCTGCTTTTATTGGTTTTTTCTTGGGTTCTCATCTGCAGTAGTTGCTGTTTGCGCAGTGCATGAAACCTTGCGCGTTTGCATCAAGTGTCCAGCATAGCACAGCAAATTTTGTGTGCACTATAATAGTCATGAATCGATTGTAGCCCTCATCATCACCGACAATTTATAATCTAAGATGTTTAAGATGAGACGAGAAGTCCTCTGATCTGAAAGCCCCGAAATCACAAGCCCCATAAAGGAACCCCAGTCACCAACAACTCCAATATCCCAAAATGACTCCAACGACCTGCTGCACGGGCCCTCACACTTCCCTCCCTCGGCAGGCTAAACTCCCCCCAAGGAAGATCGGAAACAATATGCAAAAAAACTTCTAACCAGTTCGACAATCAATGCGAAACTGCGCACTGGTTCACGAGACTTATGTCCAAGGGCGACGACTTCGGATTACTTGGGTCAGCGGCATTCTGAGGTTGCACGGTCGTGCCGGGGGCCGTGCTGACCAGGCCCTTGGATACGGCAAAGCAGGACGAGCGATCCTGGTTGGAGTCTTCGACGTAGAACTCGTCCATGATGGGGTGCAGCATGACGGTCTGCTTGTGGATTGTGACGATGGAGTTGGCGGGAACAGAAACCCAGTTGTCTGTGCACATTAGCTATGGTCTGTAATCCACGCGGGACACATTGTAAAACAAAGAAGAAGAAAGAAAGAAAGGAAGAAAGGAAGAAACTCACGTCGCTCAAAAGTGATAGGCTCACTAGCCACAAGCACAATATCGGCACCCTTATCATGCCTCTCCATCTTGAAATGGCCCTGACCCTGGCCCTCGGTCCACTTGGTGCCGGAAGAGAAATACAGACTGGCGGGCTCATCAGTCTTACTGCTGATATACCTCGTGCAGATGACGGTGTGGCCATCGGTGACGGCGAAGTTGAGGAGGCTGCGGGTCTCGACCTCGCCGACAACGCCGCTGCCATGGCGGCGGGGGATGTCCGCGATGAAGGCGTTAATCTGCGCGATGGTCTTGACCATCACGCGGCGCAGCAGGGCCTGGCCGAAGCCCTCGGGGCCGGGATCGGCGGACGGGTCGACGCCCTCCTTGGCGAGGAGATCGAGGAACAGGGCGAACGCCCACTCGCTGTCAGTGCCGCCCTTCACCCCCAGGTACCACTTGTCGGCCAGCGAGTCGGCCAGCGCCCGCTTGATGTACTGCCACCCGCCGACATTGCCGTTGTGCATCCACATTAGCGTGCGGTGCTGGAACGGGTGGCAGTTCGTGTCGGACAGCGTGCCCTCTGTCGTGGCGCGCACATGCGCGAAGATTAGGTTCGAGCATGTCTTGGAGGCGAGGCGCTCCAGATTCTCGCAGTTCCATGCGGGAAGTGTCGAGGTGAAAATGCATGGGTCTGGGCCTAGTTTGGGGTCCGTGTAGAATCCCACGCCGAAGCCGTCGCCATTCACGGGGCGGCGGGTGTCCTGGTGGGGTTAGCTTTTCTTTGAGCGTAGGGTGAGGCTTTGCCAGGGAGTTGAAAGGAAGGGGAGTCCAGGGGTTCTCCCCCGGGAACGCTTCATGCCCAGGAGATTTAGGGTGCAGTTTGCCAGGAAGGTGAAGAGCAGGGGAGGTAGGTGAAGCTCCCTTTTGTTTAAGAAAGCTTTGCGATCTGACTTACCAGTCTGAGGCGGGAGTCATAAGACTGAGTCAAGATCGAGTGGCTGGGTTCAGTCACCAGCTTGCTGAGACGAATCTCATGGCGCCCTTTGTATACCTGATGGGAAGCGGTCAACGCCTTTGCAAAAATACGAGGCATGGGGACAGGCTGACTTACTAGGAAGCGACACATTTTGAAGATTTTCAAAGTCCTTCTTGATAAGTTCCAAACCGACTAAAGACTTCCAGCGTCTTTAGTGCAATAGACAATACCCCCAAGTGCTGTCAGGGTTGAGAAACAGAAATGAATGTCAGGTCGATTAGGCGCAACGGCCAACGGGGAGCAAGAGTCACAGGTGCTCAGCTTGATCCGACAACGGAGCAGCGGTTGTTTCTTCTCAACCCGCACCACGTATTCAGGGGTAGATCACTTATATAACTTATACTGTTTCAGGGCTCTGACTCGTCCGGATGAGCTTGTAACTCCGCCCGTCAGACCGTGCAGATGACGACTTTCCTCCTGAATATTTGGCTATTGCTGAGTGGAATGGCCGTGGATCACACGTGACTCACCGTAATTTGTCCGGCCGGCGAGGCCACCCAGCGGTGCAAGTTGTAGGTCACGAGATCTCCTCCTCGGTCGGGGCTTCTCGCCGCCCACACCGAATCCCGCGGGACGGCATGACATGATCTCCATCTCTATCTTCTTTTCCCTTCTTTCCGTTTTGTTTTGTTTTACATCTCGCCACTTTTCACCAATCTTAGGCCCTCACAACCTTACAGTCGCTGCTTGTGTCGAGTGATGAACCACCTCTGTCGATTCTGTGTCTGAGCATCCCGAACGTATATGATATTTCGGCCATCATGAGCGGGAGGATCCTCTCCCACCGTCTGGTTCCGCTGCTGCGGACGGGTCATCTTGCCCGCCATGTTCACAACGCTGCTGCCCGGACTGGAGGCCTCTTGCGGTCGGATGGCAGCGCCGCTCTCCGCCGACGACCTTGGCCCGTCGGCGCCAACGCCATCCATAATGTGCCTGCTGTGCGGGCCATCTCGTTCCACCGCATTCTGCCCAAGCTGGCACTGAAGCTCGTGCGGCTGCCGGCCATGTTTGGAGGGGCGATGCTGGCGGGCTTCGCTTACATTCAATACCAAGCTACACGTGAGTTACCTAATTTCCAGTTGATACGTTTGTCGTCGGTAGCTGGCTGGCTGGATATTTTAAGCTGACTTTGTTGCGGAACCCATATAGAGGCAGGAAACTATGCTATTGACATCTTCAAACGCGCGGGGGAAACGGCGGGCGGGGCGGCCTCGAGTTTATTCCAGGAGATTCAGAATGTGGCGGAGCAGACGCAACGCGGGTGGCAGAAGACGACGGAGGATGTCGACTTGCCGGAATGGCTACAGAAGATCTTGAGGTTGAATGAGGAGGCACAATCGGATAACGGGGGCTCAGGGGGTGGTGGTAGAGGTCCGAAGGAGAGCCGGGTGGGTGGCGCGGCGGCCGCCGGTGCGGCCTCGGGCGGGGCTATGGGATACGATCAATCGGACGAGGAGGATCCCCGCGCCGGCCGGCAGATTGCGGAGGATGACCAGATGATGCTGCTCACGCGGAAGATGATCGAGATCCGGAACATTTTGCAGAGCGTGGGCCAATCCAACACCCTGACGCTGCCCTCGATCGTCGTGATCGGCTCCCAGTCATCCGGGAAGAGCTCCGTTCTGGAGGCAATTGTCGGACATGAGTTCCTCCCCAAGGGTTCGAACATGGTCACCCGTCGGCCGATCGAGCTCACGCTTGTCAACACTCCGAACGCGCAGGCGGAGTATGGAGAGTTTCCCGCGCTGGGGCTGGGCAAGATCACTGACTTCTCGCAAATTCAACGCACCCTGACCGACCTCAATCTGGCTGTTCCGGAGAGGGATTGTGTTTCGGACGACCCGATCCAACTAACCATCTACTCGCCGCATGTTCCCGACCTCTCCCTAATCGATCTCCCGGGCTATATTCAGGTTGCGGGGCGTGACCAGCCGCCGCAGCTGAAGCAGAAGATCTCGGATCTCTGCGACAAATACATCCAACCACCCAACGTAATTCTGGCCATCTCCGCGGCAGATGTTGATCTGGCCAATTCAACTGCCCTGCGAGCCAGTCGCCGCGTGGACCCTAGGGGCGAGCGGACAATCGGTGTTATCACCAAGATGGACCTGGTTGATCCCGAGCGAGGTCACAGCATTTTATCAGACACGAAATACCCTCTTCGCCTAGGCTATGTAGGTGTGGTCAGTCGGATTCCTCAGACCACTGCTCTGTTCTCAAGAGGCAGCGGTAACATCACGGGCGCCATCCTGAAGAACGAGAACGCCTACTTTTCGCAGCACCAATCAGAATTTGGCCCGCAATCGGACGTGTCTGTTGGCGTCAACACATTGCGCAACAAGCTTATGCATGTCCTTGAGCAGACAATGGCATCGAGCCTAGCAGGTACTAGGGATGCTATTAGTCAGGAGCTGGAGGAGGCTACCTACGAGTTCAAGGTGCAATACAATGATCGTCCTCTTAGCGCAGAATCATACTTGGCCGAGAGTCTAGACAGTTTCAAACACTCTTTCAAGGCATTCGCTGAGAGCTTCGGTCGGCCACAGGTCCGTGAAATGCTGAAGCGCGAACTCGACCAGCGAGTGATGGATATTCTGGCGCAAAGATACTGGAATAAGCCGATAGAGGATCTTACCGCCCCAATGCCGGAATTGGATCCTCTCAGTGACCTGCCCAAAGCGGACCCCGAATCTCTCTACTGGCATCGCAAGCTTGACGCTTCGACTTCCTCCTTGACCAAGCTTGGAATTGGCAGACTTGCCACTACGGTCGTAGCCAACGCAATTCAGAATCATGTGGACCGGTTGCTGGCTGACTCTACCTTTGCAACCCACCCGTACGCCCAGAAGCAGATTGTTGATGCCTGCAACAGTATCCTGAATGACCGATTCTTCAGCACTAGTGATCAAGTGGAGAACTGCATCAAGCCCTACAAATACGAAATTGAGGTTGAGGACCCTGAATGGGCTAAGGGTCGGGAGAACGTCAGCAAGGTACTAAAGGACGAACTCAAGGCCTGTGAGTCGGCATTTAAGCATGTGGAAGACCTCGTGGGGAGACGGAAGCTCAAGGATGTGATGTCGTTCGTTGACAAGGTCAGAAAGGGCGAAGTGGTTTTGGAGGGTGACGGCGCTGGTGGTGCTGGTGGCTTTAGTGCCGACCTATTGGCCAGAGGTATGTTTTCTCTTTTCTGCATGCATCAATTTACTAATCGTGGCCTTAGGCCGTGAAAGTGTCTTCCTCCGTGACCGCGCCGACATCATCAAGATGCGACTTCTCGCCGTCCGCTCCAAGCAATGTGCCTCTCAGAAGAACAAATACTACTGCCCGGAGGTCTTTCTGGATGTCGTCGCCGACAAGTTGACGTCGACCGCTGTGCTCTTCCTTAACGTTGAACTCCTCTCCGAATTCTACTACAACTTCCCCCGCGAGCTCGACATGCGCCTTGGCCGCCATCTTTCCGACGCTGAGGTCGAGCGCTTCGCCCGCGAAGACCCGCGCATCCGCAGCCACCTCGACGTCATCCGCCGCAAGGAGCTCCTGGAATTGGCGCTCCAGAAGATCGAGAGCATCCGCCAGCTCGACGGACGCGGCAAACGTGGGACCACTGACCGTCCAGGTGTTCGGGAGCAGAGGAGCCGTGGCTGGAACCTGTTCTAAACTTTTTATGCGTTTGTCCAACTAGACTTCTCTTATTCCTTCCCGTGATATCCGTGGCACAGGAATCCTCTCCGTGCTACTGGGGCGTTCTCGCATATTCCCTCTCTCTTTGTGATAATTCTCTTTTGTGGCCGGGGTCGGGCTGTTAGTGGATAGGGGTCAATGTATAAATGATGTAGATTTTAGTCCTTCTGCGGACTGTTCGTGAATGAACGCGTGAGCCCGAGTCCCTCTGCGATAATAGGTTGGCCTGGAGTGACTATGCGCTCTATGTGTCCAATGGACGCTTGGTTGCGAACTACTTTTTCCATGACCAGAAGACCACCTGCAATCTACCGTCCTCAGGATGCAGACGACAATGCAAAGATCCCATGTCCTTGCCCTGACATGTTCAGCGGACACCGGTGATCGTCAAACACATACTTTACAGTACATACTACATACATACCGACAACTTTCTGGCTGAGGAGATAGGATATTTCACTATCGATTGTCGCCCCGCAGCCCAGCAGGTTGTTGTCCAGAAGGCATACTGCTTTGGCCTGCGTATGGCGAAGTTAGGCTATGGTCCGTATATCAGGTTCAGCCCGTCTCCACTATGTCATTAAACCTCATCTGTTCTTTGAACCCAAAAAAGAAAAACAAAAAACCAAATGGCACAATTACCGACACCTGACTCGTTTTAGATTTCGCATTTGAGACTCGGGCTCTCCCTCGTACGAGTCCGCCGGAGGCCTCAGAACCGAGAGGAGGATCTTCATATATGCAGCCGCTGTGACCGCTGCGTAACACTGCCAGATTTTGTCCTTGTGTGGGTCCGCATACTCGCATATACCTCGAAGAGCCAGACAGGGCATGGCGTTCACAATTCCCACCGCCTCCATCTCAAGACGGAGAGCATTGTAGTTCCGCTTCAACCGGTCGCATGTCTTCTTGTCTTTGACAACCTGATTTACTGAGGTAATCAACCCGTGGTGGATCCGCGACGGTCTTTCGCACTTGCCATGGGTATCATCACCACCATCAGCACCTGCCACTGTCTATGGTGAGTATACGTAGCCGGTTGTAGTGGAACAGAAGTTGCCAGGCACGTGGGATGGGGGCAAAAGGCAAAAACATACAACAGAAGGGATTCGCTGGTGGTCACCCACCCAACTACTAACCTCCCGGCGTGTGGCTTGAGGACGGCTGAGCGGACGGGAAGCCCTATTTTCCACACCCTATGGTCGTATGTGAGAGGATATAGTTGTATTTTGTTATATCATGCTAGGAGACGAAAACACTGGGTGTGAGTGGCTAAGCTCGACGAGAGCGACTGTTTGGGTAGACAATCAGGCCCAGTGCACCTGTACGTAGTAGTGAGCGGAATCATCGACTGGTGCAAACAGAAAAGAAAGGGTAGTATGTATGTATGTATGTATGTATGTATGTATGTCAATGCATTAAGAAAAGCCGGTCCCGCCACGATTCCGGGAAACTGAATTCCCTTAGACTAGACTCTGGCCATGGAACACCCCAATCGCAAGTGAGAAGCTACTTGCGGGAGAAGAATGCCGCCAGAAGAAACCAGTATGTTTATACCATTATTATGGTATTGAAAAAAAGAGCGTCCAGGGAGAGGCTCGAACTCTCAACCTCACGATTAACAGTCGTACGCGCTAACCAATTGCGCCACCCAGACAACTTGCTGTTATCAACTAGTACTATGAATGATGACATTGCGTGCCGTCACAAGGCTGGTTCCTGCAATCAAATCCTGTACAATGCATCTCGAAACCATTTATAAGAAGACATTGTCGGGCAACTATGTATATGTGAAGATTAACACCTATCGAGTGGCACAGATACAGTTTTCACTACCAAGATTGGTAGATTTCTGTCAAGTTTTGCTTTCGGTGGCTGAGATACCTAGGGTAATCCGTCCATCACGCTGATGTCGCAGAACGCGACGAATATTAACATTTCGGAGTTGGCGCTTGGTCCACCGCTTGACTTCCTCATCATTCATCCGATCCGCCTGTTTGAGTATGGTACGCGTCTCTTCTGAAGCGACCTGGGAGACGGTCTGCCAATAATTTCCGATGATGGAGTAGTCGGTGTATCTCAGGAACTGGATGGCGACGACTGTGACAATAACCATGTGGACCGCGATAAGCCCCGTCCCGATCATCAGGCCGGTCCACTGCGACGGGATGGATGAAGTGATCGAGTACGCTGTCGACGCTGCTGCGGTAGCTTTGAACTTCGCCAGTTGCTCGTAGTACATCATCTGATAGATCCTCGCGAAAAGGACCTGGACGGCCACAGCGGGACTCGCGGTCGCATTCAATGTGTCTTGGAACATATCCACGTGAATATAATGTGCGTTTCCCGAGTAGAAACCCGCATTTACCCGCGAAAGAAGCACGCCTGCGCTGAGTGATATGCTATCGTCTGCTATAGCCAGCGTGGGCAAGGCTGCGACCATTGCCAAGAAGAAATAGGACAGGTCATCGGTCCCATCATTTGTGTCTTTGAGTTTCAGACTGGCTCCCCACTGGGAACGAGGTTCGAGGGCCAGTACTCCCCGGTCCGTGGTGTTTTCTCGGTTTCGCGATGCGCCGAGCTGGCGGCGAGTGGTCTCGGTATTGAAGCTTTGAGTGAGCGGGTCCCATGTTATCTTCGGCTCGGTGTTGTCCCGGGAGCTGTTCAACCCAACTGCGATCGACTGAGTGGCCACATTGGTTACACACGCTGAGACTCGCAACGTCTTCTTTTCGGTTCCATGGGTCACCAGTGTCCAGGGGCCATCGCTACGCACGACACGTGCAGCCACAGCGGTGTCACCAGCCGCTCTAATGACTGACCCCATAGAAACGACGTCAATGAGCACGAACAACATTGAAGCCACCGGGTCGCCTCTAGACTGGAGTAGAGGATTGTCGTGAAGGACCGTGAAATTCAGCTCGCTTCCAATGACGCATAAGCTACTCTCCCCTCGTGTGGTATTTTCGGCAATAAGTGGGATAGGCATTTTGCAGGTGAAACTAAGCTTGGGCGGGTCATCAGTGCCATAAAGCAGCGGATAAGACAGATTATGGGTATCAATCACGCCATCCAGGTGTACAAGGTCTTGACTGGTCACATCAAGGGTTAAGTTGACCAGGGGTGGACTTGCGCACAGGACCCGATGATCCATGATTGGCAGTGGGCCACTGTACCTGTGTAGCTTGGTCCGTTGCATCTCCTCATCGAAGGGGAGGAAAGCCCGGAAAGTGTGTCCAGTGTCATGATAATTTCGACCCTCTTTGAAGGACTCCGATAGCTCGCCAAATGTCCAGCTCGCCGCGGGCGGCATTGACCACCAACCACTGGCAGTATCGAAGTTGGTATCGATAACACTGACATTTGTCGAGTTGTTGCCCTGTACAAAGGCACTATCGGCGAAGTCGGTCAAGTAGATTGTGGAGAGAAACTGCGATGCAGCGGTCACCAGCACTTCGACAAGGACAATGGCATAGATGAATGGCGGAAGATGAGGTTGGAAATCTGTTGCTGTGAATAGGTTGCTGGGTGCCACCTTGACCGCCCGCATTATGGAATACAATGGTGCCTGGAGGAGGGGTATACCCTTTGTCTCTAGGGTGATTGCTGCGACCATTGCCGTGACGAGGCCAGCCTGGAATACCATCACAGCGCGGATGGTGGTGGTGCAAATCGTGACTAGTCGAGTAGCCCAGTCTGCGTTGACGATACGGAACCAGTAGGCCTCGGGGTCTCCTCCGTCGAGGGCTCTTAGGGACTCCCACCAGAAGAGAATGAGAAAGGTGACTGCCAATAACAGGATGGGAGGACCAAGGAATATCGTTAGGACACCAGTGGTATCGACTCTGTGGCACAGGCTTCTCGGCTTGGTCTTCGGCTCTTCTTTCTGGGATTCTATGTCTGGCTTCGCGCTGGGCGGTTTCGGGGCCTTTCTTGTGGCATGGTATCTGGTGTCACTGTATGCGTTGATATGCATGCTGTAGATTGTATTGAGTAACAGGTGGCAGAGGTAAACGTTTCTTGGGATTTCAAACCAGGCTGGGATTTCGATTTGAACTGGGATTGAGATCGGGGCTAGCTACCCTTGTAACAGCATGTCTCTGTCGCTCGAACAAGTCCCTGACTTCAGCTCGGAAAGTCGGGTATGAGCATCAGCAAGTTGGCCCATGTTTCAACTTTCTCTATATAGTATATTGCAAAGCAGGTGAACTTCTAGTGGAGGATCTGGATGGGGGGAAGAGAGGGGATTGAGCTGTTCGTTCATCGATTAAACGCCGGGCTGTGCCAAGGATGAGTCTAGCGCGACTCATAGTCCCCAGCCTGTCAGATTAGGGCCAACAAAACGTTTTTAGTTTAGCCTGCTACAATAGGCGCGAAGGATTCTATTTTGGGCCGGCAGGATTCTCAAGCTCGCTAGTCGTTCTTTTGAACTCGAGTCTTTATTCAATGCCAGATCTATAGCCTAACAAGCACATCCATGTCTGTAGTGCTGGCTCTCATACTTAGTCACCATGGAGGCTTTTTCAGTGTCGCTCAGTGAGCATGGTCCTTCGCTATAGCCATGACGGGCCGATCATCATTGCGCTTTTATGTATATTGGGGAGAGTTGGGACTCCAAGCTTCCATCAGAGGTCGATTCGAGGCAGGCAGCGCACGGTCCTCTCGGTAAGCCCCAGCGCCACCCGGGTGGGGTTACATGGAATATCGTCCGGATCTTGTGATTTAAGTGGCATAGTGTGATATGCGATATGCTGTACCAATGCGTGGTTTGCAGCCTAGTTTTGGTTATGCTACATAGATATGGCGCTTGAGCCTGATCCTTCTAGTGCTTATCCCATACACTCGTGCTATGGAGCTAGTGACCACGGTGGAGATAAGCCAAATCGCTCCATTGCTTGATAATGAGTTCTTCCTGGGGTCGCTTCTCTGTTTGTGGGTTTTGACACTTCGTGCGCAATACTGAATGCTGTGGGGCAGAGGCACCCAGACCGACGGCCTAAGGTCTTATATGTTTCCAGTGATGTCGAGTCAAACAAACGACCTCACTTAACAAAGTTCACGCCCATGGCGGTAATGTGCCCATAACCAACTCAATCAACGCTCGCGAAGCTCTTACCTCAAGCTAGTCAAAATATGATCGTCGCTTTTTGCAAGTTGGATGCAGAGTCGAAAGCCCATGCAAGCTGTTCAGTGTTGCTCATATATATGTATGCAAGACTTTCGCTGCCAGCACAACAAGCACGTCTTGGTGGCGCAATTGGTTAGCGCGTACGACTGTTAATCGTGAGGTTGAGAGTTCGATCCTCTCCTAGGACGTCATTTGTCTCTTTTGGAGTCTTTTTGCTTCTCCCGGTGGAGTCTCCTAGATCAATAACTGAGGCTGGAGGTTTCGCGGTATGTGGGGAAGGGTGGATACTAGATCCCGGCTGCAAGCGACACAATCCAGGACCTGCCACTCTGCGCTGCCCGTATCTGGGAGCATCTTCCAGGGAATAGCTGATCTAATTTCCTCTACGGTCACCGGGCATGACCCATTGACCATGTCTCATCTACTCATATTTGAACGACCAGCGCTTGATAGCTACTCAAGTCGTCGTATCACAGTTCCTCGGGAAGAGGTTAATTGTGGCGAAGGATAACGCTCGCCCAGACAGTGCGTTTTGACGCATAGTTGAACTTGCTTATATTTGCCAGACAAGATGCCAGATATTTCGTGGTCATGAGCACGCGCGGGGGTAAGGTCTTACCACGAGGACATCTAGCGCGCCCCCCACATATGTGTACTGAGGCTTTTTTACGCCATTGAAAGAGCTTTCAACAAGCAAGGCCATATCAAAAAAATGCTATCATCTACACCTTTCATTTACCGGTCAGCATCTTAGATTAGTGGCTTACATATGATGGATCAATTACCGGGCTGATCAGGGCTCCTGCCCGAAGTCAAGCCGCCTGGCGCTTGATATTACGTTTGTCTGTTGGTTCACTTTGTTGTAGACGACCAATTGACCTATTGACCTCTTTGGACCAATATTGTTGAAATCACACTCAATATGTTCCTAGGTAAAGCCAGTCATCTTAGAAGAACACCACAGTAGTTGTAAGGCTGAGCATACCTCGACCATTTGTTATTAGCTAGTTACCCGGAGTTTATAAACAGCCATCTAAAACTGGCTTAGCGTGCGTATGAGACATTTAGCATAGCCCGTTAAGCATAATGCAAGGAATACGTCTGGGTGGCGCAATTGGTTAGCGCGTACGACTGTTAATCGTGAGGTTGAGAGTTCGAGCCTCTCCCTGGACGGCCTTCCGTTTTTTGTACTTCTCGTGCAAAAAATTATTATTCCCCGTAAATATTCATGAAGTAGGGTAACGTCTAGTGGAGTCCAGTCAAGTGTACTCCGTGAGATCCATCGGTACAGCGTAAAACGGCTCGCGGAAATTGTCCCATTGTGGAGTTGAGATGAGGCCTCCTGGTCGCGGCGGTGTGCCCACCCAATTTAACCAGGTATTGGTTTAGTATCAGGTTCAGGCATAGAGCATCTCGATGCATTCAGAACGAACTACGTTGGTTCTTGATCATAGACACATGTAATTCGTGGCTGGTACGGTAAGATGAACAGGGCCCGAATCCCGCATGCGAACCGCACAAGGGGTCTGTCAGGTCAGGTGGAGCCTATATCACCTTACTACCACTACCTGGCATCATTCCTATCTTCCTTGCGTTATAAGCATCTAGCAACTATGGGATCTGATCATCTCGTTGGGACTCGTTGAGAAGAAACAGGAACAGAAGGCTATTGCTCGAACAAAGCTTTGATCGAGCCAGAGCCCGGAAATCACATCTATGAAGCTTGACAAAAAGCATCGACCCGGTGAAACTGTGCGAGCATGCCAATGGGGAATTGGTACTTGTAATATATACTATCGCGGTGAAAAGCACGATAAAACAAATGTCATTGTTCATTCTGCTGCCCTTGGAAAGGCTATTCTTCGCAAGGAGAAAGTGCAGATTGAAGTGGCGACGATGAGGTATATACGCGAGAATGCCTCAATACCTGTTTCTGATGTGTTCGGCACTGGTATCTGCTGGGCTGGCCGTTACATTGTTATGTCATGTCTCGAAGGAGTACCGCGATCCACACTCCTCAAAGATTCTTCTTCAGCAGAAAAGCCAGTACTGAGCCCGCAACTAAGCGAGCGGAGCTTGAAGCCGGCTTATTGCGAAATGGCCGCGTTTATTATCGAGTGGCTCAGACACGGATTTGATTCCATTGGTGCTCTTCGGGAAGATGGGGGAAATTTCTCTATTACAAGGCGATCCCTGACCTCAAATATGAGCGAGCTGATGGTGTCTGCAAATTTACCAGAAGGCGTTTCCCCCCAGCACATCTTCGGGTCAGCCACAGACTACTTCAGAGCGCTTGCTACTTGCATATCAGCCACCTTCAATTACGTTTACAACAACGAGATGCTGCTAGCAGCGAGGATGACTACCGGAAGAAATTCATTGCGCATTTGTTCCTGGAGATCACAAAAGATATCTGCGCAGAGGACTCGCAAGGACCAGTTCGACTATATTGTGACGGCTTTGGTCCTTCAAATGTCTTAATAGATACCGCTGCTTTTCGTGTCTCGGGAGTTATTGACTAGGAGTTCACATATGCTGCGCCCGCTGAATTTACATGGTAGCTCCTTGGTGGCTCGTGTTGCAAAGCCCAGAAGACTAGGAAGGTGACCTTGTGATGTTTTTGAGTCGTTATCATCCCGAGCTACGTGTCTTTGTGGAAGCCCTAGGCAATCACGAAAGCGAGTTGATCGAAAGACAAATTCTCTCTGAATCACAGCGCTTGTCTCCACGAATGGAGGATTCCGTGAAGACTGGGCTATTCTGGGTTTGCTTAGCAGTACGATACAGCTCCATGCTCGATGAAATCTATTGTAAATTCATCGACAACTGGTATTATGGGCCCTTCAATTCTCTGTATGGCCGTATGCAGCTATGGGACCCGAAACAGCAGCAAGACATGATCGAACTTGGGCGGCTCAAGACTGGCCAGGCCGACGATAAAGATATCTTTGTCAATCACTATCCAATTACTGAGCTACTCGAACTAAGATTGTGTAACACCGAGCATCGAGTTGTGTTATAGACTTAGTACTGCTGGTGACTAGACATTTTTTATTTTACTGATTCATAGGCCAAGGTGCTCACACTCAATGCCCCATTGAAGAGAAGAATCAAGTCCAGGGCTGACTACCATCATATGATTCAAGATACCACTGGCTGACAAAACCCTTTCATTAATTTACACAGCTCTTCAGCTGTATTCATGTTGGGTAAGTCTGGAGCCACATGACCATCCACCTATGCATTTAGCCGGCCAAAAAAAGTTTGTACGCTCGCTCGCAGAGTTATAGGAGCTAACCGGCTGGCTAAAGACTTTCTTAGACCTACTCGTCGGCTCGCTCTAGGGCTAGAAGGCCAGCCATCCGTTCAAAGACCTCCTACTTATGCATACGTAAGAGCTTACTTGTAGAGTTACATGGCTAACTGGCTAGCTAACCTTGCTCGCAGATTACATACAGACTTGTCTATGGGCATGTTCGTATGCTCAATATATACAGGCTCACAGACTTGATTGTAGGCATATTGGCTGTTTTTTAATTCTAATTAGGCGCTCGATGACTGCTATCAGGCAATGAATGGACAATGGATAAATTAAAAAGAGACTTCGTTTCCACTGGATTGGCAGTGAAAAAATGTAGCAAATGCGTCCAGGGAGAGGCTCGAACTCTCAACCTCACGATTAACAGTCGTACGCGCTAACCAATTGCGCCACCCAGACGATTTGTTGGGACGGCCTCTATATGCAGCGAACAAGAATGGGCGTGAGAGAGCAACTCAATGAAAACAAAAAGCAACGTCCTAGGAGAGGATCGAACTCTCAACCTCACGATTAACAGTCGTACGCGCTAACCAATTGCGCCACCAAGACGTAGTTGTTGCGTCAGTCATCGCCGAGTGTTTTATGACCCTACGCAACCTTTGGAGGGACTAAGCTGATTTAGATCCTAGTTTCAGGCACCTGGCTGCATCCACGGATTTTTCAGGTCGGTAGTCTAGTGCAACTTCACATAGATTAGCCGAAGTACGGTAGTACGAAACAATGGGCTCGAACGGCCCTTGAGCTTTGCCGGATATGGTAGCGCAAACCCTAAGGGCAACTTCGGGGCCGAACCTTAATTCGACTACAGCCTTGGTTGCCGTTGCCGGCTTCAGAGCAATAATATTTTTGTGGGGCATGTCTTCAATACGCTTCTCATCGAAACAATCAACAATCTGCTCAGTTCAGACTTTGTCGACTATTACCGGCCCTCGTGGGCTATCTAGCAGCCGCTGCTGACGGCCTTGTGAAGAGGTTATTGGTGAGAGATCCGGCTGATGCATTCGAAACCCAGCCCCAAACCCGAATTTTCGCCCATCCCAAATCAACCATTACGCGCAAAAATGGAAGCTGCCTTCATAAGTCCATTCTTACTTGGATACAATTATTCTGTTCGTTACCAATGCAAACTTGCAGTCGACGTCTCACTGGAATGAAGCCGGCATATGATGCAGTGCTTGTCTTGTCTACTCCTTCGTTCGGCTCGAGCCATCTGAGGATCCTGTCTTATCTCATTATTTAGAAATTGTGAGCGCATATACTTACTTTCTATGTCCATATTTGAAACAATATACAAGGAGCAAGTAATTTTGCTCCAGCATCATCCATTTGACTACATAACCAACTTTCCTTCAGTCGTCATATCTGTGTTTTCCGTTCCTTACCTTAAGGTCAAATGGTACTACAGTGAAGACTTAAGCAGACTAATGCGATTTGCAATTCCTCATGTGCCGCAAGAGATACTGTCGTGTGGCAAAAGTACGAACACGACCGTTTCTTGCGCAAGCCTCACAAGGGCATTGGAACTGAGGCTTGTGCACCACGAAATGATGGTAAGTAAGGCCTTCCAAAGCAGAGTAGCTGGCTTCACAAGGCTGTCCGTTAGGTGCCCTGAACAAGCAGATGTACCTCCCTTTGTTGGTGACTGAATACTGATAACGACCACTACGCCCGAACTGGCCCTTCACGGTACGTAGCTGAGCCTGAGGGCTGAAGGGCGTCGGTGAGGTCTGGTCCTGCTGTGGAGCCCGGCGTACGCGGATCATCCCTGGCGGCAGGGGGCGTGGTTGCTGAATCACAAGGGGGATGCGTCGGCAGAGAATGTCTGACTTGGTAGCTCGGCGCCGGGTGGTGTTCCCCCCGGCACAACTTGATCATGTTGATGGCCAGGTGCACCGAAGCTTACATCTCTCTTACCCTGACTCTCTCCTTCCGCATCACCACATCCCACCGCCAGCTGGGACCTGGATCGATCCGTTGTGCAGCGGGCGCGTTCCAGGTAATTGGAATTAGAATCGGAAAACATGCTTGCTATAGATACCAGAAAGAATTACAGTAGGAGTTTGACCAGTCGTCCTCTCAACCTCAAAAAGTTGAAATACACATCGCGGGAGAAAGGGCAGTGTGTCTTATTAAATCGTTTGTGATGGTGCATGGAGACAATGGATTAACGAGGAAGTTGTCAGCTGATAAGCAGAATGTTCCGAGGAGGATGGGTCTTATTTCGTTATTCGCAAACAACAGGGCAGGAAATATCCACTATGCTCGGGTATTATCTATTAATATGTGAGCTCTGTACATAATGGGGACTACACTCTTTGTATGTTCTACGGTCATTGACGACCGATCATACAACATGACCGGCTGTACACAGAGTCGGTCTGAAAGTGCTGTACGTCCTCTTCGGGATCGGTTAATGGTCTATTGAGATAGTCTTCGATATCATCAACCCTGTCTGTTAGAGATGGTATTCAGCTGCAAAGGCACTATACAGTACATTATCACCCGTAGTAAGCTTTCCTCTTAGTTTGGATGCACGGTTCTAGCGTCTATTATCGGCTGCCCCCCAACCATGACGTACTTTGTGACTCTGTTGAGAGTGGAATAGTATCGTGGCCCAAGCACGTTGTACAGTCGAAAGCATAATGGCATCGTCCGCACGATCAGAGAATTCAATTGTTTCCACCTATGCGCCGAATCCATGGGAAGAAAACGGGAGCGGATCGGAGGGAATTCTCCACTTTTCTGGTGGGCATCTCGGGAAGATCGGATGGTTCCTTGAATTGGGCTGCAGACCCAGATCGGTAGTGATCGACCCTAGCCTGGTGGGGACTCTGTGTTATATCGTCAACTCAACGAATCAAAGCTGATCCTGGCGATTTTGATGTCTATTATTGCCCAATTTAGAAGAGACATTCCGTCCCGAGTCTTTGGATGCGCCGGATAAGACGATGCGATTGGATAATCTTTCTAGAGGAGACAGAGACTATTGATCTGCCGCAAATCCTTGCTTGTGTGACTTTTCTTCCAACAACATGACAGACTCATTTTAAAAGCAAAATGAGTGGCCACGCGTCCCTACCGGAAATCAATTCCCACTCCTCAGCTTTTCTCATTTGACTCAGGACCTCAGTCTACTTGTCCTTCGACCAATTAGATCCAGTATGGCGCTTTATAGCCTTGCCTACGTGCTAGCAGTAATCTGGACGCTAGCACACGCTGATACCACCCATACAGAGATGGTATTTCATGCACACAACCTATTATTCAATGACCCGCTTGAGCTAACGAGTTTACCATGCGCTAGTCAGCCAATTCACCATACTGACCGCTACCCCCCGGTTTTGACTGACATGGAGAAAGCCCTAACTTATCGTTTTCGAACAGCAACACCACCCAGCCACTAGCCGCCCATCTAGATCCCCACCGACCAGCTCCCTCACTCCCCCTCGAAGATCTCTTCCGAGCCTCCTATAACGATATTGAATACCTAAAAATCTACCTCAGCGACGACCCCACAGCCCACCACCACCACCATCTCCTCCCCCTCACGCTGATCCCAAGAATCGAAGCGTTCCAAGTAGACATCACCAATCGCTACACCGAAATCTTCAAGCACGCCTTCCCGCACCGCGCCAATGAGCCATTCGGTCTCGCTCTCTACCAAGCAGAAGCCACCTGGACGAACGTCACTCGCCTCTTACGACTCCTCGATACCGCCAACTGGGACCTCGTGCGCTGGGCTCGCACAGCCGCCCTCTTAGACCTCGGCAAGCCAGACCTACGCCGCCGAGCCGTTGCGCGCGGGGAAGAGCTCTGGCAGCACCGCTACACGGAAATCAAAACGTGCATCGACGCGGTGCTCTCCCGATTCGACTACAAGGGCCAGCCGCTGGCGTACGTCGGGAGTCTCAACCATGGCATCCGCGGCGCCCACAAGGGCCACACGGCCATCAACTTCAATGACTTCGACGTGGATTTGTTTGTTGTGCATGCCGAGGAGTGGCGGCACCACTTACCTGCAATCCGTGCGAATTTTCCGGCGCATTTCAGCAACGAGAAGATATTCCCGGTGGGAACGCATCTGCGCGAGTTGCAGGCGTTGGGGGAGGCGGTGGGGAGGGCGCTGGCGGTGGAGCTGAGGGTCAAGGTGAGGGATGCGGGGAGATTTGTGGGAGAGACGGAGATTGTTTTGAGGGAGGTGGATCGGTGGTAGCTTCGTTTATGTGAAGTGAAGCCGTGTCTCAAAAACTATGGCACGGTGCTAAATATTCTTACAGTAATAAATGTATCAGTATGTTACAGCTTGTTATGTCAATCAATATGATAGAGATCATTGTCAGAGATCTTGTGTTAGATCTTAGAGGTAGATGCACGGCTTAATACCGCCACAGAGTTAGATAAGTTGAAGTTGACCAAAATGAATTCAAGTGGTATTATTTTTGGACCAAGTAAACTGCGTTAAAGCCTCTGTACCCACTTAACCCGTAGCGCATATCGATTTGCACACCGTGGACCGCTCCACCATCTGAGATGAGATACCTGTCGGCAACGTGGACCATAGGTGGTGAATGCACTTTTCGTCTCATGATTAGCATTGCCCTTGACTTACCTTGGCTCTTCTTCGAGAAATCTTACAGCCCACACATGACTGATGCCCTGTTTTCCCCTGTGATTTACTGGTACACCCCCTGACTCACCGCTTCGATCGCGACTGTCCTGACCCCGACTAAAGGATAACCCAGAACATAGCGAAAACTGCCCTAGTGCTATCAATGGAATGCCTTCCAGAGAATGTGATGAAGCCAAGCCATCCTACCACGATGACTCGTCAAAGCGTGTTGCCTAGGTACTGTGGCATTTTGGGTTGCGTGTTAATGCTGGCTATGCAAACGATGGATGTTGATATAGACGGAGGAATAGTGCTATACCTCGAAGTAATCCACAAACAGCGGCTCAGGGAGCGTGTAGTCGACTCCGCCGGGGTAGGGTCATTGCTGAACAAAAAGGAGAATTGTTGCCGTTTTCGTACAACTAGTCTGTTCTATTTCTAGTCCAAAGTAGCAGATGATGAAGGAAATGGTCGCAAATGCAAAGCTAGGACAATCTATCCTCACTCCATGATGCTTCTTTCCAGATCTATTCAATGATACAATTGTCTTGGGGCAGCAGAAACGGCTATGATCTATGCTAAACAAAAGCCCGGTATGACACGATGCATGTCTAGATCCCCTTTCGCCTCCTATCGATTTCGCTGAGCTTTTTGAATGCGCGCGTGATTTCCACGACACTCTGGCATGCGTAGTCTGCCATAGATTAGCAACGAATCAAAACATTTGCATCGGGAAGGAGTGGGGCAAATACGAACAAGAGCCCATAGCAATCCAGATAAAGTTCATGAAAAAGTAGTAAAACCAGAAGTAGTAGCCCTCGGGTCTGCAGAACTCAATGCCATGGACATAGAGGTCATATATGCTTGTAGCATAATACAGAACGTCACCGTAGAGCTGTCCCAACGACAGAATAAGCTGCAAGGAATAGCGAGCAGGATGCTGGACGGCGACGCAGTAAGCGATAAAGAACGCGAGAGGTCCCCAGCAGAACTATACGAGTTATCAGAACTGTGAGCTTGTTGGCTTGATTTGTGAAAAAATCCAAACTCACGGCAGTAACGGCCTCCATAGAAAGAAGGAAAGCATCAGAAGTCAGATACCGTGAATCCGACAGAGAATACTCCTTCCAGAGCTGGCCGAACAGATCCTGCGATCCAGCGAGGGTTCTATGGTAGACGACAAAATATGTTTCGAAGAAAAAATGGATGAATCCCGCTGGATAAAATGGCCACTTTTAGCATGTTGGTTAAATGCATGGTTTTGAGGATTGTCAAGGCAAGCAGTCATACGTACTCAAGCACATCCAGACAAATGCCGACTGGTCTGATTTACTCGCTGTAGGCCGCGAGCGGCGAATGGTGACAAGAGCTGCTCCAAGCACGGCTACCCACAGAAAGCCAAATTGGGCAATCAGTGACAGGACTGGAGTATTGTTGCTTGCATAGTGCGGCAGATGTATGGTTGTAGGGTGATAATGATGAGTGATGGATGCGGTTAGATTGGCCATTTTGGGTTAAGCTTGTTTGTTTATGCAGATTGGGTTGTAATTAAGCTTATTGCGATTGGAAGCCAACACTTCCGTCGGCAGGTCTTATACGATCATATCTGATAGAACCCTGAGATCGATCGGCTCAAGCCCGGATCCCGCGGAGTCCGCGGAGTCTGCTAAGAGATTCGGATCTTCAGCCTGCCACATCAGGCCACCTTTGATATTGTTCAAGAAAGCTAATCGAACATGAGATCAAACTAGTTGGTTAAAGACGCAAGAGGGTCGGAATTACCTTGATTGGGAATAAAATATATATCGAATATTACCATCTACCGAAGGTTGTTATATCAGACTACCAGTGATTATTTCTGATTAATGTGCATCCGTCATGTAAAGCATCCTAAGTCGGCAACTCACTTGAAACGTAGCGAAGCTACAAAATTCACATCCAATCATTTATGAATCTGATTCTTGTACACTGTATCTATTCACTCTGCGACTAGATCAGCTTACTATACTGTTATACCATCAGCTAAGGTGACATCCGAAAAAGCTGGCTTCCTAGAGGAGAACAAACATGATGTTACTGCCGGGGCAAGAAAAATGTGCAGTTATACCGGCAGTGAGCGAAATCATAACCTCAGAATCCAGATTAAGAAAGAATATCATCTTACATGTCATAAAGGAGCCGTGTAAAGTTGACTCCCCGCATAAAGCTCGGGCCACCCGTTAAGGGGGCTAATTTCCCCCCTTTCGGAAAAGCCGCTCCATGCATGATTAAATATTCTCCTCAACAATGTCCACCATAATCCCCTGGATTCGCAACCTCTTTGGAGACGGGACCAGCCTCACGCGTCCCTTGACTAAGGTAGCCATCATCGGCCTTACAGAAGCCGGTCAACGAGCTCTGCTTGAGCGTCTCAGCGACACGCCCATTTCCCCAGTGACGATAAACGGCTGCCATGCGGCCTGGCAGGGCAGCAGTAAGACACTTGGACTTGCGCTCAACGCTGTAGAAGTGGGAATAGATGGATTTCGCAACTGGCGGGTCTCTGTTGCGTCGTTGTACACGGACGCGGATGCCCTGATCGTCGTGGTCAACATTCTCCACTCAATTCGTCTGGAGGAGCTACGATGCGAACTTGACTCTATAGTCAACGGAAGATGGGAACGTGGAGAGATCCAGACTTACTATATCGCCAGGAAGGGTATTCCGTGGCTTGTGCTTGCGAACTTTGAAGATCAAATGGTGGTAAGCAGTTGCTTGACACTCATTATGAGACATGTATTCGGTGTATTTTCACGATGTGCTTATGGGTGTACTTGCAGGACGAAGAGAGGGCAAAAGAACAGGTTGCCTCGCTGGGTCTAGATGGAATGGATCTTGATTGGGTGGGACCCCTTCTCTTTCTGCCTTTCTCTGCTCCACTCAACTGATCGCACTGCAGTCACTTCACCCCATCTCGACGGCCACTGGACAGGGTGTCGCGGAGTCTATTCAGTGTTTGACGCAGACCCTCGAGTTGAATGTGAAAAGCACAAAGCCGTGATAAGGATGGTTGTCAGCGGTCAGCAGACCGCCCATCAAGTTGCCTCCAATGTCTGGGTCACATTGTGCCACTGGGCAGGCATGAATATCAATTGGTGGTCCAAGATCGGACTATTACAGCTTGTATGTTCTTGATATGCATTTCCCTTTAGGTCTAGATGACGATACCACGAGCGAACTCATAACCCAGAATATGGGATCTATCCATACTAGCATCCATAGAGGCTATGCGTCAGAGGGACTGGCTATGATCTTCGTTTCATGCTCGCCGCCAAGAATATCAAGGTTCAAGGCTCGCTGTCTTTGTCTAGTTGGATTTCTCAGGTGCCTCTTAGATTTCGATTTCTTACTCCGTTGAGAAAGAAAACCAGGCGATGAACAAAATGATGCAATCAACTCACCGCTTTACTGCGTCTTGGCTAATATGGAACCACTATAGAAGCTGTAGGCTCACATTACGGAGAGTATGTCGTTTGCACACTGATTTTATGGGGCTTGTCACTCTGCGATAAGAGGTACTGTGTAGATAACTGTGAAACAACTTCGAAGCAAAGTTTAGGCAAGTGGAATCTTGGATGACTGTATCTTCGAATGAACCACCAGGTTTCTGTCAAAGCTCCAGTGGGTGCTGAAGACAGCCCGACGTAAGTTTGAGACACTTACGTTGACCTTCTGAACTAGAACGATATCGGCATCCAAAACCCTCAGCCAGGGGGAAAAAAAGACAAAGCATAACAAAACCCCCGATGATAGCATACTGACTAATGAATAGAGGCACTGTCAATCTAGGAACACCACGTTTGCGATGCACAATCTTATTTCAACAGCTGGATCTTGTTGGTACGTTTCCCTCAACTATTTGCAATGAAAGCCATCATCCCTTCATCTGCTTTGACCATATTTACGGATTTCGGTAGTTCCACGAGAGATACGTTAAATTGCATCTTCTCCTTTTCCTCAATTTAACTAAATCTTACAACGAAACATATCCATCATTGAACAAGCGACTAAGGCCGGCTGGACACAGCGTCAATAGATTGTGGCATCTGCCCATTAGCCCTACCTTATACATACATATATTGAGCTCTCGGGTTCGCGGGGTCGAATGCCAAGGCTGGTCTGCATGAGTGTGGCGGACATGACGTTTCGCGGGCCACCGGGACCGCGGAGCCGCGGCCCCGAATATAAAGTCGATGGCTGCAGCACTTACGCAATCCTGCCCAGACCATCAAACCATATCGTAATTTGTCATGTCATCATTTGGTGCTGAAGAAGACGATCCAAGTAAGGCGACAGCGACTTGCATTGTTGCCGAGAGCAGTAAGACTTCTTCATGTCATATATCGTGTCCAGTCTGCATGGCTAACATGGTTGGCGGGGCATAGTGCGAGGGATGTAAGATACGCAAGGTAGGAGCTTCCTCACGATCCGATAGACCTTCAGAAGGTTACGCTTGCTAAGTTGGACCGTCTAAGATCCGCTGCAACCGCACTATACCCTGTGGAAATTGTCGAGCAACAAGTATCACATGTCGCCGTCCGAGAGACCGGTCACGGACTGAGAGACAGGCCGATAAGATAGCGACTCTGTATGTACAGTACTCTATTATCCTATGTGCCACTCGAGTTTGTGCTCACAGCTCCTAGTGAAGCCCTGATTGGACGGCTTTATGAACGTTATCATGATGTTGACAATAGGCTTGTTGCCCTGGAACTCAAACAGTTCGCGGTGGTCGAACCAGAGCCGGATCAGCATCACTCATCGGTCACCTCGGGGCTAGTCTTCGGCGAGTCTTCCTTGACGACTCAGTCGCTTCAAGGAACAGATAGTGCCCAGATTGCAGCACAATCTGCCCCAACAGGTGGTGATCCGGCTGTGCAGCATGCATTTGAGCATCTACGCAGGTCTCTCGATGGCTCTCACGGCTTGTCTAGACAAAACTTCTATTTTAGCAAGTCGGGTTCGCGTTCAACACTGCCGGTCGAGCGTCTTCCAGCTACGTTCGTGAACGCCGTCTTACAAAGAATGAAAGGTATGCTGAAACTTCCGCTTGAGAGCTAGTGACGCAGTCGAAATGTCATAAATAACCCTCGAATCCCCAGTTCGTCGTCCGATCTTTCTCACCTCGTATGCCCTGAATGACCTACTACTCTTTGAGGATCTGTGCCAAAAAGTATATTCTCCAACAAGCCAGTCATCAGCTGGTCAGATCGCCAGCACACATGGAGTCCTAATCTTTGTTCTGAAAGAGTATATCGCAATTAACGATGAGCTCCGTGAGCGGTTCGACCTGGCCACCCACCTCGCTCATTGCGAGGAGATCTTCGTCGCTGCGCTTGAGGCCTACGATGTCTTGCTTGTTCCCAGCTTTGAAAACATCCTTGCGTTGACGATGGGTGTAAGTCTTCTTCTGTTGTCTCTATTTGACCTTGAATCGGCATTCACAAGTGCGGGCAAGCTAACAGGCAAGCATAGATGATCAAGGCCCAAGGCGAAGCCAAACTCTCGCTCTACTGGACACTGGTCTCCGCCGCGGCAACCCAGTGCCAATCCCTCGGGTACCATCGCGAAGCGACCTACCGAAACATCCCATCGGGGCAGGCTGACAGCATTCGCCGGCTGTTCTGGACTCTCTACACTTTTGACAAGAACATCTCATTGTTGCTAGGCCGCGTCTCCAGTATGCAGGGTCTTGCCATCGACACGCGATATCCTGCGATTGCCACAGAGCGAGCGCTGCGACCGTGGGATGAATCATTCGTCATGGGGATTCGGCTGGCGGAGCTGCAGAATCGGGTATTCACAGGGCTTTACTCTCCCGCGACGGCGGTCATGGATTCGACCCAACGAGCTCGGTTGATCGATGATCTTGCGGCTGCGATGGAGCAGTGGCGGGTGGAGTTTAAGCAGGTGAGAGAAGCAAACACCCTTGAAGAGGTGAGACACTAACAATCCGTAGATCAACCCAGACGCCGCCAACCACCCCCCAGTTTTCCACCTATCCAGAGGCAACTGGGACATTTCTTTTTATTCAACGCTGACGCTGCTTTTCCGCGCGTCCTCAAGCACGGAGACAGGCCTGCACATCGACTCGCGGTGCTTTACTGCAGCTCGAAATAGCCTGCAGGCTCACCTCCAATGCTTCCCGCAGTATCAGGAATCACGCCTGCTATCGGACGGAGAGTATATCAACTGGTACGTATCTTACTGACTAGTCATGGCAATTGAGTCCAGCGCCGCCTTTGTGCTGATATTGCATCAGGATCCTCTTTTACTCATCCTTCAACCCCTTCCTCGTCACCTTCACGCCATCGCCGCCAAAGACCCAGACAGTGTTGCCCTACTGGCCCAGGTGGTCGACACGTTGAAGAACCTGCGCGACACGTCTTCCCAAGGCGCTGGCTCGCAGCGCCTGTACCAGATCTGTGCTACGTTCGCCCAGCTCGCTCAGAAGCTAGTGGAGTCAGTGCCCTCTGTATCCGTCGGGACATACAACCAGGAGGATGACTCGTTGCGATTGTCAGATGCCGGCGACCTCGCAGCATTCCCCTTTCAGCCTAACACACTCCAGGATTTGGTTGCAATAGACGATGTGAATCGCGTTACCTCGACTTATGCGACCGATTTCCTGAACGAGTGGATCACAGGGCAGCCTTTTCTGTGGAACCGATTCGACTTCGATTTTGGGGAAAAGCGATTCTAGAACACATGTCCCGAAGCAACAAAATTGCCTTTTGTGCGTACTGTGCATGAATCATCATCATCATAAGAAGAAGAAGGGCTTTAAGATAGCTTGTCACAAGTAACCAAAGCACATACCGTTCACTCCTCGCCTCAAAAGCTACACAGACCTTAGTACCGCGTAATAAACCCCCACATCTCATCCCCCTCCAAACCCTCCATAATATCCTCCTCCCGCAACATACTATAGTATAACCAAAACCTCCACTTCCCCACCCCCCGTTCCCCCCTCCGCCATGGCAACTACATAGAATCACCACCCCATCCGCCGACAAACAAGGAAGCCCCACCTCATACAGCCTCCCAATCCGCTTAGCTCGTTGAATTTCCTGATGACCTACTATATCATGTATGCTTATCCTGTATCCCCAGCTTATTACTATATTTCCTAGTCAGAAATTATTTTTGGTGGGGACTGTCGCTCACTTTGCCATGCATTAAGCACTTGTTCAAATGGTCAAGAAGGCGATGAACGTCGAGTGTTCAATGACTCTCAAGACATGCCTTGGCATAGGACATTTTGATCGTGTGCATCTGCCTCCGTTGCACATTTAGTGGTCAGTCAACGAGGACCCATCTTTCTCCTGCCCCGGAAGGATACAGCCGCAATATTGCACCTTCTATTCCAGTTGTATATGCTGGAAGATCATTGTCTTGCAAAGCATGTGTCCTCTTGCCTCTCGTTCATTTGCAGCAACTTCCTTTGATGAATGATGGGATTCATTCCTTCGTCCACTCCTTCTGTTGTGGGTTCGCTAATCTCCCGAGGCAAGAACACAATACCATGCACCCTTTATATCGTAGTTCGGCGACTGGTATTTACTATTAACAAAGATTTCATCGGATACTCCCATAGGTCTATCTGCTTAACTTACATCCTATCTGAAGAAATTCGCCTTTTGTCTCATCGAGAGCATTATTACCATGGCACAGCAATATAATTTTATCGCCCCTTCCGAAGAACTTCGTGCCGCCCCGGTGCCCATTGAGCGAGTTGATGACAACACCCCGGGCTTCGACATCTCCATGTGTTATCTCTGCTTCCAGGGTTCAAAGCCCCCCGAAGAAGGAGGCCGCTTCTTCCGCTGTGGAAGCATACTCTGCCGCAGCACTTTCCACGAAGGTTGCGTGGATGAGTTTCTCTGGAAACATTGGGATTTCTACAACGGCCCGCCCCCTTTCCGCTGCCCCAAGTGCCAGCGGCCGTGGGTGCATCAGGGCAGCCTCCTCGAGAAGATCTCCTCCACCCATCAGCTGAGCAGCGGCGGTGGGAAGATGCATGCCAGCGACCATAACCAGCCTCCGGATGCGTACTCTAGGCAGACTTCCTCTACCGTGCCAATGCCTCTGGCGAATTGGCAGCCAAGACCTACCAGACATTACCCCCCGCCTCCGAATGCGTACTCTGAGCAGACTACCCCTACCACGCTAGTGCCTACTACTGCGAATCCGCAGGAACGTCCCAGTCGCTTTGTTGAACCTCCGAAGGTGGGCAGCAAGCCAAGGTTCTGTCCGTTCTGTGTGAGGGAGTATACAGAGTCGGAGCCGTTGATGAGACATCTGCTATACGAGCATCTTTCCGAGCCGCGGGTCTGTATGCTTTGTAATACAGAGATGGGGTCATGGTCGTCCCTGCTTGATCATTGGACACTCGACATAATGATTGGAAGTTGGATGATGAGCTAGAGGCTGCATGACCATAGCATTGTGCTTCTATTTCTAACCTACTCTGTAGACTGATCTTATACTCAGATAGGTAACTCCGTGCTTACTTACATGCAAATTCGCCGCGCTTCCGTACGATCCCACACCCAGCAAGAACAACGAGGTAAGTCTGCCGGTACTGCTCAAAAATAGTAAATGATTTCGACCTCAATGGATTCTTATCCATCAAAATTATGATCGTTCTATCTGAGGCTTTGCCTAGCACCGATGCTGAACAAGTGTACCAAATCAAGCCCGAGCTGAAGTCAGTAAGTCACCCTCAGTCATAATCTTCTTATGGGAAGGGTGAATCGAGCATGCTAGCAACTTTCTCTTACAAGGTGCCTGGAGGATCGACTTGTCAGTAAAGATATAGTGGTTCTGTCTGCACCGTCCTAACTAACGAACAGATACAATACATGCATCAAAATACCTCGGACTCATCGATCCAGATACTAATAGTACTGCAGCAGCTCAGTACATACATCTGATTCCAAAGACCAAGTTACTACTTACTGAATATTGTTTTACACAACTTACTGTAATTCATCATCATACTCGTATTCATTTCCTATCGGAGAGTGATTATATAAGGACGGAGACTCCGCCACACCCCTTCTTCTCAACCAAGAAGAGCCCGGATTTCCCTCCCCGAGGGCAAATCCAGGCGCAAGGGGGCGTTCAATCCGCGCTCGAACGGCCGAATCACCGACTCAAGCACGCAAACCTCCAATACATGACCGTCGACCGTGAAAAAGGCGCCGCCGCGCATGACGACCGGTCGCTGCAGGTACCACGGGAGCATGGTGGCCTGGCGCGCGATGAGGAACCTGCGCTCCCAGGCGGGCATGCGCACCATCCCATGAAAATCGTCGCCCTTTTGCAGCGGCACGGTCTCCACCAGGTCCATGGCCCAGCGCGCCTCCTCGCATCCGATGGCGTGGACGCAGATCAAGTTCAGCCGCCAGCATGCGATGCTGAGCTCGCTGAGACAACCGGTCCCCGCGAAATGGCCGCGGATGACGTCCATCAGCGCGTCGCGGGCTTCGATGCGAGAGATCTGGTATCCCTTTTTGCCCGTCGTTTCGGGGAACGGTTGCTCGGGCTCTTTCAGGTCTTGCTTAGATCCATTCGGCTCTTGCTCAAACCACTTCTTGAGGCCCTGCTCCGAGTCTTGCAGTTCCAGCTGCTGCTGCTGTGCCTTGCGGGCGGCGGCTCGGCGTCTAGCCTTTTTTCCCGGGTGGCCCATCTCTCGGACGATTGACCAAGGAAACTCTTGGGCCAGTGTTGATCAGTCTACACTCGAAAGTGCTTCCCGATGTCGGGCGTTGAGTGAGGGAAGGAGACGAATCTGGGGGTGGGGTTCGAGTTCTCTTTATACCCTTTTTATCTGAAAGCTACCAGAGGCTTTTCTCTGTTCATTTGTCGGAGAGTGTCCTCAACTGTGACTTTTTGTGTCAGGTCTTCGTTTGTGTGAAGCGGCATCTTGCAGCAACATGTAAAGGAAGTCTGTGCTCAGCGAGAATGGCTTTATCGTGGAGTAGGTGATTTTCAGCAACTTGTCTTCGTCCACACATGTTCTGGTCTTCTTTGTTGGACATAGTTTAGTGATACGGTGTTCCTTGGAACCTCGCTGGACTTTGCTATTTTGACCGCTGATATGATAGATGGATAACGCAAATAGCTTCAACAGCCACAGTTCCTAGGAGACAAACTCGAGCGTACATTTATCGCGTCTTAGGGTTTACCGTGGATATACAGCATCGGTTGAATGAAGAAGTATACGAACTGGTTGAAGAAGAATTGAACAACCAAAGATAGGAGCCACGGTACTCAGTGAATCCAAAATAAGAATGACCTAGTATAAGTGCAGTATGCAGTACGTACTACCAGATGTTGATATTGCCCAAAAAAAAATCACCACTAATACGCTAATTATCCAACTCACAGCCCCCCCCCCCTCCCCCACCAAACCTCTCTATCCTGCCTCAGCTAATCTCCCAAACCAACCTCTGGCATCACACCTCACCTACAGTGAGGCAGCATGACTCTTCCCTCTTCCGCGCCATCACCCACATAAACTCCGCATCAAAATCCGGGTCATCCTCCGCCAACTTCCCATCCCCGGCCTTCAACACCTCGAGCTGCAGCACCTTAAACCCGACCTCCTCGAGCATCGCCCGATTCGCCTCCACCCCAAAACTACTCCAAAACATCCCATACCCGAAAAACTCCCCGTGGATCTCCTCCTCATCCAAGGTAGCCAGATTCAGCACAAACACCCCGCCGGGCTTCAACCACCCATGGATTTTCGTCAGCATGGCCTTGAGCTTCGCGCGCGGCAGGTGGAACAGCGCATAGAAGCTGATCACCCCATCGAAGCTCGCATCGTTGAACGTCAGCACCGTGGTCATGTCGCCCGCGATCAGCGTCGCGCCGGGGCACCGCGCCCGCGCCATCGCGATCTGCTGCGGCGAGATGTCGTTGGCGGTGACCTGCGCGCCGTGCTCGAGGAGCATCTGCACGATGGGTACCCCCGGCCCGCAGCCGAGTTCCAGGATGGACGGGGCCGACGGGTGCTGCTGCTGCTGCTGCTGCTGCTGGATGGTCGCGAGCAGTTGCTGCGTGTAGCGTTGGCGGGGGGAGTGCTGGCTCGTGACCCATTGGAGGTACCATTCGCCGATATGGTCGTAGGCGTGGGTGACGATAGATTCGGGGGTGTCGGTCATGATACTTCTGTCCTGGTATATATATATATATATATTTATATGCAATCCTTTTTTTTTTTTCGGTCGTTGTTGTTGTTGTTGTCAAAGGCAACGTCGGAGACGGTGTGAAATTGTGAAGAATTCCGAGAAAGGGTAACCGGCAGTGTCCCTGCAATGATATAGATATCGTGATAAAACTGACTGAATGGTATATAGTATGTGTGAATAAAGATATTGACTCGAGCTGTGGCTGGGCTGTTGTATACTACTTATCAAACATACGTTCCAATAACTAAGTGAAAAGGAAGAATAGTCAGGGTGTCGCGGGGTAATCTGCCGCACTTTCTTACACGCTAGCCCCAGGTTGAAATCAGCTGACGTTTGCGTATTCTTAGGGCAAAAGTCATTTTTGTCCATTGTTGTCGATTTTGATATGATTTAGGTACATAGTAGAGTTGTTCCTCATGTGGCGTGCGTCTGCGCAGGTATAGTCGGATTGGCCAAGTCAGGTTACAGTATGTCTGTCCCATCACCACCGAGTACTAACTGCTGAGGGCGGCGGAAAGCTAGATATAGACGATATATGGCTAGGAAAGTCATGATTCTTGAAGTAAGTAGTATCTTACGATGTTATACTTAACTAACCAAGAATGCTCACTTAAGCTGACCCTAATTGTCAGATAGACCAGGATTGGTGCCCTCATCTTCGTGGCTCAGTATGAGCTGTGTCTGAATTACATCATATCGGCGCACATCAAAGAACCCCCAAGGAACACGTCTGGGTGGCGCAATTGGTTAGCGCGTACGACTGTTAATCGTGAGGTTGAGAGTTCGAGCCTCTCCCTGGACGGCCTTCATTTTGCCTTTTTTGTTCGGCGGTCTGTGTCTGTCCTCAGCTGCGTTGGCGGTGAGGGACTCACATACATGTATGGTAAGGCGAAAATTGAATCTCTGCATCGATGGTGTACCTATCCTGCAATGCTCGCGTATTCAATATGTATAGTCATGATAAAGGGAGACAGATAGGGCGCATAGACCTCTGAGCAACCCATCCTACTTGTTTCTGGACTGTTTGAGGGCGGGAACTTGAACGATCTACCCGGCTTCGAACCCAGATTAAACCTCAGACCAATAACTCACATCACTGATCTCAAAAGGGATATGGGATATATTATGAAAGCATCAGAGATAGTGTACTGTATACAGAAGACTAATAACGAAAGAAAGGAAAAGAATGGCCAATTCTAAGCATATCTAAACAGTAACCCGAACCCGGTCTATCATTCCGTACACAAAACATTGACAAACAAATGAAAAAGAAGGACCAAAATAGTACTTTTGCCCAATGGGATGCATGCTGCTCACCCCAGTTCGTAGTAGCTTCTTCCTCGTTTCAGATGTCAGAAGCCACTAGAGCGAGAAGCGTGGGTAGTGCTTTTGATCATGTTGCCTGTGGTGGAGCAAGTTGACAGACACTATAGGACTTTACTCCACATCGAGTCGGGTAGTCATACAGAAGGCGTCACGGAGAAAGTGGGAGTGCGGAGAGGAAACGGATGGCGGTATTAAAAAAGAGCAAGTTCCTCGCTGCAAAAGATTCATAGGCGTAGCATGTCTGCTGATAGTGATACACTGGAATCCGCATGGTGTGTTAGCGGGCAAATTACTCCCGAGACACGTCACGGCCGAAAGCCTTGGCCTTGATCCAGTCGACAGCGACCAGGACACGGTTACGAGCTGGGGATGGGTCAGCATAGATCCACAAAACATTCAATCCGAAAGAAACTCACTGCTGAAGCACATGCTCAGGTACGCACTGCGCCAGAAGAGGTAGGTCATGGTACCACCACTGGCGATGTTGCCGCTCAGCCAGCTGATGTCGGCAACAGCACGCTCCTTCCCAATGTAAGCCAGACTTCCCTGGTGGGAGTACTGGAAGGGACCAATCTGCTTGGTTCTGCGCAGCTGCTTCTGGCGCTCACGGATCTCATCGAAGATCTGGTTGCGCTCCTCATCGTTCTTGGCCTGGGACTGGGCCTCAGACAGCTGCTTCAGCTCAGTCTCGATGTTCTCAGTCTTGGCCATGGTGTTGAACAGGCGGGCAAGGAAAGCACCCTCCTGACTGGCGACCTGGGCGGTAGGAGCGTAGTTGGTGATAGCGCAGTCACCGACAGCCCAAACGTTCTCAGCGCCGTTCACGACGAGGTACTCGTTGACGGCCAAACCACGGCGGGAGTTCTTCTGAGCGGGAAGCTGGCTCATCAAGTCGCGAACAACGGGGCGAACAGCGTTACCGGTGGCCCAAACCAGGAGGCCGTAAGGAATCTTCTCCAGAGTCTTGGTGCCGTCAGGGTTGGACACTTCGGCCTCGATGAACTTGTCGGTGACATTCTTGACCATAGTCTTGGCGCGGATGGTAATCTTCTCCTCCTTGAAGGTCGACTCGGTATAGTCAATCAGCTGCTTGGAGAACATGGGCAGAACGTTGGGAAGAGCCTCGACCAGGGTGACGCGGAAGTTCTCCTGGATCTCAGGGACCCACTTCTTCAAGTCCTCCTCGAAGAAGTCCTGCAGCTCACCGGCGAACTCAACACCCGTAGGGCCACCACCAACGACAACCATGTGCAACAGGCGCTTGACCTCCTCGGGGGTCTGATCCTTGAACATGGCGGTCTCGACGCAGTCCATGATGCGCTTGCGGATCTTCTGGGCATCGTCAACCTCCTTGAGGAAGCAGGAGTGCTCCTTCACACCCTTGATACCTGTTTGCACTTAGTCTCTGTTGCCATGCGCGACTTGAATGGGTTGACATACCGAAAGTAGCGTTCTCGGCACCGACACCGACGACGAGCATGTCGAAGGGCACCTCGGTGTGAGAGATCTCACCCTTGATCTCAGAATCATCGCTAATGTACACGACGCGCTTCTCGTAGTCGATCTTGGTAGCTTCGGCTTCGTAGAACTTCACGTGAGCCTTCTTTTGACGGAGGATGTTGCGGATGGGCTCCATGATAGAGCGGTGCTCAACCTGACCAGTCGTGCAGGAGGGCAGGAGAGGAGTGAAGAGGAAGTAGTTCCGGGGCGAAATGACGACGACATTGTAGTTCTCAGTGTCGAGCTTCTTCAACAAGGAGACGGAGCCCCATCCCGAACCTATAACACGAGATGCTTATTAGCTGATGGCTGCGAGCGGGATCGCATCACGCTCGAGAGCCGCTGAAGCACTCGAGTAGATTAGGAGCCATACCCAGGACAACCAAAGTCTTCTTGCTCGGATCGGGTTCAATCTGATCGACAGGGTGGCATGAGTCGTAGACACTGTAGGCCAGGTAACCAGTGAAACCCAAAGTGCTCAACCAGGTCAGGCGCCAGGTCCAGCGCAAGAAACCGAAGCGCTTCTTAGGCTTAGGAGCGGGCAATGCGGGTTGAGCAGCATCGGCATAGGCGCGACGGGTGGAGCGCTGGAATTGCTGCTGGGAGACTCTCAAGGGACGTGCGGACCGGAGAAGCTGGGGTCGCGTCGAAAGCGACCTGCGCGACAGCGACGACAGCTGCATAGCGGCAGATGGGGAAGCCATCTTGGACCGGATTGCCAGGGTACTTCCAACCATTGTCGCACCTCAGCCAAAAGGCAAAGGGAAGAAAGGAAGAGAAAGGGAGTGGAGAGGGGGGGTGGTTAGGTGGGTTGGGTTGAGTTTGAATGAAAGAGCAAGAGAGAGGAAGCGATTCCCAGGATGATGGATAACAGCCAGACAGACAAGAAGAGGCCCAAAAACGACTAGACTCGAAAAAAATTGGCAGAAAGCACGACTCACTGGGATGACTGATGCGATAAAGAGGTCAGCGATGGTTAAGCTGTTTTGGGCGAACCGGTGTGTCGGTCACAGGGAGCCTGTGGGAGGTTCTGCGAGAGGCCGAGAGGCTCGCAGGGCGGAAATTTCCTCGATCTGGCACTGAGTGGCTGGCCACCAGTCACCACCACCGCCAGTGCCACTGCCACCAGCTAAAAAAAATGTGGATTCCGAACCTTTCGGTCCGCGGTCCAAGGTTTTTCTTCCTCTATTCTATTTGCTATTTAATTTGACTTTATTTTTGGTTTGTTACCCTGGGCTCGTCTCCTTCCTCAATCAAATGGGATCTCATTCGAACCATTGACCGTTTCAACCATTTGGTTCATCGCTTTCTTTTTTATGTCGGTATGACTGGGACAGAAACAAAGAGAAAGAAAACAAAATTGGAGACGGTGTTGTGAGGGGGAAAAGGACTCAGTGAGGAGAAACTGCCCCCCCACCCCCCCCCCCCCAGTTGTGAGGGGGAAGTTCTCAAACGGGTCAAACCCGGAAAAGTGGGAAGTAAAACTTGAATCCATTGAAGACTTCTTTTCTTATCTTCATACCCTGGGTCCTTCTCATGCAGGACGGCAAGCGAAGGCAATGGATGTCCATTCCATCACCGATGTCGGTAGTCTGTGCTCCGTTCTGCATACTCCGGAGTATTACAACAGATACTTCATAGTAGTTATCTAAAATGATCTGATGATGAGTTCCTTATTCTCTCTTCCGCCGGCTAAGCGTATGGCTGTCGTCCTGATCGGGTAATTACCTGGACTGACTCTGGCAGGCTCTCCAGCTGACTCAGCTAATCACAATCCGCGGCATTGAAGTTCTCTCAGTCACGTGATATTACGCAGGCGCCTTGGTCGGTTCCGCTCAACGACTAGTATTAAGCTTTACTTTCATCCGAGGCAGGGAGCAGAGTGCGGAAAGATGGTGGTAGTTCATCTTTCACATATAATGAAGTTCAATCGCAGACATCTGCGTACAAACTATGATTGATAGCGGACCGCCTCATTCCGGATGGATAGCTCCTTGATGTCTGAGAAAACTTATGCACAACTGCACAGATGATCATGGGAGGCGGGCTGTGCGCGCTGTTCGGGACATTCCTCAACACAAAAAAGCAAAGATTGAGATCCTTCATCGATTGTTTCCGTCATCTTTGTCCACACTGTCAACATCTTCTTCGAACCTGTCAGTTACTTGAAGCCCGGACCCGGCGGCCATCAGCGGCTTGTACTTGGACATAGAGAAGTCCCACGCGACTAGATAAATGCCAGACTTCTCCGATGTAGCTTCCCGACCCAAAATCGTTTGGAAGTACAGAAGAACAAGCTGATCTAGTAGAAAATTCCTTGCAGAAGATCATGATGTAAGTGAGCGCGGGCAGTCTGTTTAAGCAAACAGGCGAAGAGGCATCGTGGGTTTTAGACACCAGCGATTACCCTGATACCTAAGGATTGTTATCATATCTGCGAATGTCAGGGACAGCGGAAGGATAGTGCGTCAGGACTTCCAGAAATGCGTTATTCCAGCTCATGTCAGAGATAGAATTATTACCAGACACTGACTGCTTTGAGATTTATCCACTGTGACCAATTCACACATGTCGGCCTCATCCCCTTCGCTTCACCTGCTCTCCAACCTCTCTTTCCCCTTACTTGCTCAGATGCACGACTCTATGACATCTAGTATAACGCTGCATGCACGATAGTGGTGACCCCAAGCAGGTATAAGCACATCTTTCCATGCAGTTCCAGACACCAAAGCACATGCCTCACCCCCATTCTCCGCGCCTCCCAAGAGGGTGTACTGGGCCGGGGTGGAACAGCATCATGATCTCTCCCACATGTCTGCCCGGTCAAGAGTTGGCGGGAGAGAGTGGCCCAGGATTGCAGGCGTGTAGTACATGCCATTGGGATAACTGTCAATCGCGAGCTATACGAGCAGAGGGTTTCGAGCTTTAATCGATTTTTTTTGACTCGTCCTCAAGCGACATTACATTGCACGCGGTGTTCCGCAAGAGTTGGCCAAATTGCTCCGATGGCCTAGTGGGTTGCTCGCGCAGGGACTTGTGAATGCATGACCCACTACATTTAAGCTAATACCAAGCTAATGCCAAACGATTGATGAGTAGCCCAGGCAGCAGCGCATACCACCTATGATCTTGAGGGACCAGTGCCTCTTCATGAATACAGCTGAACCCTAGTTCTGAATCATGGTGCGAGGTCATACTTACATATCCACTGAAGGAGAGAGATTGATGCGTCCTGAACGAGAGTGAGTTTAATTTTGTCCTCCCTTACCTCCACGCTCGTAAGGAGAGCTGATCCCTCTTCCTTTGACTACAGCAAACCGTCTCTATACTCAAATCCCCGTCAACGTCTGCGTCGCCCGCCACACCACTTACTTCCCCAAGGGCGCCGGCCCCACCGGCGAATCTTCCCTTCTCATTGCTAAAGGCACCGGAGTAGGCTTCTTAGCATATTATATGCGTCGCAGCAGGCAGATCTACGGTGAAGACGCGGACGAGTTCCGTTCGGAGCGGTGGGAAGGCCCCCGAGTTTGAGGAACATCGAACTCGCCTTTATGCCTTTTCTCGGGGGTCCGAGGACGTGCCTTGGAAGTAAGTATCTTCCTCTTCCCCAGTCCGATGAATTTAAGAAATGGATTTGCTGTTCCTTGCTGGGCTTCTGGAATAGAATAATTGACGATATTTGTGTCTGCTTGTAGAGAATCTTGCGCTCATCGAGGCATCTATCGGGCTGATCCGCCTCCTGCAGGCGTTTTTTAAACCTCCGCATGGCACCGGGTTCCGCGGACGTGCCGCCTGGAAGGGAAAAGCAGAACCCTTACACTTGCCGTATCGCGCGTGTGCTATCATCAGGGAGACAAATTGTGGATTAAGTTAGAGGACAATTTGACAACTGGCGGTCAAACTTGATCCCGACAAACATCTTTCTCCTAGCTATTCTCCTTTGTTGTCGAATGCAACTTATGCTAGTAATAGCTTTTCAAGTTTTGAGTTGCCCTGATTGCCATCATGACAAAGGATACAATTATGTACATATTGAAGAGCCGTAGCGGGCTCAGACTAAGAAACATCCCCCAAGCTCCAAAGCTCTCTAGTATCATGACCTGCGTTTTAAACAAGTTCCTGCATGACCCCCGAGAAACCGGTTAGATCGATTGTCTGATTGTAATTTTCCGCCCTGAGACGCGGAAGGGGGAAAGACCAAGCATAAGGTGATTTAGCTGTCGCTTCTTCAGGAGAGGGAAGGGAGGGAAATCGTCGGCCCCCACTGGCGCTAGAAGCACCAGCTGTTGCGATTATGTGCCGCTGTACTGTCGGAACCCTCCCGGCAGCGAGAGGCAAGTACTGCTGTACTTGGATGCTGTGGTTGGCTGGCTGGCTGGGTCAGACAGCTACGCAAAGCTGTCTTGTTCTCCAAGTCGCGCGATAGAGTTATTGATGAGGAACCGCTGCCTAAGGAGGGCTTAGAAAGAGCCAAGCCCCTCTTCAGTGTGACAGGTAGGGCTAGGCTAGTCAAAACCTGCTTATCGAACCTCAAGGCTCAGGAGAGTGGGTTCGGTTCGCGAGCTTTTCTTAGGCCTTGCTCGTGCATCTGCATCTACTGCTGGTGACGAAACTAGAGTAGACCATATGGCATTAGTGCGAGGGTCGATGGACAGCAGAAGGAGATATTGCTCTCGTCTTTCTCTTGCATCGGGTAATTATACAGCCAAGCATTGCGCCCGCTGTTGCTGGCTTGGTGTTGCTTTGGGGAAACCTTGCTCACATACAGTAGGCACGCCCTTTAGCTCGGTAGAGCGTGACGCTGGCGAGGACTATGGTTATCACTATGATGATCGCCGTCCAGATGTCGATGTCAAGAATTGAAACCATCATGAAGCATGGATGTGGGGACTGAGGATGCTTAGTAATCCATGCACTTTCGGGGTCATATGAAATCCTGAGATGTACATACAGTAGAAACAGTGCATTGAGTAGATCAGATGCCTTACTCCCTGTGGTAGATGCCGCAGAGTGTCTGCCTCTGCTGTCAAATGACGAGGAGAAGGATACTATCTCGTTATCTATCTGTCATAACTAGTGTCTGCATGCGGAGTATTTTAGTGTGATTGACTCGGCCGGGGACTGGATCTGACTATGTGGGTCACGTTACTCTAATCGGTGGATCCCTTGCCTTGTAGTTTCCCTGGGACTACCTTACTTCATAGCAACAGCAACCACAACAAGGACAATAAGATAAAGAGAAAGACGACTTACGAAGATCACGTGCTGAATGTTGATGTCGATATCCTGACTTGTTCCTGGATTCAGCGGAACAGCTTGAGCTCCCCCTCCACAAAAAGTCCCATGAGAAAAATAAACATCACTACTGTGCCCCCCTCCTACGTTGAGAGCAGTTCGTGCATCCACAGATTGCAACCTCTCAGCTAGTCTGGCTTGCATTCGTTGCACCTATTGATCATTGAGCGGATTCCACATTGCCCGGGGGGTCCCTGGACATATGCCTTCGACAATGGCTCCCGATGTGTCCCCTCCTCCAGAGAATGGCAACTCAGTCATACCTCTTCCACATTTCACGCCGCCATTTCCTAGCAAAGATGTCTCCGTAAGAAGAGTCAAACAGAAGCCTCATTGTCAAACGAAGAGTTTGGTCAGCTGGCTGCTCGATCATCAAATTGGTATGTGGTATCCGAGATCTGAGATTTGTCGTGTCCTGCAGTCCACCTCAGTCGCCAGAGGCCGGAGATGGGGAACTACCTCGTCGGGTCAGAAAGCGAGCGAGGTATCGAATCAAGGCTAAGAAGCATGCAAGGCAAGAGCGTTAACTAGTGAACAGAAATCTCATTCAACCTAATTGTCCTCATTATCCTAATCCACCTGTTCGTGCCTCGAGCACGTCAACACACATCCAAATTCTTCGCACCATCGCAATACAACCCTACCACAGAACAATATGCGATTGGCGATGGAGACCTATATTTTCTCAGCGTCTACGTGGTTCTCTTCACGGGATTCCGCGCGGGTGTCATGAAGCATGTCCTCGCGCCGCTAGCTACTCGCTGGGGGATTTCGAAACAGAAAGACATCACCCGATTCTCCGAACAAGCGTGGCTGCTGTGCTACTACTCCGTCTTCTGGACGCTTGGGCTGGTACGTTGCAACCATTCGAAATCGACTCCCTTATCCTAATATTCGCCTCAGTACATCTACAGCACCTCTAAATACTTCCTCAACCTCCGAGAGATGTTCACCGACTGGCCTACGCGCGACCTCCCGGGCCTTACCAAGGTCTACATCCTGGGCCAGTGGGCGTTCTGGCTGCAGCAGATCCTGGTCATTAACATCGAAGCCCGCCGCAAGGACCACTGGCAGATGCTGGCCCACCACCTGGTAACGGTGGTGCTGATCGCCACCTCCTACGCGTTACACCTCACTCGCGTCGCCAATCTGGTGCTCATTCTGATGGATGTTGTTGATATCTTCTTCCCTGTGCGTGTGCCCCAGTCAGCCTGACACTACTGTTCTTATAGCATGGAACCCCCGCCCCCTCCTCTCGGAACTCAACGCTTGTGCTAGAACTCACAAACGAACCAGCTGGCCAAATGCCTCAAATACCTCGGCTACACCACCGCGCGCGACATTCTTTTCGGTCTCTTCATGCTCTCGTGGTTCCTCGCCCGCCATGTCTGCTACTTGGCTACCATGTGGGCTATCTGGAAGTACATGCCCGAAACAATCGCCGAGGGGTGTTATTTCGGGTCCGACCCGCAAGGCTCTGTGACTGAACAGCAGCAGCAGCAACCTACAACCCCTCTCCCCATACACGGCTGGTCGCATATCTTCACTCCCTTCTACCACCCCACAGGCCCCATCTGCTACACCGATGCAATCCGCTGGGGCTTCTTAGGAGCATTGGGTTTCCTGCAGGTGCTGACGGTGCTGTGGTTTGTGCTGATCGTCAAGGTTGCGATCAGGGTTGTGAAGGGGATTGGCGCGGATGATATTCGGAGCGATGATGAGGGGGAGGAAGAAGAGGAGGGGGGCGTAGTGGTGGGGACGCATTGCGTGGAGCATGAGACGGATTTCGGACCGTCGCAGTCCTCGTCGCCAGGGTGGAAGCGCAGGACTGCTGGAAGCCGAAGAGCAGCCAACGCGTCGGGAGTTGTGAGCTTCGATCGCAAGGAATTGCTGAGTCGAATTGGGTGTGAGAAGCAGGTAGATTAGGCGCAGTGTCAGAGGCAGGTAGGCACCTGTGATCTGATTGATGTTTCTTATGACTTTTTGTGGTTTGGGTGGGAATCTGCTTTCATATCTTAAATTGGGTTGATTTGCCAATGGATCGTTTCCGGGTTCAGGTCAGGTCTTATGGCGTTATGGGATATATGGTTACTAAGGATATGATGTTGATCGGGTATGATGGATTTGAGGCTGCATGGAGTATGTACTATATCGACATGAGCAATCTATGACTCAGTTTTATATCCTTCTATCGTGTCCATCGTGCGATCTGCATTTTGATAGTCACCCAAAGGATAAACTCGTAGGAATTTATACGTGGGACTCTGGCTACGAATCCTTGACGAGCAGTTTCTGCCTCCCAAGATCAGATGCTCGCAACATCTTGACTTCCAGGCAAAACACCTACCACCATCTGCAGAACTGCCTGTCTACCGACATCGACTCTGCACATCAACAAGCAACCCGTCCATTCACTGACAGGTGTGGCCTATGGAGCATACGCCGCCTGATCATGGAACTCAGTTACTTTGTCCTAAATCGCCCCACGCCACCACTACTCAGTCCGCAAAACTTGTCTGATGTTTCTCCTCTCGTAACAACTTCATAAGGTGGCCTATGTGTACAGTACCACCAGCCAGACTTGCCTGTTATCCCCACGTCCAAGAAGCCGAGTCTTCCGATCGCGCAGCTCTGGTATCAATCCAGCATCAGAGACACATACCACTATCTCCCTCGACCCAGGATTCACGAGAGCACCCATAGCTATGGGTGCTAAAGAACCCAACAATAGTTCGCCGGCGAAGGAGAATTCTATTGCGTCACGCAAGACATTGACCTGGGCACTGCTCGAATTTACCATAGAGACATAATCTTGGTCCCATCTCATGGGTGATCTCCCATCCTCACACTATCAGCCCATAAGACTGGATGGATTATCGCTCAAACTGCCAGATCACTCGAAATATATATAGTTCTACGGACTGTTGATGGAGAGGGTCTTTCACACGGTAAAAGCCTGGCTATGGATAGGGAGAGGTAGGGAGCTAGCATTTCTTGTAATATAGTCTTCCAATTCTATCTATCTTCTGTGGCTGGGAAAGCAACTCGATTGTCCGGATTGAAATGCCATAACGTTAAGGACAGATGTCTATTTGTTGAATCTCTTCAAACTTCTGGTGTCAACTAAAGCAATCCTGTTGACGAGGTGCAGTATAGAGAGGTGAATCGGGATTAGGACTGCTGAATGAATCGACGGCGCTGTAGGGGAATGGATTAATTAAGTGCTTCCTCTGGTAGGTGGTATATCTGTCTCCATGGTTCGATAGTTGCGCTATAATACACTATTTCTGAGCTACTAGTTACCACTGTCTTATTCTTGCGGATCATGGACTCATCTTCTCGGTTCTCTAGGCCAATATATAACTTGAAGTCGGCTCGATTGATACTCATGCACTTCTGCATCGGTTTCCTTGAGCGACCTGGGCTACACTGCGGGGACTTTTACTTCGGAGTCATCTATATATAGGCAGTGGAAGAGTACATATAATGGGTACAAACGATATTCCCCAAGTACATTGAATTGTGATCTCGAATCCCACACACAAGAGTGATCTGGAAAGAGACAGAGTTGACAGACAACAACCTGTTCACTATCTATGTATACCTCAGTCTCATCCACCGTATCCCCAACTGCAAAGCATAGCAAAGCCAACCACCAGTGCTGCCTACAGAGGAGCAACCACTAACTCGTACGTAAGACAAGCTCGCAACAGCCGACCAATGCGTCAGATCGCAGCCTGGAATCACTTCACAAAATGAACTGCAGACCAGTTCGACCTTGCGTGTACAGTACATAACTACCACCTACTTACCCCTACTCGACTTACCCTACGTACTTCAGTCACAAGTTTACCCTCTTCTGGTTTTCGGTGACATCTCGGTTCTCCCCGCCCCAAAATAACCGCATTGTGCAGCGTGCATAGGCCATAGACAATGTTCGAGCTTCTTTCCTTTTTCCCCGTAAGGCGGCGAGAAGGCATGCTTCTGAATACCGAGGTAAAACTCCCCAGATGCAGTTACTGACCTTTGCTCAAAAGGAAATTCCTGCTTCACATCTAACCTACCTGAGAAGCAAGAGCAACAGCCAGCAACAGCCGCGCAGCAGTGGCGAGACCCCAAGCTCCGCGGACGCTTAAGGATGTATAGTACTTCCGTCGCAGCCGCATATACGAAGTGTTGTTAAGAGATTGGGCGGCGCGGCCGGCCGGGTCGACGAGCGAAATGCCTTCCTGGCAGGAAAGAAAAAGTCGGTCGGCATGCCTTTCTTCGAGAACAAGATGGGTAACTTAGAAGAGATTGTTAACCCAGCGCAGGAATCTGCTTGGGTCTAAACGCCATCCATCCAGTCTTCAATGTGCTCCGTAAGCAGCTGATAGACTTGGAATTATGTACGGATATAGTCTGGCCGCGTACGAGAGGAGGATGACGACAAACAAAGCCAGCCAGCCCACCCCTGAACTTGACGAGCGGCAAGCTAGCTAGCTAACTAGCAACGCCAGCAAGCAGATGCACAAATTCTGGTTCAAGCTGCGGGCAGACAGATGGGGGTAGGGGGATGGAGGGGACTGATGGTGAGACATGATGTGTCGGAAGTTGTTGATAATACGGAGTACGCCGTACGTGGGATGTCTGTTTCTTTGTTTGTTTGCTTTGTCTGCTGTTGATCGCTGCGTGGAGATGTAATCTATCAATTCATTTTTGGGGAGGGGGAGGGACAAAAGTGGTAGTTGTAGTTGTACTTGTGTCTGTACCTGTACCTTGTACCTGTACCTGTGCAGTGCAGTGAACCAGCTGGCTGTCCTTCCTGTTTGTTGTCCCATCTACCGGGCCCGACTTATCTGGAACATGAGCCATGCAGCCGGCCAAGTGGGTTCAAAAGATGAAATTTGAGCATCAGAACGAGCAAAAGAAAATCTCAACCCAGCCCAACAAATAGGGAAAGGATAAGGAAAAACCTCAGTCGAATATTCACGAAAAGAAAAAGCAAAAAGAGAAAGCCGAGGGGGGTTGGGTTGATTCTTGCCCGGACGGATGTTGAGATCAGGCCCGAGCTTGAGGAAACTTTGGTTCTTGGTTGGTCATCTCATGATCTCTGGCTGCTGTTCCAGTCTCGCTCATGCATTGCGTTGCGTTGAGAAATGGTCGTTCGTTCGTGCGGCTTTGCAAATCTCGGGATTGCCTGAATCATCTTGTCTTGCCTGAACTCAACATATTTGTTCCTTTTAAGAGAAGTGATAGGATGATGGGTGGTGGGCAAGATTGTATCTGTATGACGCCAGACAAACACACGGAGAGATAGAGAGTGGAAGCTCACTTGATAGTTACTAGCTTCGCGTCCAACAGCCATCCAACAGGGACTAGGTTACTTATCGACCTACTCCATCAACTCCCCATCTACGATACCCGGATTGACGATAGAAATACCGAGTGAAGTGAATCACACTGCCAGTGAGTTTAGAACCAAACCACCGGAACATCAATGCCCTTGTTTCCTATTCCCCTCCCTAGCCATACCACTGGATCACATCACCCCAATCAAAAAGGCTATGATTGGTGCAGTAAGTACCTAAGCAACCGCGTTGTCACTCCCTACCTACCCATACGATGTTATTGTTGCTGGGGATGTTACTGTATGTACAATATTGACCAGCTCACTAAACAAACAAATAACACCAATATCTCAAATCGAAAACGACGATCTTCCCCATCCCTTATCTCATTGCGGATTTGCATAATATTCGAGGTATGATCCCACGGGGTCCGCAACCTCTGCTGCTCCCTTGTATGACTTGATGATCCCCTCGAGTCTAGGGAGGACAAGGGAGGGTGGGGGATGAATTGGGTTCGTTACAGCCCAGCCCTGGCGGAGTACTCCGTGCGGTTTCTCTCCAGTATCGATTGCTCACCCCGCGCCAACTGGCACAACCTTGTCCATGGGTACCTAGTTGGTCATAATGGTGTGTTGTGTATGAGATGCTGGCTTGCAAGTAGTAGACTCTGTATACACGATGGGGAGCTCAACAACGAGCGTTTGAACCAGGAATTACGTTATCAACTTAGCAAAGTCACATATACAGATCATAGTTACCTGATTCCTGGCCCTCAAAGCGCCGCCAAGCCACAGGAATGGAAAGATGTTTTGTTTACCTTACCTTTCCCCTTCCCACCAGACAACCAAAGGACCTGGGATCAATCCGCCTATCAACCCGTAAGGACATCTGTACTGTGTACATCCCATGGAATGCACACGGCATTGACCATCCAGATGATAACTTATATCAGAGTGCCGTAACGAGTTTGGTGGGGGGGGGGGCAGGCGGGAAGCACAGGGACGCAAAACCTACCTCCCTCCCCTCACGCAGCAGAGTAAAATCTACGTTAACCACCGAACTTCACAAGCTGCACCGCCACGCCTCTTCTATCTCTGTTCTGTTCCTTGCGTATGAACAAAACAGTTGATAAATCCGCGCCCTTCCATCTTTGATACTGAACCCCTCGGTAATGCGATCATCGTGACCGTGCGCACCGATAAGAAGACGGGACGAGGAAAGGAAGGGGGAGATGGGGCAACCGATAGCTGGGGATGACATGGACCCTCCCCGTGCTCCTGCTCTCAAGGTTTCGATTCTAGATTCCTATACTCCGTATGCTAGGGCGCGATGCTCTACATGTCTTCTCGGTTGAGTGAGGCTTTCCCAGTGATCTCTCAGGTAGGCCTGCCTGCCCTTGCCGACCGGATAGATATGAGTACGGTAGTTCCATACCAACACACAAGTGTATCTGCGACGACGACGACAACAACAACAACATCATCATCATGATCCAAGTATTTTGAAGCACAAAAGGCAGCGTCAAATACTACAGAGAAGACGTAGCCAAGTCACACAGGCACAGGCGGGAGGAGCATCGACCGGTGACCGCTGCGTCGATCTAGCTTACCACTGAGAGCGAAGAGTCAGCGAAGAGAGAGACAGGAATAAAAGAGTAGTAAGTTAAAAGGGTGCACCGAGTGAGATGACCGTCAAATGCCTACTCCGTACAGGAGTACTAGAGGTACAAATCTCATGCTGTGACGGCAAACGTCCCACCTGCTTCGCCTTCTTCGCCTTCGGTCGCACGTGAGATACAACACATTTACTCCCTAGAGACAGGAAAGAGGGGTGGAGAGAGAGAGCATATGCTGTCAGTAGGGGTTCGTGAACAATAACTGCTCAGTTTGTCCACCGGGCTGGCTCGAGGATTAGGCTACACGGTTATGTTCGTGGTATGACAGGGCTTTGGATGATGACTGCTCGAGGGGTTCACCAGCTGTTTTCCACAAAAACCATCTAACTGATCATCTCCGTGCGGATTGCCTGCTTGAACGTCCTCTGAATCACGGAGTGGAACTATACTTAGTTGGTGGGTTATATACTTAGTAGGTTACTTCGTACTTGGCTCGTCTGTTCCAAGGCGGAGGAGCAGGTTTAGTTATACTCCGTAGTTAACGGGGTTTTCCTTCCCCTGCGGTCGGTAAAAACCAGTTGGAACCGCAGTCATGTGATACCGATTGATTGAAGCATATGCGCGCGAGCTGATTTGAAGTATCCAAGGGACTAAGTTAGTGTCGCGTCGAGCAAGGTAGGTAGAGGTAACGCTTCGCTCATTTGCTGCTGAGGGACATAGAATACCGAGGCAGCAGGTAGCAAGAGTTAGCAAGAAACGGCCACTCAATCCACGCTAGTCGAGTGCGACGAATACATGAACGTTCGACTGAAAACCTTTTCCGATCCACCGCAAAGGTACACAGTAATCCACTGTCTTCTCTAAGTTATACATCCTAGGACCATTATGGACGAGACAAATCCATAAAAAGCATTGCGCGACTAGCCAACTTGATGGCGGTGACAATGCCGAAAAGGAAATCGTAAGACGAGGCCAGTGCCGCAACCGGATCTGATTCTGGGTCTGGCTTGGTGTGGCAAGCCAACGTCTCTAGCTAATGATTGGGTCTTCGAGTGATTACAAGCTGCATCCGCCAAGGTAGCTGAAGGGGACCAGCTTGTTGCGTGAGCAATGAAATCAAGGATGGGCTTGATTCATTCCTACGTGGAATCATGGTTAATCTCACTCAAGGTGCTTGGTCCTCAGCCATTGCGCGTAGCGTAGATTAACCGCAGGAGCAATCAAGTCTGGACGAGATTCCTTGCTAGACGAAAACCGGCGAACCTGGATCAGTCAGGTTCTTATTGACGAGGTCTGGGCGGACAGGGTTAATGGTTGGAGCCAGAATGAAGGAGCCGGTCAGCAATCATTGACCGGGAGATCTGGCGAAAAGGCTAGATCGGCATGCTCGGAAGCAAGAGAAATGAGTTCAACCGGCACAGGCAGTGAAAGGCCTGAAAGATGAATAGATGAGCAAAGAAAAGCTTGTGGCAGAGTCGTTGGTCAGTAACACCGAGGAGAAGCGAGCAACAATCCAATATCCAGCTACACGCAATCACCGGACAGGACGGAAGTCTAGTTAGGGATACCATACGGAAAGACAGCAGCAGACAAAAAACCAACCACATGCCTCGTGGAGACAGAACAGGTCGCGTCTTGCGATCGTTGCATACACAGGCGGTTACCATCTCACCTAGACCGGTGGTCTGCTATACAGATTACAGCGTTGTGGATGTAGGCTTCAACTAACTTAGCAGATATGTTGCCGTGCCCGCCGCTCCTCGCCGCTGCTGCGCCCGAGTGACCCAACAAGTTGATAACCCAAGGATGCGCCCCAGCCCCAGTTTTTGAACTCTGGGCGCGAATTTGGACGAAGGCGTGGTAAAGTGAGACCCCACGGAGTCATCAGCATCATCATTCGGTCTTGAGTGGGCATGATGACAATGGTAATGATGATGATGATGGAGAGGAGGCGGAAGCGGATGGAAATGTATCATGGGTACTCATGGGGATAGCATCGTGACTATTTCTGAGACTGGGAAAGCAGAAGTTTGAGCCAGATATAGTCTCCGTATTCCTACGGAGTAACTAGGCAAATGGTACACGCACGCTCCACTTCAACAGTCGGTGGAACGACAGCTAAGTTGCTCCATAGTGCTGCTTTTACTGCTGCTTTGCTGCTGCGATTGTTGTTGCGTGCTGTCTGAATGGTACGCTGTTCGGTAATCAGGTAATACTTATGTGACCGCACCGCCCTGATTTGTTTGAGGTCCAGTCGAAGAGAGTCCCCATCTAGTCCATACCACCAATGAGCAAGGCAAGACGTAGAGTCTCCCGTATGCAAGTGCCAAGGTTCCGAAAAAATGATCTGAATCCTGAGTATCCTGACTTGGGTCAAGGGTATTCCCAATACCGGATCGATACGGGTCGCAGTCGACCAACCGGCAGCAGCTGCCCCAATAGGGATAAGGGAGAGCGACACCACGTCGGCCTCAGGAATGAATGAATGAATGAATAAATGAATAATTGAGATGAATGAGATGAAAGGAAGGTATCCATCGGCATTTTTGGGTGGCGTCTAATCTCGACGACGGTCGCCGTCTCTCCAAAAGAAGCACCTCGATCCAATCTTTCAAAGAGAACTTCATCTGATTACTCAGTATCATTGCTAATCCTTCACCAGCCGATCTCCAGATGATGATGTTATGGATGATGATGACGAGGAGGAGACAATGCTATGCTTTTGGACGAGTCACCGCTCGCTGCCTTTGCATTTTGCTTTACCCTTTGCGCTTTGCAGGTACTGTACGAATTGAGTAAATACGAGGCAACCGAAGTCGCATTCCCACCTGGTCGGCTCTGCTTGACCGTCGGTCGTTCAACGCTCACACATCCTAGTCTGGAAGGATGAATGCAATATACAATCTGGTACAGAGGAATCGATATTTATCTCACCAGATCTTGCCCGACCGAAAGAAAGGGCTATAATACCTACGGCCTACTGTGTATGTGCATCCTATCACCGCCGCTGGCTTCTGATCAATCTTGTAATTTCGGAAAAGCAAAAGAGAAGCGAAGGATCCTGGGCTATGTGGCCCACCAACAGGGGTAGTTTAGATGGAGTACGAAGTCAGTACTGAATTTAGTAGGCGGAAACCGAGAGGGCATTCGTTCTTGAGTTGCAGGGCTGCAAGTATACTGGTATAGTTAGTCGTAGGTCCATCAGTCAGGCATTGAGTCCACACAGCACGGCACAAAACTAGCAAGGTATGCCGGTCACATTGCCTAATCACCCAAGCTGAGGGTTCCTGTGGAGGTGGATGGAGGTGGAGGTGGAGGGCTGCCTCAACTTCGCACTCCATTTGTCCCCATTCATTGATTAATTCATTGTCAAGGGGGCGCTGGGGGGCAGAGGTTGGCCGAATGGTTGGATGGCTGGCAGATAGGCGGGCAGGGCAAAACAATGAAAGCGCATCTGAAGTCACAGGCTGGATGAATTCCGAGCAGCGAGTTAGGTCGGTTTTTTGGATGGGCTCAAATTCGATCTTCCCCTCAATATTGGAACTACATTAAATGCACACACAGTCTATAACGCCATGCCCGGAACTATCAGATTTGCAGTCAGAATCCCATTTCACCTCTCACCACCCCTCATCTCCTTTTTCCCCCCTGAACGGTTGAGACTAAAGCCCTAGTCCCTACTTACTAAGGACAGGGAAGGAAGTCCAACCGGATTGTTGGACTGCACATCGTTGAACTACGAACTCAATCACATCCATGCGCTCCCTAGGTTTGAAAACGATTGTTACGCTAGTTATGCTATTACTACTAGAAGTCCACCATCGCTAAAGGACCCCAAGACTCTCGGGGCTGAAGTTAGAAAATGGCAAGCCTCCGACCAGACTTGATCGTTTCTTCCTCGGCGGGCAACACTACCATTCATCTAAGATGACGAACAGGCCTCCCCCGTCGGTATACAGACAGAGGGACAGAAGAGACCACCGGTGTTTCCGAAGGCGGACATTCTCGAGATGCGTCCGGAAAATGAACCGCGATGAGACATGAAAAGCTAAAACCCTCCGCAGCCCGTCAGGACTCTCCGGTCCGGAGTGAAGTATATGAAATCATAAAACATCACAGCGGCATGATATTCCAGTCCCCAAAGTCTACTGACAGCCCACAAAAACGCGTGCCGAGTTTGATCCGGCTCGAGGCAGCCAGCAGAAGAATAATGGCGTATTGCTTTTGCAACCATTATTGAATAGAAGTAGTAATGATAAAGTCTGGAAAGAAGGGGGGGGCGGCATGCTGAATGACCACCATTAGTGACATGATCTATCTATGACTGATCCAAACATCATGATCATTATTGCTGGGCCGATCGATTGACAAAGAGACTGTTGACTGTATGTCATTCAATGTTCAATCCGAGATTGCATACAATGGATGATGAACGACTCGAAGAGGGAAGAACAGATATGATCATCGGCATTCGTCACCCTGTTTGTAAGTCAACAACTAGGTAATTTATTGATGGAGAACAGGAAGAAGGCTGCGCGACGCGTCTGTGTAACGGGAAGGTCAGTTAACTACCGTAGTCCAGTCCAATCCGACTTCTCCTCCATTTCACGGGTCGCGCGCCAGCAGGAGCCCAGTAAACCAAGTAAAGTACTTTCCAACCGTGCTGGGTCTAGCGTAATTTTTACTCGCACCTAATGCTAGGAACAGCTTGAGTATACTCCGTAGGAGATTGAGTGAAGATGGTGATGGGAACCTTCCAGGTGTCTTGGACCAAGCGCAAATCCACTAAGTTATCTCTTCTTATTGTTCAGTTTTAGGCCTGCGGCCGCTTTGATGTTAGCACTGACGCCTGCCTCGAAGGAAAAAATAAAAGAACAAAAAAAAACAACACTACGGATGACATCCCTTCCCCCCGATCCATGGAAAGACCAGTTTTCCCTTTTTGGGCTTAAAACGAGTCCTGACCACAATCAAAATCTATCTGCTCCTTGAATACGACAACAATAACTCTTCCGGACTGTTTAAAAAAGAAATCCACGAGCAGCTGACAGGGAACCCGGACCCGATAGCCGCCGCCCTGCGCCTCTGAAAGGTGTATACGCTGTGGTATCAAATGTGGGTTTTCTCCTTTTCGACACCCGTCCTGGCCTGCAAGTCGATTTCATGGCCAGCACGACCCGGAAAAATCACCACACCAGTGGCGGAAACACAATAAAATTGGACCAGATCAGGTGCACTTTATTCAGAACTTTTTTTCCTTTTCCTTTTCCTTTTTTGGGATCGAATCTTCCGGCTTCCCAACCCAAGCGCAGGATCGGAGGTTTCTTTCTTTGGTTCCGACCGAATAAGGATGGACGGAAGATTACGACGGGGCGGAGTGACGGTTGAGCTGGAGAGGGAAGGGAAGGAAGATGAGAAGGAGGGGATTTGGGAGAGACAAAGATAGAGAGACATTCGCCAGCAGACGAGGTATGAATGAGAGTAGTAGCCCTTGAACTGAGCACAATAACGACAGGGTGGATGCTGGGGATTGGTTGGGGCGGGTTAAATGTGGATATGATCGTACATAACCACCTGAGGTAGTCATCATGTCGGTGGTCTGGGCTGGAGGTCTACCTATCTAGCATAATGGACTGCGACGCAGGTCGGCCAACTGGACTTGAAGCAGAGCCAATTGGCCCCACGGCCCTCCATTTGAGTCTCATCGTCGTGGTAATCGCCCCGGTCGGTCACAAGAGCACAATGGGAGAGAGGTTGGCGCTTATGCTGCTAAATCATTGCTTCCATCTCACTTCTCAGTGCTACTGCGGCTGCTCCTGTCTGAGCCCTAGCCTACAAATTACCTGATCTAGATAGGTAAGTATCACCGGCCCTCAATAGCCTTCTCAATTCACAAGGCTCTACGGAGTACTTCACCCACGGCTTGGCCTACTACTAGTGTGAGTAGTAGTAGTAGTAGTAGTAGTAGTAGTAGTAGTAGTAGTAGTAGTAGTAGTAGTAGTAGTAGTAGTAGTAGTAGTAGTAGGAGTAATAGTAGTAGTAAATTTACACAAGGCAGTCCAGTCAACTTTTTGGGCCTTGACTTGCGCCAAAAAGAAAACTGGATGCGAGTCGAATCACCCCACCGATTGGACTGTTCATCATCATTTGGAGTCGTCAATCTAGTAGGTGTGCAGTCGGGTGATTGGTCCCTCGTTTCGTTTACGCTTCGCTGCTGGTTGCTGGGAATGATGCACTTTTGCAAAGTATCGTACCCATTCACTCCCGCCGTCCATAACCTACGGGTACGGAGCACTGTGTAGTGCAATCCAGAGGCCTCGAACCCAGCCCAGTTACAGAGACAAAATACCTTACATACAGTAGCTACATCATGGCTACATACGCACATCTCGTGTCTTGGCCCTTTACTGCTCTCACACTTTTTACAACCCCCCTCCCAAGGTGGATCAGAACCCGATGAAGAATTTGCCGGTCAGTCAAAGTTTCTCTGCTGGCTTGCCTTAGCCTTAGTTGAAGCTCCAACAGTTTCGGGTATTTTCGACCATCTGCTGCCTGTGTGTTTGTCTGTAAGTGGTAATGGGGATCGCAAAAACCTTGAAGTTACCTCAGCCTGGATGCTGGAAACCCCTTCTCCCTACTTCGTACTCCGTACTTTGTGCGTAGTATTACTGATACCAGTTGAGAGTTCCTTTCTTCGCGCAGAAGGTAACGCTTGACCACTTGCAGTTAGTGGGCGGACCACTGTCCAACCGCCAAGGATCATTTCATACTGCACAGCCTTTGCGGACCAGTTCCATACCTGACACAACACCGCTCATACTTACCGTCCTTACCTCTTCGACTTTTTCTTTCCCCATGACAACCGTCCAATTAGACCGTGATCCATAAGCTGACTCCCCTCCAGTACCGGCCACTGGTACCCTTGCCATCGCTAACTTACTCCTACTAAGCACTGAAGGAGAACACCTTGCCGAGCAAAAGTGACTGTGCCAGAAGCTACCAGGCTAATCAAATCGCATCGACAGGAAATGATAGTGATTTTAGGATTGTTACTGGACCCGGCCGGAGGCTCCTTCAATCTCTGACTAACCATCTGAACCATGTAGGTAGGTACCAATTTGTTAGTGTGTGGCCACTGCCAGCCCACTGTTCAACTTGTCCCAGTGTCACTCCCTACCCATAGTTATTGTGATGACTCCATCTTCAATTGCAGACGGTCGGTAGGATAGGCAAAAGTGTAAACCTTCGACCCGAGAGAGTTAGGTGGTTTGAATGTGAGTGCCACTGAGGCCTCTTACAGCTTCCATACGCAGCGATCCATATTTCCATCCATGCCCCCGCCTCTCCCTCTTCTGTGTCTCCCTGTTCGTTCCCTTTCTTGCCCCGTTCCCAGTCGATTACCGTAAATAGTAGGGAGTGGTGCAGACGGTGGTGCCGTGCTCCAGCTTGGGACCGATGGCCCCCAAAGCACATCTGGTACTCCGTAGGCTACTGTGTCGTAGGCATGATCCCGTACAGAGCCTAATGAGCAATTATGTGGTAACACTGGTATGATCATTACCACGATGTCCTTACCAACTCACCACTTTCTCTCGTCTGAAAGCCCGAAATGCCGTACTTTTCCGTACCTGGACTTGTTTTCCCCATTCCTCTGCCTTCCGTCTGGTTGAACTAGAACTGGCGATCAACCACATTCGCAGCGTGCACAAACCTCCCTTCGTCCAATTTTCTCCCGTGCCTCCCGGGGCTGCTGAGCAATGCCACACACACACACACACACACACACCATACCCCTTCTCTCCTTGAGGTGCGTGGTCGATAGGCAAGTCATTTGCTTGTGTTGTGTTTTTTAAGATGATTTTTGATTCGATTCTTCTCGGCTGTGCTCTTAATGTCTCCTGGGATTGCTTGAATTGATGCTCCATTTTTGCTTTTCTCCACAGAAAGAGCGTCTCGAATGTCTAATATCGTACTCATAGTAAGAGTGGACGAATAAGCGTACATGGTATACTCCGTACTCTGTTGCGGAAGCAGACCATTTGAGAAAAGGTTTCAAAAGAATAAAAAAAAAAAAAAAGAGGAATTAAATCTGGACGGCACACCATGACGGTTGCAATGTGACGCTAAACCCAGCTTATTATTGGATCTGATATGGGTCCTTGAACGGAGTTAGCAGGCACGTATTATTCCCAAGACCGTGAATCAGTCTTTCTCTCTGTGTCTGAGTCTCTCCTCAGTCTATTCAGTTCTGTCCGAACTTCCACACTTTCCACCCCTCTTCCTTTTTCTCTTCCCTCCCATTCCTAAAGCGGTAAGGTGACTTACAGGTGCTAGATTCAACACCGCTGGGACTGGTCTAGGGCTGCTGACCTTGTTACCCTTCCACTACACTCCGTAGTAGCATGCATCCACTTTGTCCCCCCCTCCTCTCACACTACTCTCCTCTCTTCCACTTTCTTTGAAAAAAAAAACAATATTTCAACTTTGAGGAGTATGAAGTATGTCGACAGTACTCAGTCATCCATGAGACAGAGTCAGAGGTAACTTGACTACTCCGTATGCGACGCGAGGCATGAATGGAAAAGGAGATGCACGATACATCTTCCATCCCAGAGCATTGACGTCAATGCATGGCCGTAACTAGTGGACTAGTGATTCATCAAATTCAAGGTCAAGGGAGAGAGAGATTCGCAGACGAGTAACTACGGTAAGACTCCCTCGGTCTCAGCTGAAGGGAACGATCGTCGGTGGAGGAGGGGAGGTTGGCTTTGTTGGGTTGTGTTCCAGAATTAGATCGGACTAACTACAGTGAATGCGTCGACGGTACCTGCAGATTTTTTTTTGTCTGTAATAAGAATTTGGTGCAGAGGGCTGTTGCTGACAGTGACATTTACAGGAGGAAAGGTGTGTGTGTGTGTGTGGTCAGGGGGGCAAATTCGAGAAGATGAAGAATAGACGCAGAACCCCCTGGAGATTGGGAATTGCAGTGGAATTCGGGTGCTATAGTTAGGTGCTATGGTTAATTAAAGCATTTGCATTTGAATTGGGGAGTGATCAGGGGCAGGGGAGACAATAGAACTGGGCAGAGCGGCAGTGAGGCAGCAGCAGCAGGAGGAGGAGGAGGAGGCAGCAGTAAGCAAAAGCAGAGTACGGAGTACAAGCACACCACCAGCACAGCACACAGCAATCGTCATCTCCGCCAGTGACATCCCTCATTTGCGGTTGGTGGGCTCCACGGGGGGGGAAGACTTGTCAGATTGGTTCAGACACTAAATCCACTGCTCCACTGACTTGAATTGAAGATTCCAGGGCCAAATTTGCCCACAGGCACCATTAATCCCTCATTGGGTGTGGATGGGCCCCGTTGCGGGTGGAACTTTGAACTACTCCCAGTTTAGGGCTTCCTCCAATGCGCTGCTGGGGGTGACTTACGCAGTTCTAGACCAGACCCAAAGGGACCCCCATCTTCATTCAATTCACGGCAAGTCACGCCTCCCGCCCGCCCGCCGTTTCTTTTTTATCTGCCTTGTTCTGCCCTTCTTTCGTGGTGCTGTTCTTCCATCTTCTCTCTCCATCCCCCATTCTCTCTCTCTCTCTTTTTTCTCGTTGAACGTGGACTGTCATTCTTTTCATTCCCGTTCTTGCATACATCACTCTTTAAGACCTCAAACTTACTTGCTAAACTGTTCCCACCCGCGTCAATCTCTCATCCAAACCACTATGCACTACACGTTGGCTGCCCTCGCCCTCGCGGCGGCCTCGGCCGAGGCTGTCTCCCAGGGTTTCAACTACGGCAGCACGAAGCCTGACGACAGCTCCATGTTCCAGGCCGACTTTGAGGAACAGTTCACCAACGCGAAGAACCTGGTGGGCACCGATGGCGGCTTCACCAGCGCCCGTCTCTACACGATGATCCAGGCCTACAGCACCAGCGACGTCATCTCCGCCATCCCCGCCGCCATCGCCACCGATACGGAGCTGCTGCTGGGTCTCTGGGCCTCTGGCGGAGACATGGCCAACGAGATCACCGCCCTCAAGGCCGCCATCTCCCAGTACGGCGACGACTTCGCCAAGCTGGTCGTCGGTATCTCCGTCGGCAGTGAGGATCTCTACCGCAATTCCGTCGAGGGAGTCGAGGCCTCGGCCGGAGTCGGTGTCAACCCCGACGAGCTCGTCGAGTACATCAAAGAGGTGCGCGAGGTGATCGCTGGCACCGTCCTGGCGAGTGTGCCTGTCGGCCACGTCGACACCTGGGACTCCTGGACCAACAGCTCCAACTCGGCCGTCATTGAGGCGGTCGACTGGCTCGGTTTCGATGGCTATCCCTTCTGGCAGTCCACCTTCGAGAACGGCATCAGCAACGCCAAGACGCTCTTCGACGAGTCTGTCGAGAAGACCAAGGCGGTGGCTGGCAGCAAGGAGGTCTGGATCACTGAGACTGGATGGCCCGTCAGCGGTGACAACGAGGGTGACGCTGTGGCCAGTGTCGCCAACGCCAAGATCTACTGGGATGAGGTTGGTTGCCCTCTGTTCGGTGCGACTAACACCTGGTGGTACATCCAGCAGGACGCCAGCTCTTCCGTCACCCCGAACCCTAGCTTCGGTATCGTCGGTAGCACCCTGAGCACCACTGCCCTGTTTGATCTGTCCTGCAAGAACTCCACCAACGCCACCTCGACTGCCACTGCTTCTTCCTCTTATGCTTCTGCTACCGGCTCTAAGCTTGTTGGTTCGGGATCTACCTCTGCCTCTGGCTCTGCTTCTAGCTCTGTCTCTGGCTCTGCTTCTGGCTCTGCTTCTGGCTCTGCTTCTGGCTCTGCTTCTGGCTCTGCTTCTGGCTCTGCTTCTGGCTCTGCTTCTGGCTCTGC